AATCCTTCGGAATGACAACTCCTACGGGTATCACATGATGTCTATAAACTTCTTTATAGTTACATAAAAAAAAAGAGTCTTCAATTTACTAGTACGTACAAGTTCATATTATTAAAATGTAACTTACATATTAATAACATTTATAATAACAAACTATTTGTTGTGTACAGAGAAGGAATATAATAAGAAGAATAAGTAGAAAAGTAAAAGAAAAGGCGGTTCCAGAGTTCCAGAGGCGAATGGCTTGGACAGCGAAGGAATTGGAGTAATATGGCGAGGAGTGAGAAGTTCTAGATAACTATGAAAAACTTCAAAAAATTGTAGAAGTACTTCGTTATAGTAATAGTATCGAATGAAATATTTATTAATTCGCAATTGTTATTCAGTGAAATAAAATTGTTATGATACTTTTATTAAACTTCATGACACGACATCTAATTATAACACCTAATATGAACTTTGTTACTTGTTTTTGAAATCCATTGGTACAATAATAACTTTCCATTCATTTAATAAGGCGTGAGTCAATTACATTACACGAATCATTATATTAATTAATTTAAGGAAGGAAATGGAAGATATTTAGAATTATTCTGTATAACTTAGGGTTATGAAGTCAATTATAATAATAAAAAGATATTTTGTAAGTATTTTGTTTTCATTCACGCGCAGCTTTTAATAGTACAACTATATTTTGACCTCCTTACTTATAGAAGTATAGTCTAATTACGGTTTCCTTGCTGTAAATATACTTATTTTGTCGTTTTCTATAAATGAATTTTCTTTTGCTAGTAGTAAGTTAAAGAAGGTTCTAAAGTATTATGCCTAACTATTCTACTGACCACACTCTTTCATAAATTTTATTACTACTCAAATATAATCTTTTTGAACATTCCATTTTTATAAATATTTATATAAAACACATTAAAAACTTTAAATCGTAACGAGGCGAAAATATTTTGTTTATCTATTTGTATATTAAGATTTTACTTAAAAACAGCTTGACGAATTATGTAAAAGAAAGCGCTCAAAAATATATATCAAAGTAATAAAATAATTAATATTGTGAATATATTGGATACGCCATTTATTATTTTATTAATATATTTATTAAGAACGAAAATAATATATGTTCTCAGACAGATATTTAATTGGTTTTTGTCGTTTCATTAACAACATTAGATCTACAAGGAATATATATACAAAGTCGCGGGCAAAACTAGTAAAAAATAATATTGTAAAAAGGGAGCTGTGGCAACCCTATACGCGCGGGCCATTGTTATTACAAAATGACCCATCTCAATGTCGAATGTTTCTCAGAACCGAGCGTTATGTATAACTTAAATAGCTTTTGAGCATTTTATAAAGGCTTATTTCTGACACCTCGGATGAAACATGGCGCATAACGAATGCGTGTGCGCATCGCACTAAACCAGAGATAATCAACCTTTTTTTATATGGATAGTCAGCTTTTATTGAGAATTTTTACTAGGCAATAACTTACTGTAACAAAATTAATCGTGTGACCTCCAATGGTTGGGATTTACTGAAGAATTTTAGGGTGCATTATATTTTTAAATAAATAAATGACTCTAAACCATTCACACAGCGCCATCTGGTCCCAAACTACGACAAACAGAGCTTATATTATGAGTACTAGACAACTAATATTAATACACAGTTTTTTTATTGTAAATACACATAGAAAATACCATGTGACATCTGAGATACAGTATAATTCTATACTAGTTCAGATGGTACAATTACACTTGTATGTTAAAATTGTATTGACTCTTACAACTTAATTATGTAACACAACCTAAAACTGCAATAAATATTATTATTATTATTATATACTTATGAATACAAGTACACACAAGCTTACGGCCCACGTACATGAAATACACCATGGATCACCTCATCATGTTACACTCATCAGCCTCCCCTCCGATCGATCTCCCGTCCAACTCAAATGATAGAAATTATGACGGCCAGGGCCGAGGTTCGAACCACTAGCGGTGCCCTTAGATCAAAGTCGTATCTTTCAGGCAGTCAGCCTTTAGCCGCTCAATAACTCCTTCCGTAGGTTTTGAGTGAAGTCTGCTAGTCTTTACAGCTTCACCAAAAGACGGACTCACCCCCTGTCTTTTGGTGTGGCCAACGGCATTAGAAAAATTTTAAAAACTAAAAATACATGAAAACTCATTGTATGTATAATTCTTTTGTGGCCATCAGCATTAGAAAAATTTCAAAAAAAGTAAAAATTTATGAAGAGATAAATTTTCAGAATGATATACATACAATAAGTATGTATATCATTCTGAAAATTCACTGTATGAAGGTGAAATTTCAGAGTATGCAGAGTAGGAAGTATAGATAGATAGTTGAGTACCAGTATAAAAATATATAATAAAGAAAGAAAATGAGTATGATCAACTTTATAGCCTATCAAAACAAATGGTGATAATTAAAGCATATTATGCCATTGAATAATATTTGCAAAATACTAATAATATTAATTTGCGCCTCTCTTCCACACATATGCTATACCTCACAAGAGGCATGGTATGTGTAGTGTATTGAACATAGACTACTTAAGTATAGTATAGTAACCTACTCTGTTATTGTAATTATTATATAAACTACTCTGTATTGTTATACTATATTCATAGTAAACATGTGATTATTTAGAGACTGGTTTAATTTATAATAGTATGTATGTGAATTTACTAGTGTTTGTGAGTCTATATCATAATTGTGCAATACAATATCTATACATATAAATAAAATAGGAGCACTCCATCATATCTTCTGTAATGTATTCATAGGTGGAACAGGCAGGTATTGTCCACTGTTGACTGCATTTTCTTACATATATTTGATTTAATTTGTTTATATTAGTTATATTATATTATCTATACATATAAATGAGTGTCTGTTTGTAAAATTGAAATAACCATTTTTTACGACATGCATATGAATATAAATATGGTACATACTTGGTGTATGTAATAATATTTTTTACAATTTTTGTCTGTCTGTCAGTTTGTTCTGGCAAATCTCTGAAATGGCTGGCCCGATTATGACGGGACTTTTTTTAGCTTAAATAAAAGATTTTTTTAAATAAAAGTTAAATTCCACACAGACTAAGTTGCGTAGTATACAGTTAGTAATAAATAAACATGTAGTTTTAATTATGATGAAATTTATCAGTTAATATTCACCCATATAAGTATATACACACGAGTCTAATTAGTTATTTTATTGTTCATATATACATAAAGCATCTAGCATTTTCATCAAGAATGCCAGCATAATTTTTGAGTATGCTCTTAATAACAAACAGTACCCATTAATGCAGATACCAAAATGGACTACCTAGATTCATATCTGATAGACTTACAAAATATAGTACACAATGTAAATAAATTGTCTTTAAAAAAAAGAAATCCAGGTGAGTATCATGCCAGTTCAAGTGTCTCTATTGAATCTGTATACCGAACTGTATGGTAGGCAAAAATATGATAACACAAAAATTTTGACAGTCACAAGCAGCTAATTTCTTACATGATTATTTTTTTATTTTATTTAATTTAAGAGAACAATAACTGGATTATTGAATTTTACAAGTTGCGACCCATAGTGTTTCCATTTGAAAAAACTGTTTAAATCACTCCGTTTAAATACAAACTGTTTAAATACATAATAGAAATAAGCACACACAAATTTTATATGTGAAAGTATAGCAACAAGTGGCAACTTTTACACAAAATATACATTTTAAGGGTGTAAGGTTTTTATTTACACATATTCATACAAATTTAATGTCAACAAGTAGGACATCTATTGGCAAGAATAACATTAGACATTTATTCCCTGTGATTAACTCTTTAACAAATATAATTCATAAACAAGGACAACTATTAAACATCGCAAATTATTGTAGTTAATAAAAACTCCAGCTACGGAGATTAATAAATGGAAATAATACAAATTATTAGAAAATATTAATTCAATGACAACCAAAACTAACATTCTGAAATCATCTGTTATTTCTAAATTTTATAAACAAATAATAATGTAACTGAATAGTGACGATTTATTCACTATTTAGTGAATTAACACGTTAAAAAAAAACAATTAAACCCAAAATTTAATAAGAAAATAATGCTAAATCCGATTTACGTACATTCATGTATGACAGTCGCATTAAAGAGCCCAAAATTAAAAGTTATTGATAGTAATTATAAGAAAATATCATGTAATTTAAAAAATAAAATAACGGAGAATAATTTCCACTTACCCATTTTACGTGGAATTTCAGCAATTATACACAATTAGAAATTCAACAGAGAAAAACATCACAAACATCACAGAACGGGAGCCATTTTGCTTTTACAGTGTTGCTAGTAGTAAATTAAATTCATTTAAAAAAAATCTCTGTAAAGGTAAGCCTACAATAAAGACGAATGTTAAGAATAAGTCAAACAAAAACAATACAGAAAAACCATAATGCAATTGTATATTACCATTTTTTTTACTTAGCCATAAAAAAATCGTTTAATAATAAAAAAAAATATTTTGTATACCATATGGAATGGTGGGATTGAACAAGTGAGTGACAATCCTAAGAGCATGCGTTCTAAAACATTGGGAGATATCCAAAAAAGTTACTTTTTTTTAACTCTGTTTAGACCTAAGTAATGTCATAAGACTTTGAAAAGGTTTTTAAATAAAATGACTCGAATGGAAATAGGATGGTTGTTTATCTAGAAAACCTCTTTAGAGATTTAAATGGAATTAATTTCCCTAATTTACGATCATCACTCGGAGACCAAAGTAATGGCCTAAAATGACATAGCCCGATCAAGCCCAAAGCGGTCTGTAATTCTTTGTACATCTCGCTACAGTCTTCCAATAGGACCTTTGTTTACTCATAGCATCCTGCATTAAAGTATAGAGTTTCAGAACGATTATTTCAAATGTTGCCATAGATATATATTTTTAATTCTTTTTCTGTCAACAGCTGTCAAAAAGGTTAAGAAATATTTTTTCTCGTGATAATATTAAAAATCCGAAATAATCTTAGTTTATCTCACATAACATTGTAAATACGTTAGTGAAATAAACAGTGTAAAGTGTACTCAATGTAATTTTTCTTGTATTTCAGCTTCAAAATGGTACAGCGGCTTACTTTCAGGCGACGTTTGTCGTACAATACCAAGTCCAACCAGAGGAGAATGTGAGTGTTTTTTAAACAAATTGATATAATAATTCGCTATAACATTACAGTTATACATGAGCTGTAATGTTCCAGACGAATATCAGTTTAATAACTTATTGTTTATTAAAATTTGTGTGTTGACCACTATAACCTCGAAAACTTGATCATTCCTATTACAATAGTCAACAAATGGTTATAATATGTACTTTTATTAAATCTAAGTGGCTCGTCATCAATATAATATGTCAATAAATTAAATTCACGTTAATACGATATGGGTTTTAACTTAGAAGTTTGTTTACAACTTCTTCAATTACATTATTTTAATCTGTAAGAAAACCAATAGCTTTACAGGTTATTAGTTAACTTTGTCTTTTACATTATCAATATATTATGTATTTATTAATATTAAAAATAATTTGTCAACATAAGCATGTTGTCAGTGCATATTTGTGACAATTTTCATTATTGGTGATTTTGTATTATTAGAATGTTAGTCTATTCTATAATAAGTAGTCTAGTCTATAATAAGAATTAAGATGGATTTATGTAGAAGTGGCATATAATAACTCTAAATTATTTGAATACAGAAGTGTTTCAAATTCACCCTTTAAAAAGGTAAATGATATAATAGTGAGTATATGTAAATCGGATATTGAAATTTTAATTACTGTCTCATTTCACTATAATAGTTTGGAAATGGAGAGTTGACACAATTTAAAATGTATAATTTAGACATTCAAAATCTATAAAACAATGTTACATTATAAACTGAAAATTTCCATACTGAAGTAGTACTACAGTTTTATGATTTTGTTAACTGGCACACAAATTATATAGACATTAACTTGACAAAGATAGTTATTTGAAATTCCCCTGCAAAATTGAAGCTTAAGTGATTTTTTTTTCTCATATATGTTGTTCTCATACCTGTTATACTGCAGTCAATAAAATTATTATTACAGTAATGCAAATTCAAGTAATGTTTTAAAAATGATTACATCTGCTTACAACTTTGTAATTAATATGAGAATATTGATATTTACAGTGTAAGGACCCCTGGTGGACGTCTGGTGTATCAATATGTTAAGAAACCCAAGAAGATCCCAAGATGTGGCCAGTGCAAAAGTAAACTCAGAGGCATCCAGCCTGCAAGGCCCGCCGAGCGCTCCCGTCTCTGCTACCGTAAGAAGACAGTGAAACGAGTGTATGGAGGTGTCCTCTGCCACAAGTGTGTTAAACAGCGAATTGTCAGAGCTTTCCTCATCGAGGAACAGAAAATTGTAAAGGTCCTCAAAGCACAGCATGCCACCTCTAAGGGTGGCAAAAAAGCCGCAAAGTGATTGTAGGGTAATAAATAAGTGACAAAAACAAGAACTTTGTCTTAATTTATAGTTATTAAGTTCCCCTAGTAAAGGTGAAGCCATCAAGTTTGAAAATAGGTGGACAATGTAATATTATTGTATCTGTAATTCAACTGAAACCTAACCAAACATTAACACATCCAAAAAAAGTACAATGGTAATATGGTATGGTGGTGTAGGTATTGTGCCTTAACTGTAATAATGTAATTGTTTTTTCTAAAAGTATCCTATATTCATTCTAATATGAAATGAAATTAAATGATATTTATTCAGTAGAAAACTAAAAGACACATTAAACAAACAAAAAATAGAATAAACAGTGCGACAATTACAAAAAACAGTACACAAATTACGTGTGTGCGCGTGTGCGTGCATGTGTATGTCTGTCGAAGCATCTACTGAATAGGTCCGTGCTCAGCATAAAGCGACTGGAGCGCTGCAACGCTGTTTTTCAGCACATACATACATAATACGTCCAAGAACACCTGTACAAAATTTCATGATTATCGGTTCAGTAGTTTTTGCGTGAAAGCGTAAGAAACATCCCTACTTTTACATTTACAATATTATTGAGGTTGTTCTGTATGGAACCCTACTTTAACATAACATCGTAATCCGTAAAACAAACCGAAAACCTAAACAATTTTCTCCAGAAGAAAAATTAAAATACTTTACATATTATTCCTAAAGTAAATTCCACCTTCCATATATTGAAAATTTCTATTATCAATATATTAATGGGATTTCCATCAAAAGACTAATCTCGTATAAAACCAAGCGTTTTTCTATAATATCAAAAAGTTGAATGAAACACCAATAATCATACGGCGCCGGCGCCTTCTAGTTCCAAGCTACATAAACAGAACCTGATAACACTCAGATCAATACAGTCATACTCTTGAATACAAATGTTTGTATTGTGCGGAGATTCAAACCCGTAACCATCGAAAGTAAAGCGGTATGGTAAACCTCTATACTCCCTAGCAAAGAATATACTACTCAAGAGTATCTATGCTGCTCCCTAGTATCTATACTCTATAACAATTTTAATATATCTATGTAGTATTACTAGGCCATAACATCAGCGCTGTTAACTTACTTCTGTACTGTTCTGTAATTAAAGAAATAAAAACGTATATATGTCAAATATGTTAATAAATCATTTATAACATCAGGAAAATATATATAAATGCCAAAAAATAGTGAAAATCTCGTCAAAATGTCAGTTAATAACTTTGCAACTCTATACATGACCATTCACACTTTGCTCAAAAATACTTTTATTCAGAGCCGTAAAACAATAAATAAAAACCTCTGTACTGACAGATTATGAACTTGCTTATTTATTGTCAAATTTTTTATACTGTGTGGTAGGTGTGAGTGAATTGAGTTTTTTAATTAATCAAATAAATTGTGTTCCTTGTTATATAACTATTAAATATAGAAATTTCTGTGATAAATTTAGTTTAATAATATTTTAATCAACATGTCGAATCCTTGGAAGAAATTAACATCGCCAGCTGATGTACAAAACCTCTCCGATATAATGTCAGAGGAATATGCTAAAGGTCTCCAAATTAAAGAAGAGATCATCTTTGCCCAACAAATAGGCACAACTTTTCAGTCTGAGGAGCCTGTAAGCTCTAAATCCAATGATATATCGCCGGATATATTGAAACAAATCGAAGAGTCGAATGTCAAGGACTATTGCGACTCTGACGCTATTATTGCAAAAGTGTTGCAATGTCAATTCGACAAAGAATACGACGATGAAATTAAAATGGTAGAGAAGAAGCGTAACGGAGAAGCTAAGGTATCGGTGTCGTATGAAAACTATAGGAATGTACCTGACCATTTATTATACGATTCTGACTCGGATGACTCGGATTTCAAAGTTGCTAAAAAGCAGGACTGGGATCGCTTCGAAACTAATGAAAAAGAGTTCGCGAGTTTACCTAAAAGAGGATTCATTATGAAGGACGGGGAAATGGTCACAAAACACGACAGCGTTATAAATGGGAGAAGGAACGCGTGTCGTGTTATGGCGTTCCCACCAGAGGTTTGCACTGGCGACGGTGCTGGATTCGACATGAAATTGTCCAATTCTGTGTTCAATCACCTTAAAGAGCATACCAGGCACCACCAGTCTCGTAAGCACAAAATGTTGGATAGAAAAGAGAGTCATGCTACAGCTGAAATGGGTCTAGACGAACCAACAAGGCTTATACTGTTCAAGCTCATCAATAATGGTCTGCTGGAGGACATCAATGGAGTGATATCCACTGGTAAAGAGTCGGTTGTCCTGCATGCAAATGGTGATACAACATATCCAGATCTGGTAGTTCCTAAGGAATGTGCCATAAAAGTATTTAAAACAACTCTGAACGAGTTTAAAACTAGAGATAAGTATATTGAAGCTGATTACAGATTTAAAGATAGATTCTCTAAGCAGAATCCACGTAAGATTGTTCATATGTGGGCTGAGAAAGAGATGCATAATATGGTAAGGATGCAGAAGATTGGGCTGAACTGCCCACAGATGATATGCCTGAAGAAGCATATTCTGGTGATGTCCTTCATTGGCAGAGACAATAAACCGGCTCCAAAGCTGAGAGATGTCATCTTGAAGCCTGAGAAGTGGCAGAGTGTGTACAATGAGGTGGTGGATGCCATGCACAAGTTGTACAATGTAGGTCATATGATTCACGCTGATCTGTCGGAGTACAATATACTTTGGTGGGACAATAAATGCTGGTTTATTGATGTTTCACAATCTGTTCAACCGGACCATCCAGTTGGCTTAGAGTTTCTGCGTAGAGATTGCCGCAATATTTGCAGTGTAGGTGTTAATAAGTTTATTTTAGTAATCAATATATTCAATCTAACTAATTAAAAATATATATTAATTCTCTCATTGCCATTTGCCAACCAATGCAATTATAGTAGACATACTGATCGTGAATAAACCAGGAACAAAAAAAATTAAAAATATATTGCAAACCAATTAATAATAACAATATAATCAAATAATACATTTTTCTATCAGATATTTCCTTATTCTATACAGTCTTGTTTGTGTAAAGACATTTGCATTTTCCTGTTTTATTGTATAATCCTCTATTATTTAATTCAAGGGACTGTGCTCAAATAATTAAATACTCATCCATATTCTCCAGATTTTTTTTCCCCTTTCATCAAAGCATTTATTTATTATGACACTTTTAAATAAAATTTATTGATGACGCTAATAACTTATTCTATTTTATTTACAGTTCTTTGAAAAGAAAGGTGTTGTTGATATGAAGACAGCTGATGACCTTTTCAAATCAATCACAGGATTTGAGGAAGTGGATGTAAACCTGCTTGAGGGTGTTCACACAACATTCAATGCTCTGTCTTCTCGCTTTGAAATAGCACCTGACGATAACAGGAACATCAGTTATCCATTTGAATATTGCTGGAATAAAACCAACGAGAGCAAACAGCCTAAGAGTGATAAAAGTGATGATGAGTTTGAGGAGATGTGGACTCATTCACAGAAAGACAGGGTTGACACTGCCACCAATTTTGGTAACATACTGACTGTTACAGATACTGCAAATGATGCTAAAGTTGATGGGGAATCTGTAGAATTTGTGGACCATAAAGTCAATTTTGCTAATGAGTTAAATGTAACCATCCCAATAGATGGGGGCATAACTGACAATAGTAAACATAAAAAATCTTAAAACAGGTGTAATTCTGCAAAAAGAGTGGTGTTCTTAAACTTAATTGGCGAAAGAGACTCCGTAATGGTATGTGATATTGGAGTACTTATACAAAATAATATACAATTCAATAATTGTATATAATTTTCTTTAAGTATGACTATTCAGTACTCATGACAGAAGACAAGCAAGTACTTCTTTTCATTTTAAAATTGCTTGGAGATGTTAATGTTATTCAAAGTCTTTGTGCAATACCTGCATAATTATTTAATAATAATTAAATTTCATAACAGATTTAAGAATTTAAGGTATAAATATTTACACATTGAATTCTTAAATCAATAAATGTTAGTTGCTTCTATTTTTGGAAAATACTCTATTGCAGTTGATTAATGTTAGGCATCGTAAAATAAAAACAATTTTATTCAAGATATTAGGTTGTAGAATAAAAGATTACCTTATGTATTTCTATAGTAACATAAAATGTTCAATATTTATATAGTAGTATTATATAAAATAAAATAAAGAAAAAAAGTTATACAACATTACAAAATAATGACAACATATAAAAAAATTGATGAGGAAATATTGCATAATTATTTATTATTTCACAATATTACTATAAATAGTCCACTTACAATATACATTCCATTATATACAACTGAATCATATGTTTCTCTTATCATAATTACAAGTTTATCTTTTTAAAGATCTAAACATTCTACATATAATAATATTGTACATAAAATCTACTTGGAATAATATATATAGCTAAATTCTGCGTTCTTGTGAACTTGTTATCTCTGATACAATACAGAGTTTTTAGAAACATCCAGCATCTATACAGCTTTCTATGGACACTGCATCAGTAATAATAATAATTTCAGGATAATTCACACCGCGCCATCTAGACCCAAATTAAGCTAGCTAAAGCTTGTGTTATGGGTAGTAGATAGTAAATACATACAAATTATATATAGAAAACACCCAGACCGATACAAACAATCATACTCATGAATACAAATGTTTGTGCCGTGCGAGGAATCGAACTCGCGACCATCGGTCGTAAAGCGGTGTGCTAGACCGCTAGACCACCGAGGTCGTCATCAGTATCTTGCATTTATTATTAGGCTATATTATCATGAGTACATACTGTCCAATGTTGAACCATACACATACCACATAGAAATCATTGATTTGCCCAAAGATTGGTCCTTTATAAAAGGTAATATAGGCTAATTTTTTACTACCTATGCCTAAATGGCGGGAACAGCCAAAATAAATGTGAAGCGTGAATTAGCTTTACATTTAAATACAGTACAATCTTCTTGCACATCATCATGTTAAATTTTTTTTATATATTCTAAACTACGCTAAATAAGATCTAACATTATCACAATATTGTGTTAACCTAATTTCAGAATTTATTTTGTCCAGTAAATATGCTTGCTGCATAGTCAGGAATCCTTTGGTGTCTGCACACACACAAATCAGTGAGTTCACATCGCCTGTAGTGTTTGATATTATGATAGACTGGAGTTTTAGTCTCAAATCTACATTTACTGGAAATGCTGAAAATAAAAAATATTAAGGTACTTAAACATCTTGAAATTTCCATAATGTTATGATTTTTTTCATAATTATTCTTATATTAGACTCTGTGGTGCAGAAAATATCGAGCGATTTGTTTAATAGTTTATCATTTCTTAATCAAGAAATAGATTGACTTGTCAAATTGTTTATATTAACAATAAAATCGACACAATGACAGTTGATATTTGTTGCGTTGATATTAATATTTTTTTATAATAATAATAATATAATAATGTTTGCTACATATAATATAGGTGCAGATTCAATAACGGTCGATATTTGACCACCAATAAAGAAGGTCGTAATGCTTCCAGCAGTGGTCAGGTTTACGTACTGAATATTGGTGATCTCACACATGCTAATGGCAGCGAAATGCAACAAAATAATATAAACCCATTCAACATGCAATGGTTATCCCTTACCATCAGTCAGCTGTTCCAGTTACATAAAAGAATATATTATAAGGCATGGGGCCTTTACTTAACAACGTGAGTGTTTTGTCAGTCCTCAGCTCGAAAGCACTTATGACTGACTGTAGATTTGACATATCATAACAGTCTGTAATAGACCTACATGAATAAAGATCTTTTGATTTTGAGGGTGAAGCTTCATAAAATAATTTACAGAATACTTACCATCACTGTCACAATCATTGAGTATACTTGTAAACAAGTTTTTTAGACAATCTGGTCTACTTTCATCCACTGGTTTCACAAGTAATGTCAGGAGCACTCTGCTGATTTGAACCCTGCAAATATATTGAGACGTTTATATTACCATATCATATTATGGGCACAAAACATCCATTCAATATTTAAATAAAATATAGTATTTAAATAATTCTAGAATATTGATTGATTGTAGAGGAAAGTACTACTCTATTGGCTTCAGTACAAAACAGGATTACAGTAAATGGTTTTTTGTAAAACATTGTATCTTTGGTAATTTCTATACTGATTTAGTTCTTCTTAATGTCTTTTCTGTTATCTACTTTCAGACAATCTTTGTCCATTTGAAAACTATCTTTTCATCTGTATAGGGCTTTATGCTTTTATGATTTTGCCAGCGCTATATTAAATATTGTCTATGATCTTACTCTGCTAGAATATTTTCAGGAATGTCCACAATCTTATCAACTATTGTATTTGCTGTGTCAAGAGCAATATCCCATTTATCTGTAACAAAAGAATAAAAACAATAGAATGGATAATTGTTGTAACAAAATATTCTTTTCTCATATGGAAAAACTAGCTGTATCTGCGAACTAAATCCTCGCTAAAACGAAATCGCTAGCGATTTCGATCGCATGGAATTTAACTTAATTTCTCTAAAATAAAAGAAGCCTAAGTTACTCCTTATTACATCAGCCACCTGCAAAAAAAAATTCCCGCCAAAATAGGTCCAGCCATTTCAGAGATTCGCCAGAACAAACAGGCAGACAGACAAAAATTGTAAAAAAAAATATTTTGCTCTAAGTACCATATTTCTATTCATATCCATGTAGTAAAAACATGGTTATTTCAATATTACAAAAAGACACTCCAATTTTATTTATATGTATAGATAATTCATTGTTATGGAATAAAAGGAAGGAATATTTATACCTCAGAACATTTTACCATCTAATTACTTTAAAAAAACAAGACTAAAATACTAAGTGGTAATAAATAAATAACAACAGTCACAGGTCAAGTGGTCCTAAATTATAGATGTAAAAAAGTAATCAAGGAAGGAAAATTTTATTAACTTTACAACATATATATACACAATTTTTTTTAGTTCATCATGATTTTAAACTTTTAGTTTAAAATTATGACAATTGTTGACAATATTTTATTACTAATATTTTTATATGGCATCCAAGCATCGCAGATAGATCCCAGGAGACACCTCTTGTTTCTTTAATATTTCTATGTTATGATATAAAATAAACAAGAACCTTACCACATACAATGAGCAAGTTAAGTATTGTTCTCATACATGTCAGCTTCATTGTATTGTTTTCAATATTTTTTAAAGCCTGTTCATAATATGCTATAGCCTCTAACTTATAGTCGAAGCTGACCAGATTGTTTGCCAACTCCATGAGTATAGATGTTCGTATTAGGGACTGTTCTGGGTATTTATTTAATGCTTGCATGAAACATCCTATGGCTGCCTGTAATGAAAAATGGATTTTAATTACTTATAGCATATTGTTGCTAGCAACAAATAATCATTTTATGTTTATATCTATGGTAATACCATGGAATAAGTGCTAGAGGGAATACAATGGTGGTAAAGGAATACAATGGTGCCACCATTGTATTCCTTTTTAACTAACTGGTTCCCATAATATTGTTTAAGAGACGCTATACATTGCTCAGTGTAATTGTATAATTTAAATATAATTTGTTTGGTCCAGCAAAGGTGTTTTTATCACATCAGTAACCTACAGTCCACACTCTTAACACACATGATATATATGATAATAGATTACAATCTTGATTTTAAGAATATTGGTAGGGAGTAGATGATTTAGTAATGTGAATTAAAAGCACCATTGCTAGCAATGTACCATGTTAGGTTGACCTCCACACGGTCCCTCTGGTATCTATCATATTAAATTCCTGGTGAATTTAACATGATGGGCTAACTAACCTGACTTCATACTCATACACAGTCAAGAGCAACATTCCACTATCATTCCTTAAAAAATCACTACCGCTATAATTATTTCAACTCTCAATCAACTTAGTTTTTTGTTACTTGTATAATAGCTTTGTTCTTCCAAAATAACGCAGTTATATTATTTTTAGTTCATTTATTTACTTCACAGAATCTCAAACTTTATATGTAAAATGTATAAGTAAATCGTAATTTGGTGCAATTATGGTGAGGATGTCCAGCATATGCTTGTAATTGCAGGTTAGGTATAAACTGCAAATCAGTACTGGGTAAGTAAAAAATTATATAATTTCTTGGCAATATATAGTTTTATTTTCTTGTTATGTGGCCCCCATGGGTAAAAACCTCCTCCAGCCTCTGGTCAATCCTCTCTACCCATGGCAGTCTGCATATAATCTGTTACTTTCAGAGAAAGACAGAAAAAGATAGGCTGAGGATGTAAAGAATAATGTGGGAAAAGATTGGTATTACTTGTGACTAATAATAAATATGACAAATTTGTATTTGTCATATTCATAATTAGATACCTAATTATTAAAAGGATCACTCCTATTTATTTTGTTACTTAATTTCAAGTAATTCTCTACATTTGTCCCCCTGGAAACTGTTATGTTTAATGCACAAATACAATATATAAATGTACATATGGCGAACTTAACACCTAGGGGCGTTCTCTACCAGTCAACCATAAGGCAAACAGAGAAGTTAGTAAGCGGCGCATTATAGTTTATAAACATATACATAGTAACTTTAAAATAATACATATTATTAGACATACATATTTACATATGACACATAAATAAATATATACACAGATACAAACTTGGATTAAATATTTAGATACAGGAAAATTACCCATATTATTCTTCACTGGTGCCCCAGCAGTAAATACAAATAACATAGGCAAGTACATCATTTCATTATCATCCATAAAAAAAAAACAGTGTATATTTTTAGCCCAGACATGGGCACTATTATAGAATAGTGATTATGGGATCACTCATAAAAATATATACATTTACCTCTAAATTCTCTCTCTCTGGACTAGAGAATTTAAGAGAAATAAGTTTCTGTTCAGCCTTCATAAACTGCCGTGCTGCAGCCAAATACTGTTCTGCTTCACCCAGGTAGTTACCAGCAGATGCCTCACACTTGGCGGCACCTACATATGCATGACCAGCGAATGCGGGCTGCTCGGAATGTTCGCACTGTATTGCTAAGCCTATAAACTCGTTTGTTGCTTCTGTTATGTTAGGTTTCCTCATGAAACGTCTGTAACATTGGTTTAGATATTTACAATTCCCATTTATTACAAACAACATTATCTGAAATAGATAGAGTAGCTTACTTTTTGAGTTTAGCATTTATATTCATGAATTGTTCATTAAAACTTGCATTGAGATCTGTCGACATTATTATAGCTGTTTAGGACTTCTTGCTTATTGATATTTCTATTTTACAATTTCTATATTCTCTTCAAATTTACTTAATGTCTTTAATAAACAAGAGTCGCTTTGGTATATTTAATTTATCATTTAAAAAACTCAAATTATCATGAAATAAACAATGACTGACAACTACGACAACTCATACAGAAACAATATATTGATTGACATATTATTGTTGTTGTCAGTCAGACTTTTCTATTTTTTTAGCAATGCTTGGTTACCAAAAAATATTTTATTCCTAGAAGATGCCATGATTTTACAAAATTTAAATGTGTATTACATTATCAATTATATTAAATTTCATTGAATTACAGTGAGAGTAATTTATGATTTTGTGCCGGTCATCCAGTTACCGCCAACTGTCAAAGTTGTCAACATAAATAAAAAAAACGCAATAGGCAAAAATTATAAATTACTTTGACGTGTACAAACTGTGTGATCTTCCAATATTTTTAATTTACTGAATTTTTCCCTGTTTTTATGAAATGGTTTCATATTAACAGTGGTCAGTTTTATTAATAGCTGGTAGGGGTATCTAAAACGAAATGGATTTCTTGAAAAGCGGCCTCAAAACAGTGCTCGGCGCCCCGGAGCCAGGCCAACAACCTTCGGCTGCCGAAACGGTGACTTTTCAGCTATTTTCTACGTTTTATTACTACTTGACCTATATTTATTATATCCGTATAATCTATGAACGCAATCCTAGCAAAATATCTGGTACCAAAAGCCATGTTTACATCGAATTTGAACCTCCATACTGCAACAACAAATTATTTAACATTTTGTTTTTTTTTTAAATATATTTTAATATTAATACATATGTAAATATTACAATGCCAATGACAATTGACCCGAGTTTAAAATACTTATGTGCTTGTAATATTTTTATCCAGAAATCTATAAAAAAATATTGAAATATTAACTGGCACCTCTCCAAATATATAGTCGGGTCAGTGGGTAGCCATGAAATTATTGTCTTGAAAATTACAGTCAAAACTATTTTGATTATAAGCTAACATATGTAGGGTTGTCCTTGATTTCATACAGATGAAACTGTCTTAATTTTTACGAACAAAGTAAAGAAAACCATAAACTTGGTGTGGTTATATAGCTATCTCTCTAATCACAATATTGACAAAATCACCAACATCATTTGGTGGAAGCCATTCAATATAGGAAGAAGATCCTACATGAGTTCATTTTAGTGAAATGTTATCAACACAAACAATTTAACATTCCTGTAACACAACTCATTACATTACTTTATTTTTTTATATCCTAATCTTGCAATCAGCTTAAGCCTTTAGCAGATTTGCTGCGGGAAAGTTTCTTTATAATTTTTTTTTATTAAAAAAGTAATGCGATATAATATATACATTGCATATCACACGTGCCTAGTGTATTTATGAATAAAGTATTATCCATTACTCCATCATTAGCACCTTCAGCGCCAGACCCTAAGTCACCGTTTTAAAAAAAATATAATAACATTTTTTGTAAAATTACTGATTCCCAGACCATTTTCATTGGAAAATGCAACAGGTCAGGACTTTCATTTGTGTAATAGTCATAATATGTCCAGAGAATGTGTTCCTAAAGGATGCACAGCGCAATTACTAAGTAGAAAGATATTGTATTGTGTATACTTTTGAATACACAGTGTTCCGGACACTGTGTGACAAAAAGATGCACATGGAGCCTAAGGTGTTTAGAAAATCATTTATTGAAATAAACTTAAATTAAGCACTTTTGAATAGTCATAACAATTTTTTTAATCTACCGCTCATTTGGAAACTGTCTCATCACAAGAAACTTGTGTGTTGCACTTTTAAATAATTTTATTCTTGCTTTACATTTTAAGTTTAAGTGTGTGAATGACTTTCTTAAATTTTTCTAGGTTGAAAGATTAGTCGACAGGGTTAATAATTCAACTCTACTTGAGGATAGACGAGATGCATGCAGAGCACTCAAGGCAATGTCACGTAAATATAGGGTAGAGGTTGGAGCCCAAGGCATGGACACTTTGAAACAGGTTTGTACATATATTAATGTATTTAAACTTACCTCTATTAATGAAAGATGAGTAAAAAAATCTATTCTTCAAAAAAACATTCAATTTTATTGCCAGCTTATCTCAATTGGATCTATATATTGAACTGGATGGTAGGAATTAAATTATAATATAATAATAATGTATAATATAAAAATATGTTCACAAATGTCCTACTTACTAACTAATAAATGATTTTTGAATTTCAATTTCTTATCATTCCCTCACTGCTGAGGATAGCAATTCTACACTATCCTGTCTTCCAGCTGTCGCCATCTGTTGCGCTCAAACACCTGGTGTAGTGCAAAATTAGAAACGCTTATAGAACCCAAAATAATGATTGGTGGAATTTTTAACATTGTCTATGCTATTCTCAAAAAACAATGTAATTTGAGTGCGGTTTTCAATATTGTATTATGGTAAACTTCACTTTAAATTTAGGGTTTTACTCCAGTAAGTTATTATTACAAACAAAAAAGTTATATGGGGACAAAGTTGCATGCATATCTATGCTTAATAAGCTATTCACTGTTAATTTGACAGAAAGATATTGTTTCTGCAAAATATTTACATTCTATATAATTTTCTTTTTAGAGGATATATGACTACAGATTATAAATTACGTCAATGGGTTGATAAATTTATAATTAATTGATCTAGATATATGATTTTATGCATAATGATAGTGCGCACATAATGTATAGACTCATATATATGTTTGTATCAGTCTGGGTGTTTTCTATGTATATTATGTATGTAATTACAAAAAAGAAGTATCTAAGTATTTATCAGTTGTCTAGTATCCATAACATAAACTCTGCTTACTGTGGGACTAGATGGCGCTGTGCTAATTGACCAGGGTTATTTATATATTTAAGGATGTTATGGATATGAAATTTCGTATACGGATAGGTTTCGGATATAGCAATGATTATTATACCGGATACGGATGCGGATATGAAATTATTTCGGATATTTTCGGTTACGGATATGAATTGTTTAAGGAATTTCAAAACTTAAAACAAATAACTAATAAAATGGTTACATAACGTGTCTCAATTAGGCTCCGCTCCTATCCGATATTATCCGAAACTTTTATTTCGGATTCGGTTAGGTTTACGGATATTTTATTTATATCGGATATCCGATAGTTTCAGTTAGGGTTACGGAGCTCCTTAACATCGCTGATATTTATACAACTCCTAAGCTGCTTATACAATTATTGCAAACTTTGCGATACCTTTTTAAAATAATGTACAATTTATATAATTACAGGTTCTAGAGCTGGACAGGGCTGACAATGAAACAATAAATTATGCCTTAGACACACTCAACAACATCATGTCACCATCACAATTCGAAGAGGAAGAAGACAACCCTCACATACCCATGAATATTGGTGAACAATTTACAGAAATGTTCATAAAAGACCACCACAATATTCAGCTTGTTTTAGAATTGCTAGACGAATATGATTTTAGAGTTAGACTCTCCGTTGTTCAGTTATTAACTTCATTACTAACAAATAGACCTAAGGATATACAAGAAATAATCTTAGTAAAGCCAATGGGGGTGTCAAAAATGATGGACCTATTAGGTGATACCAGAGAAGTAATACGGAATGAAACGCTTCTGTTATTGATCAAGTTGACGAAAGGAAATGCAAATATACAGAAGATTGTAGCTTTTGAAAACGCCTTTGATAGATTGTTCGAAATAGTGTCGTCTGAAGGTTATTCAGATGGCGGGATAATTGTTGAGGATTGTTTACTGTTAATGTTGAATTTGTTGAAGAATAACAGCAGTAATATATACTTCTTCAAAGAGGGTAGTTATATACAAAAAATGCTACCAATGTTCCATACGCCCGATGAGGCCGAAGACGCCGGCTGGTCGCCCCAAAAAGTGTCAAACGTGCACTGCATGCTCCAAATAGCAAGAACTTTAGTATCGCCGAGTAATTCCGTACAGATTATCTCGTGTTGTCAAAAGATCATGAAGAACGTAGGTTTATTGGATTCACTGTGTAATATTTTGATGGCGAGTGGTGTTCCTGCTGATATATTGACAGAGACGATAAACACTGTGGGGGAGGTCGTTAGGGGGGATGTGACAAACCAGGACTTCTTGGGGAACGTAATGGCGCCATCGAACCCGCCGCGTCCGGCTATCGTAGTACTCCTTATGTCTATGGTCAATGAGAAACAGCCGTTTTCTCTAAGGTTAGTGATATTTTATTATATCCCGCGACTTCGTCCGCGAATCCGGAATTTAACTTGATTTTCCTAAAATGTAACAAATTTTCTAAAATTAAAATGGCCTAAGTTACTCCTTATTACAGCTACCTACCAAAAAATTCCCGTCAAAATCGGTCCAGCCATTTCAGAGATTAGCCGGAACAAACAAACAGACAGACAGACGGACAAAAATTGTAAAAAATGATATTTTGGTGTATGCACCGAATTGATATTCATATGCATGTAGTAAAAAACGGTTACTTCAATATTACAAACAGACACTCCAATTTTATTTATATGTATAGACTAGCAGACCCGACCACGTGTTGCTGTGGCTTGGGTTCTTGAGTAAATTGAGATGTAAGCTATCCTATCTCTCAAGTTGGATCAAAGCACACAATGTGCAAATCAAATTAGCAATCAGTTCAGTAGTCCATCGCGGAAAAACAACGTGACCCGTAATTTTTATATATTTAAATAAGATTTTATTTTCTATTCTGTGTCCGCTTGAAAGCTATATTGCTAAGATATTTAAAAATGAATACCACTTTCCCCTAGTTACGCGTGAACGCGTGGTTCGGTTGGACCGATTTCGCAATTTTTTTTATGTTTATTTTATCAGGAGATGCTTCTTGTGGAAGAAAAAATTAAGAAAGTTGTGCTGATTATTTTTTTATTAATTATACCAATCATCATTATGATCATCAGCCTACTGCAGTCCACTGCTGGATATAGGCCTCTCAAAACACGTCATTGGGCGCGATCTTCAGGCCTTCTCTTCCAATTATTACCTGCAACCCTATGTGACACATAGGTCATTCCACCTAGTTGCGTCTTATACCAATACAAATTAAATATTAATAGTTAACACAGGACAATGTCTGTTGGATCACCTAGTTGCTAATAACTATGATATGGTTACAGGTGTGCAGTACTATATTGTTTCCAATGTTACCTTTACCACAACGAAATGAGTCAAGCCGGACTTGTGCAAACCCTACTGCCATCATCCACCGATGTCTCCAGCCTGACCAGCGGCCAGCTCCTCTGCGGAGGCCTCTTCTCATCAGATGTCCTGTCCAACTGGTTCTCAGCAGTAGCTCTGATGCACGCTCTGACGGAGAATACGGTTCAAAAGGAACAACTCTTGAGGGTTTTATTGGCGACGAATATAGGAAGCTCTCCAGTGTCGTTGCTTCATCAGTGCACATTGTTGCTGCAGCAGACCACGAAGCTTCAGAGTAAGGTTGGTTCTTCACGAAACAGAGAGAAATCTATTTTTAACATGTATTTACGAAAAAATTTTGACTTTCACAATTGAATTTTCAGGTGGCGCTCCTAATGCTCCTATGCCAATGGATGAGCCAATGTCCGCCAGCAGTCAGTGCCTTCCTCAAAGTGCCCGGCGGCGTCGGCTACCTCGTCAACCAGACGTGTTCCAACGAACACGACGAGAATGAGTACCTTCTCCAAGGTCTCTCCGCCTTCCTACTGGCGATCTGCATACACTTCAACGATGACTCCGCCGAGAATTATACGAAGGATTCCTTAAAACAGCTGCTGCTGAAGAGGATCGGTATGGAGACGTTCACGGCCAAGCTGAGTGAGGTTACGAAGCATGAGCTTTATAATAAAGCGGCGAAGCATCCACAGTTGAGGGTAAAGACGCCGCCGGAGATACTCATAGACTACGAGTTTTGCAGGCTCTTCAAAGGTTTGGAAGGTATGTACTTCAATAATGATGTGGAGTCAGTTTATTGTCATCACAAATCATAAGGATGTAGATGATCTTTTTGTCCAAATTTTATAATCGTATCTAATACGTATCTCTGGATCCCTAATTCGTAAAGCGCCTTTTAGTTCCAATCACCTCCATACGATCCCCCGTCCAATTCAAACACATTAAAGTAGTCCAAATATAATAAAATATTGTTTTATTTTCCAGGTGTACTTATTCAAAGCTTAATAGACAAGAAAGAAAATGGTCCTAATGAGCTGAATCATGAACGATCATCTCCTGAGAGTGGTACGTTGGACCAGTACAAGAGCCTGATCAGACAACAGGATGCGAGGCTGCAAGAACTACACTCACAGGTTGAGGAACTTTTACAGCAGAATCAATCATTACAGGTCAGTTTATACTGGTACTAGCTATACGCCCCGGCTTCGACCGGGTGTACATATATTATACATATAAACCTTCCTCTTGAATCACTCTATCTATTTAAAAAAACCGCTTCAAAATCCGTTCAAACAAATCAAAGTCGCAAATCCTACGACTTTGTTTTATACTATGTAATGATATACGGATAGTATAAAAATCATTACAATACACACCACGACACGACAACAATAATGACGCTCTCGATAAACAAATAAATAAATTGCCAGGAAGTGTACAAACACGATGAATGACAGTTACAACATAAACTATAATACATAGGTTATTTACTACTGAGCAATATCTTCACCGCGGCGCTGTGATCCATCTTATCGCATTATGCCGTGATTATAGCCACTATACTATTAATTCAGTAATTGAATCCGTCAATTACATTTGTGTACTAAATTTCATTAAATCCGTCTATTAAAATTTGTGTACTAAATTTCATTAAATCCGTCTATTAAAATTTGTGTACTAAATTTCATTAAATCCGTCTATTAAAATTTGTGTACTAAATTTCATTAAATCCGTCTATTAAAATTTGTGTACTAAAATTCATTAAATCCGTCTATTAAAATTTGTGTACTAAATTTCATTAAATCCGTCTATTAAAATTTGTGTACTAAATTTCATTGAATCTGTTAATTACATTTGTGTGCAAAATGTCATCGAATCCGTGACTTAAAATTTGTGTACTAAATTTCATTGAATCCGTTAATTACATTTGTGTGCTAAATATCATCGAATCCGTGAATTAAAATATGTGTACTAAATTTCATTGATTCCGTAAATTAAAATTTGTGTACTAAATATCATCGAATCCGTCAATTAAAATATGTGTACGAATTTTCATTGAGTCCGTCAATTAAAATGTGTGTACAAAATTTCATCGAAACCGTCAATCAAAATATGTGTACTAAATTTCATAGAAACATTTCTTGGAATCCGTCAATAAAAGTTTTCTTTTAGTTGTTTTATCTCAAGCGGTAAAAACGTTTTTTTTTTTTATTACAGGGTGCTCTAAATGACTCATTAGCATCTAATTCCCATCTTAAAGACGAGAACACATTATTGAAAGCTCAAGTTTCAGCTGCCAAGTCATTGCCAAGTAACCCAGTGCAGGCTCCAAGTCAAGATGATACCAAATTAATAGAATATGAGGAAAGAATCAAACAACTAACAGCTGAGGTAACGCGACTGGATATAGAGTTGAAAATATCACAAGACAGTCAGAAACTTGCCGCTGAGGAGTTGGAGACACTGAGGAAGGATCAGGATGACTTATTGGTGTTGTTCGCAGATCAGGTATGTTGTTACCATTAAGTTAACTAAATAAACTCCAAAATTATGGCATTTAAAGTAAAGTGGACTACCCTTTTAATTGGGCTGTTGGTGTTTTAATACTATGATGGTGGCAAACAAGCATACGGCCCGACTGATGGCAAATGATCACTGTAGCCTATGGACGCCTGAAACACCAGGTGTGTCACGTCCATGTTGTCGATCCTAACGGTGTTAAGTTGGTATTAAAGTAGCCTGCCAAATTATAAAATGAAGTGGTTGCTTCATTTTGTAGTTCGGCAGTAAAGTCAAAACCTATTTGCACATACCAATATTTTGTAAATAAACATTCATTCATTCATTTATTTATTTATTTATCAAAGCTTTGCATTCCATAATATTACAGTAGATAGATACGTATATTTCAAAGTAGGTTAATTATGGACCCTGTTGGGCGGCAAGCGGAAGAGAAGAGAAGAGGACGAGTTATTTTTATATAATTATATAGTATTTATATATATAATAATTGTGGTAAATATTTAATTATTAAAATTGTATAATATTTGATTCAATACGTCATATTTATATTATCTGCAAAATTCCACCTAAATAACCTTCTTAAATTATTATTATTCTAAAAAAAGCATAATTGTATAATATATAAAATGTACATATATTAAATTTTTTGGTGTCATAAAAATTGCTCTTATTAGCCATTCATAAAGTTTATTTTTAGATAAATTACAGTTCATTGTTTTCATAAGATTGTATATAATAAAAAAATAATGAACCCTTATAATATAGTTAATTTGTTCATTACCTGAGTTTTTTTATTCACTCACCAGGAAATAAGTCTATTGAATACACATATTATACATATATTATAATTATTTATTCATCCATATCCTATTTGTTTATATATTTAAACATGTGTGTAGTCTATTGTATTAAATTAGTTAAATTTTCTGCACATTTGCGTCGTGGCTTTTGTCATGGCATAATGCTGAGATGGGCGCCTTACACACAGTTGCTGCTGCTATGAGCATCGTCATTGTTGTGTTGTGATGTGTGATAGTAATAAATATTATTCTATTCTATTCTATTCTAATGTTTTTTTTTATTTAATTAAACTACCATTTCTACTTAATTCCAGGACATGAAGCTGAACGAATATAAAATGCGACTGTTGTCCCTCAATCAAGTGTTGGATGAAGGTCCCATGGAGCCTCCACAAAACTTAACATAGTAGTAAATTTTACATTAGTTTATTTTAAGACCACACCACTCAGACACAGCTAGTATGTTATCAATTTTTGTTATAATATATTCAACTTTTAACGACCTCAGTAGTCTAGTGGTTTAGCACACCGCTTTGCTGTGATTGTCGCGGGTTCTATTCCTCGCGCAGTACAAACATTTGTATTAATAAGTATGATTGTTTGTAACGGTCTGGGTGTTTTCTATTTGTAGTTATTTACAAAAAAATATCTTTGTATTTATAACAGTTGTCTAGTACCCATAATACAAGCTCTGCTTAGTTTGGAATAGATGGCGCTGTGTGAATTGTACTGAGATATTATTAATACTATAACTTTGTTAATGCAGATACCAACGATTTTATAATAAATAAGAAGATATATTTATAGAGTCAGGTGTTACTTTAGAAGTCCATATCATTACTTAATAGATTTATATTATTTTATTTTATTCCGCTACCATTAGCATGTGTGAGACCACAAATGTTCAGTGCATAAACCTGACCACCTCTACTGAAAGTGTTACGAGCTTCTCTATTGGTGATCAAACTCCACCCTTATTGAGTCTACAACCATATTGCAATACGTGTTTCGCCTCTGAACGACTCGTCAGGCATTGATTAGAGTTCAGATGTAGCTTGGAAGCTTAGACTGTAATGTAATAAATTTCATTATTTTTATCTGACTGCAATAGAAAACATGCTGACGACACACCTGATGGTAAGTGGTCACCGTCGCCTATATGCATGAACAGTAACATAATCTTCACGTCATCATGTGATGCCCAGCATCAGACCGGAAGATATGGTGTGACCTACAACAGTAATTTTACTGAATGCAAGTCGTGTTGAGACGGTGTGGTTGATTAGTTATTGTGTACATTGAATATTTATTATATTATTATAATAATATATATTAAAAACCAAATTGTTTTATCTTTCAAATTATATTTTAATTTTATTGACATAAAATGTAAAACTTATCAATTATAAGAGCGCAGTCAGGTCAGAGAGCTTGTGTATATTCATTTATATCGTACTAGCTACCCGACCTTTGTACAGGCAAATATGTAATATACATATATTTAACATACATATATGTAATATACATATAAACCTTCCTCTTGAATCACTATCTATAGCTAAAAACTGCGTTAAAATCCATTGCATAGTTTAAAGAATATAAACAAACAGAGAGGAAACTATTTCATTTTATAAATGTAAAGATTAATATATTGCAATGTCTCAGTATTCTTCTTTCATTGTTACTGGAATATCATGTTATGGAACCTGACAAATAATATCACTTTTGTTCTTTACTAACGTACCGGCAATAAATGAATTTATAAACCCTTATATGTGCTTTATTTAATACTAATGACCCGCGCAATTTCGTGTGCATCACACTTACTTGACTTTACGAGTCATGTCAGCTCGTGATCACTGCTAGTGCAGCCTAGTCGAAATAGAAATAGAAATAATCTTTATTCAAATAAACAAGCACTTTTGAATATTCATATTTTGATTCTACCACTCATTCGGAATGCAGATTCATCACAAGAAGAATCAGCAAGAAACTTGTGTGTTGCTCTTTTTAATAGATGTTTTTTTTTATATAAATAATTACAGTATAACAAGTAAGATGCGATAATCAACATAGAAATCACTACGCACTCATTATTAGTGTAATCAGATAATATTGTCAGTGCTATGGATTTAAAGTTTTTCTATAAAAACATTATTATCGTTAACGAATTCTTCAATTTTATAGTAAGCTTTTTTGCAAAGGAACTGTTTTATTTGACATTTAAATATTTTTTCTGGCAGATTTATAATAGACTCTGATATTTTATTGTAAAACCTTACGCAATTGCCATAAAACGAATTACTAACTTTAGCCAAACGACATTTAGGTAAAATCAGTTTGTTATTGTTACGTAAGCTTTTATTGGTACAATCACTAACTCTTTTGAAACTATATTCTTATTCTTCTAACTATATTCGTCCTGGCATAGATGATGATTTTCATAAATGTATTGAGTCACTCTCGCAATGACCCTCGAAACGTCGAGGGAGGTAAATAAAATACCTTTATTTGCCATAAAATTAGTTATTTAGAAATAGAAATAATCTTTATTCAAATAAACTCATTACAAGCCCTTCTGAACAGTCATATTTTGATTCTACCATTCATTCGTAATGCAGAAATAATGCGAAACTTGTGTGTTGCTCTTTTTAATAGATGTTCGTGTTAAGACCCGGTTAATAATATAAATATATTAAACACGAAAATTTAAAAATAACTAATATCATAAACGCATAAGTTTATCAATATAAATAATTTATGATTAGTAGTAGTAAGTGATTAATACCGAGGACGAGCCACGCTCTCGTTACTTATGATTATTATAAATATATAATAAAAAACATTTTAAAGGTTACACATATTTTATTTCTCCTGACATAAACCATTTTACGATAAGCAATTAAATAATGATCCTATCTAACACTGAGGTACCTATTCAGACAATAAATAACAGTCTCACAATAATATATGATAATTCAGAACTTCATACGTTAGTCAAATCAAATCTAATATTGCAATTCAGTAAAAAAAAAATAAACTATAATACACCAGGAACCAATTTCTTAAATAAATACTATTCAATATATACAGGACCGGATTGATCATTAGGCAGACTAGGTGACAGCCTACGGTTCCCGTGTGGGCGCAAAAATTTAAATAATCCTTAAGAGTTAAAATTTTATTTAAAAAATTGAATGAGGGTGGGGATAGTGAATAAAAAGTGCACTATAAGCCGAATATTCCTATATGAATAATTATTTCATTTCTATTCTGACAATAGGTCCTGAATTGAAAGTATGACTGCCCTAGCAGTGCCCGCAGACTAAAGTCGTATCAGTCAGGCGGGAGTTGTTCATCCGCTTCATAAATCCTTCCACGGCTTTGGAGTACCCTCATAACTAGACCCCACGTTCTATGAGGCTGTAAAGACAAACTACGGCCAACAGTATTAAAAAAAAAAAAAAAATGTTTTTTCGACAAAAAACTTACAGTATTAAAATCACCTAGTGTCAAAAAATAGTATTAATAATATAGATGGGTTAAGAAGTGTATTTTTCGTATTTTCAGGATAAACTAAACTTATGTTTCTAGACCGTTTTTTTAACATATTTTTTTTAACAATGACATGGTCAATCCGGCCCTGAATAAATAAAAACATGATAATGAACGAAATGTCATTTTTTTTATTAATAAATAATTATTAGTAATTGTAGTTTAATTATCCATATACAGTAGAAATCGGATGTAACGACACCGTTTACGACTGATCAGTTTTTACTACACAATAAATCATAGTAATTATGTACACTAGCAGTAACCCGCAGAACTGCTTGCGTTGTATGCAGCCTACGTTACTTGCTGATTTTCCCTTCTATAGGACTCAAATTTTGACATCGACCAAATATTTTTCAGTTTAGTTAATAAAAAAAATAATAACCCCACTTTATAATGTTAATACAGTCGCAATTGAACAAACACTTGTACACGCTACAGAGAATCTTTATTGGAGTTGTTTTGAAGCCGAAGAAACGGCCGCTCTCACAATGCTGGAATGCGTAGCAGTGGCCACACAATGCACACAAATCATCGGAACGGAGAGGTCGCTCCGTGAAACCTGTGAAGACACGAGGAGGCATCTGCGATTGTGGGAGGAGCTTGCCTGACTACTTTAATAGTCTCGGCTTTATATGCATAGGCTATAGGCGGAAAATAGGGTCCTATATTGTATTGTACAATATTGTATAGACACATGTATACATATAACAACTATGGGATATATCGTCCAAATATTGTGGTTCCTTAAATGTTGTCATATCCGGTATCTACTGCCACAAATATAATTTAAAAGTTAAAACATTGTGCATCTACAGACATATTGTTAATTTAAGGTTTACAACATGAATATTCTTATCCTGGCTCCTGTAGGACCAGTCTAGTGAATGAAATAACGGCATTTCTATTACAACATTTAGTTAAGGGCCATATATATATTATGTCACAATAATACCATTATACTTTATCCCTCACTCGTTCTTGTCACGCCTGGTCACATTTGTGAGACTCCGCCTTATTGGTGACGAGACATCTTTTACAATTTGACATTGAATGTAAAAACGTCAATAAAACTTAAACCTTATGATCATATAGATAAAGTTGTAAATAATTTTAATTTCATCGTTAATAAGTCAAATTTCGTGTTTTAATACTTAAGTAATATTCGTTACAATATATTAGACTTTCTAATGTGACGTCACGAAATTTAGGGCCTACCCACATTTTCGATTCCTTCTTTCCTCTTCAACCTGTGACTTGATATATGAATGGCCCCTTATGACAACAAATACATTATTAATACTTGTAGAAAATTTAAGGTAGATAGATACAGTGATCTAATGGAATTAATTAGTACAATTACTTATGCTATAAGACGCCTCACCTCTCCTGAATTTCAGAATGACAGAGCAAATGTGAATTGGTACACTTATTTAGATAACGAGAAATGAGCTTATAAGTACATCACAAGATACGTGTAAGGATAGGCCATTAACACACGAGTCTCTCTGTCTACACTGCCAAAGGACCCGGCGTGAAGATAGTATTATATTTACAAATGACTAATACATCATACATATATGATGTCGAAGAACATATAAACTCATAATATATACATTAAATTTAAAAATATAAATTCCATAAAGAAAACTCTAATTAGGAATTTAGCTAATAATACAGTCTGTGCCCATCTAGAAGAGAAGGCGTGTGTACAAGACACAATCGTACATAACAATCTTATATATACATAAACATCAAAGGTGACTTGAGCTTACACGCTCTGACCTAAACGTAGGTGATGTCAAAAATTTATAACATTTATTAATAATTCAATTACAATATATAACGATAACTTTAGTTATCATAAAACTTATTCTAATGTACATAATATACTTTGAAGTACATTTATAAATCGTCGAAATGTTTCTGAAGTACAATAGGAAGAAATTAAGATATCAATTTATTAATTTAGAGAAACTATTGTTTTAAGTATCTTTATATATATATATATAATTTAATTTCAGAAATATATTTATATATATTATCATATAATGGCCTTTATGAAATCTATTTCGCAATAGAATGAAAAAAAATATATATTATAAACTTTTCAAAGGTGCTTATAAGTTTATTTGAATAAAAGCATAAATAAATAAAGTATATTTCTGAATACTAATATACCGTGCCATACCCTGAAATTTCAGTGCCGTACAAATTCAATATATAAAAAAAACTAAAATATAAATACAGTTTACATTGTGTATTTAGAATATTAATTTCATTCATATACAACATTGAAGTTTTAATTTTATAATATACAGAGTATGGCACTTTAGAATATATAATCCAATATATATGACAACCGATAATCATTATAATCAAATTCATCACCAACACCTTCACAATATTACCGTTACCACACTACTACAGACTTCATATCGTCTTTCATTCTGGAATGGACCAAATTCTTAATATTTATTTTTAGAGGAAGCATATCATGAGATACATCTATAGATAATTCTATCTCCTAAATATTTTTTTTAATCCTTACTAATATTATAAATGCGAAAGTAACTCTGTCTGTCTGTCTGTCTGTCTGTCTCGCTTTCACGCCAAAACTACTGAACTGATTTAAATGAAATTTGGTACCCATATAGTCTAGACGCCGAGGAAGGACATAGGCTACTTTTTAATGCGAAAAAAGGGTTGTAAGGGGTTGAAAATGGTAATGCAAGGTTATCTTTATGCGGTTGAATACACACTTATTATAATAATGGCTTAACTAAAAAATTAGATATTTTGGAAAGTCTACTTTATAATTGTGTTATTAAGTCTATTTTCAAAAATTTTTAATTTCTGAATTACACCAGTATAGTACTAGATATGCGACTTATTAACGCTCATATGTCATAAATAAACATATATGGCATTTGTATAAGCAGCGCGCGCAACTGATTATTGTCAATCCGTTGTCTCCTTATGAATTTAAATGAATAAACGTTTGCTCTGCAATTTTATTTTATAAATACATAAATATAATCCTGGTATAGCCTATATCTGATGACCCTGCTCTTGGACAAGAGCGTAAGAACATATTATTAATAGGGTTAGATTATTAATATATATTTTTTATTATTTGCTCAAGGTCACTATTTTACGCGGACGAAGTCGCGGGTACAGCTAGTATAACATAATTTAAAAAAAAATATTTAGGAGATAGCTTTGGATGCAAGTATTTTTTAGCCCAACTTAAAGTATTTAATATTACTATAATTATTATACAATCACATTTGAAGACATGTCAGTCATTCGGATCAAACGTCAATCCAAACTGACAGTAGATATGACTTAACATATGTCTCTAATAGACCTACAACTTTGAGATGTTAGTAGCCCCGCCTCTACACGCAAAACGATCCAAATGGCAAGCTAAATGCGGTGAACAGAGTCCAATTTACATTACAATCCATTAGATCTACATGGATTCAGATATTTTGATTACAATTAGTACCTGAGAGGTAACTGACTAGTGTATTTACATTGACGTATTATACAAAGCAAAATATATTAATAAATACTAGTAGAGTGGCATAGACCATCAGCATGTCGTTAAATGATGTAGACATACTTCCACTTGTCATCATCATTATCATCTTCAGCATCATTATCATCATCAACATCACTTCCACTTATATAAGAACTTAATAAAAAATAGCACAGTTTCATTACACGCATTGTACAGGCATCAGATATTACAAGTGCCTGATATATTAACAATAACAACTAAAGACAATCCACACAGCGCCATCTAGTCCTAAGCTACGCAGAGCTTGCGGTATGGGTACTAGACAACTAATAGAAATACTTAAATACATTTTTTGCAAATACATATATATCATATATTGAAAATTCTCAGATCGATACAAACAATCATAATAGTGATTAATGTTCTTTATTTGTATTACGAATAAAGATTTTCAATCATGAATACAAATGTTTGTATCGAGCGAGGAATAAACCTGCGACCATCGGAAGTACACACACACTAATAAAAACTACGATATATAATTGCTACCAAATTATCTACCTTACTTTCTACATGGTATGATCGAATTTCGTAACTCTAACCTAATTTTTATTACACAACAATATTTGTATTACATACAAATATTAAATTTTGTGCAAATTAGCCTTAAATACAGCTGCTCCAGCTTCAGTCATACGATTATGCTAAAACAGACATCATCTCCCAACTTTAGAATGACTGGGAGACAATCTGAATGGGTACTTATCTAAAAATGTCCATAACAAGAAATGAGCTTATAAGTACATCACAAGATACGTGTAAGGATGAGGCCATAACACACGAGTCTCTCTGTCTACACTGCCAAAGGACCCGGCGTGAAGATAGTATTATATTTACAAGTGACTTATACATACATACATGATATCGTTCATAAACATTTAAATTTAATATACTATATACATTGAATACGTAACTTTAGTAATATGCTGTGATTGGTACAATTTTTTATTTTTTTATTGGGGGGTTTGGGCTGTTGTATTGTCTATTGTCATCGTTCCGAACATACGATATTGAAACCTTCAAGAAAAGAGCGTATTCCTTTTTAAAAGGCCGGCAACGTAATTGCAATTCCCCGGTGTTGCGACCTCATGGGCGGCGGTAATCACTTACCATCAAGTGAGCCGCATGCTCGTTTGTTCCCTGTGTATGTATGTAGATCTTTGTGCTCGTCCTTATGCAAGTTCGCTATCTAGACCCGTGAGGGACAAAAATTGAAGGATTGATAGGTACTATTGTAATATGTAAGTATAGTAAGTACTATAAGGGATCCATGGGTTTAGAACCTAAATAAAGACCTATTTACATGCAGTGAAGAAATTTTCGACCGATTTTTTTTCTTAATACTACCAAGACAATATTCCTTTAATAAAGTAATATATACTAGGTTTGTTACTGGTGTAACATGTTGAGCGGAGCGCGTTTCTTAAAAACTTGATATTGACCGAATTTTTTTGAGTGGTAAACGATGGAGGCCTAAACGTCGACCTTCTATGAAATTTTGGTCTCGATCGATCAAGCGGTTTATGAGGAGTATATTTACAAAGAGTCCAAATCTGATCTCTAAAATCGTTTCGCGCTCCGTTCAACTAACAATGCTTTAACACATTAAAGACCGCATGCCCACAGGTGGGACAGTAACAGATAACGAAAGTAAATTTACACGTTGAGACCGGGTGATCACTCGTTGGCATTGAAATAAATTTAGGAGTCAAGTAATGTCTACATCAAATTATTGTACACTAAAAACTTATTTAAAAAATAAAATACATAAAAAAACAATGTGAGAAATAATATTTTTCAACGCGGTTTTCAATCTGTTAAAGCAAAAAGTGCAGATAATTTGGTAGCACCTTATACACAAAGACATAAAGATTAAATTACATCGATGATTCTATGTACAAGCTAAGGAACATAATCTCAAGCGGCTTAATAGAATATCTGCAACAGTTTATACTTATAGAGGAATCCGAGTATATAATGTCTGAATACAAACACGCGGAGTCCTAGCGTTAACAACTTAGTACACACCACATAAAGGTAGTATATCCACTGAGTTATCTCAAAGTCTATGAGGATATACAGGGGAGCCGTTAGCTAGGGAAACGAGAAATAAAGGCCCACGCACATCAGGACGCCGAGGATCAGGAACACCATGACCAGGATGAACCGGTCCTGCAGTGCCCGAATTATCATCGAGTTCATGAGCCGCGACGATCGGTTCAGCTGTTCATCGGTCTCGCGCAACTGAAAATAATAAATAATTAAAATTATAATAAATAATTGCTCAATTAAATTTATTAAATTACCACCGCTATACTTCCGATGGTTGCGGGTTCGATTTCTTGTACGGTGTAAACATTTGTATTCTATTAAACATGAGTATAGCTGCTGGTGTTTCTATGTATGTATAATAAAGCGAATGAACTACTGTACATAAATTTAAATTTAAATCATATCCACAATTGTACAAGCGTTCCCCAGGTAAAACATTTCGTGAGGTAATGTTGTTGCGGAGTGACCCACCGGTGGGCATGCGATTTTTATCGTGTTAAACACAAGAAACTAAACTAAACTAACTAAACTAAAACTAATAATAATAATAATAATCTCAGGACAATTCACACAGCAGCATCTAGACCCAAGTTAAGCTAGGTAAAGCTTGTGTTATGGGTACTAGATAACTGATACATATACATAGATATTTTTTTTGTAAATAAATACATACTATACATAGAAAACACCCAGACCGATATAAACAATCATACTCATGAATACAAATGTTTGTGCCGTGCGAGGAATCGAACCCGCGACCACCGAGGTTGTCATACTAAAGCATTTTTTTTTATTTACCTGAATATGAGGCGAATATTTGTACCTAAATGTTCGTCTCAAATTCAGGAGGCATGCAAATTACTATTCTTAGACAATTCAAGTCAATTTCAAGTTAATTGTCGCAAAGAGTATCAGCATTTTTTAACATTGGTGTAATTCTTTTTTAAATCTATTTAACGGCATTGAAACTTACCCGTCCTCTAGATCGTTGTATAGTTTCCCTTTGCACACTTAAGTCCTGCAGCACAGCAGCTCCAATCTGTTCCGTCTCGAGCACCACTCGGTACCCCTCTGTTAAATTCTTGCCGCTGCGCTCCAGTCTCTCGGTGTTGTCGAGCAGTTTCCTGTGCTGCTCATTTACGCCACTCCAATCGTCATATATGTCTTCCGACTCCATATTGTCTAAAAAATTAATATTATATTAATAGGATCATCATCATCATCATCGCAGCCCGGAAGACGTGCACTGCTGGACATAGGCCTCCCCCAAAGATCTCCACGACTATCGGTCCTGCGCTGCTTGCGTCCAATGCCTTCCAGCGATCTTGACCAGATCGTCGGAAGGTTTAATAGGATAGTTTTATGTTATCACCTCACCACTGTAGTGTTATATACTATGTGATGATTCCTGTAGTGGTTTTTTTTTTCTAAATACAATTTTCCACAGACATATACGTCCGTGCCTTTTTTTTTATTTACTTTAATATTATTATATTTCTTTAATTTCCACTTTTGTACAACTCCAGCCGAGATGTTACAATTTCCCTAACAGTGACACCGAGGCAGACCTTATCCGTATGGCCCAGAATCACCGCTGGCCGGCCGGGTGAGTTGACAACATGCAGTGTCACCTATCTTTATTTGGAGCCTGTTACATTTACCCTGTATATGAATACAGGGGGAAAGGAGATTGTTAGTAATGTGGACTCATGACCCCATTGCTAGCAATGTAGAATAGAATAGAATAGAATAGAAAATCATTTATTCAAATAAACTTAATTTAAGCACTTTTGAATAGTCAACATTTTTTTTTAATCTACCGCTTATTCGGAAAGCTGTCTCATCACAAGAAGACTAAGCAAGAAACTTGTGTGTTACTCTTTTAAACAATCCTTGTAAGTTCACATTTTACAAGTCGAAACGTGTGAATACAAACTACCAACCAGCACTAATTTATTTAGGATCAAATATAAAAACACAATAAGATTAAATCAGTCGTAGTGATAAGAGCAGACCAGTCCCTACAAGCAGCACTCGTTCACGAGTATGACGGATGAGCTAGCCATCACTGCGCTCGACCATATTTTAGGGAGCCCAATGACCCGGCCCACCACGCCGCCACATGTCTGGACATTTTAGTGAGCATGACTACTCATTCCACAATGTTCCATGTCAGGTCGACCTCCACGCGGTTCCCCCTGGAAACCATCGTGATAAATTCCCGGTGAATTTGTCACGATGGGCTAACTGATCTGACTTCATGTTCATCTTATCATCCTCCACTGGTGCTCCATCAGCGTAAACCGTTAGCGCAGGCGAACGCTCCATTCCATTATCATCCATAAAAAAAAATATGCATATACAATTATATAAATCCTACACTACTAATATACTACTAATACTACTAATCATATTTACTGAGCAAAGCCTATTACTCACTAAACGATTACTTGAATGACGAGTGTGCATGGCAATAGTTGTTCATGCACTGAATTTTCATTTAATGTTAGACATAGACACCTATATAAAAAAACATTGTAAATAAACTGGCTTTAAAAAAAAAAAGTAACTCAATTGAGTTTCTTGCCAGTTCTTCTCAATTGGATATATATATTGAACTGTGGGCTAATTATGTAACACGATATGAAATTGTTTCTGTTGAAGTTGTGATGCAATATGAAATCATTTCAATTTAAAAAATGCGATCAAGTAAGGTCGAATGACCGCAACATAAATCATTTCTATCGATAAAACACTACTATGAAGTTGCAGCGGAATATTTTTAATCCGACCAATTTAAAAAGTCAGTACATTAGATAGCTTATACCTTTAGAGGGATACATTTTAATTTATTGGGTTGTTACACTAGTTGGTTGATTTGAAACAATTTTTATTGCGTTCAAAAATTACAAAATATACTGCAGCGTTCACTTGTTCTTTTATTTTAATTTTATTAATAGACATTTAATAAAATAAAATAAAGAAAGTCTATTCTATTCTAATGAAAAAATAAGGTTAATAATTTTGAATATAAAAGCATATTTTATACAAACTATTTATAATCATTATTAATATTAATCTAACCTACAAATTAAATTTTCTTTTCTGCTATAGATACCTAGGTACCTAATTTTATATTAAACATTTACTCTAGTTAATACAACATTCTATGTGATTTGGGACGAAAATAAAATATCGAATTGGCAACACTGATGTCATGTTGTGAGTCGTGACAATTTTCCCATTTTAATAAATTTAAAACCTTTTCACGACTTTCTACGTAATATTTAATATAATAAAAATATATGTAATACTGAAAATTACCAAAACAAGATAAATAATGCTGCTAATGCTGATATTTTAAAGATTGTAACCAAAAGAAACACCTTCTAAATTGTTTCTCATAATGTAAAAACCGTTTCAATTCCACGCTGTCATTTCGGCAAAATAGCGATTACGTGACGTTGCAACGAGGTTACTAAATCGACATTCGATAGAAATAATTTTTATCGATATGTAAAGTTGCGTTTACGTTGCAATGCTAGTTGACAGCGTCAAATGGCGTCAATATGATCGCATTATTGACAGATGACGTCATTTTCACTACGTTACATACGAAAATCGTTGCGAACGAAGTTACATAATTAGCCCACTGGACGGTAGGGAAAAACAAAAATTATAATGTAAAAATTTGACGTTCATAAGCGGCTAAAATGTCCTACATGAATAAATGATTTTTGAATTTGAATTTAATAGTGTCTATAGTAATAGTCCTGTAGTGGTTCCTGACGTTCTAAAACTTAAACACACTGCTTTACGCGCACCGGGTTTGATTCCTAGCGCGGCACAAACATTTGTGTTCATGAGTATGATTGTTTGTATCGATCTGGGTGTTTTCTATGTATATTATGTATGTATTTACAAAAATATCTAAGTATGTATTCATTTAAGTTGTCTGGTACCCATAACTCGTAATCTTGTAACTCGATCCGTACTACTATTTTCGCATCTCAAATGATAAATATTTAAAATTTAGGATTGTTGATGAAGTGAAATGTACTGATTAATTAATATGACCATTATCCAAAAGTCCAATATTTTTAGTAGACTTTTTGCCACTAACTGTATACAAGAAAGAAGAAAAATATTATTAAACATTTTTCACAATCATTTAAAATACTACACATATAATATATATATATAAAGGAGCCATTTATAATCATAGTACACGTTGTAGATTACAAATAAAGACTCGGGAACGAGTGAGCGGTTAGATCGTTCACTCACTTCCTCCTTCTAAAATCAAAATAAAAAAAAAATTATGTAGGACATTATAACCGCTTGTGAACAACAAAAAACGATTGATAGAAGATCATAGAAGGCGAAACCTCCACAGACAAGAGCACACACACACACGCTCTTAAATTATGAATGAATGAAATGAACATCAAGTTTCTTTTATATTTATATTTTTTTCCATACCATCTGTCTAGTTCAATGTAAATGCAAAGTGTGTTAGTAGGTCCATCGAAAACTATATTATTTATTTATCTATTTAGTAATCTATGAAATGTGTACAAAAAGACAACTGCTTACATGATGCAGAATTGCTGATGACTAAGCGGTATTCATCGCGGACACGCTGCAGCTCGGCGCGGTAGGCACCCACGCGCGATCCGGCACCTGCGCCGCGGGACTCCAGCTCCAGTTGTTCTAACTGGAACACAAAATTAGTCGTGTTAAGACTCGCTGTCGTTGTCTGTCCGTCCCTATGTATGCTTAAATCTTTATTTATTTATTTTTATTTATTTATTCATTTATTTCAGGCAACTAGGCCCATATTATAAATACCTTATAGACTAACATACATATAATATAATATTTAAAAACAAATACAATAATATTGTCTGTGTGATCACGGCACTGAAGACGGCAATCTGCCACGGTAGCGTCGATACACCACACCTTTCGGCCAGTAGTCCTCTTTCATGAAGGTGGGCAGCAAGTCGGTGGGGACCAGGGCCACAAACGCTTTGAAACTCGCGTTGTGACTCGACTTCAGTTGCGTCACCCTCAATGTCAGGTTACTCTTGGTACGAATATAATCGACAATGTCCTGCTACTTAGTAGCGTAATGTAGACGGGACAGGTACATTGTCGTGGTCGGTGTAGCAGCACGCAGCAGAAAGTTGGGCCCAGTGAGTGCAGTGCCACAATGATTCCTATTGACCCTGTTTGTGCGCCTCTTCTTTTGTACCACGACGAAGCCATCATCGTCGCGGTTGCCAGTGGCAGCACACGTAGGGTCAATGTTCAGTGCCGTTTTTGGCACACGCCGCTGTACTGAAGCAGCCGGTTTGCTAGCGACGACGGCGGCAAAATCTCGACTTATAACTATAACGCAACGGATTTTGATGCGGTTTTTTTAATAGATAGTGATTCAAGAGGAAGGTTTATATGTATAATTCATGTACACCCGGGCGAAGCCGGGGTGAGTAGCTAGTTACTATATAATTAAAAAAACTAAGTCTTTATTTAGATAATAGAACCCTTACTAAGTTCCATTCAGTTGTTGCAGCCTCCTTTTAAGCATAAAAATGCTTGTGCCAGGATGCTCCACTCTTCTATAATATACAGTCAGTTAACTAAATATTTATTTATTTATTCTATATTGCACTATAAAGAGTGTACAAGCAAATATTTCTAATTTATTATATTATATTTTCTTTCAAATTCTTTTTGTGTTTGTCTGTGTGTGTGTGTGTATTTAATCCTGCACAACAGATTTTAGAACATAAATAATAATGATACGGAAGTGATAATAATGATACAGAATGAAATGTGAGTTATGTTTCATTATAATTTAATGTTTATTTAATCTTAGTATAAATACATTATTACACTCAGGACCCTGCCCAAGTCACACATTACCATCTAGTCCCAATCTAAGTAGAGTTTGTATTATCGGTACTATATAACTGATAGTTCTCTCTAGTAAAGTAGTAGTAGTAGTTCTAGATAGATTCTATGAATAGAGTCAGATATTTATATAACTTTAATGTGCATAATACAGTCTGTATTATATGCATTAAAGTTATATAAATAAGTACTTATACAATATAAATATGTACTTTTACATCTGTATTATACAGATGTAAAAGTACATAGGGCAGACCTAGAACACCTAGTTGCATGGCATATAATAGTATATTTCTTCTAAATGTATAGTAATGAGTTATAATCAGGTAATTGTTCCTGCAGTAAAAGTGTGATGTGCGTTTTACTGTGAAATTGAAATAGAAATAATCTTTATTCAAATAAACTTAATATAAGCACTTTTGAATAGTCAAGTTTTTTTATTCTACCGCTTATTCAGAATGCAGATTCATCACAAGAAGAATAAGCAAGAAACTTGTGTGTTGCTATTTTATATTTAATTAACAACAAGGATTAGGCATACGACAATCAACATAGAAACCAATGTAACAACATAGAAAATGTGAAAATATGCAAACTTACCAAATCATTAGCTTCATCAAAATTAGCTTGAATTTCTCTCGTCAACTGATCTCGGTTATCTGAAGTTACAATATAATTAGTATATTGTTTAAAAATACTATAAATACGAAAGTAACTGTCCATCCATTAGTCTGTCTCACTTACATGCCAAAAATACTGAACCGATTTAGATGAAATTTGGTACACAGATAGTCTAAACCTTCAGACCTACCTTGAGGAAATAGGTTACTTTTTAATGTGATAAAAGGGTTGAAAGGGGTAATGAAAGTTTGTATGGAAGTAAGGAAGTTTTGAAAGCAAGAAGATTGAATCTTATTTTTAGGCTATTGATTGAAAATAAATAAAGAAAAAGGGTTGTAAAGGGTTGATTAAATATAAATTAAACAAAAAGTTAGAAGGGGTTGAAAGGTTATATGGATATACATCATTTTTAAAGCTAGAAGCTAGAAAGTTATATTTTAGGCTGTTGATTAAATATAAATAAAGAATAAATTTATAAGGGGTTGAAATGGTAGATGAAAGGTTGTAGGGAATTATCGTCATTTATAAAGCTAGAAGCTTGAAACTTGGTTTTTAGGCGGTTGGTTAAATATACATAAGTATAAATTGTTTTATTGCTTCCTGTACTTAGAAGACATGAGCAAAGTACTATTGAAGGACATTATTTGGGAACTCAAAATAATTATTGATAGAAATTGTGTTTGTTTGTCTATTACTCTCTGCGTTTGTGCGCGATAATCTCAGAAAAGCCTTAACCGATTTGGGTGCGGTTTTAACTAATTATATATGATAAACTTTTAAAATTTATTGTTTGTTTGATTCTGATCGGTTTTTAACAAAAAAATTATACGACAACGAAATCTACGGGCTAGTATAGTTAATATAATAGGTAATAAATAATATTCACCGTCATTTCCCAATTTCAAGCGTCCAATCTTAGCTGTAATATCAGCTGTAAGCACTGAATATTGTTGTTCATAAGATTGAATTAAGGTGGCCATCTTTTAATTTTTATTTAGATCATAATAAGCACAAAACAAAATTATTACGTTCTGATTTAATGCAATATGAAAATTGCAAAATTTAATAGGAATCTTTTTTCAATATCAAAGAATTGATTGAAGACTAATCAATTAAACGATTGCATGTAATAATATGACAGTAAATTGTCTACAGCACAGAGCAATGCGCACAGATTAGAAAACACTATCTCTATGACCACGAATTGATATACATACCATAGATAAATACAAAACTATTGCTAAGCTTGAGTCTATCCAAAGTCATAAAATTGTAATTTAAAAAACACCCAACTAATTTTTCAGCTTTGTTTTCAATTTCATTTGCCTATTTCAATCACAGTTTTTATACCTTAGTTTTATTATTTAAATATATACGTATCGAAACTGAAATGCTCAGATAGAGCATATATGTAGAAAATTCTGAAAACATGAATTTTAAGTCTAATAGCTAACATAGTATAGGGTAAGTATTCGTTTAATTACTATAGAATAGTACATTTTTTTATTTAAACTATGTAAAACGTTTATTCACTTTATTAGGGTAAGATTTTTTACGTTCGTAATGTATAAGAACTACGTGTTTACTTATTACTTAACTATTTTGAAACTTTCCTATAAAAGTACATTGTTTGAGGTCTCATTTGAATAAACAATGACTGTTTATTCACACAAAGTTATGTGCATGCAGATATGCTCATGCGAGCGTAGTTTTCACTTTTCTCAAGTTATAAGTTCTGTTTTTGACGCATTATTTGTTCGTAAGGTAAATATGTTTATTTATGTTATTTAGAAAACATACATTATTGTGTATCTTATACTCAATCTGCATACTTTATGCATAATATATTTATAAACTGCAAATATTAAACAATAAAAAATAATAACAAATAAAAATTGTTAATTGTAAATAAATATTTTGTAACCAGATGTATTTGTATTTTTACTTCAACAATAATTATATTTTATTTGTATTATATTTCAGAACCATGCATCGCAATTACGATGAAGATTCAGGTCGTAGTTCCTGTTCCGCTGCCTCCATTGGTCTCAGTCCTATTATGGACTACCACAACATAAAATCTGATGAAGCATTAGACAAGGTCAAAAGACGACATCACTCCAAGGAGGTTACTAACGCAAATATAGATTTAAAAGTAAGTACTCGTCCGAGGAGCTGTGTTGCTCTCCTAAAATCACCTGATGAAAAGGATCCATTTCCAAGTTGTAGACTCAATAGAAACAGAAATGTCATGTTTAACTATGGCGACACTATTAGAAGAGGAGGACTAAGCAATGCTCATTCTACATTAGAAATAGCTTGTAGTACACAGATTGAGGAGCCTCAGATAACAAACAATGCTGTATCAATGGTGGCGATAAGCGCTGGAGAAAAACTAGGAAGGGCAAACCCAAATACAAACCTTAATTTCAGTTCAAATTGCAGAAGAGGAAAACCAGTTCAGAGAGCTGCTTCAAGACTCTATAAAGCTGATTGTGGATTTAAAGGCAAGGAATCTTATATTGGACCTGAGTTCATTGTAAGAGCATCTCAGCCTGTGAAACACATGGATCTAACTCTGTCTGCACTAACTGAAAAGAGAATGATCACAGTTGTCTTACTAAATGGACAAAGAGTAGAAGTTATATGCGATCCAAATGTAATAACAGCAGGACAGCTTTTTGAAGGTCTAGTTCACAGTGAAAAATATGAACACAACTTTATGTTAGGTGTTGCAGTTTTAGTTGGAGGTGATTTTATATTTTTGCCAGATGATTACAAAATCAAAAAGATTGCTCCAGAAAATTGGCATAAAAATAGTAATAAAAAAAATAAATCAACAGATGATAATAATTCTGTGACAGTTTTCTTAAGAATTAAATTCTTTTTACCTAAAAATATTGCCAATAATATACAAAGCGGAGAATGGGTGTATAGAGTTTATTTACAATTAAGAAGAGCAACAGTAGAAGGCCAAATGACATCAACAATCCAGAATCTAATTTTACTAGCAGGATATGCATTGCACATTGAATTTGGAGAATTTTCATATCGTGAACATGGTACTGCTGATTATTTTTTGTTAGAGCATTATTTACCAGAGAGTATAATTACAAATGACATGGCAGACGTCAAGTTGCGAATGAAACGAGCTCATGAATCGAGACATGGCCTAGACAGGAATAAAGCAATATCAAATTATATAACATTAGCACAAACATTCCGTGATTATGGTGCTCATTTTTACTCTGCCATTTGGGCCACAAGAGATGGTTTCTGTAGAGATGTTTGGCTTTCTATTGGTCCAAGGGGTGTCACACTCTATTCTAGAAATAACCAGAGTACTGGATCGCCAGGAAGCAGCATTGATCGTATTGTCTTGCAAAGCTTACCATGGCATCATATACATACTTTTTATTACAATAAAAAGAATTTGTATATAATACCCAATTCATATTCAGGATTATCAAAAATTGGTGTAAAATATAAGTTAAAAATGACAGACAATAAAAGTTACTTTTCTTTTTGGCTAGCCTCCTTACACCACCGATTGTATCTGAAACTATATGCAAAGGATGACTTTATTACTTACTTATCAGGTGAGAATTATCATTTAAGTAAAGATGAAAGTCCAAAAACAACAGAATGTAGTAACTATCAAGATAGCTATAATTTAGCTGTTAGAAATCCCATTAGAGCCAGAAGACCGGTAAGAAGAAGATTTAAAATGGATATATTTGGTGAAAAAAGAGCCCATAATAAAGAAAACGAAAAGCCAAACACAGAAGAATTGTTAAGACAAATACTTTCACAGCAGAATGAAAATAGCATGCTTAACTCTTCAAATCAACATATACCAGGCAATTCTTCTAATGATGGATTGTCATCATCAGAAAGCTGTAGTTTACCTAGAAGACAAGGTGTAAAAATGGGTACAAGGGTTTTTAATGGCATGAAATCTGGTGCAACTAATAGGTACTCTAGATCACCAATAAATAAATCTGATTATTGCACTCGGTCTGATTGTGAACTAGCTACAACTCAAAGTGATTCAGATGATTTAAATTCAGAGCAGAGGCAACATTGCAATGTTGATAGTATGAAATTATTACCAGAGCGACATTATAGTCAAGGTGCTACAAATTTACCAACTGCCTATGTTTTAGAATCTCCAAAAGTATACTCAGAAGCTTTTAATTATAATGGTGCTATTAATGAATCTTGTTTGAATACATCTTTATTTGAAAAGTTGGATAATATGGGTTGTGTACAAGGAGAAAGAGTATTTGTCACAGCAATATTAGAAAGGGATGAAATGAATGCCTTAGGTTTACAAGTAGCTGAAGGTTCAGATGGTAATGTTTATATAAAATCTATAACACCAGAAAGTGCTGCAGATTTCTGCAAGAAACTTTTACCTGGTGATCAAATTATATCAGTGAATGGAAAGACTTTACTTAATGTTAAATATGAACAAGCTTTAAAAATGTTGCAGTCAGCTCCACATAAGGTGGAACTTATAGTTTTACAAAATGCAAACAAGAATATTAATGTTGAACATCAATTGCATATGGCAAATAACTTTGAGGTATCAAATCAACCAAAATTGTCAAATCATAAGAATATAAGTCAAAGTATTGCAAGTGCAATAGATGTAGAGATTACTGATGACGAATTACTAAATGAGGAAGCTCTAAAGACTGTGTACGCTCTTATTAAATTGACGAAGGAAAAAGTTATCAAAAGAATGAAAGACAATAGCAAACAAAACACTCCAAATAGAAGCAATATGCAAAAATGTTATTCAGAAAATAGAGTATACGAGGAATCAGACATGGGAGGCTCTTCTCGAGAAGCCACGCCTCTTAAGCAAAACCAGCAAAAGTTTAACACTTGGCGTGGTCATTTTCCTAATGCGCGACATAAACGACGACCTCTAAGTTTGAGTATTCCAGCCGATGTAGATTTAACGGAACATTATTTCAATGGTGATACAGAGGAAGCAATATTGAAGGGGTCATCTATTAAGTCAATTCAATCATCATTGAATAGTCTTGACTGTAAATCAGTGAAGAGTAGTTCGGCTAAATCTGTTCCGTTACCTAGAAATTTTGGTCTTGGCAGGAAATGGTTGGGACCTGTCAAGTACCCTGTGACCCCTTGTAAAAATACAACTACACCTATTGAATCTAGTGCAATTACTAATGATGCTGTGGTGAGAAGACATTTTGTTTATGGTGACTCAGATGAAGATCAAATATTTTTATAAGAAATAATAGTAACATAAGTGATAATTATTTTCTATGTATATTATAGTATATAAATTGTTAAAGAGATCTAAATAAATATACAAATACATTATAATTTTGTGACAATATTCTTAAATTCTTTTTTATAAATTATCCACAGGAAACTACCGTTCCTGATTCTCGTGAAATTGCCTCTGTTGATGAGATGGGAGTGCAAGTATAGTTTTAGCGGCGGTGGTCTAGCAGATTAGCACAATACTAGTTCACAGCGTAGCGTAGTTTTGCCATATAAATTAAAATCGTTTTTTAAAAATAGAGGTTGATGTGATGGGTGAAAATGGGTTGTGTGTATGTACTCATGAAAATTAACGGTTGTGTGTATGTATGTACTATAAATAAATGAAAATAAGAAAAGTTCAAAAACTATTTAGCTGTGGGTCACCCTTATCCTGGGGGGTATGAAAAATAGATGTTGGCCGATTTTCAGACCTACCCGACATGCATACAACATTTCATAAAAATCGGTAAAACCGTTTCGAAGGATTTAAGTAACAGCTAGCTGACCCAGCAAATATTGTTTTGCCATATAAATTAAAATCACTGTTAAAAAATAGGTTGATGGTAGAAGGGTGAAAATTTCAAGTTGTTTGTATTTTTAATGCTACACTATAAAAAAAATAAAAATCTCCAATAATTAAAAAAAATTATAAGGGTGGACAACCCTTATCACTTAGGGATATGATAAATAGATAGTAGCCGATTCTCAAACCGTAAAACCGTTTCGGAGGAGCTTGGTAACAAATACTGCGACAAGACAATTTTATATATTAAATCTATATGAATATAGGTAATATAAGTTATCAAATTTAGCCATTAATCTTGTTTCTAAACCTAAATGCTTATTAACACATTTAATAATTGGATTATCATACTAAGCCTATTATCAAATATATTAGTGTCTTGATTAAGACAGCACAGTTCAACATTGAACCATCGTCCTCCAAGCGCTTAATAATGATAATAATACATATAGTGAATACCTCTTATCACATACTGTTTGATAGTACAGCTATTTGAGTATGTCGCTTACGTAACAATATCAGTTAAGATTCATAACTGAAGCAGTAATATGTATGTCATGTGAATTAGTTTGAGAGTTATGTAGTTTTAGTTCTTCTATTCACATATTTATATTCTATAGGGATACAAGGAAAATCGATAAGAATATAACAATGGGATTCACCACCTATTTATGTATATCAAGGGGAAAGTGATTGTTAGTAATATGACCGTACTTACTAATATGACCTAGTGACCCTATTGTTAGCTATGTACCATGTCAGGTTGACCTCCACGCGATTCCCCTTGGAAAACATCGTGATAAATGTCTAGTGAATTTGTCACGATGGGCTTTTTGACCTGACCTCGTCTTGGTCTTATCATCCTCCACTGGTGCCCCGCTACCGTAAACCGTTAGCGCAGGCGGGAGCATTCCACTGTCATATGTTAAAAAAACTTATATTACCATATTATATTTATGTACACAAATTCGGAGCCCGAATAAATAATTCCATGACACACAAAAATTACGTCTGCTAACTCTATATAAATATAGAGTAACTACTCCTTGTCTAAATAATGAGAAAGTGCTAGAAACAATAGAATATTACTAATTTTCTTTACGTGGAGAATATCCTCGTGGAGACCCGAGTCAGCCTAACAAAGTCAGCATAACAAACCTTTGTCAACCTAGTAGTATTATAGACTTGTTTAGACGGATCAATCTATGTATACTAAATTACATTATGAAATTATTTCTATTTTTTTAGCTTTCCGCGTCTGAACTAATTTTGATGTTTTTGGTTATACAGATAGAATTTACTTTGAAGAAGTAATAGGCTACCTTTTGTTAGGAAAATAGAAGTTAGACGGATAAAAGTGTGTTCTACACAAACTAATAAAATAAATAAATTTGATAAGTAGATACTAATTGAGTTATATGAATGAGTATATATCGATGGATTTAGCCAACTTCAAAAGTAAGTTAATAGCAGACAATTTTCTACTTGAGACATCGATAAAACTGGATAGTATGTAGGTATAGGGTGCTTTTGTGCAGCTGTGAAATGAAATTTAGTCTACTACTTATTAGACGCAATTGTCAGGTTACTTGAGAAAAAATGGCTATTTCCATAGTTAAATCTATCGTTTCGTCAACTTATATTAATTCGTTCAACCGTTTAGTCGTAAACGTTAACAAGCACACAGACAAAACTTTTTTTTTAACTGGATTGGCAAACGAACTGACTTCCCGATACTGATAGTAAGTGGCTTATATTTATGAACAGCATATCAAGTTATCATGTGACTAAGATGTTATAACTTTTATCATGTAATTTTACGGCCTACATTTCTACCTCTCATGAGAAACAATGTCTTACAAAGGTAAATGCTTGGTGGCTGAAATAGGTAAGACTGAGGTGCTCATGCAGGTCACTTTTTATAAAGACTACCGTGGTAAAACTGTACTTACTGCTTTCGTTATTATAATGTTATTAGGTATGGATAAATAAGAATAATAAGAAACATAATTAATGATTATTTTATTATTAAAAATAACAATATGCTCGCATACTCAAGCAAACATTAAAACTAAATAATTCTACTACATTTGTAACACAATCAGACTTTATAATAAAAACTACGCATTCGCACAATTGTGATAGTACTAAAGATCATTGCAATTCCCAACAATATGTCACACAGGAGTCCCTTATACACTAAATGCACATATAAGCAGGTCTATTGGCTTACATCATTCCACCCATACCACCCATTCCGCCCATGCCTCCCATGCCAGCCATGGGGTTAGGCTCCTTCTCTTGTGGAATTTCACAGATCACGGCTTCCGCTGTTGTCAGTAATGAAGCAACCCCACTGGCATCTGTGAGTGCTGTTCTCACAACCTTAGTTGGATCAATAATACCCTTCTCAATCATGTTGACATACTCATTGTTGAGCGCATCATATCCAAACTCGGGTCCCAGATCTTCTACTTTAGCAACAACAACCGATCCATCGATACCAGCGTTGCGTGCAATTGTCATGCACGGCATCTTGAGGGCTTTCTTCACAATTTCAACTCCAGTTGCCTGGTCAGTGTTCGCAGTCTTAAGCTTTTCAAGCTCTGGAATGCATCTCAGTAAAGCAGAACCACCTCCGGGTACAATGCCCTCTTCAACTGCAGCCCTTGTGGCATTAAGAGCATCATTAACACGGTCCTTCTTCTCATTAACCTCAACCTCACTTGAACCACCAACATGCAAAACAGCCACACCAGAGGCCAACCTAGCAAGACGCTCCTGCAGTTTCTCCTTCTCATACTCAGAATTGGTCTCCTGTATTTGATCGCGAATTTGTTCAGCCCTCCTATCAATATCACCCTTCTTACCCTTGCCCTTCAAAAGCAATGTATCATCTTTTGTGATGATAACCTCACCAACCTGTCCGAGATCTGATGGCTGGACATCTTCCAGTTTGATGAGGTTAGCATCATCGCCAAATACTACACCACCGGTAGCAATGGCCATGTCGCTGAGGGTGGCCTTGCGATTGTCACCGAAGCCAGGTGCTTTGACAGCTGCCACTTGGAGTCCTATTTTCAATCTGTTAACAACAAGTGTAGATAATGCCTCGCCATCCACATCTTCTGCTATAATAACCAATGGTTTCCTTTGCTGGTTTGCCAACTCCAATGCTGGAATGATAGTCTGTACATTGCTGATTTTCTTTTCAGAAAACAAGACTAGAGCATCTTGGAACTCTACTTTTGCACCCTTTGATGAGTTGATGAAATATGGTGAAATATAACCTCTATCAAACTTCATACCTTCAATAATCTCCAGCTCATCGGTGAGTGTTTTGCCGTCTTTCACTGTGATCACTCCATCCCTGCCCACCTTCTTCATGGCGTCGGCTATCAGCTGACCAATCGCTAGGTCACCGTTAGCGGAAATTGTGGCGACTTGAGCGATCTCCTCGGGCGTCGTGACCGGCTTGGACATGTTCTTCAGCTTATCTTTAACAGAGTCGACGGCCAGCATGACTCCTCTTCTTATTTCAATAGGGTTAGCACCCTTCGATATCTTCTCAAATCCCTCTTTGGCAATAGCTCGAGCAAGAACGGTAGCCGTCGTTGTACCATCGCCCGCTTCCTCGTTCGTGTTGTTCGCGACGTTCTGAACCAACTTTGCACCGATATTCTGGAATTTGTCCTTCAGTTCGACTCCCTTGGCGACTGTCACTCCGTCTTTCGTAATCTTTGGTGAGCCCCAAGACTGTTCTAAAATAACATTTCGACCTTTTGGGCCCATTGTGACAGCGACGGCGTCCGCCAGAACGTCTACACCTTGCAGCATGAGAGCTCTTACATCAGCACCGAACCTCACATCTTTGGCATAAAATCTTGAAAATTGATGAGTTTTGTGCAGTGAGACTGTTTGACGGATGGCCCGAGGCAAACGAAGCATTTTTAATATGTTTGGAATTATTGAACGGACTAATAATTAATATTCCAACCTTTATTTCTAGAAGATTCTGAAGGGGTTCGTAAAACGTGATTCGCCGCCGGTTTAGGTTAGTTGGAAAAACAAGAAGCGAACGACCGACTATCTCACTCAAATGTACTATGAAAAAGAAAGAAAAAATTTATAAACCTCAACTTGCAACACTAGTAACTAATTGCCAGAGTCGTCGAGTGAAAAATTACATTATATGAACAGCTCCAATTTTTTTCAAAACTTTACTCTTTACGAATAAAACGTTCTAAATAAAAAATAAACGCTTTATTATAAAAACATTTTTTTTTGACATGAAGCATTAGCTGAATAACAATTCTGTGGTACAAAATTCATGAGAGGAAGATATATTACTACCATATCTACATTTTTGTTCCATATTATATATCATAAATTAAAAAAATACAAAGATTCTGTGGCAATCAAATTACTTTACCTTCATTCACTGATTATGTTTCATTTTCTTAATTGTTAAAAAGTCATTTATTTAACACACATTTATAAATGTTTTATTTCTAATTTTCTATATATTTTTAATATATTCATAATAAAAAAAATATTTTCAAAAGTTATACAAAATGTAACAAACTCTAATGGGTAACATTAAGTAAAGTTGCCCGTTCACCAGTTATATTTTCCAATAAAAATTTTACAAATGGACAATATTGGAATAATCTAGAATACTGTACTGTGTACCATTTAACATAAACAGAATTTAATGAGGTATGATTTATAACAAAAATTTAAATAGCACATAAATTACCGTATTTTCAACACAAAATTTCTACTGATACTGTAACTTTAATAAAATAATACCGTAATATTGTATCGTATATTAAGTATTTCTATTCCTAGAAAAATATTTTACCGTTTTTATAAGATAGTAATAGTTTTTCTTTCTACTTAACTAGCATAATGCTAAATTTAGTAGGAGCTATGTATTTTAAAAGCTTTGTAATTTCAAGACAAAAATATTTTAAAACACTGCGCCCTCGTAACGTAGATAAAGCATTTTCTGTCCATAGTACTCCATACTGGCTAACATTTTTTGTCGTTTGTCAATGTCAGGCTGACAGTGGCAGTTAGTCTTTTCGACACCTACGGGCTTGTTTTGTTTGTTTCTTCTTTTTCGAATTTTATTAATTAACCAAAGCATGTGGTGATCACCCGCGTGTACCGTTATTAACATTCTCCTGTTTTCTTAATTACTAAATAACGTTCCGCTAACAAGGAAGTCCTAATTCTTTTTATTTTCGCCGGTATAATACAAACATTACATAATGGACACCAGGTGAGACATTTTTATGCAAATTATTCGTATTCTCGAGGATCATGCTGAATGCTTTTTTAAACTTATCCTCGTGGGAGATATTTTACATTTTTTTTAAATTGTATTCTCCAATTAAACAAACTACAGTGTAGTTTTCATACGATTATTCAAGTCGAACTGGCTGGTCACTTTATATACTTTATTTTAATTTTTATAAGATTTTATTTAAACATTTAGAATTATAGATATGTCATCAATAATTTAATTTCTATGTTTTATGTTATATATTTGTATATATATTATTATAAAATACATCATTATTTTGCACAGTATATGGTATGCTAATAAATTAAAAATATATTAAATAATATTATTATCAATGAATTAATAAGTATTTTATTATTATAATTTGTTTAATGAATTTGCAAACTTATTGTATTTAAAAATGCTGCATAATAGTACTATGGAATTTAATATACAGATATTTAAACAGATGTGGTGTTTATAGTTGTTAGCACTTGCTACATTTTACAGTTTTGCATAGATTAAGTAAATTATACTTAATAATAAAATAATTAATTCATTTATATAATATTTTGGATATTACAGTTCTTTAAAACATCAGTTGGATTTTATGGTCTACTTTAAAACAAAATTACAAAAACAAGATTAGTCTGAGGGCACGGCTTGGGATTTGAACCTAAACTCAGGTCTTTGTAATTTCAATCCTTGTTTGAATTTGCTGGGTACTGATTAGAGGGGAGGGTATGGATAAGTCTTCAGTAGTAGGCTCAAATTATTGTTATTATAGCTTTAATCTTCCACATGACATATATTTTTCTGAAATATAGAAAATTATAAATATAATTATTTTATTTTTGGTTCGTTCATTTTTCTTGTTATGTGGCCCGTCGGGTAAAAACCTTATCCATCTTCCGCCAACACTCTCTATCCATGGCAATTTGCATCCAGTCTTATTCTTATTATTTTTATATCATCATCAGCACATTTTTTTCTGCCATCCTACTCCTCGTTAGCCTGTCGGGCCCGGCCATTTTACTGTTACAATAGGCTCAATTTATAAATATCTTTATGAATTGAATGTGGAGTTAGTATTTTATGTATTGTTTTAGTTCCTTGCATGAATCCCAGCTAATTGGTATTGGCAACCCTCTCTTGGACATTTCGGCCACAGTTGACGAGGAACTCCTCAAGAAGTATGACATGCACCCTGATGATGCAATTATGGCAGAGCCAAAGCATATGCCATTGTATAAAGAACTGGTTGAAAGGTGAGTAGTCTTGAATTTAACAGTTTGCAAAAAACAATCTTATGCATTATTGTGGGGCTTTGGTAACAGCCTATAATACAGTTAACCACAGATGCTGAAGTATTTTCCAGTAAATATGGAAGAATGTTTAATAGTTGTTATCTAAATATGTTAAGAAATTGGTTTTATTTAAACAATAGATGGTTTCAAAACATTTAAACCAAAGCCTTGAATGTTTGTCTATCCCAGCATAATATTTTGGAAGCTAGTAGTTCTATCAATTCCAAATTTAGAACAGTTTTCCAGGCCCGAGGGCACATTCGAAATACAAAGGAAAAATATTAACTAATACTAGCGACTTCGTCTGCATGGAATTTAATTTTATTTTTCTGGTCGGTGAGACAATTTCAAAGCTGTACTGCTGTAGTGGGGTGTAGTAGGCACGCTGGTTTAATTTTGAAAATCACCAGTATGAAGCGTTAACACTATAATATATGAAATAATATGTTTATATTGCAAGAGATACATAAATAAAATATTAAGCAAACTAGCTGTATTATCATCACTTAAATATTATAATGGTTTCCCAGATATATGGGAATGAATAAATCTACAAATTCAGAGTCCAGGTAACTGACTGAAATGACTTAAATGTGTGATATGTATGTGATTTAGAAGTTCATACTGTATGATTTTAATACAACTATTTAAATTGTAAATATAGTGTGCACCCATCCAAGTAACTGTGAATAACATGGTCTGATTGTTGTATGATATTTAGTAATTCATACTGTATGTTTTTAATAGAACTTTATGAATGGTAAATATAGTGTGCACCCATCCAAGTAACTGTTAATGACATGATCTGATTGTTGTATGATATTTAGTAATTCATACTGTATGTTTTTAATACAACTTTATGAATGGTAAATATAGTGTGCACCCATCCAAGTAACTGTTAATGACATGATCTGATTGTTGTATGATATTTAGTAATTCATACTGTATGTTTTTAATACAACTTTATGAATGGTAAATATAGTGTGCACCCAGTCAAGTAACTGTGAATGACATGATCTGATTGTTGTATAATATTTAGTAATTCATACTGTATGTTTTTAATACAACTTTATGAATGGTAAATATAGTGTGCACCCATCCAAGTAACTGTGAATGACATGATCTGATTGTTGTATAATATTTAGTAATTCATACTGTATGTTTTTAATACAACTTTATGAATGGTAAATATAGTGTGCACCCATCCAAGTAACTGTTAATGACATGATCTGATTATTATATGATATTTAGTCATTCATACTGTAAGTTTTTAATACAACTTTATGAATGGTAAATATAGTGTGCACCCATCCAAGTAACTGTGAATGACATGATCTGATTGTTGTATGATATTTAGAAGTTTTTAATGTATGTTCTTTAATACAAAATGGTAAATAAATTTAGGACCCACTTGATGGAAAATAGATGTTGTGCAAGCACAAGACTGTGTGCCCTTTTTGTAAGAGTACATAGTATCTTAAAAAAACACAGAAATAAAAAACTTAAAAATAAACTGTACTAATGAAAATATACAAATTTTGTAAAATAGACTTTAAAGCTTTAACTTTAATGTCATTCTCGAATTTTTGTGATACTCCTATGTATATATGCTGATTCTCTACAATCTTCGAAAAGATCATGGCTAGTCAAGAACTGCTGTAAGTTCTATACTAGAATGTGTATCTAATCTGCCGCGTAATCCGGCTACCGTATGCTGAATCTGCGGAATGCTAAGAAGTTCGTCTTTGTGAGTCACCAGTTTTGCTATTCCCTCTTGTACTGAAATATTTTTTACTAAAATTGTCCCTAAACATCATAGTTCCAAAGAAAGCGGTAGAATAAAAAAATGTTAACTGAATAGTCAATAGTCAAAAGTGCTTATATTAAGTTTATTTGAATAAAGATTATTTCTATTTCTATAAAATTTTAGATTTTTGTAGTTCCATAAAATAACTGTTACATTATTAATTGTTAGGCTATCGAATTATCAAATATAATTATTATCTGAAATTCGGTGATTGAAAGTCGAAAGTGATCACTTCAGATCTATTTATCTGTTTAATTAGCTTTTCACATCAAAATAGCTGAACGAGATCTTAATGAGATTTGGCAGGTAGATCAAGATATGGCTATCTGTTATCTAAAAAAGATCTGATTTATCCAAGTCCCGTCCAACTGTTGCGAGTTAGTTACTACATAAAAAAAACATAATATAGAGTGAAAGCATGATGCAATGCTCATTCAGATAAGTTGTAATCTTTGCGTGGTAACGCGATAACAGTGAACAATACTGTCGCTAAATTTACGTCTTTCTAACGGAGTATATTATTAGTACTTTCGTGTTTTATATGACTAACTAGCTGTCCCGGCAAACGTTGTTTTGCCATATAAATTAATAATGCTATAAAAAATAGGGGTTGATGACAGAAGGGTGAAAATTTAGGATTGTATGTATTTTTGTATGTTGTATCATAAAAAAATAGAAACTAAAAATTTTCTCTAAAAAATAAAAAAAAATTAGGGGTGGACTACCCCTAACTTTTAGGGGGATGAAAAATAGATGTTGGCCGATTCTCAGACCTACTCAATACGCTCACAAAATTTCATGAGAATCGGTCAAGCCGTTTCGGAGGAGTATGGGAACGAAAACTGTGACACGAGAATTTTATATATAAGATAGCACTTTTCCACCGACTGAACTTGTCCTCTATATATATACTTGACATTTATACTTGTCTATCATATATACGTACGTGATCCGCGCAACATACTCTCTGTCTGTCTCTGTCTGATTTTCTTGGTACCCTACCGGTCCTTTACACGCTGTATAATCTTTAGGGATTCAAAATACCTAACCATAAATTAAATATTAGCCCTTTAAAATCCATCGTGACAAATAAACAAAAAAAAAACCATAATCTATAGTTTTTTTTATGTATGTATTGTAATGTATGTATGTTATATATGTATGAAGATCTCGACATTTTTTTATCGGACTACTCTAATGGCCGCAGTTGGCCTTTACAGCTTCACCGGACGATAGGGGGCGAGTGCAGATGACACTCTATACCCGCGGAACGACTTATGGAGCGGCTGAAGGCCAACTCCTGCCAGACGGATACGACTTTAGTCTGAGGGCACCACTAGGGGTTCGAACCTCGACTCAGGCCGTCGTAATATCGATCCCCGTTTGAATTGGACGGGGGATCGATCGAGGTCTCGACATTCATACTAACATATAACATAATAAATAGCTACCCCTACTTTGCATGGGTATTATACATACTTTCCTCTTAATAGGCAACACTAGCCTATTGCCAAAGAAAAAAAAAACCTTCCTCTTGAATCACTCAAAAACTGTATTAAAATCCATTGATTAGTTTAAAAGATCTAAACGAACATTCAGCGAAAGCGACTTCATTTTATACTATGTAAAGATTGGAAAGAGTGGTTGTATGCATCTTTTCACTGCTGAACGGGCCTTAAGGAAAAGTATTAGGTATATAATATAAGATTTAAATTCCAACTAATAACCATTTATTATACATGTTTGTTACCACTTCACGGAGTTAATCTTAAGGAAAAATAACATACAAACTTAAATTAATTTATTCACATAAGACCTCTCGGCCTCTTGTGCACGTCGTATGTTTTATCACTTCTCTGACCGTCCAGTTCGGATAGCTATTTGAGTTGAGAAGTGGCAAGAAATTTGTTGTAGTAATAAGAAAAATGACTAGGTAAATAGAGAAAATATATTAATATAGACTACTGACAATTAGGAATAGAAAAAAGGAAATGAAGTATCAAAAACAAGAATGTAATATAAAAGAACTATAAATTCAAATACAAATTTAGAATATAAAATACATATCTGATTAGCCAGTTACAACAAAATTCAACTGGTACATTGTTTTACTTAATACTAGCTGTGCCTGCGACTTCGTTCGCGTGGTTACCTTCCTACCTTACCTTCGCTCCTATTGGTCGTAGCGTAATGTTATATAGCTTAAAGCCTTCCTCGACAAATGGACTATCCAACACAAATAATTTTTCAATTCGAAGCAGTAGTTCCTGAAATTAGTGCGTTCATACAAACAAACAAACTCTACAGCTTTATACTATTAGTATAGATTCAGAGAACCTCGGTGGTCTAGCGGTTTAGCACGCCGCTTCAATTCCGATGATCGCGGGTTCTATTTCACATTTTTAGTTTGTATTCACACATCACAATTTAAAAATGTAAAATTACTACATTTATACGAAAGAGCAACACGTTTCTTGCTCGTTCATTGCATTTCTGAATCTGCTGTAAATTCAAAAACTAAATATGACTATTTAAATTATTTAAGTAAATCATTTTCAATTCCATGCCTCTAGATATAAAGCTGAATTTATCGCCGGCGGCAGTGCACAGAATACGTTGCGTGTGGCCCAATGGATTCTGAAGAAGCCTAACGTTTGCACGTACTTCGGCTGTGTAGGGGATGATGACTACGCCACTATCCTGAGGGAAAGAGCCATGTAAGTGTATTTATTTATGTATTCTTAACAATAAGTTCCGTGTCCAATTTAAATTACAAAATTATTATGGTATGGGTTCCAGGGAGGCATTGCGAGAGTGTTTTAAGGAATCATATCCTCTCCGTTGCTTCTCAATACATTTATGAAAATATCATCTATGCCAGGAAGAATATAGACAGTTTCAAAAGAGTTAGTGATTGCACCAATAAAAGCTTACGTAACAATAACAAACTGATTTTACCTAAATATCGTTTGGCTAAAGTTAGTAATTCGGTTTATGGCAATTGCGTAAGGTTTTACAATAAAATACCAGAGTCTGTTATAAATCTGCCAGAAAAAATATTTATATGTCAAATAAAAGAGTTCCTTTGCAAAAAAGCTTACTATAAAATTGAAGAATTCGTTAACGATAATAATGTTTTTATAGAAAAACTTTAAATCCATAGCACTGACAATATTATCTGATTACACTAATAATGAGTGCGTAGCTATTTCTATGTTGATTATCGCATGTCTCTTACTTGTTATACTGTAATTATTTATATATAAAAAACATCTATTAAAAAGAGCAACATACAAGTTTCTTGCTCATTCTTCTTGTGATGAATCTGCATTCCGAATGAGTGGTAGAATCAAAATATGACTAATCAAAAGTGCTTGTAATGAGTTTATTTGAATAAAGATTATTTCTATTTCTATTTCATCAGCACATACACTATCACTAACACCACCACCAGCACATGCATTATCACCGAAACCGAAATAATAATGGTCCCTATTGTTATATCATAAACAAAATAAAAATAAATCCACCGCAGAGAAAATCATTGCATTCCAGCTACATAGGACTACAGAAATCCACAGTATTAGACACTTGTTTAATAGTCAGGAATTTTTTTAATGGTCAAAAAAGTTTTTTTATATTAATAATTGTATTCCCTACCGTTTTCTAGGTAGGTTACGTCTTGTAGTACCATATAATTTGTAAGGTTATTTTGCTTCACATTCTATTATCATTATAATAAACAATACGTACTTACTTAATAATATTATAAATGGAAAAGACACTGTCTGTCTGTCTAGCTTTCATGTCAAAACTACTGAACCGATGAAATTTGGTACAAAGATAGTCTAGAGACAAGATTGGGGTTGTAAGGGGTTGAAAGGAGAAATGAAAGTTTATATGGAAGTATCGTCATTTACTTAATAATATTATAAATGGAAAAGACTGTCTGTCTGTCTAGCTTTCATGTCAAAAGTACTGAACCGATGAAATTTGGTACAAAGATAGTCTAGAGACAAGATATGGGGTTGTAAGGGGTTGAAAGGAGAGATGAAAGCTTATATAGAAGTATCGTCATTTTTGAAGGTAGAAGGATGAAACTTTTTTTTATTCATAACGCGCAGACGAAGTCGCGGATACAGTGCCGTCTGTAGTTATTTTAAATATAGTTACGAGTGTAGTTTTTTTAACATATATTTTAGTCTAGTTAGTTTAAAATATATGTTAAAAAAACTACACTCGGAACATTCCGCAAATTATTTGATATATATGTAAGCTAGTTATTATATGATAGAGGATATCGCGTCTTAATTGTATTTGTATTGTTATAAAATGTAATGTTTTGTTTGTTATGTACTTTATGTACTATTATCGTATAATGTGATGTACAGATAAATGATGGCAATGTAGGTACAGCTCCATTACAAATCAAATCGGCTTAAATAGTGAAATTTACAATAACATTTGATTTTATCATTTATCGATCAAAATTAATCAGTTAATAAGGCATTTATTTGTAAAACATAAACAATACATTTATGACATGTCAGTACTTACATTTGTGACTTGGCATTTTATAATTTATCTTTTTTAGTAGATTTATATCTGGGAAAATGGTAACAAATGCAACAGGTAACAAATAGGCTTACTATTTATACAGGTTATAAACTGTATAATAACGAGGTACTTTCTTTTTTATTGATGATTATGCAATGGTTCACCCGCTGTCGGGGCCCCAGTGGAGGATGATAGGATGAGCATGAGGTCAGGTCAGTTAGCCCATCGTGGTAAATTCACCAGGAATTTATCACGGTTGGTTTCCAGGGGGAACCGCGTGGATGTCAACCTGACATGGTACATTGCTAGCAATAGGGTCATCAGTCCACATTACTAATAATAACCCCCCCCCCCCCCCCCACCTATAACAAGGTACTATCAATAGGAAATAAAAACATAGCAAAAAAGGGGATACTTTATTTTTTCTTTCTTTCTGACGCTGACGAAATCGACAACAAACCCGCGTAGTTCGTTTGTAAAATACAAAATAAAAAAAAAAAACAAAAATAATTCATTGGAGTAGGTAACATACATTTTCCTTAATGCTATTTCGTTGTTGAACTTTAAAAATGCTTGTGCCACTCTACCATAGGTTTTTTATTCCTATCGTCCAGTGAAGCAGTAAGGCCAGCTGCTGCCAACAGCATTAGAGTAGTCCGAAAAAAAACTTTCTGAACGTGCATACTTATTAAGGCAGATAATAATTTTATGTCCTTTTGTGTAGTAATATATCGGTTTACAATAGATAAACGGAAACGTCACAAATCGATCAATGTTCTATAATAATTACATTATTGTATAGATAAGATAAAATTATACATTATGTTAAACAAAGTCTTAAATAGATTAAGTATTAAGTTTATTAGTTTTTAATTTGGGTGGACTTTTATAAAGACAATAATCCGATCGATCCCACACCAATTCACATGGGGATCGAAATTACGACGGCATGAGCCGAGGTTTTAACTCCTGGCGGTGCCCTCAGACTAAACTTGCATCATCCATCGATACATCAGGTAGTAGTTCGCCTTAAGTCTGTCTGCGAATTTGGAGTTTTATCTGCAACTCGTCCCCTTATAATAATAATAACCAAGGACAATTTACACAGCGCCATCTAGTCCAAAGCTAGGTAGAACTTGTGTAATAGGTACTAGACATTTTTTTTTTGGACTACTTTAATGCTGTTGGCCGCAGCTGGCCTTTACAGCTTCACTGGACGTTAGGGGGTGAGTGCAGATGGCACTCCAAACCCGCGGAAGGACTTATGGAGCGGCTGAAGGCGAGCTCCTGCTTGACGGATACAACTAGTCTGACCATTAGGACGAACGTCGGGCTCAGGCTGTCGTAATTTCGATCCCCGTTTGAATTGGACGGGGTATTGATCGGAGGGGCGCCCGGGCGCGGGCGCCCGCGCGCGCCCGGGCGCCCGGTTGATTGCGCGATATGGTGTGTTGGGGGTCGTCGTCTTCGCCGGCGAGGACGGTGTCGTGTGTGTGTGTAAAAGTGTGGTCGGGGTAGAGGTACTAGACAACTGATATAGATACTTAAATACATGAATAATATACATAGGAAACACCTAAACCAATACAAACAATCATACTTATGATTACAAGTGTTTGTATTGTGCGAGGAATCGAATTCGCGACCATCGGAAACAAGGCGTGTTAAATCATTAAACCAAGTCTTGCATAACACTCAAGTTTCTTGCTCATTCTTTTTGTGATGAGTCTACTTTCCGAATAAGTGGAAGAATACAATAAATTTATTATTCTTAAGTGCTTATATTATGTTTATTTGAAGATATTGATTTCCATTCTATGATTTAAATATGCAATGAATATACATATAATTTATTGTAGGTATATAATACCGGTAAATAAGGGTTAATTCATAATTTATAGTTCAATATACGTAACAAAGTCAACAATGGTATAGGGAAAATATTGTGCAGATATATACGTTGTCAGTGGGATCCGAGTGATAACATTTTGATCTCACTTGATCCCGCGCTCGTTTCCGTTATAGCTACCTATCTAAATATAATACAAATAGTTACAGTCATAAATTATTATGATTACAAAAAAATTCTTTAACAATCATTAGTGACGAGTATTGATTTTTTTTATGGATGGTAATGGAATGGTGCACCCGCCTGTGCTAACGGTTTACGCTGACGGGGCATCACTGGAGGATGATAAGATGAACACGAGGTCAGGTCAGTTAGCCCATCGTGACAGAGTCACGATGGTTTTCAGGGGGAAACGCGTGGAGTTCAATCTGACATTGCTAGTATTGGGTATGGGTATTGGTAATGGGGTCTGGAGTCCACATTACTGACATTCCTTTCCCCTCCGTTATTAAAATATTTGCATTAACTATTTTTTATGTCTTTTGGAAAACTCAATTTTATTTCTGTCACTTGTCTAGTTCCTGCTTGGAACTCAGCTTGGGACTAGAAAGCGTCGTGTTAACTCCCAGGGTCATTATTATTATTAATGTTACTTATATTATAAACGCGAAAGTTAATAAGTATGGATGGATTGTTACTCTTTCATGCAAAAACTACTGAACGGATTTTAATGAAACTTTACATATAGCTTAAACATCAGAATAACACAGTCTATAAATATCAGGCGGCTGAAACCAAAGGCACAGCTAGTGTTAGTATAAATCTTAAACTACGACAAGTTTTACGTGTTACCTGGCCTTATAAAACAATTTTTTTTCTCTTTATTTTAGCAACAAACAGTTGTTATATAAACATATAAATATGCAAATAGACATATTTTTACAATAGACATTGAATGCCGAAAATTTTTACATAATTTTAGTGAGCCTAGTGGACTAAAATAAAAACAAAACAATACAACTACAAATAAACAAAACAAAATACAACTACAAAAGAAATAAGAATATTACAGTACAAACATTATAATAACAAAAATAAAAAGGGGTTACTTTAGTATTTCGAATAGTTTCTTTCTGTATGTAACTAAGGTGCAACAAAACGGATCCAAGTCAACAATCTTAGTGTTATACATATTTATACATATATTTAGTATTTATGAATGCATTTTCCTTCCTTAAGTTTAAATGGCACTATGGGGAAAACCGCAGTATTATAAATTAAATACAGAGTTCCATTGACATCCGTTAATGATTGAGATGAATTGTAATGAATGGTGAATGAATGAAATTGGGTACCCATTTATTAGTTCCTAGCTGTGCTCACAACTGCGTACGCACATTTGTAGATTGCCATGAAAGAACTATAGAAATTAACAAAAATATAAAAATAAAAATTGTATATAAAGAATATGGTTCAAAATAAGAAAAGAAATATAAAAGGAGGTCAGTCGCCAAAAATAGCAAAATAACGTTTGCCGGATCATCTAATAGGTTTAATATAAAATAAGTGGCGTTATTTCAGTGCAGATGGTGTAACAGTCCGGTACCAGGTGACGAGTGAAGAGCCGACTGGAACGTGTGCGGTGCTGGTCACTGGGACACACAGGTCCCTGTGCGCCAACTTGGCGGCTGCGCAGAAGTTCACCGCAGACCACCTATCAAAACCTGACTGCAGGAAGAGTATCGAGGCAGCCCGCATCTTTTACGCTACAGTAAGTTGAAATTACTATGCCGAAGTGAATTCTGATCTTTTAGGACATCATTTAAAAGTGATAAAAGTGTTTGGTGTCACAAAAGATAAACATTTTTTTTATTTAAGAGTATGGGCTATTGTCAGGTGCTTTAGACCTGTAGCACTGTGGCCTACATAGATCTATTGTGCTCGCTCTTTTTCAAAGTTCCTAGACCCGTCAGAGACGAGAATTGATGATATTTTTAGGAACGATGGTTTTTATCTCCTCAGGATAGAGTGTATACTTTACAAAAGAGACCCGAAGAGAGGAAAAATGTGGGCCCCAAGTGATTACTTTAAACAATATGCGTATCCTATCAAACCCTACCGATTAATTAATACCGATTTTTATGTACAGAGTTACATCCCTAATTGCATCCCATTTTTTATGTCGAATTTTATCCCTAACTAGCTGACATGCGCAATTTCGTATGCGCTACATGTCCCCACCTTTTGCAATTTTTTCATTGCAGCTCCGCTTCTATTGGTCGTAGCGTAATGTTATATAGCTTAAAGCCTTCCTCTACAAATGGACTATCCAATACAAAAAGAATTTTTCAATTCGAACTAGTAGTTCCTGAGGTTAGCGCGTTCAAACAAACAAACTCTTCAGCTTTATAATATTAGTATAGATTTCTACTATTTTTATCCCTAATTTCTACTATAGGGCTTCTTCGTGGCAGTATCCCCGGAGTCGATGCAACAGTTGGCGACTCACGCGCACACAAACAAACTCACATTCATCATGAATCTCAGCGCGCCGTTCGTGTCGCAATTCTTCAAGGAGCCCCTCGAGAAGCTGCTGCCGTACGTCGACGTGCTATTTGGAAATGAATCGGTAATTATCACATCATAGCGTAGCAATATCGAGAGTTACGGGTAGCCTTTTTTTTCGAGACCATCGTGATAAATTATTGGTGAATTTGTCACAATGGGCTAACTGACCTGACCTCATGTTCATCTTATCATCCTCCACTGTGGCCCGCTGTGAGCAGGCGGGTGCACAATTACATTATCATCCTTAAAAAAAACCAGCGAAAGGACTTATGGAGCGGCTGAAGGCCTACTAACGCCTGACGGATACGACTTTAGTCTGAGGGCACCGCTGGGGGTCAGAACCTCGACTTACGGCGTCGTAATTTCGATCCCTATTTCAATTGGACGGGGGATCGATCGAAGAGGTAGTCATTATCTAAAAATACAATCGTAAAGAAGTGTTCCTATATGTTAATTAATCTCTATAATAACTGTATATACATATTGACTACTTAAATAATAAATTATAACACAAATCTAAAATATAATATTTACTTGATATTAAATACGGTAATGAACTAATTATGCATCTTAACAAAATTGCTTCTGCGTAAATATAATAAAAACTTGATAAGACATTGGCACGTATACTTAGTCGTTGTGTAACATTTTTTTTTATTGTATTGACATAAATGTTAATTTGAATGTCATAGACTAAAATACTTCCGGTAGGTAGAGATAATAGAAACAGCTAGGTGGAGAGACATGTAGTTTTGCGGGTACTAATTGAATAAAAGGGGCTAAGGATCGTGCCAAGTGGCGTGAAGTGGGACAAGCCTATGTCCAGCAGTGGACTGCATTGGCTAGATAATAGGAACAGCTAGGTAGTTCGATTTTTAGAACTGTACTTAATATATGCAGATTTTGTAAGAACCATCTTTTCAATAACGTAATATACCCAAACATTTTTTTATACCACAACGGTAGCAAACAGTCATACGGACTATCTGATTGTAAACGATTACCGTATCGTATGGACGCTTGAAACACCTTATTCTTCCATACATACTAATTAGAAACAATAAAAATATATTTGCCAAATAGGTACAGGCGTTGTGAAGTGATATGCCTACATAATTCGCCAATTGATATTTATTTTGTATATAGATTACATTTAATTGAAGTTCAAGGCAAGAACGGCTGCATGAGCAGCCCGACCTCGTAAATTGATATCCGAACGTCATTGCTATTGTGGTTTTGTGCTTATATTATATATACTTATATCTTACTCGTATATAAAATTCTCGTCTCACAAGGTTAGTTACCATACTCCTCCGAAACGACTTGAGCGATTTTTATGAAATTTTATATACATATTCAGTAGATCTGGGAATCGGCTAGTATCTATTTTTCATACCTTAAGTGAAAAGGGTTGTTTGTTTACCCCTAACATTTATTTTTAAACTTATTTTTATTTTCACTCTTCTATCACCAACTCCTATTTTTTTAATAGCGATTTTATTTACAAGGCAAAACAACGTTTGGCGGGGTAGTTAGTTAAAGTATATGTAAATAGAAATTGGTTTATAAAACACATCTCGGCTATATGAGCCCTGTGAATAAATCAAATAATTTATTAAAACGGCCTCGGTGGTCTAGCGGTATGATACCACTTTATTTCTCATCGCGGGTTCGATTTGCAAGGTACAAACATTTGAATTCAAAGCTATATTTTTCATTTTACAGGAAGCGGACGCTTTCGCCAAAGCGTTCAATATTAACGAAACCAGTCTAGAAGAGATCGCGTTGCACATAGCGGCTGCTCCAAAACTGAACAAGGATAGAGAGCGAGTCGTGGTCGTCACCCAGGGTAAGGATCCTGTCATACTAGTAGAGAAAGGTAGAGTCAACCTAATACCAGTTAGTGTACTCTCCAGGGATCAGATAGTGGATACAAACGGCGCCGGAGACGCCTTCACAGGCGGGTTCCTAAGCCAGATGGTGTTGGGGAAACCGTTTACGACCTGTGTTAAGTGCGGCATATACGCCGCAACTCATATAATACAGCATTCAGGGTGCACATTTAGTGGCGAGAGTGATTTTAGAGATAGCTAAGTTGAGTGTTGACATCGACAATAATGTAAGGGTATCGGATTCGATTAGTTCACATAGAAAGGCAAAATTGACATATATCAAATCAAATTTATTGCATGTCCATAATTACATGTTGAAAACATCAGTTCTTGTCCGATCACCGAAGTTAAGCATCATCGGTCGTGGTCAGTACTGGATGGGTGACCGCTTGGGAACACCACGTGCCGTTGACTTCCCCTCCGATCGATCCCCCGTCCAATTCAAACGGGGATAGATATTACGACGGCCTGAGTCGAGGTTCGAACCCCTAGTGGTGCCCTCAGACTAAAGTCGTATCCGTCAGGCAGGAGTTGGCCTTCAGCCGCTCCATAAGTCCTTCCGCGCGTTTGGAGTGCCATCTGCACTCGCCCCCTAATGTCCGGTGAAGCTGTAAAGGCGAGCTGTGGCTAACAGCATTAGAGTAGTCCGAAAAAAAAATCCACAGCAAGAATATCAGGATTTAAATTGGAAATATTGAATAATTAATTGAAACACCAAAATATTATTATCTGTTAAAATTAGCACTTATTTTCGCTAAGTGTGTTAATTCTATTAATAATTAATCAGTAGTAATTTAGATAGGTTCATAACGTTGGTCGTCCGCTTGTTAGCACATGAAAATATTATACGATAGCTTTTACCCGCGGTTTCCCTCGCATTGAATAAAAAAGATTTGTTTTTTAATAAAAAAAAAGTATCCTATGGCCATTCTAATATCTCCAAGAACGTACACAAAATTTCATGATGATCGGTGCAGTAGTTTTTGCTTGAATGCCTAACAAAAATCTCTACTTTCACATTTATAATATTATAAAGTATATTTGGCTTTTCTGAGTTTTTAATGTTTGTGGATAATTTACAGGGTGTATCCGATATTCTTTTATTATGTCGATGAGTACTTACTTTGGATGTCTTCCAAAGTTGACCAGTTGTTCAGTTGACAACTGAATCAATGTTTATGATCATAATATTGTAGATAGTGTATATATTGTAGTTTTGTTTTTGGACGGTTGTGCAAACGAAAAACTACTATAACAGAAAGTACTATAGTAAAAACTACCATAGAGTAGTAAGCTTTTAATACTTATCTTAATCATAGATATGTTAAATATCTAATAAACCAATTTCAGTTATAGAACTGCTGATCTACGGTAGAAACCAACTTTAATCTTAATGATTTCTTCGCACCTTTTTATACATTTGTATCTCGAAATAAATAAAATTGAAGTGTCTGTAATTTTAAATTAACAGATTTGCACTAAATCCATATGAAAGTATTTATATACGGTACTTATTAAAGAAATATATTTGTTAATTTTATTTAGTACTAGCTACTCACCCTGGCTTCGCACGGGTGTATTATTTATATAAACCTTCCTCTAGAATCACTATCTTTTAAAAAGGACCGCTTCAAAATCCGTTGCGTAGTTTTAAAGATTTTAGCATACATAGAGACGGACAGACAGCGACAGCTACTTTATTTTATACTGTGTAATGATATTTCGTTTGCATAATCGTGTCCAATATTAAAATAATAACTATAAATAATGTATGTTAATACATTGTCTGTATATATTTATATATTATGCCACTAAGGTTCCTTGTGAATTAGATAAATGAAAAATTGTATGAGTAGAGTAATAAGTAGCATAAATTGCAATAAATGTATATAAAACTTGTAAGTGGAGCATATCAAATGGTTATTGATAAGCAATTGTAAACGGCTATGTTTCCATAGACTCACGTTGGAATATAGTTAACTCTCATTTTTAACGGTGGTTTGAAACTGTAATTAATTTCTTAAAACAGAAATTTCTAGAATACTATATTTTGTAAATGCAGTATATTATATAATATTTATAATGATATATAATATGTCGCACAATTAAATAACTAGCTGACCCGCACAACTTCCTTAAACTTAGTTTTTACACGCTAACGGCGAAAATTAAAGAAAAAAGTTATGTTAATAATAATAGACATACCTTTCGCAACAGCTTTGTCATGTTTACATTGGATATGTCAAAAATATGGACATATATATGTGAAAATTATTCATTTCGAAAGTATACAGGGAATGTAAGCAACAGGTAAAGAAATAAATACATGGTTATAGATGAATGATGCAAGCACTTCAATTTGCTTTATGTGCCTGCTTTACGGATTACCAATTTGTTTTTCGGTAAAAGTGGCTCAGTGCCCTTACCTTTTTGAATCTGTTCATATTTTTTTTTTACAAAATATATTCATATTTTGTGAGAAAAACATTAAGTTATAAGGAAATGTAAAGAAATCGAATAATAGTCATAATAATATTAATTAATATTATAAAAATCAAATGTTTATATTCTGTAGCTGCTTATCTTAAAAATAATTGAATTTTAATGGTTTTCGTTTACAATTGTGGTATTGCAATATTTTTAACGTTTAGTTGTTATTATATTTGCATCAATTGCTATTAAGAATGTAATAAAATTGTAGTGAATTAGTATATTGAAGTAGCAAACGATAAATAAATAGATTTGTCTGTGTCTTATGAGTATAAATTGAGTATGGATCCTAATGTAGTTAATAATAATAATTCCAGTTGTTAGACCAATTTGATTTAAGTGAAATGTCTTTTTGAATTAGGATGTGGATCTGAAATTTATTGCAACTTTCATATATTCTCATTTAATACGGTTTATTATCTTCCAATCCCCAAATAATGTTTCATTCGTTCATTTAAAGCCACGCTCTTGTGGGTGGAGCTCTTGCCATTTCTACGATCTTCCATCGCGCTCATAAAATGTTACGATACGATTCCAACTTTGCCTTTAATTTGCTTGATTTAATGTTTAATTTCGAAATAATATTTCTACTAATATATTTAGTAATAATGAAATAATTACTAACATCAATGGCACCATTCATATTCATCCATTAAAGTAAATGCAACCCTGCAATGATGTATTTAAAGATGCATTCTCACTGAACTAATGGATGTTCTCAAGCAGGTGCTAATGAGAAATATTTTTTATACCTAATCATCGTTTATTTTGTTATGTACATAGTCGTAAATTATTGGCGTATATATATCGTACTGGCGTATATCGAAAAAATAATTTAATTATTCACCTATGCCAATCATTTTGTTTATTGTGGAGTATCTGCCAGACTAAAATAGAAAATTTCAAGATTGTAAAAAATTGCTCATTACTTAATATAGTTTTTTACTCCTTGAGTAATTCTCCACACTGACCTATGAGCCATTTTGTATTGCTGTAGCACACACATGTAGATTTACCCATATTCTATTGCATTGTTTTGAATAATCTGTATTGGATACTATTTGTAATTAAGCCTATGTGTATACTAAGATAAGATACAAATAAAATTTCTTATCTATCTAGTTTGTATATACTACTGACATATATATATTATATGTAAATATTAATGTCTTTATATATATATATATATGAATTACAGATGAAACTGATATTCATTATTAATTTTTACATAAAGTATTTTATCTTGTCAGTTCAATAAGAAATGTACAAAAAAATATTGTGAAATAGTGGCTGGCAGTTACAAATAAAACATAAAAGTGATTTTGTAAATATTTTTCACCAGGAAAGTTATTGTAGATAATAATGTAGTAATTTTTACATTACAAAGAAGTTATAATAGAGTAAATTTTTAGTTTTGATACAAGTTACACTTAGTATTTATACATGTTTATTATATTGATGAATTTTATTCAAGTATCATCAATAGAATAACACTGGATTGTTAAACAACAGTATCACTATATTGTGAGAATCTCATGAGAAATAGTAAAGAAACATTTAAAAAAAAATGCAAATATTTAGATTTTATTGAAATATAAAAATGTAACTATCCAATTAGGTATGTCTAGTTTTGTTGATTAATAGGAACTAGCATTTTAAGTTCTCACATAAAATTTAATTTTCTACACACTTGATTTTCCCAATACAGTGAAAATATTTATTTATAATAATATAGTTACATGAAATTGTCATTTTTAAATACAATTTGAAATCGCACAATATGTACATCCCAATTAGGCGCAGTTTCATTCTCGTTACCCAACAGAGGCATGGATCTATATATCTCAATAATAATAAAATTGCTTGTATTGTATTCTATAAGTTTGTGCATGCTCCGAGTGATAGGGCCCGTGTATGTCTTGATATTTATTCTGCACCTAATTTTTGGAGCTTTATTCAATACCAATCTTTTTCGCATACACATACTGTGGTTTTCTGATGAATCTGTTGTATGGGTCACCCTTATTGGTCTGGAAGCAATATTGTAATTTGTTTTATGGAAGTATGGAATAAAATCTGATTAAATTGTTAAAAGTAAATTAAAATTGATTATTTATTAGAAGTTGAAAGTAATAAAAAGACAATATTAATTATGATAAAAAAATTTAAATGTTATAAATTTTGTTACAATAATTGAAGTATGTAATCTAATTTACAAAATCTATGAATCAAAATTATAGTCTAAAATACAATGTAAACAAATTTGGTGGACCTATTCATCATTGTTTTGTTAATATTGTTAAAACAGTTGCTTATTACTTATACAAAAATATATTAGTACTTAACAAATTTTTGTTTCTTTTTCCTTACCTTACTTATGAAATATTCATATAACCAAAGTTTATCGGTGTTTTTATTCACTTGCAAATGTAACTAATAATATTCTAATTACATAAATTCTACTATACATGTAAATTACTGGACTGCTTTTAATCTAATTTATATAGTTTTACTCGAATCTAGAGCGGAAGTATTGGATTTACCATTTAGAGAAATTTGGCCCATTGTTCCCACAAAATAAAATGTTAAAATGTTTTTGATGGTAAATAAAAGACGGCTCATAGAAGTTACTAGTAATCTGAGCTCTAGTAGCTACTTTGCCTAGAAAATAATCATGGCGATTCAAAAAGAGAACGCTCCTAGTATCTTGAATACACTACCGCGTCGTGCCGCGTTAAATACCAATGTTTTTTTTAATGAAATGTAATTTTAATACAAGTTATAAAAGAATAATAAAAACTTTTCTACAACCTTTACCTTGAAAAAATAAAAAAATATACTAAACAGTGTTTTCCTCCATTCATATAGATATACCTAACTGTTTGGAGGAAAACATATTACTTATCAGAAAGCTTACCGCATTTTTTCTTATTGTTATGATTATGACAAATAAAAAACTTGATTTATATTTTTATTTGACGGTGGTATCAAAATTCAGTGTTATGTATCCGTCTATTTTCATTTTAGAATTCTAAACAAAAAATAATAAACGCTTTGACTTCGTACTAAACAAAGTAAAAGTTTTCAAATATTTTGAACGAGAAAATTAAAATTCGCTGACCGCGCGAAAACAGGCTATTCAATAAATTTTAAAAGTTATGATAAAAGAATGTTTTTTTTAATGGCGACTCCGACGGATTGTTTTTACTAAAAATGAAAAGGGTATAGTGATTATTTTCTCATTGTCTATGATACAGTCTTTCCAACTGTCTCATAAATGTTACAGTATGACGATAAATTACGAAAGTTTTTTTCTAATATCATCGTTTTATTGTCGACGTCGTAGTAACTTATCGTATATCCCAAATACATGTATACAATTAGTGAAATATATTTTTTTATAATTCTTCAAATCTATTACCAAAACTTCATATAATGGTGAAGGTCATACAATGAACAAAATTTAATTTAATTATTTTCTAATTCACAATTACTATATACAATAGTGAAGGTCATACAATGGAAAAAAAAATATTTATTTATTTTCTAATTCACAATTACTATGATCTTTAAGGACTCTTATATCTTATATATTTATTTAAAAATATTTCGCTGTCGCGAATACCATATTAGAATTAATTCAGTTTTTTTAAACAAGACCAATTTTAAATTCCTTCCTAACCATTCAGGAATGTACTACTTACTTTTTTTTACAGATCTGTATAATTTAGATGTTCACCATAGACAATAAATGCGCGTTGAAGAATTACATTGTAGCGCAAGTAGATGAATTATATCTATATCCGATTATAATTGAAGTGGCAATACATTTGTGACCGACAGGATATCAAAAATATTTTTTTAACAAGGCAATGTGATTGATAGCCATTTTGGAGAACCTTTTGTTGGTGTTTTGTGAATGTTTTCATGTAAATTTTGTAATAATACAATAATAATAAAGTAATTCTAATATGTATAATACATTGTTGTAACAAAACATCAAATATTTACATTCTATACTGTTGTATTGTTTGTGTAGTGAAGACGCATTGTGATTAAAAAACCGGAAAGAACACTTAGTGTAAAAGTTTTATATTTTTATTTTATTTATCGGTGTGTTGTATTGTAACGTTTCAGAAGACTACTTTTTAGTTTGAGTTTAGTGAAGTGTTTTAGACCCCGTATATTATTTACGTCGCGTGTTTTGTTGTACGTAAAATTTAGATCGCCACAAGATGGCCGCCCAATGCCCGCTTCGCCAAAACTTGCTCGCGGGCCCCGATGTGTCATCAGGAAACAAATGCTTTGCGAGCATGCTGTGAACCGGCGTCTCGCACCCCGACCGTGTTTTCCGGTCGTATTCGGCGAGGTTCCATTACATAAAATGGAATTTCGCTTGAGGCGCCAAAATATGATGGGTGTTGACACAACTTCAATACCGTACCGTTACTCTGACGGCTGTACAAAATAATCGTTGATAAAAATGAGCGAGCCGGACGACGTTGGCAGAGATGTGTGGAAGCGATGGATATTGGAAGCGATACATAAAATAAGGTCTCAAAAACAGAGACCCAGCGTAGAGAGGATCTGTCATGCAATAAGACAGCATCACAACTATCATGAGGATGTTGTTTCGGAGCGTTTAGAGCGGGCGGTTCGAGATGGTACCGTTCTGAAGGTGTATAACAAGGGTCAGAGCTCATACAAGGACCCTGGTGGTCTGCAGAACAAGTCTCTTCGCATTTCGCCCGATGTGGACGTTTCGCGGGCTGTGGCGAAGGCTGTTCGTGAATTGGGCGAGCGTGACGGTTCAACTTTGCGGGCTATAGAGAAATATTTAAGGCAGGCATATCAAGTGGCAGTGGGGCCAGAGGTGGATGTTCGAGGTGTGTTAAGGTCTGCAGCTAAACGAGCAGTGGCCAGGGGCTTATTGATTCATCATGCAGGTTCTTATAAGGCAACTGAAAGACCTTTGACTTCACCTGGGGAGCGTCCTTCAAAGCAGAGGGTGAAGAGTTCTTCAGAGCCTGCTGATAAGGTAATATTTTTATAGATTTTTTATGACAAAACTAGTTATAAACTGGGGTTTAGGATTATGTTTTAGGTTATTGATTGACTACTAATACATCTTAATTAAAAACGAATACACAAAGATGTTATACCAATATTTCTATAAGAAAAAAAATATATATTATTAATAATGTATAATAATGCTATACAAACATAATATGCAGTCAACAGAATGTTTGGCTTGTTGAACATTCTTGTTTATATTCTCTAGATATTATCTTCTATATTTATATCTTCTAGAAAATATTTATAACATACTAATTTTAAAGTTTGAATTTAAATAAACTATTTAATTCAGTATTATTTACAATAGAGTTTGTTTTTTCATCTCGAAAACTTATTTGACATTACTTATGTTGCTAGCTTTTTGCAATTCTTAAATGGTGTTGGGAAATTAATAGTAATTGCCAATTTTTCTAAGTTATTTTATAGGTTTTATTATAATGTGTGAATGTTTAACATTAACATAAATATAGCATAGTTATTAATAAATACAGGATTTGGTATCAAAATGTTTTTTAAATTGACATGTACACTAAAGCAAAGTCTAACTGCTTTTATTTTTATAAAATAATAATTGACTGCGTCATTATATTTCATAAAATATATATATTTAAAATATTTGGCTGTTGAAACAATAAAAATATGCCTATATTAATGGAAGCCATAAAAATGTATATTTGTGTTTTCTGTTATTTTACATTTGTTGTTGTTATATATAATATATTTTTAAAATAAAGATTAAAGTAATAATAGTTGTATACTATGTCTGTTTTAAAAGTATGTCTGGGAAACTTTGATAAGTTTTACATTTTGTATTTTTTTTTTATATGATTTAAAAATTTGGTATTGCACATACAGTACTATCTCGCTACAGCTGGTAACATTATTTAAAAAGTTTACATTCACCCCTGTCAATATAGACTAAGATTAAAAAACAGACTATTATTTGTAAAATGTAAAGACAATTGAACAGGAATAAATTATTTTTTTAAATTTTGTCTGTGTGTGTGTGATATGATTTTAAGAAGTTTATTTTGCTAGTTGTTTACATCTTTCTTATAACTTTATATTTAATATTTAAAATGAAATTATTGTAAACAAGTAACAATACATAGTTTTAATTGCACCCATCACATTATATTCATATTGTTGAATATCTTTATAAAACTCACCATATTAGAGGCCTAGGTTGGTACAATGTTTATTTAAGATCATGGCTCATAAGACAATTGCATATATTTTTATAAATAATTATAGTGTGATGGTTGAGCTGATAGGGTGTGTTGCTAGCAATGGGACCTGGAGGTCCCTTTACTAACAATCATCTCCTATGAATGCAAACACATTCACATATTTGACTGTACAAATGTCTATAGGCTTAAGTGTTTCAAATATTGCTATTTAAAACACTTGATGGCTTAATGTTATTTTTTATGTAATTCAGACATTGCCTTACCTTACATGTCTGTATTATGGGGAGTACTGGTATTTCTACATTTTAGTTTTTTGACTTAGTAACATTGTTAATACTAAATTGAAATATTTATAAACATAATTAGTAGTTTGTTGTTGTACAAAAGTATGTGTTTTTTTTTATTGTATTTGCTGTTGGGGTACCTTTGGGGGAATGTGGGGTGAAGATGAAGTCAGGTTATTTAATGTGTTGTGATAAATTCACTACTAATTAGTCACAGGACAGATGGCTTGAAGGACCACACATCCATATATTCATATTATAAATGCGAAAGACTATCTGTTTGTTAACTGAACAATTTTAATTAAATTTGATGAGTTTCAGTTCTTCAGGAACTTACATCTGTCCATTGCGAATGAGTGAGTTTTTTTAATATAAATTTGAACCCTCTCCTGTTGGTTCTACATCATTGTTTTAATATTTTTAATGTAACAATGTTAGAACAATTGTACCATAAGCTAATTGGTAATGCTGCACTAAACAAATTTTTTCCAGAATTCCAGTCAGGGTGGTGCGCCCGTTTGCACTGAGTGTCTCAGTACCGATACAGATAACGGGCTAGGTTCAGTGGAATTGCTCATCAGTTGCCAACAGTGCAAGTTGTTTGCTCATCCCACCTGTGTTAACTTGATCGAGCATGTCAGTCAGGCAGCTATAAAGGTAAGTTATTATGTATGGTGTCATTATTTGATATGCTACCGTCTGTTACCTGCAACTTTAGAATTGAAAAGAAGAGTATATTTAGAATATTATATTACACATCACAACACAACAATGACGATGCTCACAGCAGCATATAAATTATTATAACATATAAATAGAAATAACAAAATGAATTAAAATCATAATATAAAAAAGTTAAAACACATATAGCAAAACAATAATTAAACTATCTGCTGCAACTAGCTGTTACCTGCAACTTCATCTGCATTTTTTAAATTAGAGATATCCAATAATAATTTCTTTATTCCCATTGAATTTAATTAAGATGTGTTTAGCCATGACAAGTTAACAGATTGACTGACTTTGTACTTATAGTCAGTTTTGCATTTAATAAGTTTGAAGTTTGAAAATCTTCTGTCTTATTGTTTATAGTCTTTATACTGATGTGAAGTTGATATTGTTTTTGTTTATTGCTATTTCAGTGGCTCTGTTACTCAGCTTGCCTAAGACATAGGCATCTTTTAATGTTTAATAAATATATTGATTTAAAATAAAAATATCTGTACTTACTAATATTATAAATTAGAAAGTAACTATGTCTATTTGTTACTTATTCATATTTGAATTACTAAAACATTTTTTATAAATTTAGTACAAGGGATAGATTGCATCTTATTTAAGGGCAGTTTCATCGCGAAAATGTGTATTAACTAATATGATTACTAGTATGAAATGATCATAAATAAAAAAAGAAATATCAATACAAGTCACTAATTGTCATGAAATTCGAAAGTTCCAGTTGGTAAGAAAAATACATTTCATATATATGAGGAAGAAGTTATTTGAGGAAGATTGAATAAATGAAACTAGGATTATAAAATATTTTACCTCGGTGAAATTAAAATTAATAAAATGAAAATTAAAATTCAGTTATAAAATGATTTAGATGTTTTTTACATATTATACTATTATAATATAATATAGTCTATGTCACTTCTGAATAATGTACTGAAGAAGTAGGTAGAAAGATGGGTAGATAAATTCTTTATGGATAAAGAATTTATCTATATTATTACAAATGCATAACATAATTTACGCTACCTCTTAGTAGTGGAGAAAACTTTATTTTATAATAAACATTAGAATTAAAAAATATAAAATTTGAAACAGTAAACATTTCCTATATAAATTTTAATACAAACGTTCGTATTGCATGTTTGAACAAGTCGCGACAAAAAATTGACTTGTCACAAAAAATTGTTTCGGTTTAGAAGGTACTATCATTTTATTATAATGAATTTTATAACAATATGTTGATCTGAGAAAGTCGAAAAATTAATTGAATTGTACAAATGCATGGCGGCCGCATAAATATGTTGACGGGCCGCGTGTTGCTCATCTCTGATTTCACCAAAAAAAGTGTTTCTCAAATCGGCACTTAGTTTAGTTTCCTTATATTAAAATCTAGACTGTTTTTTATAACTTCAAGGATTGAGTCCTAATTAGTGTGTGAACTTTTCTCTTACGTCTTTTTCCTAGTTTCGGCTACAAGACGCTTTCGGCTTATATGTGGTTTCGTCTGAAATCTGGTCGAAACCCAAATTATAGGGGTGTGATATTTATGATACTGATGGCGAGCTGACATCGAGTCAGGATAATATTTCTTTTAATTTTTCCACAAAAGATGGTTTTTATATGGAAATTTCAGTGTCGGTTAGGGCTCTAAAATCAGCTTCGGACGGACTCTGATATCCTTTTTACATAATATAAATTCAAGTCGGTTCCATTGTCTGTTCGCTTAGATCTTTTAAACTACGCAACGTATTTTAACGCAGTATTTAGCAATAGATAGAGTGATTCAAGAGGAAGGTTATATGTAAGTATAATACATGTACACCCGTGCGAAGTTGGGTCGAATAGCTAGTTATGTAATTTGGTTTAACTTAAATAATTGTATCATTTTTAAATATTTCAGTAATAGAAATAGTGAGCCAAAGCAACAAGTTTGGAAAACCTTTAGAATAGTTTGAAAAACAATGTAACTATTTATTTATTCTGTTTAAATCTATATAAATAAAGGACCAATCTCTGAGGTACAATGAAGTTGTTAAATTATATCTTCTTTAATATAAAATACAGAAATTTTATATTAAATTTTACGGATTTTGTTACGAGAGGTTTAAGTAAAATTATTTTACTGTGTAATAGGAACTTTATTCTAAAGTGACATAAGCTATATTTTATGATACCTATACATTACTCCTGTTATGAACACCTGAGTGAAATCGGAGCGGCCTACTTGTATAAATTAATAAATAGGCAAAGTTGTTTTACGTATATACTAGGATATCTTTGTTTTAAGTTTGACGCTGTCATTATTTATAAGTATAATTAGTAAATCACGGGATCTTACCACGTCTTATTTCCGATGATCCATGATCACGGGTGAACAGTTCATCCGTGATCATGGCGGTTGACGCACTGCAGAAATATCAGGAACTCAATAAAAATAAAACATGGTAAAATCCCGTAATTTACTAATTATTCTTATTCAGTAATAATTTAAACTTAGATAACTATACTCACCAATAAATGAAGAATAAAGGAAATATGCAAGATTAGCCTGTTTTTTTTTAAATGAATCCAAACTTTAGATAAAATCTGAAATATAAATGCCTATTGTAACTATTAGAGTGAGCCAGTTCTTCAGAAGTTAAGAAGATTACTCAACTGATACATCAAATTCGATGGCCAGCGTATAGTATAGAGTATCCATCTGAATTTATAATGAGATTTAATTTCTTAATATGTGGTCAAAAGTGAATATATTCATCATTAATGGTTTTATAACCATATATTTTTTATTTATATTACAATTCCTAATTTGATTCTAGATGCTTATGAGTATACAATAATCATATCAGTTTTTATTGTTAAGTCTGTCTATAGGCACTATTGAATCTCGCAACATTCGCTGTACTGTAATGTACTACTACATTTGTATAGTCTCCAATATGTAAAATTAATGATGACTTTAAGCGTTTGATGGGAAATTAAAACTAGAATAGAATTTAGATACTCAAAAATCAATTACAATATGTTTTTTTTTATTTAATTACATTATAACTGTAAGCCATTGAAAGCGGAAGGCATCGTTTACATAAGCTACATGACAGATTTAATGCATTGCCATTCTTAAAGATTCATTTTTATATTACTATATGGTGGCAAACAAGCATTGTTTGTTATCAGTTGCATACTCTATAATTTTATTGTCATATCTTATAATTTAAGCTGGTAACACTTGTTGCAAATTAAGCGGATATCGGCAGAAATTATGAGTCAAGGCAAAGATTTTGTTTATACAGTCTTGTAGTAAATAATTTACTAGAAATTCTGTTTTGAAGTTTCCAACTACTTTTTAGCACCATGAATGTTCTAGTTCGGTGTGATAGCGTATATTAAGTACTTATTTATGAATATTGTAAATTAAGTAAACAGGTATAGTCCGGCGAGCCATGTCGAGTTTGCTGTTCGAATGTTAGGTCGAAGCAACCAATGCGCATATTAAATTGCAATGTAGGCACTGGCCGTCTGGCTCTACATGAATTTTTTGGTTTAATGGTAATGGTCCATGTTATAAATACCTTTAGATTAACATGCATATGAAATAGTAACATTAATATAAACTGTCTTTGTGGTCACCGCCCACCAGATTCGATCAGTAGTTCTTCTCCATGACGGGTTCGTCTTATAGATTCTAAAAAGTGTCAGTTAAGGCGGAGGTTGTGAGACTAGTAGGTGAGCTTTGTTGAGTGTGAGATGCTCACATTACGTTGTGATGATGTGTATAGATGCGAAGCCGATTTTTAATGATTTTAATCAAGCTGTTAAAAATGCCTTATTCGTTGTTAACGGTTAATTAACCGTATTTTATGCTTGGTACTTTTAGTAGTGAGAGGTAAAAAAGGATTGACATAAAATAAAAGACAAATTAACTTTATAAAAGAAGTCTCAACTCTAATCTCTCTACTCTAAAAATGAGCCCTTTTCAATTCTAGGTAATATACTTAACTGTATTATTTCAATGTACACATATGAAAAGGTTTATAAAATCCTCGAGGTGTTTTAATCCAGACCAGATATATTCTTATATTAGCAAAAAAAGACTAGGTATAAAAAGTCTTTACTCTTTTTCTTTGTCTCTGTCGGATAACTAACCGTCAATAAACGCATTTTATCAGTAGCCGACCATAAGATTAGTTAATTGAATGTATTTTTAGAAGTGTAATGATGTGTCGCAGTCGTGCCGGTGGTACTGCGGGGAGTGCGCGCGGTGCGAGGAGTGCGGGCCGGGCGCGGGGGAGGCGGGCCCCGCGGGGGCGGCGGGGGCGGCGGGGGAGGCGGAGGGCGGGGCGGCGCGGCGGTGGGCGGCGCGGTGCGGGGGCTGCGCGCGCGCCGCGCACGTGCGCTGCCGCCCGCCGCCCTGGCGCTGCGCCCGCTGCACGCGCCCGCCGCACCACAGGTACGCCCCACCATATATCTACGGCCTTTTTCATTTATGACCTTTTGACGACGGACGCTAGTCGATTATTTTACTGCATTCCGTGTTTCTATTATTGAAATTGTAACTCTGCGAGCTCGGCGATTAGCGCGTGCAAAAAGTTTTCAAATGTGTACAAATCCCCGAAACCGCTTAATATTTTAACTAATTTTATTGGATTTTACTAATAAAAACGTTTTCCATCTGCTGAGTAAACGGTTATTTTGTCGTATAAATTCCTCATGTCTAATCTAAATAGTTTTTACTTTTTGGTAAAAAGGAACATCCAATATAGCTTAAATAATACTGATCTAAGAAATAATATATTAGAGATCAGATAAAACTCTTATTCGTTCTGAACTTTATATAATTTATTTGCAGATCGACAATGGGGGGGACTCCAAAAAGGAGAAAACCGAAGACGCCGGCGCGTCGTATCAACTCCGACGACGAGCCATCGGACGGTAATGACCCGCCACCCTTCACTCGCATCCCGTCCGAACAGAGAATGTCCAAGGAGAAACAAAAATTTTTTAGATTCTCCGCGTTCAATTTAGTAAAGCGGAGACAATGTAGAGAGTCGTCGAGCGAGTGGGAGGGGTGGGAAGGGGGGTCGAGGTGGGGGGGCGTGCGCGTCACGCGCGTGCAGCGCCTCGAGCTGCGCCTCGAGCCGCGCTCCCCCACGCCCAGCGACGCGCCCGGCTCCTCCTCCGTCTCTATCTCCGCATCCGCATCCGCCTCTGCGTCCGCGTCCGCATCCGCGTCCGCCTCCGCATCCCCTTCCGCCTCCGCATCCGCCTCCGACTCCGAGCCCCCGCCGCTACGCGCGCTGCTGCCCGCGCCCGCGCCCGCCCCCGCGCACCTGTCCGCCGTGTTCGAGCGGCTGGCCGCCGACGCCAACCCCGACGGAACCTGGGGCTTCGCCGCCGAAGCGCAGAAGCAGCGACGCATCGAGGAACCGCCGAAGTCGCCGCAGCGCAGGCCTAAGTCCCCCGACAAGCGCCGAGTGGTTCGCCGCAGTAGGTGCGGCGACAGGTTACTGACCACGTTGTTCGACGGCCTATCCGAGTTCTACTCGGTGCGAACCGCGTCGAGATCTCAGTCTAGACATCGATCGGCGAGGACGGTCGAGCCTGAGGAGGATCGGCAGGTTTTGAAGGAGACTAGAAGCACTTTTAAGCGATATCAGGCGGCTTTGAGCCGCGGGCGAAGTCCCAGTAGAACGAAAAGTCCCGGCCGCGCGCAGAGCCCCGGTCGAGCGCGCAGCCCCAGTCGGGCGCGGAGCCCCGGTCGAGCGCGGAGCCCCGGTCGACCTCGGAGTCCCAATCGGGCGCGGAACGTCAGTCGAACGCGAAATCTCAGTCGCACGCCGAATCCCAGTAGAGCTCGGAGTCCCAGCCGAACGCGGAAACCCAGTCGCGCGAGGAGTCCCAGTCGGACGAGAATCAATCGAGCGAGGAGTCGGTCGCGGCCGAAACTAGAGAAAAAGCCGGATGCGCGGCAACAAAAGGGCGCAGATAGAGAGCGCAGTAGATCGCGCGGTCGAGAGGTAGAGAGCGGGCGCACGGCGGGCGAGGAGCGGCTGTCGGCCTCGGCGCTGGTTAGGACGCTGGCGGCCGGCAAGCACCGCGCCGCGCCCGAGGACGCGCGTAAACTGTACCGCGGGGTAGCGCTGGCCAGCCGGGCCGCCGCGCCCAGGCCGGCCACCGATCAGACGGGTAAGATCGGTTCGTGAGGTGCGGTGAAAGTGTCGTGGTGGATCTGACCGACTCGCTCGCTCTGATTGATGGCCGGCGCTCCGCTGTCTCTCGTTTTCGTTTCTCTTCCGAATCTCTCTGTTCGGACTCGGGCGAGAGAGTCTCGCCTCTAGGGGTTCGCTTGCGTCGTACTCGGACGCCGAGCGCCGATGACACCTCTCGTTACTCGGGTTTCGGCCGTATCCACACATGCACTTTCGCCCGCGCTTCGCGTTGTCCCAGCGTAGATGTTATCATACGACCGGGTCCTTCATTTTATAGAGCGGCGTCAACGAAAGTGGCGGGTGTTAGTTTCCGAGAGGGTTATGATGAAGGATCCTTTTTTTTTTATTTTATGTTAATTTTTTGTGCAGGGTGCAATTTTAAAATTAAATAATCGGATCATCGTCAATAACGTCACCGTCTAGGCGAGTAGCAAATTTTAGCGTGGACGCTTAGAGCTCATTAGTCGAGTAAATATTTGCATATCGACGATTATAATAAATAAGAAGTGTGTGGTGTGTAGTCCGCGTTGGAGGAGGATGTTACAAGTAGCGGTGCGGTCCACAGAGTGCGCGCGGCTGCCGGCGGGCGTGGCGGCGTGGGACGCGGAGGTGTTCGCGGAGGCGCGCGCGGCGGGCGCGGGCGCGGAGCCCGAGGCCGAGCCCGCCGCGCGCTGCCCCTCCGCCATACAGTTCGGACAGTGGGAGATCGACACCTGGTACTCCAGCCCCTTCCCGCAGGAGTACGCCAGGTCAGTAGCGTGCCTACTAGTTCACTCATTGTACGGTCTATATTCATAGTTCCGTTGTACTATTTAATTACATCATAATGATGGATTTTTGTTAAGCATCAATAATATAGTTTGTATTAAAGATAGTTTAATTTCCCTGTTATGAAAAACCTAAGTAAACACACAGCACTTACAGAATATTTTTTTATTTTCAGACTCCCGAAGCTATTTCTCTGCGAATTCTGCCTAAAATATGCAAAGAGTCGAGCGGTGCTGATGCGGCATCTGGACAAGTGCTTGTGGCGACATCCACCCGCCACCGAGATATATCGCTGCGGCGACATTTCAGTGTTCGAAGTGGATGGGAATGCGAACAAGATCTATTGCCAGAATTTGTGCCTGCTCGCTAAGCTCTTTCTCGACCACAAAACTCTGTACTATGACGTGGAGCCGTTTCTCTTTTATGTGCTGACAAAAAATGATAGCAAAGGTTGCCATTTAGTTGGCTACTTTTCCAAAGAAAAACATTGTCAGCAGAAGTACAATGTGTCTTGCATAATGACGATGCCGCAGTATCAGAGACAGGGTTACGGAAGATTCCTGATCCATTTTAGTGAGTGGTGGAATCTTTATTTCTTTTTATTATAACTTTCATAAATGAATATGGTATACATATATATATATTCGTGGGTATTTTTTAAATTAACGACATGTTTTTTTTACAGGTTATTTACTTTCAAAAGAGGAAGGCCAGCCGGGTACTCCAGAAAAACCTTTATCAGACCTTGGAAGAGTTTCATATCATGCATACTGGAAATCTGTAATTCTCGAATTCCTCCATGACCGTAAAGATAAGCCATTCACATTTGAAGAAATTGCTCATATGACAGGCATGCACATGAATGATATTGCCGTAACATTTCAGTTGTTAGGATTTGTAAGATACCTACCAAATAACGAAGAGGTTAAATTGGGACTCTGTATAGATTGGCATAAAGTGGAAAATCACGTGAAAAAGTTAAGAAGTAAACCACGATTGGAGATAGACCCAGAATGCCTTAGATGGACGCCTCTTCTGGCACCTACAGTAAATCCTTTCAGATCACCAGAGGAGGCGTCTGGGGACCAAGAAACTGAGAACGAGGAGACAGAACCAAAATCCGATAGTGATGCTACGGCCACGGAGTCGGAAACTCCCACAGCTAGTACTGCTAAAATTCCTACTACTACAAAGATTCCTACCAAAATAGAGAAAGAGGAACTACCGGTAGAGGTAACATCTTCTGGGAGAAGACGGACCAGACCCCTTAAGTATAGTGAAACTACTTATCAGACGACGCCGGCCGTCAGCGATGGCAATCGAAAGAGGAAACGTGATCTCAGTAGAAAAATGTCAGAGTCAAACTTTGAAGATATAAAGGATGACGAGACGCCCAAGCAACAAGCAAGTAAGAGTACATCTAGAAGATCCTTAAGAGTCCAAAATGAAGATAACAATGACAATAATAGTCAAAGAAATAGAAGACCTAGTATGAAAGATACTCCAGTATATGCTTCTGACAGTCAAGAAAGTCAGGAGGAAAGTGCAAATAATACATTAGTTGCTACTCCAATTGTTAATACTATTAAAGCTAAAACTAAACGGAAAATGAGTTGGAAAGGACGGCCGAGGAAACGTCAAAGGGTCAATAATAAAACAGTAGCTAGAACTAGTTCACCAGTGATTAAGAAAGCTAAACTAAATGACAATAAAGATGTAATCAATGATTATAAAAAAGATGATCCTATACAGGAAGCAGATAAATTGCCCGAGATGCCTGTGGATGAGCAAAACACTCCAAATAAATTAAGTGAAGATAAAGAAAAAAGTAAAAATTCCGATGAGAGCTCTGAAGATTCCTCTGGTGAAGCAGATGATGAAATGGATGTAGAGGAAATCGAAAACAGAAATGACGCTCTTAAACCGACCACACCACATAATACGGAAGAAAATAGTACAGATCATCACACTAGTGACATGGAACTTGATAGTATACACATGGATTCTCCTAAATCTATAGCAGAGAAAGAGCAGGACATGAATGACATGGCCATAGACAAGCCCGAGAAAGATAATGAGGAAATAAAATGTAATGAAAATGATAAAGACAAAATTGATGAAAACATGACAAAAGAACCTGCAGAAATAAATGAGGTGACAGAGGCAAGAAATGGCGTAAAGAAATCACCTTGTAAACCACCTCTTGACGATAAGGACACAATTATTATATCAGAATCTGACGACAATAATAGTCAAAGCTGTCCACTCCCATCACCCACGTCACATTCTGTAGCGCCGGTATTGCAGAATAATGAGAATAAGCCAAAAGAGATTGAAGAAAACGAAAGTCCGTCTAAAGTTATACCAGTCGTATCAACAGAAAATGCCCACATAGTATTAGATCCTAAAGTGCAGGAGGAAGTTAGTACAGCAAGACCTGTAGTAGACAGCATCTCACCAAAAATCCACTTGATTGAAACAATTGTCGTGGAAGGGGAGTCTGACAATGCCAATTCCCCAATTATATCACCTAAGAAAAATGACAAATCGGTTATTAGCGAATCTCCAAAACAAAAGAGTTCGCCGGAGAAAATGGAAATAGAGGTAATTTGTGAACAGAAAAAAAGTGAAGTTAGAAAGGAAACTGTGATACAACATCAAGCCATAGATGAAAGTAAGACTCCAGAGAAAAAATCGCCAACAAAAATCGAAACAATTATTCAGAATTTAGATCCCCAGAGAGAACTATCATCAATCGTAAAAAAACCAGATCCCTCCAAGATAGACTCTTTTCAAGAATCAGATAATAGAAATAAGATTCAATATCCAATTGTAAGTAAAGAGAGTGAAATTACCTTTCGAAATGAAGCATACTCAAGAAAAGACGAAGTTGTTATAACAAGAAATATAACAGACCACAACTTTCAAAACGTACCAAATTATCAAAATCCCGTGAACAGTTCAATGACTATACAACAAATAAATTCAGCGCAACATTCATTTCTCAATAACAGATCAAATATAAACAAAGAATCTCAATCAATACAGACTGAAGTTCTGAAGTCAAATGAACAGAATCGTGTTATAAATAGTATGGTAGACACTACACCAGTGATAAGTAAACCCGCAACAAAATTAGAAGTACCCCATCCTATATCTTCTCCAGTTATAAACCCAGTGATACCAAAAGTCCCTAATGTGTCAGAAATAAATTTTTTACCCAGATGCCATAGCGCTAACCCCGCTATAAACATAGGTCTTGATAGATCGGAATTGGAAGCAAACTATGCAAATAAAACTATAGCCTTACAAGCTTCTATAGCTGGTTCAATGAATATCGTGCAGAGTAACTCCCAAGACAAAAATGACTCTAAACCTAGAGAAAAGAGCAAACTTCGGGATGTACGCGTGAATTCCGCTCACAGCAAAATAGAGAAAACGGAAAAGAAAACTAATAAAAACGATACACCAAGAAGTACACCAGAACCCAAACTGTTTTTTCCTGAGCAAAACACCAATACTAGAAAATCAGAGACGTCTGTCCCTATAAATGTTATTAATTCTGTAGCGGTCACCAGCAAAGTAGAGAGTAAATCGTCAAACGAAGCGCCAAAGAAGCAGGATTTTTTTAAGAAAGAAAAATCAAGTGCCAGCAAGTGTGAGTCGAAGAATACTTCGGTTAAACACGATAAGAGTTGCACGAGTCAGTTAAATTTAAAGGCTTCTGTCGACCATCAGAACGATGTAAACAAAATGTTGTCTAAATTGAAATACGACAATGAGTTGATGCCTAAAGCTGATTATTCAATGAATCAAATTCCAAACTACCATACGACGCACGCACAATACCATCAGTGGGCCCCGTGGTCAGACCCTACTGTTGGTCGTCTACAGAGTGGATGGGATCCCAATAGGTTTATAGATATGAAAAATGACAAAAACTATTTTGATAAATTACAACAGTTTAACCTTCCCACTCTGGATCAAATGCAAAAGTCTCCTCAAAAATTGCATGGGAAATACGATCAGAAAGATTTCCACAACATAGCATATGGAGCGCTTTCGAGTGGGATATACGCTACAGGCCTCGCTCATCTGAAGGAGACGAAGGGGCCGAAAACGTCTGAATGTTCGCAGAAGAGTGATTGTAAACCATCAAAACAATCAAAAACGACTACTGCGTGCCAGACACAGTGCGAGTCTAAGAAATCGGCAGACGCTCAGATGAAGCAGATGATGCAACGACAAGCTAACAAGCAACAGGAGGCGACTAGCTGCGCGGAGTACCGCCAGAGTACGCAAGTGCTGGCGTCGCCCGGTTGTAAGACGCCTTTCAACCAGAACGGTCCGTGTCAGGAGAAGGAGATCGAGAAGAAATCTCGCCAGACTAAGAAGGAAGAATCTCCGAAAGATACGAGCAAGGAAGAGATGTGCGAAGCGGTGAGCCCGGCGCTGCAGTCGATGGGCGTGTATACGCCGGACTCGACCAGCAACTCGGTGCACTCGGTGCAGTACCCGGCGTGCGAGCTGGACGTGAGCCAGCTGGGGCTCGAGTCGCCCACCAGCATCGGCTCCGACATGGCCTCGCCCTGCTCCATGATGCACATGCACCCGGCGCCCAGCCCGCAGTACTCCTCCCTGCACATCCCCTCCATCATGACGCAGCCCAATCAGCCGCCCAAGCAGCAAAAGATCAACAATAGGAATAGGTGAGTTTTCGATTTAGCAATATATGAGCTACATTAAGCCGCGGTACTATGACTCATCGGAAATACTATATCAATTACGAGCTTCAAGTTTTTATGTTTACTTGCAAGATTAATAATTCATTACGAATCCGATGACAGCGACGCACCGATGTGCGTCGCTGTGACCGCCCGCCTAATAATTATGGTAATTCCTCAGGAACAACAATTCGAGCGGCGGAGGAGGCGGCGGCGGCGACAGCAAGGCGTTGCGCAGCGCGCCCACCCCGCCCGCCGCCCCCCCGCGCACCCGCGCCACCCCGCCCGCGCACGCGCACCAGCACGCAGGTACCTAAATAAATATTACGATCCGGCTCGAAGGACCGAACGAATGTTGGGGTTGTTCCTACACTCGTCGATAATGATAATTGATAGTCTACGAGGATGATGAATAAAAGATACGTCCCATAGTGAACGCTTGATGTTACACACTCATTTATTGTATAGTAATATATGTATGTAAAATGATAAATGTAAAAGAATAATACATATTTTGAAAAAAGAATATAAATTATTTCATTCGAATGTTGCTTTACTTTTTGTTCTGTTTATATGTATATATATATATTATTCTGTTTATATATAATAAATGACTTTCGAACACTGAGTTTACATGTTCAAATTTTAGATAAATAGAGAACGGATTCAATTTTTTAACTCATCGTCATATGTATCTATTGTGCATGCAAATTATTAAGTTTCAAGTATATCTTATATATAAAATTCTCGTGTCACAGTTTTCGTTCCCATACTCCTCCGAAACGGCTTGATCGATTCTCATGAAATTTTGTGAGCGTATTGAGTAGGTCTGAGAATCGGCCAACATCTATTTTTCATCCCCCTAAATGTTAGGGGTAGTCCACCCCTAATTTTTATTTTTTATATTAAGGCAAAACAACGTTTGCCGAGGCAGCTAGTAATATATAAAGTTTGCTCTTCTACATAAACACAACTACACTTCTAAATATATATAACTCAAAGGTGACTGACATAGTGATCTATCAACGCACAGCCCAAACCACTGGACGGATCGGACTGAAATTTGGCATGCAGGTAGATGTTATAACATAGGCATCCGCTAAGAAAGAAGAATTTTGATTAATTCTATCCCTAAAGGGGATAATATTTTATGGGATGAAAGTTTGTATGAAACTTTGTCAATTTTAAACCGATCGGGCTGAGACTTTGCATGCATAAATCTACTTTGACGTAGGCATCCTCATAGAAAGGATTTTGATAAATTCCACTCTGTGCGAAGCCGCGGGCAAAAGCTAGTAATTTATAAGTACATGATTATTATAGTACGATGTTCCATACAGATAATATTCGACTGTTTTCATCTTTTAAATTACTAATATTAGTAAGATTGTTAACTTTCTGCTAGCTAGTAGCACTTATCATCTTATTCTGTTATTATCTATTGAACGACTATGAATATATGGTTATACGGAGTACATATCGACGTAGTGATGGATGTGTGCGCTTACATCGCAGGCGGCACGGTGATGCAGGCGAGCGGCGGCGGCGGCGCGGGCTACCAGGGCGGGTACCTGCCGTTCCAGCAGCAGCAGCAGTACCACGCGGGCGTGGCGGGCGTGGCGGGCGTGGCCAGCGTGGCGGGCGTGGCGGGCGGCTCGTGGGGCGCGCCCAGCTGCTCGCTGGCCAAGCTGCAGCAGATGGCCGACGCGCCGCAGCACCACCACCCGCCGCACCCGCCGCACCCGCCGCACCCGCCGCACCCCCCGCACCCACACACGCCGCCCGCGCACCAGGTACGCACCACCACCATTACCAAAAACGAATCCACGGATCACAACACTATCACAACTACGATCGACACTATGTCGACCACTACATTCGCCAGCACTAGTACAACCACCTACAAAATCACAATCGACACTACCAGTACTACCACCATCATCATTAGCCTTACCATTAACACCATTAGCATATGCATTACCACCGACACCACCACCAACACTACTATCATCAACACCGTTCCTAACACCAGTATCACTAGCACAGGACCTACCATCAATATCACCAGCACATGCACTATCACCAACACCACCACCAGCATTATCATTATCATCATAAGTAAAGTGTTTGAAAAAATTATGCTCAATCAAATGCTTCAACACTTTAAAATAAATAGACTGCTTCACAGTCGGCAATTTGGTTTCACAGCCGGTAAATCAACTACTGACGCTGGTGTAGCTTTAATGAAACACATTTTTGACTGTTGGGAGAGATCTCAGGATGCTATCGGTGTATTCTGTGACCTCTCAAAAGCATTTGATTGCGTTGATCATGAAACACTCTTACTCAAACTAGAACATTACGGTATTAGATATGAAGCACTATGCATGATGAAATAATGTTTACACGATAATAATGTTTTTATAGAAAAACTTTAAATCTATAGCACTGACAATATTATCTGATTACACTAATAATGAGTGCGTAGCTACTTCTATGTTGATTATCGCATGACTCTTACTTGTTATACTGTAATTATTTATATAAAAAAAACATCTATTAAAAAGAGCAACACACAAGTTTCTTGCTCATTCTTCTTGTGATGAATCTGCATTCCGAATGAGTGGTAGAATCAAAATATGACTATTCAAAAGTGCTTGTAATGAGTTTATTTGAATAAAATCTTTATTCAAATAAACACATTACAAGCATTTCTATTTCTATTTCACCAGCACATACACTATCACTAACACCACCACCAGCACATGCACTACCACCAATACCACCACCACCAGCATCACTAATAGACTGTAACTAACACTAACATTCTTATAGATAGTTCGAAAATGAAACTGTATATAGTTTTGTCACATACTCAATTTTTTTTTACTACTTTCCCCACCATCCAAATTAGTAGATTTAGTTGTAGTGTTAGTAGATATGCGATGTAGTGATGGGTATTAATAGATTGTGTTTTGATACAGAATGAGTTGTTGCAGTACGCGCAGCAGGCGGGCACCCCCCCGGCGGCCGGCGTGGGAGGCGTGGGGGGCGTCGGCGGAGTGGGCGGACACTACCACGCCAAGTACTACCCCCCGCACAACCAGCTCGACTCGCCCAGGAACACCAGGAACGCCTCCAGTGAGTCATCACATATCACCCCTCTAACTGCTCAGATCTCTTTACGAGTACCGAATAGGCTTTCGAGCAGGAAAGAATCTTTATTTATACGCTCTTTCATGCAGGAAAGAGTGTGCATGTAAATGTAGACAGAGAACGAGAAAAACTGACACGCCGTCAGTGAGTGCATTCCTGCGTCTTTTAATCGTGCGTGCTTTAGTGTTTTTTCTTAATAATTAATTATCATTGCTAAATGTCCTACATATCTAAGTTTGGTGTAAAGACATGTTTATAGATTTATTGATAATTTAAGAAATCTGTGATACAAAAATCAAAATTTTAAAATAAAATCGAGTAAGCACTAATATGGACATTAACAAAAAAATATAATTAATATGTATTTATAGCATAATCCATAACACTAATCGCTAGAAATAATAATGCAGAAGAAGTGTAGTGTATTTCGTTATATCAGTCAAATATTTAGAAATTTAGTTTAGTTTTAATTCTTATATATACAGAGATAGTATTTCATACTTGGAACATTATGTATACTGACATTAATATGTGTCCGTGGTTTCCTGCGTGAAATTTATAGCCTATATGTTATCCTGATATTAGCTATGTTACTGTAAAGTTTAATCAAAATCCCGTCAGTAGTTTTCGCGCGATAGAATAATGAGCATTCATCCATACTCACAAAATTTCGCATTTATAATATTAGTAAAATAGCTAAGTATACAGTTGCAGTGAAATTAACATAAATATTTGCAGGCAACCTGAGCCCGATGCAGCACATGCAGATAGCGCCCGGGTCGCGCATGTCGCCCAACATCAACACGCACATAATCAGCCAGTACGGGCTCAACGGGTACCGCATGTCGCCGCAGCAGCAGTTCAACAACCTGCCCGTGCAGATGATGAACATGCAGGGCGGCGTGCAGTACGGCGGCGCCGACCCGCGCGGACAGCAGCCCAACGTCTACTACGGCTACATCAACCCGCCGCCGCTCGCCATGCAGCCGCTCAACTCCACCACGCGCCGGTAGCCCGCCCCCACCACCACCACCACCACCACCACCACCACCACCACGCGCGCCCTGCACGCCCGGGACCCTCGCCACCACGACTAGATCCGCTACACACTTGAATCCTGCACTAAATTGTGTGCGGTAGATTCATATCCGTCCCTGGGACCCCCGGGACCCACGACACGTGATACGGCGCTGTAGACTCTCCACCCACTTGAACTCTACACAATTTAATGTGCTAGTAGATTCATATTTGTTTGTCTCCGTTTGTACTTGAATTATCAGTGTCTACTATAAACTCACTCTTGTAATGTTTTCATTCAGTACATTTTTGTCTTTTATTGTTTATAATCAGTGTTTACTATAAAATCACTCTTTTTACTTATACAATGTTGCATCTTTTCCTTCTAAACTTAATATGACTACCACTCACTCATAGACATTAATAGTTTCTATTGTTATTATCAAAGTGTGATCTATAAGCAATAAGCGTGTGTCAAGGATGTGTGTTAAACTTGATTGAAAGCACAAAGCAAACGAGATAAATCAATGTCCTTAAAATCAGTGCGGGGCCTTCAAGTCGCTCGAGTGTATGGACCTCTAAACGTTGACACCACTTCGGTTGCCTTACCCTTCCGCGTCGGAACTTTCCGTTACGCCCGCCGGAGGGCGCCGCGTCCCGTATGGAAGCTGAATAAAGTACAAAATTGAAGATAGTGTTGTATTTAAATGTGTTTATAGTGATGACGACTGTGACCACGAATCGTAGCATAATTATATAGTGCAATAATTTTATATGCTCCGTTGGAGATGTGTGTATCGTGTAGTGATCCACGGAATGTCACGTCGAGCGTGACGCGACGGACAACGATCTGAATGATGGGCGTGCTTGAATCCTAATAAATTATACAGGGTTAGCTAATCTCGATCTGAATTAATCCGGGATTACTAATCTGAAACCCAGAGGAATGCCATGGAACTGAATAACTTTGCCAAAGGAAGAAAAGTTGTAACCTATCATATTGAACTGGAAATATATGTGGTTTAAAATGAAATAATTTAAAATTTCGACTTCAGTTTCATTAGTACTAGCACTGGGTTTCAGATTTGTATACCACAAACAACCCTGTATATATCATTATATATATACTTAGTTTCCAAAGAGGTAATCTTAAGTCTTTGGGTATGTCAAAAATAAGTGCAATTGTTTTTTGTTTTGGAGTTGCATACTGTACGTCTGATATAAAGATTCGTTCGGAACTCGTATTTATATGTATATGCTGTTACGTTAAATGTTTGTGTACACACGCGAGATGTAATACATTATTGCCTGTACAGTTGGTGTGTCTAATTATAATTTTACGAATAAGTACCCAGTTTGTCTTTAAATCTGTTCTTCGAAGTGCCTCTCACGTCCCATCCGCTTAATCTCTGTGTAAGATATTGTAAATGTACCGCTTTCTATTAACACAAGGCTGTATAGACATAGGTCCCTTATAGTTGTAGTATACGTGTATGATAATTACGTTTTTAATTTGTGATAGTGAATAAGGAGTGGACGGGCGCGGCCACGCCACCGCGGGCCTAAGGGACACTTGTTTTTTTATATTTTGTATTCTTTTACACGATTTTAGACTTAAAATTATTATGTAATGATAATCCATTTGTTTTTACGCTTCGCTTAAGATTATTTTCGTGTTATCACAGTAATTTATTGCCAAATGTTATTAACACTGATTGCGTTTAAGAGTTTTAAGAAAAGTATTTTAGGTTATGATTTAAGTTCGGTCTGTGCATGTTTTACGATTAGTCGTTAGGTCGGCAGCAGCGGTGCGGTCGCCCGACGGCCGCGCTCTGCTGAGAATCGGTAAATTATTTTGTAAGATCTGCTCCTTTAAGGTTATGAATGTTATTTGTTACTAATGTGTAGTAATTATATGAAATATTGTAAATATAAATAACAGTAAGGAAACATGTAGCAGGTGTTATTACACAAAATATAATTTTGTGAAAAAAACAAATTGGGCAGTTTTATTTGTCGTCTCGTATCGTATATTGATAGACTTACAATAATTTTATATAGTTACGATTATTACATACCTAGTAAGATTAAATTATACGCGGGCCAAACTGAAAGTTCTTAGAAAATCAAAAACTAATGAAATTAGCAAGTTATTACCTTTATTTTATCTTTTCAAAATAGCGTCCATTCACGTCAATACATCGCTGCATCCGATAGAACCACTGAGAAAAGCACATTGCCCACTCGTCCTTAGGGGTCTCTTTGACGGCCTTCTAAAACGTAGCCACCGAATCCTCGGCGTCCATAAAACGTTTTCCTCGAAGTTTTTCTTTTAATTTTCGGAATAAATAAAAATCGCAAGGTACGAGGTCGGAGCTATAAGGCGTATGACCCAGTAGTTCTACGTCTGAGGTCGCCAAATAATCGATCATTTGCCTGGCGGTGTGCGACGAAGCATTGTCGTGGTGAAGGAGGATCCTACTGCGAGGTCGTTTCTCACGCACTTTTTTCAAAACACGTGGCAAACAATCGTTACTGTACCACTCTGCAGTAACTGTTTTTCGATCCTCTAAAACAATTGTCGCGTAATGACCTGTTCTTCCAAAGAACGAGGCCACCATCTTTTTTCCTATGCTTCGACCTCTCTTCACTTTAGTTGGCAACTCCTCGGAAGGAAACACCCACTGAGCTGTGTCTTTTAGTTTCGGGATCATATCAGTAAATGCAGCTTTTGTCTCCCGTAACTATGTTAAACACAGAATTTGAATCACCTCCGTTAAATCTTTCATGCATTTCACGGCACCAATCAACACGACGGAGTTTTTGAGCCTCAGTGAAATTATGAGGTATCCACCGGGAACAAGGCTTCCTGACCGCCAAATGGTCATGGAGGATTTTGTGCACTTGACTCATACCAATCGTTAAGCTTGCCCGGATCTGCTAATAGGTCACTCTTTTGTCAGTCTCTATCATACGCCGCACAACACGGATGTTATCTTCGGTTGTCGCCGTAGAAGGCCGTCCCTCACGCAAATCATCGGTGAGATTAGTGCGACCACGTTTAAACTCATTAAACCAGTTGTAAACAGTGGCACGAGACGGGGCTTCATCGTGGAAGGCCAATCGTAGTCTATCATAACTTTCTTGTTGACTTAGATGATATCGAAAGTCATAAAAAATCATCACACGAAAATTTTCTCGTGTTCAGTTCATGATAACATTCATCATCATCATCAAAGAGTTCCATTTTCAAAATTTTAACAATTTTTTATTATATTGCTTTCAAGTAGCCAGTTCTAAAAACTTTCAGTGTAGCCCTCGTATTGTACATGAATTATAAACATGGTCGTCATCTTACAATCTAGTAAAATCTAGAGATATTATTAATATAGAAATTATACAATAAAATGTTAATCTAGCCACTATATAAATAGCAAACAACAGTCGCCATTTGAGAAACAATTGCTTAATTCTAAATACAGATCTGGTAAAGGTTTATATTTCATATTGATTATTTCCTCAATGTGTATGCCAAGCCGAAAACTAGGGCAGAACTGAAAAACTTTCCAAAGAACCGGTGAAAATTAAAAAAAAAATCACTTGTGATTAATAACCAGGCTTCGCACGGATGTAATTCAATTTTTAAAATTTCTCGGCTTGAGTATAACATATGTATTTATTATACATATAAACCTTGTTGAATTACTCTATATAAATGAACAACTAGAATAAAAAGAAAAAGTATCAGCAAGAAGCTACTAGAATTTGGACATTTCGGGAAGGAACTGACTCGTAACATAGTTTCCTCTGGTTTGGGCATCAGGAATGCATTAAACATGGCATTAAAAAAATATTACATAGAATTGAAAAAAAAAAACTACAATAAATAAGTGTGATCGTCAAATAGCTGATCCGCGCAAATTCGTCACACTGTTTTTGCAACTACGCTACTACATATTGCTTCCGCCTACAGCCGTCCTTGTGTGCTATCCAACACTAAAAGAATTATCAAAATCGGGTCACCAGTACTTATTACCCAGACAATAAAAAATATTACTTTTGTAATATTAGTATATATACTATGAATAGTTCCATAAATGTTTAAATAAATAAATTAAACAAACAATAACTAGAAATAGGAACTATTTAAAAATACTTTGGCACTTGGTAAAACTTCTATGTGAGGATACAAGCGTGAATTTAAATGATATTTTGTTATGGGGTAAGATGCGGTAGTCATAGGCTTAAGGGGCGTCCATAAATTACATGAGGTGTTTTTTTTAAATTTCTAATGATGAGATGTGAGATTTTATTCAATCCAGCTCCCCATCCCCCAATCTCACGTGAGATTGTTATTAGTAAACAAAAAAAATTGCTTCGTGCTTTTATTTATGACTACTTATCAATATTGTTGAAAGTTATAAGTTTAATAAGCATGTATAAATTGTACAATCTTGATTATCCATTTAATCAAGATTGTACAATTTGTACATGCATTTTTTTTTACTAATAACAATATAGTAATTTTTTTTGTTTCAATCAGAAAAAATATTACGTGATATTTGCCGAGACTCCTCCCCCTTAAACATCTTACGTAATTTATGGATGCCCCTTATTAGTTGTTGATGTCATGCTGAATGAAAACTGACATACCTAAAGTATATTTATATAACATGGCAGTGATCAATCAATCACTCTCTCTGAATGAATAAATTAATTTTTTATTGATTTTAGAGAGTCAGAAATATAAATTGACAACAAAGATTCTATTTTTGGCGTCAGCCAGATTTCGAACTCACAACCTTATAGGTGTAAGTCATGGTAAACCACCAGGCCACAACATTTTCAACATTTAACAACTTATAATATAATCACAAGTTTTACCCCAAAAGAGGTCTTAAATCTGAACATATAGTGGCAGTGGCAGAGGGTCTAGAGGTCTCCTGTCGAGTTGCACCTTACTCCTCAGCAGTTTGAGGCTATTCTCTGTGACTTTTGTACAGCCTCGCACAAGCAGTCCTTCCAGCTTTTTACTGTGCGATGCTAAAGCTCTGAAAATATCCAAACAATATTATAAATGCTAAATTTTATTACTTTTTACCATTCAATAATTGTATGGTTTTGAATTCAATTTGATGTAAAGATAAACTGAAGCATCTTTTAACTACAAAAATAATAACAAGTGCTAGGTATTACTAGGTTAGCTATCTTTATAAATTTTTACTATACCCAGTCTTAACAATTTAACATGATTTGTAATTTACAAACACCATATAGAAAGAAAGAAAGAAAGAAAGAAAGAAAATTGTTTATTTGGTACACTGAAAATAATTTTTAAAATTAAATTTACATTTTATATTAATAATTAGAGTTTGGTACTCTAATTATTAATATAAGGTCTCCGCATATGTCGTGACGGGGTGCCACGACGCTGGTTTTCAGCGGACACCTTCATATACAACACCATATCATCAATAGTATGGTGTAATAATAATATGTAATATATAATATTTATTGTTGTATGTTTTTTACACAAATATTATCGTCCATGTTTCAGATTTTTTAAATTATTCATTGTTTTTCCTGTCAGATACCTTATGGGGTACGCTGTGTGTTGAGTGCCATTATATAATTGTGGTATCAAGGAATACTTCTCTTCATTCTGACACAATATCTATAATAATTATCTATAGCAAATAAGAAAATAATAAAATATAATCCGAAACTTACCTAATACCTTTATCAGTAATTTCTGAACAACCACCCAAATTGAGAAGTCTTAACGAAGTACTATATTTAGATATAGCATACAGGCATCTATCTGTAATTTGCTTATTACCCTCAAAACTTAAAGTTTTCAAGTGTTTGAATTTCTTAATGAATACTAGGATGCTACTCTCCGAGATACACAGACAGTAGGAAAGGTCCACATCTTCCAACTTGCTTTGGTGTAGTGCTAGCGCTTCTATGGCACCTGTAGTCAGCCATGAACACCTCGTAAGCTTCAGCGTTATCAAATTATTACAATACAAAATAACAGGCTGCAAACACTTGGCAGTTAAGTTTTTACACTGGCTCAAGTTCAAATTCACTAAGTCTGGATTACGTAGTAATAGAGGAATGAGGTCTGAATCCGTTACTGTCAAACATTTACTCAGATTCAACACATTTAGTCTTGTACATGTTAAAGAGAAGACCTGTAAGAAAATATTTTTTTAATCATATTACAAGTATTTTTAAACATAACAAATAGTAGATATAATTCACTTACGTTGAAGGTGTGCGGTGAAAACCCTTTATTCATCAATTTCAAAGATTTCAACTTGGTAAAGTATATGTTTATGATTTGTAAGCAAGTTTTGGACGCGCAGCGAAAATTAAAGCAGTCCCGTAGAGTAAGATGGGGGAGAACTTTGGACACTAATATATCTTCCCAATATAAATCGAATAACTGAGTATTTCGTTTCATGTTCATTCTGATATTTGCTTAATTTTCACAAAATAATACAAAAATTTGCTTGTTTTCAATGTAATGTGATCGGTATCAATAATTCAGTAGACAGTATCCTTGACACTGACATTTGACATTGATATTTGACATCTAAGCGTTACTGACGTCTGACGTAATTTGTAATAGTAATACTTCATTTGTTCCTTTATTTCAACTATACTAATACTGTAGGCTGCAGCTGATTGCAGATGGCACTCCAAACCTGTGGAAGGACTTATGGAGAGGCTGGAGGCCAACTCCCGACTTTAGTCTGAGGATACCGCTAGGGGTTCGAACCTCAGCTCAAGTCGTCATAAATTCGATCTCCGTTTGAATTGGACGGGGGATCGTTCGGAGGGGTTCGTTCGTTCCGTTATCATTATAATCATAATTTTCTAGGAGGTATATTAGTGCGCGCGACTTCATCCGCGTGTATCTCCAGTAGATGGCAAATTTATTGACGATAATAACGAAAAATTTGGTATTTATACTACGCGTCTATTATTTGATAAACTTACTAAAAATCGTCTGCTTGGTACATCACTTTTCTTTTCAGGGACTTAAAAAATAAATTCGCGTTACCGGGCTGGCAACCTAGTGGTGCGTTTAGGGCGATTGCTAAACGCTATAATTTTAATCAAAGACGGTATACGCTACCAGGGCACCAGTGAAGGATGGTATGATACCATGCTTCACTGGTGCCCCGATTTCATGCTCATCCGAGCATGAAGTCAGAGTCATGAAGTGAGTATCATGTCAGTTTGACCGCTTGGGGGTCAACCTGACATGATATTCAGTGTACAATCGAATGAGATTACGTTTGTTTTAGTTCCTAAGTGTGCCACTAGATGGCGTTGTTTAGTTTTTATACTTTTTTCTACATCACGCTATTTAGATTTTTTTTGGAACACATATAGTCTTTTAATAATTATTAATATAAATAATATAACAACCACTGTGGAAAGGTTTCCGTAGTTTAATTTATTTAACTACCCTAATCAAAGTACACCCTTGGGGATCCGTGGATAAGATTATTCACTCAGATAAATCTGACATTGCTAGCAATGGTCAATCAGTCCACACTAAGGACCTCCTGCCCCCTGGTTTATCTAATTTTAAGCCGCCAAGCAGTTTCTTTGTAACATCTGTTTTGGTTGAAGGATTAGGGAGTGAAATTACAGGCATGAAATCTTAGTTCGCATGAGTGGTATTCAGATGTCATAAGATAACGTGATGTCCGTGGTGCTGTTCAGATAATAATATATTACAGCTTGTTATCAGGTGGTCTTGCAGCTCATTTACCATTTAAAAAATATTTTCGTATGTTAATATTGTTTCTTGGTGAATATGAAAGTGATTTTATAGTAGTAGTTAAGTTAGTAATTTTTTCTACTAACCTTGAGTAAAAACAAATTTATGTCTCTAGATTACTTTATATACATATGCACGTAATTTCTATTCAGAACCCAATTCGCGAGTATGTTTCGCTCTTGACCGATTTAAAATTTACATAAGTAAGCTCCAATCGACTCAGTGATAAGTAGATATAAGTATAATATTTTTTTTACTGTTATGAGCCAAGGTAAAAAGTTAAGCGAAATATTTGACGGGTATTCAAAACTTTTTGTAAAGAGTGAAACTAATGAAAATAAACAGATGAAATTGTAATTGGAAAAGTTAAGGCGTATGCAAACGAAGTAAGTAAGAGTACTTATATTTTAATGTTTCTTTTTTATTCAGTCTAATTTACATTGTAACTAGGGGAACTAAAATACAAAGACTTAGACGAATTCGCTTTACCATAGACAAAGAAGATTCTTGAAGAGTCATTATGACATCATTATTTTTTTTTATTATTGTTTAACATTTAAATTTAATAATTTATTGTAGCATTTAAATATATTGTATGCCATCTAAGCTAAACATGTCGGACAAATTCTTTCTACCTATATGAAGAATATATAAAGAATTTTGAATCTTGAATCTTAATGCAGTCTGTCTTTATTAGGTTGTTACATTCATTACAGAAGACTAGTTTTTGCCTGCTATTTCATTCCCGTGACTTTCATTGACGTTCCTATCATCACCTTTGCTGGTATGTATATGCTATCACCAGTATTTGTTGGTGTAGGTAGTTCTTTTCACTTATAATATTAATTTGACGGGGAATGGTGGGGGAGGGGGGGGGGGGTTAGTATGGGTAATTATTACGTTGCAGACTTTATTGTGTTTGACCACCACACTTCTCCCCAAGAAATCATTGTGGTTAATTCCTAGAATAAATTAGACAATGGACCAAGGGATCTGACTTAATTCTCTTTATTTCATCCTCCAGCATATAACATTAGCGCAGGCAGGGCACCATTCCATTATCATCCTTAAAAATAGTAGTATCTAAGCTAGCATATTTACAATAGAATAAAATAATAATAATAATAATAATCTCAGGACAATTCACACAGCGCCATCTAGTCCCAAGTTAAGCTAGCTAAAGCTTGTGTTATGGGTACTAGATAACTGATACAGATACATAGATAATTTTTTTTTTCGTAAATACATACATATTATACAAGAGAAAACACCCAGACCGATACAAACAATTATACCCATGAATACAAATGTTTGTGCCGTGCGAGGAATCGAACCCGCGACCATCGGACGTAAAGCGGTGTGCTAGACCGCTAGACCACCGAGGTCGTCATGTCTAAAAGGTTTGTGGATACTTTATTGAAACACCATTACTATTGATATAAATCGTTTTGTATTCAACTTTTTTAATATATGTGTAAAGTACGCACATAAAAATATTACTAGTATGTAATGTTATTGTATCTGTTGTAATACGTATATAGCAGGGATGTTATGGATATGAAATTTCGGATATGGAAAGATTTCGGATATAGGAATGATTATTATACGGGATACGGATACGGATGCGGGTATGAAATTATTTCGGATCACCCGTTAGTTTCTTTTAAGAATTTTTTTTAAGAATTTAAAAATTAGAATACAAATTGCTAATAAAATGGTGATAACGTGTCTCAATTAGGCTTCGCCCCTATCCGATATTATCCGAAACTTTTATTTCGGATTCGGTTACGGTTACGGATATTTTTTTATATCGGATATCCGATAGTTTCGGTTACGGTTACGGAGCTTCCTAACATCCTTGGTATATAGATATTATTGATATTTCCAACGATTGAAATTATTTTTAAACTATAGAATTATGAACGAATAATGAATGTTTTATTTTGATAATTATCAGCTGTTGGCAGCTGGTCTTTACAGCTTCATCGAACGATAGGCGAGTGCAAGGTGCAGTGAAGGATTTCTGAAGCGGCTTAAGGCCAACTCCTGCCTGACGGATACTACTTTAGTCTGAGGGCAACGCTAGGGGTTCAAACGTCATTCGTACTTTCGATCCCCGTTTTAAATGGACGGAGGATCGATCGGAGGTGGGGATTACAAATTTGTGATACTAGCCTCAGTCTGGCCATGAGTATAAAAATCTAAAAATCTCTTACTACATCCTAAATGGCTACATGCTTTGGCACGAAATTTGTTTCGTGACGATAAGTTAAGTAGTTAACACCAAAGAGTATAAAGCATAAACTGTAGTGAACAAAGAAACATACTCACTTACAATTGAGTCAAACAAACTCCTACCAAGAAAATAGTTTAGAACAATTATTTTAAAATTAAATCCAATGTAATTCTTTGAATCACTGACAATTATGGATATTATTCATATCCCTATGCATTGTACTATTTCTACCCATCTCTAGCTTTAATATTTTATACCACAGTGTAACACAAAAGCTTATATATGTATCCCATCTTCTGTGACTCATTCGATGGTAAAAGATATTATATTATCTGTGGTAAAAGGTTACCGTAGTCTGTGGACGCTCAAATATTGGAAACGTCATGTATGCGCCATGCCTTAAGAAACCTTAATAGACATTCTTGTCTTTTGACAAAATATCTGCAGGTAACTCATTACACAATTTGAGTATCTGCGGAAGGAAATTCACCTGAACACACATTGCACAATAATCCATTAGGTTGTAAGATTTAGCGTGTGAGAATGAATTCCCTGAAGACATCTTCAGGTCAGATTAGTGATAAGTGGCTCTGGGCATCAAGTCAGTTCTTCAGAAGACAATCCGTTACACACAAAGAGATATTCATTTCAACGACTAACATGAGAACTGAAAGCAGTGTAAGCAGAATATACAGACCGAGCGATAGTCATCAAAATACTTAAATTTAAATTTGCGAGCCCCCCGGCTGACAACTGCAAAGGTTTTTGAGAATTCAATATAATCATCCATATAATTTTCATATTTTCCGCATTAAAGTTTTCCCATTTACTCTCGTACACCGCCTTCTCGAAAGCGACGCTTGCGTCCGAAACTCTTTGACCCGCGAGGCAATCCATTCCCACTAAAGCGAACCCGTACGGTATTTGTATGTATGTATTCTTCAGACCACCAAGTAGTTCAGCTATCAGGCTGAATATTAGAAGAACGAATTCCGCTGCAAGAGCACCTCTGAATGCAATCTCAATTTGGCGCCAAATTTCTATATTTGCTGTGTGTATTTTTATCATACTGTGTAATTGTGTTCTTATATAGTTATTTTTTATTATATTTTGACTGTTATCTGCCGTCGATGCCCTACTTGCGGTAATTTCTTGATAATGTATTTCAGCGTCGATCCACAGTTCTCGAAATTCTTCCGCAAGGGCAAGCATTTGTGACTCTGTGTAACCGCTTAGAGTTAAAAGAAGCCCCGTTACATGAATGGTAAGGTGGAGCATGTATATTGTAGATATTACACCAATTATATAGCTCACTTCGTAGTATGGAGACTCCAGACGAGGTTCTAGACCTGAAATTGAGAGATTATTTATTTATTTTTAAGGATTACCAAACATTTATCTACACAATTGTTGTCCATCAAAGGAGTCAAATCCACCATATATAGGCAACTGTTATAACTTATCATCTGATGAATCGTTAACTTGATTGATCTATTTCTAAATAAAATAAAATACTAACTTTGGAAGCCCAAAGGAATCTATATTTTTATACAAACCATAAATAGGAAAATTTTCTTCCAAAGACCGTCGTCCAGGGAAAAATAAAGGTCGAATGAAGTAAATCAAACCATTCACGGTGAGCATAATCCAGAAGAAAATTACTCGTTTTTTCACACTCCTCATACGTTTCAATAGATTTTGCTGAAATCTGCTGGCGGGCGTTATTACGGAATTGAGTTCCAGGTATTTGGCAACTAAGTTTTTTATTTCTTTTCTGTGACAAATACAAATGTAATAGTTAGTTTTCAATAAAAATTGTACCTTTATGCCTCAAATCTCAGATAGTCAGAGAGCATTGTCAAGTGGTTAACGTAGCACTAGACTGCGACAAAATAAATAATTTTCCCACGTCCTGCTATATATAGATGTACTACAACTCAGGACAATTCTAGCACAGCACTACCTGGTAAACGAGTCCTAAAAATACTTTACATGAAATACTATTTATTATTATTATAGTCTATATTCAGATCAATTTATATAACACTGTTTTATACTAAAACACGCTTTTAAAATATTTAAGTTTCTTTATAATCATAATTTTTTATTTGTAAAAGGTTTTGGGTAGAATACATATATTATAGAATGTAATTGAAAACATGGCCCTTGCAAAATCTGCTTATGTCAAGCTTACAAATCTTAAAGTTAACTAATCTTTAGGTATTAAATTATAGATTTTTCATATAATTATTAATTTTTGTATGTATATGTCAATTTGTATGTAAATCTAAATGCCGTCAGGTATAAATTATCATTTCAGTTTCTACTCAATTAAGGAGTTTATGGAAGCTCTTTAATTGAGTAGAAACACTTGTAAACTAAGCATTCATATAGTTTTATTCCAAATAATATTCCAGAGACAGTTCTTATGTTATCAGGAATCTTATTAAATATTTTTATCGGCATACAAAATTGATTTTTTTTTGTATTGTATATAGTTTTATTGTAGGTACTAATTTTAGTTGTTTATCTATCGCGTACTGACATTTTCATCGTAGTCTGCTGTTATGAAATACTAACCTTTTAAAAATTAAGAAGATCAGTTTAATGGGCCCTATTAATCCACAGAGACACAGCGATATGACCACCATAGCAGATATCATGTCTTTTTCCGCCCTGCTCGTCACGAACACAAACCAGAGGGCAGAGAAGAAGTATGAGTAGTAATACAGGCTGGCAGATATAATTGTCGTTATATATAATACAATAGGGCTACCTGAAAATTGAATAAATATTGCAATCATATTTTGTAAAACCATAACGCAGTTTTTCAATTTCAGTATATATATTTTTAAAGGATTATAATAGAATAGAATAGAAAATCTATTTCATTCTAATTTAATTTAAGCACTTTTGAAAAATCATAGTTATATTTTTCTAATGTAATCTAATTCTAATAATATCTTTTATATAAGAAATGGTAGGTGCACTTGCTTCCGCTAACGGTTTACGCTGGCGGGGCACCAATGAGGATGATAGGATGAGCATGATGGTTTCCAGGTGGAACCGCGACCTCAGGCTAACATGGTACATTGTTAGCAATGGGGACATTAGTCCATATTACTAACAATCCCATATATATATTATCGCATTTTCTAGTATCGTATCACAGATACCTAATATTAAGAGCAGGGATGATATGGATATGAAATTTCGAATACGGATAGGTTCCGGATATAGAAATGATTATTATACCGAAAATGGATACTGATGCGGATATGAAATTATTTCGGATTACTGTTAGTTCTAGATAATTTCGTTTACGAATATTAATTTTTTAAGGAATTTCAAAAGTAAAATACAAATAGCTAATAAAATGGTTACAGAACGTGTCTCTATTAGGTTCCGCCCCTATCCGATATTATCCGAAACTTTTATTTCGGAATCGGTTACGATTACGGATATTTTTTTATATCGGATATCCGATAGTTTCGGTTACGGTTACGGTGCTACAAAACATCCCTGATTAAGAGAGTGGCTGTGAGTAGGCTATGTTTATTTTAGAAATTTCATTTATATCAATTGCAGACGAAGTTGTGGGTGACAGTTAGTTGGTTAGTAAATCTTACACTTACGCTTCTTATGGCGCGGGTCCACGTTGAGGGTTACCACTCGAAGCATGAGACCTACATTCCAAACCATTGTCGGCAGGTCGCAGTACTCCAGTCCGAACTTGCGTATGTTTGTTATTATACCCATTTCTATATCTAAAACATATAATGACACATAAACATACAAACATACTAAAGAAAATTATCAGTTAGGTGGATGCGATGTTTAGTAATTCAAATTCAAAATATCTCTATTCATGTAGGTCTATTACAGACTTTTAAGATATGTCAAATCTACCGTCAGTTCGGAATGATTTCGCGATGAGAAGAACTGACAAGAAACTCAGATCGTATTGTTTTTTAAAAAACAAATGTTGTACATGATTACAATAAGAATAAAGTGACCAGCATATGCTACTGCAAAAGTAAAAAGTCTAATCAGTGTTCATAACCTGAACAGACTAGTCCCCACAAGCAGCACCCGTTCACGAGTTAATGCAGGTTATATGCTTCTTGGGGCGTGAGTCGGACAACCTCCTCGTATGTTCCAGCCATTGGGAGGCTTCCCCATCCTCGTCGATACGTCCACGGGGAACGGTTGCCGAGCAATGTTTCGGTTATGGTACGCTCTGGGCGGGATAAAAGTAGTTCCTTCGGGATATTGTCACTATGTCGGCCGATAGTCCGTCGAAGGGGGGCGGCGCAGGCTGGGACAATAGGCCCACGTGGGGCCCGTTCCGGCCGTTAAGAGCGTGTTGGTGGCCCGCTCCAGCTATGACTCTACTCTTGTAGAGACACGTGAGAGACACATTATTATTAGTTTTAGCAAGGAGGACTCCTTGGAAACCGCCGTTAATTTCCGATGAATTTACCATAACTAATGACCTGACTTCACTGGTCCCTAGCCCTACAGGAGCTCCAACTAGATGAGTGCATAACTGACATTCATCCACAAAAAATATCATTTCTATTTGTTTCAATGATTTATACGAAAATAAAAAAAATACTACGTTTAATAAAACCGTAAACTTGTTACGAGGCGATTACTTCCTGTTTCTATTTATATCAACATTTCATTTAAAAAAAGTTGGAGGTTATCGGGTGAAATTTTCTCAGAATATGCTTTTAAATATTTGTTAACTAACGAAAGAAATCTTAGAAATATACCTCCAAAAAAATTTTTTTTTTTTCTTAATTTAAAATATGCCATCTACATACTTTTGTTAATTATTTAATTTAATTATAAAATAATAGATGGTCTTACACTATTATAAATTTAAAAATGAAACTGTATTTTTGATAATCATCTATAAACTCATTTGAAAAGAATAAGAGCTTTCTTGTCAGTTCTTCTTAGCTCGAAATTACTCTGAACTGAGGTAAATTTGACATATCATAAGAGTTTGTAATAGACCTATATGAATAAAGATACTTTGATAGATTGATTTATTATCTTTCGATTATTTAATGAGAACAGATGGCGAAATCAGGTGGAGCGCTTACGCTTTTACCAATCTGGGAATATAAAAAAATATATTAAAAATATAACGACGTATCTAACCAGTGTTTCTTCGTTTTTCTCTCTTTTTCTGTTATTGATCGCTTTGACGTGACCACGTCTTGTATTCCAAAGCTACAAAACTTATTTGAGTATTATTATTTACAATATTTGAGTATATTTCCATTCTATTTTTGTTCGGTAGTGCCATTGGCACGTGACGTGACAGTGGTTGTATCAAAATATACGAAAATGACTATTTTATGAATGAATTAACAATATGCTTGTGTTGGCGTTTGCTTTGATCTAATAAATTGGGTTTAAAGTGTTTGGGCAATTATACGGCATACTAGTAGTATTTCGCGACGTTTATTACTTTCAATTGAGAGGGAATTATGGAAAAAATATATTTTTATAGCATACAAACGACTTTGCGACTTATCTGATCCGATGAACACCCACAACACCAGGAGCATTGGGAGAACGTGGTCTTAGAAGAAGACGATGACTCCTCTGCTTACTATAGCATTTTCTTTTCTTTATTTTCTCCACAGACATAGAGTCCGTGCTCTGCATAATAATGTTAATCGTTTACAATTTAATTTGAAATGCTTTAGCATTTATTTAATTTATTTAAAAAATGTATTTAACTTAATAAACTGTAACGTCACTGTGCAGATTTTTAAAAATAACTTTAAAAAAATACTCCTCCTCACTCAGAAAACTGTGCCGTGATGTGTCTGCACTCCAAGAGCGGGGTAATGCAGGGTAATACTAGTATCACCAGAATTTATGTTTATGTTTATTTTATGTTTTCAGTGTGTAGTTTATGTTTGGTTTTTATTTATATATGGTATTATGTCGTAAATGTTTGCTTTGTGTTATCCGCCTGGATTTATGTATGTATGTGTATTATTATTATTATTTTATTATATTTATTGTATATAAGGTGTCCGCTGAAAACCAGCGTCGTGGCACCCCGTCACGACATATGCTGAGCGGAGACCTAGTTGGTACTCTAATTATTAATATAATATGTAAACTTAATTTTAAAAATTATTTTCAGTGTACCAATTAAACAATTTTCTTTCTTTCTTTTCTTTCTTTTCATCCTTATATATAAACGCAGGGCATTCGAAGAATTTATAAGTTACTCCACTGAATATAGTTCATAGGAAGCACCTTTATTTGTTTATTTCGTGTATTATTAGCTACCAATTAAATTGAAAACAATAAAAAAGTTTATAACAATAAAAAATACAGTCAAAATGAGAGCCTCCTTCTTATCAAAGTTGGTTGAAAAAATAGAGATTAAAGAATATTGTGGTTTTGCAATAAACTCAGTACAAATCAGAATATCTTTTACATTCTTTTTATTTGATTATGAATATATTTCCTAAAAGAGAATCTCGTGTTTACAGAAAATATTGCATTCTTTATGAAATGAATGCAAATTAGGTTAGGTTGGTGTCGATTGGAAATTTGTAAGAAATAGTTTGTTGTGGTTTCGGAATTAAATTAAAATATCTTTATTCATGTAAATGTCATGTCTATGAACTAGTTGCCGAGGTTTTCTCGAGAGACTAAGCACGGAGTTTTTTAAGAAGTTTAAGGGTGGGTAAGTTTTTTTAAGGGTGGGCAACGCGCACGTGTCACTCCTGGTGTTTCTGGCGTTCATAGGCTACGGTAACCGTTTCCTATCATATAGACTATCCCATCATATGCTTGTTTGTCACAATTGTAGCAAAAAAAAATTGTAGATAGATTTATGATAAGTGAAGTCTATCCAATATAGTTCGAGATAAAGAAACTGTGCTATTATACGTTTTTTCGAATGAACATAAATTAGAGAGAATGTAGCCACCCTGTTTCCACAATATCGTCTAAATAATAAATAATTAACTCTGTACAATTAACACAGCGCCATCTAGCCCGACGGTAGGCAGAGCTTGTGTTATAGGCAACTGATACTTTGATGCTTTTTTTTTAAATACATGCATAATGTACATAGAAAACACCCAGATCATACTCATGAATAGAAATGTTTGTATCGTGCGAGGAATCGAACCCGCGACCATCGGAAGTAAAGCGGTGTGCTTAACCGCTATACCACTTGCCGTCAAATAATTAAAAGTGAAGTACATATTTTACAAATATAATATGGAAGCAGTGAACAAGCCTCCAGAGTTTTATTTTACTTCGGCCACGACAAAGTGAGCGACCATCAAATAATACAGACCACATTCACCTGTCAACTGTTTATCTTTATTTCATGTACGTAATAGATAAAAATACTACAATCCAAAGGCACAAAAAAACAAAAAATAATTATAGAATAAATTTAATTAAAAACTACAACGTTTAGTAGTTTTTGCGTGAAAGAGTAATAAGCATTCACCATACTCACATATTTTCGCGTTCATAATATTATTAATTAGCTGTGTCCACGGCTTTACCAGCAAGAAATTTATAGCCTATGTGTTTTTCTATAAAGTCTCGTCAAAGTACAGTAGTTATTGCGGGAAAGAGTACCAAACATCCATCTACCTATCCATCCATACTCACAAACTTAGATAGTAGTAAGAAGTAAGATAAAGAAAAACTGAGAACTATAAGAGCTTCTTTATGAGAAAATAGATTAGTTTTATTTTTTATAGCATGGGCCTCTATGTTATAAAAAATAAAACTGATCTCTCTAAAAAATAAAACGAGGTTGCGGTACGTCTGATAGCAACTTATCCCCGGGCATGAGTATGTAGAGTGTGAGAATAATATCAAAGGAATTGCATAATAGCAAAGCTTATAGGTTTCAATATCGTATAGGTTTGGAAATGAAATACTAGTACGATAGTTCAAATTAAGTCAAAATTACAGACTCTTGTGATATGTCAAATCCACAGTCAGTTCGGAATGCTTTCGATCAAAGAACTGGCAAGGAACTCAGCTCTTATTGTTTTTATTTTAAATCAGTTTCTACATTATTACAAAAAGACAGACCCAATTTTAAATTCAATCAAAGAGAATGTAGTGACCAATAGCATATGCATATTGTATTTTTGTCAAACGGTAATAATTTAATCAGTAGCCGTGACTCGAACAGACTAGTTCCTACAAGCTGCATCAGCATGATGGATAAGCCAACCATCATTGCACTCAAACAAATTAGAGGGAGCACATTGATCAGGCCCACCACGGCGCTATCAGTTTAAACATTACAGCGCATATGCCTGCTTCAAGTTACTCCAAATGTTCATTTTATAATGTGGTTGTAACTGTAAGAAAATTTCCGAATAAACCGTGATAATATCTTTCCTAGAGAGCGGATGAGCATTGTTAGATAGTAGTGTGGACTAATAACACCATAGCACCGGTAGTAAACCGCTAGCTCCACGCGGTTTCCCTTGGAAACTATCGTGGTAAATTCCCATTTGCCAATATGGGCTAGCTGACCTGACTTCATGCTCATTTCATTACCATCCACTGGTGCGCCAGCGTAAACCGTTAGCGCAGGCGGGTGCATAAACCCATTATCGTCCATAAAAAAACACAGTTCTTAGATGACCTTTATTCACCCAAATGATTACAATGGTGTCTTAATTTCTATTGAATTTATATTATAAAATGGAATGTATTGTAATATCATTTATTCATTCATGGATGTACCCTGAACCCTTAATTCGTTTAACAGATCAAATGTTATATTGTATGTACCATATACTCATTAACTAGTGTAAAATGCAAATATATGGTTACATTAAAATAATAAGTGTCGAGAAATTTCTATATCTATATATATCTACACTATTCTACGCCTATATTATTTAATACTTAAAACAATTTTTTTCTGTCTTTTTTTTGACAGTTATCAATATCAATATGTACATTTATTTACTTATTTCTCTGCACACAAATATAAATATCATAAAAAATAAAATAAACACACTAGGGATGATCGATATAGAAAACATCGATGCTTCTCAATATCGACGATTAATCTATAAGTATCGATATGATAAATATCATATTAGCGATTAGGTAATATAATAAAAAAAAATCTATCTAATCTAAAATCTAAATTGAATTTGACGTATGTGTATATACGTCAAATTCAATTCAAAACAAATTCAATTAAAATTTTCGTTCAAAACGATATTTCGCAGTAATAATTACTTGTTTACTTAGCTATAAGCTTCAAACGAGCTTATAAATCTCAATGACTGACATGAGAACTGAAAGCTGTATAAGCAGAATATACAGACCGAGCGAAGGTCATCAAGATACCCAAATTTAACATTGCCAGACCTCCGGCCGACAAATTTAAAGGTCTCTGAGAATTTAAGAGGATCATCCATACCATTTTCATATTTTCTGCATTAAAATTTTCCCATTTACTATCGTAGACCGCCTTCTCGAATGCGACACCTGCATCCAAGACTCTTTGACCCGCGAGGCAATCCATTCCCACCAAAGCAAACCCATATGGTATCTGTAGATATGTATTCTGCAACCCACCAAGCAGTTCAGCTATAAGACTAAGTATTAGAAGAACAAACTCCGCTGCAAGAGCACCCCTGAATGCGAGCTCAGTTTGCCGCAAATTTTCTATATTCGCTGTGTGTATATTAATCATATTGTGTAACTGTCGTTTAATGTATTCATTTTTAATTGCATTTTCATTGTTCATTGTTATTGAAGAGTTGTCGATTAAAGATATTTCGTGATAGTGCCGGTTAGCGTCGTTCCAGAGTTCCTGAAATTCCATACCTAGACCGATCATTTGCGATTCTGTATAACCGGTCAGTATTATGAGTAATCCAGTTATATTTGTCGTAAGATACAGCACGTATATAGTTGACAATACTCCAATCATGTATGTGATTTCATAGTAAGGTGTCTCCAGAACGGGCTCAAGACCTAAAACAGGTTTAGTACTGAGTATTTCAAGATGTCTAAATCAAGTTATAGATTATACTAATTTACATATTATTAATAAAAAAAGTAACGTTATTAATATTTATTTCTGTATTTGAAGATCTGTGGAAGATGATAGTCTGCACCGGCCCTAAATAGTCGAAAAGTGCACGATTTTTTTATACACTTTATGAAATAAATAACTACATTTTTTTAGAAAAGTTGCTTGTTTTTCACTAATTTTTTATTTACTAAAAATACAGTACTTTGGAAGAATGGCTTCCAAAGTACTGTCTTTTCTTATCAAAAAACAACATGCAGTCCCTTCGTTTAACGAGACAATGCCAAGGAAATAATAATGATACTTGCCTTACCGTTCTCTTATTACAAATTTTGCTTAGTTGCGAACTAGATGGCGCTTTATGAGTTGGTTAGGGTTATTTCATATTTATTACTAGCTGTACCCGCGACTTCATCCGCGTGGAATTTAACAAAAAAGTTAATTACAAAATTTTTCTAAAAGAAAATACTCCTTATTACATCAGCTACGAGCCAATAAAAGTCCCGTCAATATCAGTACAGCCATTTTAGAGATTAGCTGAAACAAACAGACAGATAAAAAAAATCAAAAATGTTATTTTGCTGTATGTACCGTATTTATATTCATATGCATGTAGGAAAAAACGGTTATATCAATATTACAAACAGACACTCCAACAATGTCGCTCATAATGTTTACAATGCTAACCAAAATATATCTAGGTGTCTATTCATCGTATAATACCTACGGATAACAGACATAATTATTTATAATCTCCAATTTTATATATATGTATAGATTGCAATACTAACCGTAGAAAGGAAAGTTTTCATTTATAGGCGTCCGTCCAGGCAACACAAATGGTTTTATAACATAAACTACTCCGTTTATTACAATCAGTGTTTCGAAGAAGATTAATCTTTTTTTCACAATTCTCATTTGTTTCAATATATTCTGATGAAAGCGGCTGTCGGGTGTCAAGAGGGAGTTGAGGTCGAGGCATTTTCCGACTAATGTTTTAATTTTCTTCCTGCGAAAATAAAACTTTGTACAATAATTTAATTTGATTGTTACTATTATTCATATGGTAAACTCTATTTATTTATCTTTATACCAGATCCTTTATGTTGCGTAGAAAGAAAGAACCGAATCAGAATGTAATGTTTTTTAAAAAGGTTATTATAAGACGAATATTTTTACCTACTTTAAATAGATTTACTGAATTTTTAGAGAAATTTCAGCTTCAATCTTTAGAGCTATTTTTTTAATGTGAAAGAAATTTATTAAATAATCCAATAGCTACATTGTTTTGTAGGGAAAATTGTTTTTATGTTTTTAATATCAATGACTCATTTAAATTACTGATATTATAGAGCAAATTATTTATTTTTGGGTTGTCTTGTGGATTTAATCATATTCTATTTTTGCATAGATTAACTATTTATAACAATCGGACTATTTTTAAAAATCTAATTGTATGTAATCTTTATATCCTATTAACCTTGCTTCATCATCATCCCATTTATTTGTAGTCGGTATAATATATTTTTCTCTTTCATTCATCCCTGTTCGCAGTCATCTCGTTATTTACTCCTTTTCTTACTATATCATCTTTCACACAGTCCATCCGTCTCTTTTTCGGCGTCCCTCTGTTCTTATAACCATCCATATTCATATGTAATATTTTTCTTAAATTTTTTAATTCCTACGTTTTACATGCCCATACCATGACAGACGATTACTCTTTAACCTCTTCGACACTGGCACCACTTTCGTACTTCCTCTAATGTATTCATTCTTTACCTTATCCATTCTTGTCACACTACACATCTATCTCGATATCTGCAGTTGCATTGGTTGCAGTGGTTCTTTCATCCGTAGCCTTTACGGGCCAGCACTCTGATCCGTACAAGATACCAGATCGGATTATGTGCCAAAAACGCAGTAAAAGTAAATATCCAACCTGTTCAAAATTAAAAAGAATAGTTTACTGGGTCCGATCTCAGTGCAGACACAGATGGAGAACACCACCATAGCGCCCACCATGTCGTTGGTCTCCCTGCTTCTCACGAACACATACCAGAGGGTTGAGAAGCAGTACGCATAAGTGAAGCCGATGACAAATATTGGAGCTATTAGGTAGAATAAGACTGGAATACCTGCACGAAAACTCATATAACATCAGATCACATCACAGATAAGGTCTTAGTAATATTATAAACGCGAAAGTTTCTGAGTATGGATGGATGTTGGTTATTCTTTCACGCAAAAACGGATTGTAATGAAACTTACACATAGGCTATAATTTAAAAATTTGTTATGTACTCGTATATGACGCGCCATTGAATTTTAAATATATGTATATTTGGTCTAGTGCTGCTGAATGCCAGTATGTCATAAAAATATTTTTGATAGTGTTAGTTAATAATAAAGTGAAGTTACTAAAAATGCAAATTCTTACTAGGTAGTCGGTAATGTAGCAGAATTAAATGCATCTATTGTAGTACCTTTCCATTCCTTATAAGGAGGCCCTTTACTGGCACTTTAGTACTCATAATACAAGCTCCAAGAAACCCTCAGGAGCATACAGGTACGAGACAGACCCACTATGGTATTTTCCCTAACAATAGTTCAACTAATTCATACCTTTCGTATACCGAGGATCAACATTGAGGGTAATAACTCTGAGCATCACAGCCACGTTCCAAATCGACGTCGGTAGATCGCAGTACTCCAGCCCAAATTTGCGAATAGTTGTTATTATCCACATATTTGAATACAAATTACAGCTGATTTATTTTATAAAATGACTTAACTAAATTCTTGTTTTGTTTGCTATGATTTTCAAAACTGAGAACCTTTACTGTTGAATTGGTACCTGATACAAACAAAACTTGATGTAAAAAAACCTTCCTCATATACTATTTTTAGGCAATGCTGTTCGAAATGTTTGTAATTTTCAAGTACTTTATGTTAGGCAAACGGTATATAATATACTCGTCCCGGCTTCGCACGGGTGTACAATATTACCTTCCTCTTGAATCGCTCTATCTATAAAAAAAAACCGCTTCAAAATCCATTGCGTACTTGTAGAAAATTTAAGCATACATAGGGACAGACAGCGATAGTGACTTTGTTTTGTACTATATAATGATGATCTTGGGCTTGATCAGCTTTCGTGTCCCAGAACTTGATAAGCGTGGTCGTAATCATAGATTATTTGCCCTGCCCCGGTGCAGAACCTTACATGTTGATCATGTACCACTCTCAAGAGCACTCCGTCTGCTTAATGAGGTACCTGTAATTTTTCTATTAGACATATTTAAGTGTACTTACTGCCACAGAGTTTCACTGAGAGGTAACAAATTTTGTGGAGTCACTATATTAGAGTAGTCTTCGTATCTAGACGATTATTATTATTGTAATTTATTTAATTGCTGTTTTCTGTTTTTTCATTATTGATATTACAATTATTATTACTATTAATGCAATTGCGTAGGTTTATTCCTACACGAGTGCAGTGGTCTGCTGTAATACTCACCGACAGCATGTACTTTTATTAGTTATAGTTTCTTTCTCACTTTTATACATATACATTTATATATTATACTTCACAATGGTACAGAGCGAATTAACCCTCGCGACATAATGTGATAGCGGAAGAAATCCAACACTCTTGGTGTAGCTTAATTTTCTCGAAATTGATAATAATACATAATTGTTTTTACTAGGTACACGAGTGAATTAATAAAAAACGAAGGTTAGTGTAATTGCCTCTTTGAAGTACTAAATTAGATATAAATCATTGAAGCAATTATGAATTATATATAGAGTAACCTACTGATATTACCTATGCATATTATATACTAGGAGTAATAGATTAATTACTGGTGACATTTTTTTTCTTTTGCAACCGCTTGAAAACCTGTTATTGGCTAGCTTTAGAAATGTATTCGTGATTTTATGTAAGCTGTTGGTTTTCTAAGAAATAAATAATAATTTGACTTTACGCAGTAAGGTTTCCCACCGATATTTTGTTGTATAGGTGACCAGTAATATAATAATATTTAATCTGGATAATTCACACAGCCATCTAGTCCCATCTAACTTAGCTACTGAGCTAAGAATAACTTGGGACTACATGACTGTGCTAAGCTTTGGATTAGATGACTGTGTGAATTGAACTCTGTTGAGCTTGTGTCGTAGCTTTACTGAAGTAAATGTTCTGTGTGTTTTTCTTTAAATATTATGTTTCAAATTTCAAATTCAAATTCAAAATATCTTTATTCATGTAGGTCTATTACAGACTCTTATGATATGTCAAATCTACCGTCAGTTCGGAATGATATCGAGATGAGAAGAACTGACAAGAAACTCAGCTCGTATTTTTTTCAAATAATAGTGGAACATGTTTATGATAAATACAGTTATTAAAATTCATATTTGGGAGAATAGAGTGACCACCAGCATATGCTATCGCAAAGAACAAAAAATTTAATCAGTGTTCACAACCTGAACAGACCAGTCCCCACAAGCAGCACCTGTTCACGAGTATGACGTATGAGCCAGCCATCATTGTACTCAACCATATTTGAGGGAGCACATCGACCCGGTCCACCACGCCGCCACAAGTTTGAACTTTATAGCGAGCATGACTGTTTCAGGTTACTCCACTACGTCAATTATATTATTTACAGCATAGGCTGTACCGATCACAGTTTTCACCCATTACAATATTAAATTTACATTATTTAATTTACAATATGTCATTACAAAATTTATAATAAGTTTCTTTAATGTTATTACATTATCCATGTCAATGGGAAACATTATATGCTTTAGAGCAAAGCATGCTGTAACGCATAATGGGAAATTATATTAACAATCGTAACGTATGTAGTCTTTGGCAAATGATGAAACTCTATTTTAGTCAGCTTTACGAAATATGAGTAAAAGATTCATATAGGACTATTCCGCCTCTTATGTAAGTCATTGGTTTCATCATTATTCCTACTGTCAGATTAGAGCAGAGCGGTAAATATTTTTTTCTGTTGCGATTAAGCTAACGATTTAAAAGATACTACAATTCGTTTTAATAACTCTTTAATGTGCAAAACATATTCAAATACATTACTAACCTGAAAGAAATTTCTAAAACCTATCACATAATTGCTTTTGTTTCGATATACTTCTCTTAATCTAAGAGCAATTTCTGCATTAAATAGACTTTAGTGACTGACACGAGAGCTGAAAGCGGTGTAAGCGGAATATACAGATCTAGCGAAAGTCATTAAGATACCCAAATTTAACATTGCCAGACCTCCGGCCGACAAATTTAAAGGTCTCTGAGAATTTATGAGTATCATCCACAACATTTTCATATTTTCCGCATTAAAATTTTCCCATTTACTATCATAGACTCCCTTTTCAAAAGCAACGCCTGCATCCATCACTCTTTGTCCTGCGAGACAATCCATTCCTATTAAAGAAAACCCGTACGGTATTTGTATGTATGTATTCTCTAAACCACCAAGTAGTTCAGCTATTAAGCTAAATATTAGAAGAATGAATTCTGCTGCAAGAGCACTTCTAAATACAAGTTCGGTTTGACGCAAAATTTCAATATTTGCTGTGTGCATGTTTATCATACTATGTAACTGTTTTTTAATGTAATCATTTTTTATTGCGCCTTCATCATTTATTGTTATTGCAGAACTGTCGACTAAAGCGACTTCATGGTAATACTTGTTAGCGTCATTCCAGAGTTCTTGAAATTCTAAACCGAGACCGATCATTTGTGATTCTGTGTAACCGGTTAATGTTATTAGTAATCCAGTTATATTTATTGTAATATGCATGACATATATTGATGATATTAATCCAACTATGTAGGAAATTTCATAGTATGGTGTTTCCAGAACTGGCTCAAGACCTGAAATAACAATTATTTTAGTGATTACTAGACTCTAATAGGTCATTGATATAGGTAGATATGAATCCAATCAACCGCTAAATGGAGGTGATTTTAATTTCAATATATTTTATGTTACATGTTTAGTTTTGTAAATTTTGTTCTGTGACAAAAAATATTTTTTAATTTATTCGATTCAATCGATAAGTTTAAATTTTAAAGTCCTATTTACATTCTGTCAAAACCGGTCGTCAAACATGTAATTGTTAATACTATTTTGTATATTTCACTTTATTGTCTATTGTTAATTAATAGTATTGTTAATTTATAAGAAGTTTCATAATTGTAATACTGACCATAAAATGGGAAGTTTTCGTTTAAAGGCCGTCGCCCAGTTGATACAAAGGGTACACTGAAATAAATCACTGCGTTTATTACATTCAACGTTCCGTAATATACGAATCGTTTCTTCACTATTCTCATTTGTGTTAATACATTTTTATGAAAGCGGCTCTCAGGCGTCAAGTAGGAGTCAAGTTCTAGGCATTTCCCAACTAATTCTTTTATTTTTTTTCTGTAACAAATATAAGATGTTATTTGTCTGAAACGAAATAAATTGTAGTTATACAACTTTGTATTCAAATTATAATAAAAAAGGAAATTATATAGAATCAAGATTCTTTATACGGTAGTAAATCCTATTTATATTGAATAATTTCAACAAATACGTAAGTTTATGAGATTAGAAGTTATTCTTTTCTTCTCAGCAGTGGCATTAGATACAAGTATAGTAGGAGTTACTAAGTCGCTAGAATCGCAACATATTTCTACTAATAATATACTATTATTTTTAAAACGGATGTTTATTTTTTCATAACATAAACACCTATTACCGATTACAAAACTGCGAAACGGATTGAATACCAAAGACTGTAATCAATTTAACAGTCGAGGTTCTTAATTAGTGAAAAGGTAGTAAAAAGAGGGCGTAATAAAAAAAGTGTACGCCTAGATTTTTATTCATAATGTAAACACGTATTACCTATTACAACACAGCGAAACGGATTGAATACCAAAAACTGTATTCAATCTAAAACACTCGAGGTTCTTAATTAGTGAAATGGTAGTAAGAGAGGGCCTAATAAAAAAAATGTACGCCTTCATTTTTATTCATAAAAACTATCAATGTCGTTATATATTTTCCTATTGTAATAAGGCTGGTGACAGCAGATATTTTTTTTAGAGGATGATAATGGAATGGTGCACCCACCTGCGCTAACGGTTTACGCTGGCGGGGCACCAGTGGAGGATGATAGGATGATGAGGTCAGATCAGTTAGCCCATCGTGACAAATTCACCGGGAATTTATCACGATGATTTCCAGGGGAAACCACGTTGACGTGGGTCAACCTGACATGGTATATTGCTGGCAATGGGATCATTAGTCCACATTACTAACAATCCCCTTTCCCCAGACAGCAGATATTAGATCTGTGTGTTTCGTTGTTATAGTATATTTATATAATAGCTTTGAAGTAATTTTCCTCCTAAAAATTGTATGGTTTCAGGGAAAGTTGTGGAATAAAAGTTGTTTGTTACCATGGGTACTAACCAAACATGTATATGTACTTCTTGATGTTATTTATTTGTCAGGACATACAGCTTAGATATAATTTCTATATTCATTGATCAGGTAGGCTTTCAGCCTAATTAACAATTTTGTAAAAATATAAAACCAACCTGTTCAAAATTAAAAAGAAAAGTTTACTGGGCCCGATCTCAGTGCAGACAGAGATGGAGAACACCACCATGGCGGCCACCATGTCGTTGGTCTCTCTGCTTCTCACGAACACGAACCAGAGGGTCGAGAAGCAGTATCCGTAGCAGAAGCAGCAAACAAATATTGGAGCCATTATGTAGTAGATAATTGGAATACCTACAAAAATAACAAGCAATATGAGAATATAAATAGTAAAACAAAAAACAGTTAACTTCCTTGCGGACGAAGTCACGGGAAACATCTAGTCTATAATAGAACTAAACTCTCTCTCATCTTTACATATAAAAATTACGTATCACGTTCTTTGTCCGCGATGGACTCCTAAACTACTGAACCGATTGCAAATTTGAATTGCGTATTATGTCCAATTTGATCCAACTTGAAAGAAAGGATAGCTTACATCTCAATTTGTAGTAGTAATGTTATTTTATTGCAAATTCTTTTTATATATAAAGATACTATTAGCCACAGCAACGCGTGACCCGGTTAGTTACCTAGTAGGTATATAATTACCACATACCTTTTGTATGCCTGGGGTCGACGTTGAGTGTTGTTGCTCTGAGCATGACGGCGACATTCCAAACCATTGTTGGCAGATCACAATACTCCAGTCCGAATTTGCGTATCATAGCAATTACACCCATTTCTTGATCCGAAACTATTAGGTCAGCAGATAAATTGGAAGATCCCAGATGTTTCTATAACTTATTAATATTACAAACAAATTAGATTCACCAAAAGAAACATCATCACCGCGCTGCTTTATCCCATTATTTGGGAAGTCCTCTTCTTCCACTGATCCCTATCGGTCGTCATATCTGAGCTTACTGTTCTTTTGTACATATTATCGTCCATAAAATCTATTCTATTTTTTTCCACCCAACCATATCTTAATACAATAACATATTTTTTTAAGAAATACAATTCAGATACTTGTAGTACAATTGAAGCTATATTGAAACCATAAAATCTTCCAATTCCAAAATATAACGAGGCATAAGACATTTACATGGAAAAATGGAGTTATTGACCATAAATTTACACAAGATGGCTAAATATTTGTGGTCTCAAACATGCTAATGATAGCGGAATTAAAGAAAACAATATTGATCTATAAGGAATTCTTGAATTGAATACATAAAGTATTAAGTAATCATTTATATCTTTAAAAAAGATCAGTGTTAGAAAGTCCTCATACCAGCCGTACCGTCTACTTTTTTATCTAGATGTACCTTTAAGTATAAATATTGGTATAAGTACTGTCAGTTATTGACTGAAACTGTTTACTTGCATTATATAGAACAAGTAAAAATGTAGTATGCCAACAAAAACGTCCCATGTTTATGACTTTTCAGGTAATAATGGTGCACTCGTCTGCGCTATAGGTTTACGCTGGGATGGCATTACTGGAGGATGATAGGATAACCATGACGTCAGGACAGTTGGCCCGGAATTTATCACGATGGTTTCCAGGAGTAGGTTAACCTGACAAAGCACAAAGCTAGCGATGGAGTAATAGTTCACGTTACTAACAATGCTTTGCCCCCAATATTCCAAGTTGGCGGAAGATAAACGAGTGAATAGATGGAACAGTAGGGGCCGTGTTCAGTCTTGAGTAACGCGTATGTAGAAGTATTTATACTACTGTTTGTTACTCTTAATTCAATCTCACCTTTAAATGCAACAGATGTTCCTTCGCAGTGATAAGCTAACTACCAAGGTTGGTATGTGATGGTAACGGAGATCCGACGAGTTTTGCCTTATAGTTAAATTATAAATAGTTAGAGAATAGACAAAAAGTGAATTAATAAGAACTAAAGGATAGCGTAATTGTTTCTTTGATCTACAAACTTTGATTGGAGTAATTATAAAGAATGTTATAGGCCTGTTAATATATAGTTATAGTTAGCTATACTATGGCATTTAGCCATGGTTTTCCTTGTAAGTTACACTCTATAACTATGACTGTAATTGTTATCACTAATGATTCGCATTTCTACTAGACTAATTGTGAATAATCCTACTTGTACTAAATTTTCTACAGTGACCATAACAAAAACTAATAAAGACAATGATATTTTGCTCGTAATCAATTTTTATTAGATCAATATATTTCAAAGTACAAATCAGGATTTGTCCATCAAAATTTATAAAAAACTCATCGGTTGAGAAACAATCCTTTATACAATGTGATATTTACATACTATGACAATAATTGATCAGACCGTAAATATTATAGTATTTGTTAACGAATATTTTTTTAAATTCCTTATTTGTCATGTCTAATTAGACAAGTATTTTATGTATACCATTATTGCCTTGCCTTTATTGTATTATTTGGGGTCGACGGTATATATGTAGTATGTCATCCTTTTCCACTGATCCCTATCAGTCCGTCCGTATCCGAGCATACTCTCTTTTTATTCGTATATTTTTTATACAATCCATCCATCCATCTTTTTTGGTCGTCCTCTCCCTTTTCATCCATCCACGTTCATATTATATACTTTCTTTAAGACATGATCTTCGCTCCTCCGCAAGACATGCAAACTTCCTCGTATATACACGTTCCTTAATTCCTGGTTACCCAACATATCCATCTCAACATTCGCATTTCTATTACATACGACCTCGGTGGTCCAGCGGTCTAGTACACCGCTTTACGACCGATGGTCGCGGGTTCGATTCCTCGCACGGCACAAACATTTGTATTCATGAGTATGATTGTTTGTATCGGTTTGGGTGTTTTCTATATATAATATGTATGTATTTACAAAAAAAAATATCTATGTATTTGTATCAGTTATCTAGTACCCATAACACAAGCTTTAGCTAGCTTAACTTGGGTCTAGATGGCGCTGTGTGTATTGTCCTAAGATTATTATTATTATTATTATTATTATGTGTTACAAGGGGAGGGACGAAAGGACGGTCTTATGATAGATTTATAAACTTTACTCTTTTGTTTCAAGGGCATTCAATGTCGCCATTTTATCCATCCAGTACTAATGCTGTGCCTTACATCATGATCTATGTAGGCATTGTTATGAATAACTGAACCGAGGTACCGAAAATCAGGGCCGATTGGAAGCATTACCTACACCATTTCGGCAGTCTCTTCGTGAGTCTTTCTCTATCATTCTTCTCTCTTTTGTTTCACTAACTATATTTTTTGCTATACCTCTCAGTTCATTCGTTATTACATTCCAATATCCTTTAATAGTTTTTCCTTCCATATTATTAATTTCTATCATAATATCATTTACTTGTTTTCTAAATTTCATAGCGTTCTCATTCCTCTTGAGCATATATCATCTCTGGGCATAATCGGTTTTTGTTTTTATTGTACTGAACCCTGACTTTTGTATTATCACAACATACAGTACCAGCAGTCTATGTTATGATATCAGATCCTAACCCGGTAGGACCTTACAATATTTCTTAGTCAGGAGAATCAGAGAAAATCTTTGACACAATTGATTTTATTTCTCCTGACTAAGAAATATTCAATTTGTGTCTTATGTCGTCTACTTGTGTAGGTAATTAAATGATCGTGTTTCTTATTAAATCATTTATTGGCGTTGGTCAAGACAAATCGAAAGCTGCTTCTGAATGAAAAAGATTATTAATTAAGTTTAAATTTCGTCTTCTTGCAATTGTAGAAGAGTTCTCAAATATTTTACGAAATATAAGTCAATGATTTATATAGGACCGTTCTGCCTCTTATATAAGTCATTATTTTCATTTCATTCAAGGATAGTGATCCCTACAGCCTTATGTAGCGGAAGGTAATATAATAACTTATTTTTTCTGTGCGATTTATCTAATGATTTAAAAGATAATACAATTTTATTCAATATATTTAATGTGCTAAACTTATTCGAATACATTAGTTGAAGGAAATTTCTACAAGGTCACATAACGTCATCTACTTTTGTCGATGTACTTCTCTTGATTTGTCTAAATACAAATTATGCACCGATTTTAGTGATTAACATGAGAACTGAAAGCGGTGTAAGCGGAATATACAGATCTAGCGAAAGTCATCAAGATACCCAAATTTAACATTGCCAGACCTCCGGCCGATAAATTTAAAGGTCTCTGAGCATTTATAAGAATCATCCACACCATTTTCATATTTTCAGCATTAAAATTTTCCCATTTACTATCATAGACTGCCTTTTCAAAAGCAACGCCTGCATCCATCACTCTTTGTCCTACGAGACAATCCATTCCTATTAAAGAAAACCCGTACGGTATTTGTATGTATGTATTTTCCAAACCACCAAGCAGTTCAGCTATCAAGCTAAGTATTAGAAGAACGAATTCTGCTGCAAGAGCACTTCTAAATACAAGTTCAGTTTGACGCAAAATTTCAATATTCGCTGTGTGTATGTTTATCATACTGTGTAATTGTTTCTTAATGTAGTCATTTTTTATTGCGTTTTCATCATTTATTGTTAATGCAGAACCGTCGACTAAAACAACTTCATGGTAATGCTTAGTAGCGTCGTTCCAAAGTTCTTGAAATTCCAAACCGAGGCTGATCATTTGTGATTCTGTATAACCGGTTAATGTTATTAGTAATCCAGTTATATTTATTGTAATATGCATAGGATATAATGTTGATATTAATCCAACTATGTAGGAAATCTCGTAGTATGGTGTTTCCAAAACTGGCTCAAGACCTGAAATAATAATAACAAATAATCTAATTAATAATTTTAGTTATTAATAGTCTCTGATAGTAGGCTCAGAATCATTGATGTAGGTAGATCAACTTGAAAATCGTTACTGTACTGTCTTCTTAATTATTAACTCTCAGAGACACAACACTGTTCTCACTCGCTGTTCATACTGTTGGCCGCATGACGGCAGCAGTGTGCGCTAGAGACGACATAATCCTTCCTTCTCTTTCCCACTTACACTACAGTGATCCGCATATTTTTTATGTAAAAAGAAGTTGCTAGTTACTTATTTGTAATTGTAATACTGACCATAAAATGGGAATGTTTCGTTTAAAGGCCGTCGCCCAGGCAATACAAAGGGCATACTATAATAAATTATTGCATTTATTATATTCAATGATCCGTAATATATGAATCGCTTTTTCACTATTTTCATTTGTTTTAATACATTTTTATGAAAGCGGCTTTCAGGTATCATCAGGGAGTCAAGTTCGAGGCATTTCCCAACCAAGATTTTTATTTTTTTTCTGTAACAAGTATAAAATTAATATCTATTTAATTTGTCGTAAAGGTAATACGTAGTAGTTATAATAATTACTCCTACTGGACCGACACGTCTTTGCCAAAACCACTCCAAAATGTTAAAACTTCCACTTGGCAAGTCTCAATTCTTAGGAAATTCCTTTTCATTTCGCGCTGCTCGGTTATGGAACAAACTACCAGTACAGATACAGGAAAGTCCATCAATTGGTTGTTTTAAGAAAAGGTTAAAATCGCACTATTTATCGACCTTAGTATGATTAGTTTCATCATGTATTTTATTATTTGTATTTTGTGTAATATATGTAGATATCTATAGTAATTGTATATGTATTTGTATATATGTATGTATATATATATATATAACTTTTATTAATGTTTATTTTATTTATTATTGTATATTTTATTATAATTATAATATAATTAGAACATTATTTAATTTGTTGAATTTTAAATGTTTTATTTTTCTCAACTTTTGGACATTTCAACATAATATTGTTAATTGCACATGTGTTACCTACTCACTACTAGCTATGCCACACTGTTGGGTTGACTGGTAGAGATCTCTTTTGGAGATAAGTCCACCTTTGCTTACTCTGTATATATTTAAGTTTAGAACTGTATTTAAAAGTGCAATAAAGAATAGGTATATAATTATAATCATAACCCAGGACAATTCACACAGCGCCCTCTTAAAACACCTTAGCCTGTTAATCGTGAACGTTAGTTTCGTCTTCATCCACCAAACCAAGGCCTCATAAACTAGGATTAGTTTTATCACTAATATGTACAGCCACGGAGTTGTTTGGTGAGATACCCCACTAGTTTCCTAGCATCTTTTTGCATTCGTAAAATGCAATTGTGCTTTTGTTAATTTTGTAGTCAAGATGTTCATTCCAGAGAAGTGTACTATCTAGTATAACTACCAGGTACTTGACTTGTCTTTCTTTAGTTTAAGTTTCTAATGTTAAAGAGTTTCGGTAGTCTAAAGGCATCTAGAGCTCTTTAATGGACCGTTGTTAATTAAGCTACTCTTATATTGAAAGTTTTTAGAATTGTTCTTAATTTTCAGCAGTGTCATAATATTTATTTCTTGATATCATTTCTATATCCATTTATATCAGGTAGGCTTTCAGCCTAATTAACAGTTTTGTAATAATATAAAACAAACCTGTTCAGAATTAAAAAGAATAGTTTACTGGGAGCTATCTCAGTGCAGACAGAGACGGATAATACCACCATAGCACCAACCACGTCGTTGGTCTCTCTGCTTCTCACGAACACATACCAGAGGGTCGAGAAGCAGTATGCATAGCAGAAGCAGCAAACGAATATTGGAGTCAGCATATAGAGGAAAATTGGAATACCTACAAAAAAAAAATATAAAGAGGATAGGTTAACAATAATGTAGATATACTTAAAGATCTTGATCGAGTTTACAAATTCTTTTACCAATGGCTAGCTCTCGCTCATATTATTATCAGCGAGTATGTACTATATTCTAGTAGTGTAATTCATGACAATGTTTAATGATCTGCACTAATTATTATATCCCCATATATAACTACAAATATCCCTAGAAAATTTACATAGCTCCTTTTAATTCTAAGCTAAGCAGAGCTTGTGTACATAGAAAATACCCGTACCAAAACAAACAATCATGAAATCACTGTAAGAGACATAGTAGAGATATCTAAGAGAGAGTAACAAGTAATATGTTACAGTGAATTAGTAGCGACTTAGTATATCCTTAACCTATTAACCTTATTTATTTAAAAATAGGGTTAAGGGGTTAACCCTATTTTTTTATTATAGATTTTGGGCTATTATCAGGTGCTAAGACCTGTAGCACTGTGATCTGCATAAATATATTGTGCTCGCCCTTTTTCAAAGTTTTGCTACATAGACCCGTCATGGACAAAAATTGAAGGATATTCTTAGGTGCGATGGTGTTTATCTCTTCAGAATAGTGTATTTATTTACTTACTTTCCAAAGGAGATATTTCGTTTATGCTTAAGTGGGCTACAACCACATAGGATGTGTAGTGGCGTTTCCTCTTTAGCTTGACTAACCTTACCTATTGTGCTAGGTATTTAGTAACCAATATATTACAATTTAATCTATCAGGGAGCCATACAAATACTACAAATTAATCAAGTCAGAAACATTGACATTGAAACGTGTCCCTTTACCTTCACAAGGATAGAGGAGCGACCTCATTCCTTGTTGACTTTATAAGATTACTCGGACCGATTCTAAAGTAGCAAACAGAAAATCCTACATGACGACCTATATGGCGTACATTGCTTAAGACTTACTTAAAGGAATTTAATTGAGTTTCTTGGCAGTTCTTCTCAATTGAATTTGTATATTGAACTGGACAGTAAGGGAAAAATTATTGATACAAAAAGAATTACGTTCATTAGCGGTTAAAATGTCCTAATAAATGATTTTTGATTTTGATTTAGAAAAATATAGAATCATCAGTGATCCTATTGTCCTATATTTAATATACGTTATGAGGGTAGTTAGTTTTCTATTAGTATTGCTAAATATAATTATTATAAATGAATTGTATGGGCTCGTAAGAATTTTTTGCAACTAAAAACGAGAAACAATAAGCTGGTAAGTGGAAACAGTCATTCATATATATATACTATATATAAAAAAAAATTATGTCTGTCCATCTGTTTTGCTAATCCCAGAAACGGCCCTCCTGATTTTGACGGAACTTTACGTCGTAGATAGTTAATATTAGTAACTTAGCCTACTCCTATTTATTTAAAATTGTATGTATTAAAAAAGACCGGGAAATTCCTCGCAGATGAAGTCACGGGTAACACTTAGTGTATAATATAACTTAACTCTCTCCTTTTGGTATATAATTACCACATACCTTTTGTATGCCTCGGGTCGACGTTGAGTGTTGTAGCTCTGAGCATGACGGCGACATTCCAAACCATTGTTGGCAGATCACAATACTCCAGTCCGAACTTGCGTATCATAGTAATTACACCCATTTCTTGATCCGAAAACTATTAGGTCAGTAGATAATTGAAAGTTCTATAATTTATTAATATTACAAATAAATTTTGTTGTCTAAAGGCAAAAAAAATATCAACTTTCCTTCATCCCATTATTAATGTCTTCTTCTTCCATTGACCTCTATCGACCGTCATATCTAAGCTTACTCTCCTTTTATACATTTGTTTTTGGTTCTCTTAATGCAAAAATATCTTATATACCTACTTAAGAAAAACTATTCAGTTCCAATTTCTAAATATAAGACACAAGACTCGGAAAAATGGAGTCATTGATCATAAATTTACACAAGATGGCAGTCAAGTAACTAATTCTAGACTATTTTATCTATTTACAGATTATTTTGCGAGAGTCCTTTTTATTACTTTTATTGGAGAAGGCTTTATATTGTTTTATTTAATTCCGGAATTGTCCGAAGTTGGTCATTAGTAGGGAAAGTCATAACGCTTCCAGTAGTAGAGGTCAGGTTTCCGCATTAAATATTTTGGTGTCATACATACATGCTAACCGTAGCGGAATTTAACAAAACAATATAAATTCATTAAGCAATAATTCTTGCCTGATAATTATAAGTAATCACTTATATAAAACTTATAAAAACATCAGGGTTAGAAAGTCCCCGGCTGGCGATGCGGGCGAATGTGAAAAGAGACCCCGTGACGCCTGCGAATAAACATAGTATAGAAGAATACTGGAAGGCTTTAGGGAGTAAAACTTCCATGGTATTAATCAGCATATTCTCATAAAGGCGATTCTGTTTGGAAAATTTCCCCTCCAACAAAAAGGGTTAGTAAATGTTTGTCACCAGTCATACCATCTACCTACTTTTTTTGAAGATACACTGATATATATATATAAATACTGGTATAAGTACTGGCAGTTGTTGAATGAAACTTACTTTACTGTATTGCATAGAAAAAGTAAAAATACAATATGCCAGTAAAAATTATTCATTTTCTAAAAATATAGAGAGAAAAGAAGTTGCTTTTAAGAAATAATATGATTATTATAATATTAATTAGTTTGACTTGTTACTGGTACTACATTCCCAGTTTTTTAATGAATGATTATGCATCCGCCTGCACTAACTTTTACAGTTTACGCTGGCAGGGTACCAGTGTAGGATGACCACGTAACTTGGCCCATCGTGATTATCAAGAATTTATCATGATGATTTCCAGATGGAGGCCAACCTAATTTGGTATATAGCTGGAGATGGAGTAATTGCTTCACCTACTAATAATTCTACTAATAATTTTATTTCCCCCAATACTCCAGTTGGTGGAAGGTAAACAAGCAGTTGGCAGATTAGATGCCGCACTAGGAGAAGCCGTGTGCAGTTTTAAGTAATACATATGTATGAATATTTTTACTACTGTTATTGTTAATCTAATCTCACCTTTTAATACAACAGATGCATTACCTCTTCGCAGTGTTAAGTTAACTACCGACGACCAACCATTGTATGTGATGTTGACGGATATCCAAAAAGGTTTGCCTTGTAGTTAAATTATAAATAGTGTAATAAAATTAGACAAATAACTGAATTAATAAAAACTAAAGGATAGCATAATTGTTTCTTTGATCTAGAAACTTTGATTGGGGTAATTATAAAGAATGTTAAGACTTATTAATATATTTACCTAGTTGTAGGTACTAGGGCTTTTAGCCGGGGGTTTTTGCTTATAGGTATGTAATATTATTTTCTCTGTGCTTGTAGGTATATATACTCTATAACTATGACTGTAATTGTTATCATTCATGATTTTTTTATATAATACCAATTGTGAATAATCCTACATGGACCAAATTTTGTACTTTGTATAAAAAAATTAAAGAAATATAAAAACTTACAAAAAAGGTTATTTACATTAGTTAGGAAAGTATTATGGAGCAATTGAGCAGGCAAATTCGACATTATAAAAAAGACAATTGATTTGCAAGAAATTTTTAATTTACTAATACATTAGCACAGAAAATTATGACTGAGTTTATATAAATTTAGATATGATTGTTTTAGAAGCTAATGTATCTCTTATTGAATAAATAGTGATCACAGATGATCATAATGAACAAGCCAATGGAATACGAAAAAAGGAACATTAGATGCATAAAATATAGGATGGTTGGATCCATGTAAGCCTTTGATTGTATGTAAAGAATATCAGTCAATTAATGACTAACACGTGAGCTAAAAGCGGTATAAGCGGAATATATAGACCGAGCAAAAGTCATTAAAATGCCCAAATTTAACATAGCAAGACCTCCAGCTGATAAATTCAACGGTTTTTGAGAATTCAAAATGATCATCCAAATAGTTTTCATGTTTCTAGCATTGAAATTTTCCCAGTTGCATTCATAAACTGACTTTTGGAAAGTCACACCTGCATCCATGATCCTCTGACCCGCGAGGCAATCCATTCCTACTATGATGAACCCGTAAACAACCTGCAAGTATGTATTGTTCAAACCACCAAGAAGTTCAGCTATTAAACTCAGTATTAGAAGAACAAATTCCGCTGCAAGAGCACCTCTGAATACAAGTTCTGTATCACGCAAAATTTGTGTGGTAGCAATATGCATATTAATCAGGTGGTGTAATTGTCTTTTAATATATTCATTCTTTATATTTATTGCCCTCTCATCATTTGTTGTTTCTGGTGCATCATTAGTTCTAGCAATTTCTTGGTAGTGTTTCTCAGCGTCGTTCCAAAGCTCTTGAAATTCTTCGCCTAAACTAATAATTTGTGATTCCGCGTAACCAGTTAATGTTATGAGTAATCCAGTGATGTTTGTTGTAAGATGCAACACGTATATTGTAGATGTTGTACCAATTATGTAGCTGATCTCATAGTTGGGTGTTTCCAAAATCGGCTCCAGACCTGAAAATTATATTTTGGATCATAATGTGAGTGACTATGTTAATGTTAAAAAAAAAATTATTCATGTAGCATATTTACGGTCCCTTATATAATTGATAATTTTGTAACGATCTCCCTAAGGTTCAGTTAGGCTAGTTACTTCAGTTTTTATCAATATTATAAATTATTTTCGTCATAAAATTGATCTAGGAAATTTGAATCTAAATTTAGTCAGAGAACCAAAAATCAGTACTTAATTACATTCGAAAGTAAAGTAAGGGGAATAACAACAACAACAGTCTATCTGATGGAACGTGATAAGCGTCGTAGCTGTATCCAAAGCTCCTAGGATCGTATCCGTCAGGTAGGAGTTGGTCTTCAGCTGCTCCATAAGTCCTTACGCGAGTTTGGAGTGCCATCTGCACTCGCTCCATATCGTTCGGTGAAGTTGTAAATTCCAGCTGCGGTAGTAGCATTAGATTAGGTAGAAAAAAAGGAGGAGATGTGTTATACGTGGAGTTTGGGAGCAGAGTGATTTGAGTTCCCACATTCAGGCGGCTCCAACGTTGGAGATCCGCGGCCGGCGTGCGGACGATTGCGAAAGTGCATTCGCACCGTCGACTAATCGCGTAAGTGGAACACACGGGGGTTTTAGTGGCTAAAAATCCTACAGTATCTACTATTCATAAAAGCTATGTATCAAACATTTTGCCTCGTTAAAAAAGGCATCGTATATATACATTAACTACACCATAAATAAAGTTGTTTGTGGTGCACTTTCAACGTTTTTCTTCATTGATACAGTTGGAATGTGTATCTATAGGTCTGTGTTTAGTTAATAATGCTAGATTATTGTTTTCTAATATTTCAACTTAAAAATATTAAGTTGCAACTAAATTATTTAAAAGAGCAACACGCAAGTTTATTGCTCTTTCTTCTTGTGATGTATTTTTATTCTACATATTTAATTATAGTTACCATAATAAACAAAGTTGTCATCCAACGAGTGCCGTCCAGACAAGAAGATGGGTCGAATTATGTAAAGTAGACCGTTACACGTGACCACGGTCCAGAAAAACATATAGCGTTTTTTTACGTTTCTCATTTTCTTCATAAGATTTTTATGAAACCGGCTACCGGGTATAACATGCGAGTCAAGTTCTAGACACTTCCCAATTAAGGTCCTTATTTCTTTTCTGTAATAAATAAAGAATGAAACATAGTAGAATTATTATACATTGTATAAAACGATAACTAGCTCCAAACTAAGTAGAACTTATACTTATATACTTGTACTTGACTTATGTTAGATATAGTATTCTTCTTGACATAGTATAAAATATAGTCTCTCCCCCCATATGTACAGTTAGATATTTTACGCAAAGGATTTTAAAGCAGTTTTCAGCAATAGATAGAGTGATTCAAGAGGTATGTTTATATGTATAATACACACATATTGTAGTACAGAAATGTTTAGAAATTAAAAGATTTGTAATGCACAAGTGCGAAGCCGAATAAAAATATATAATTCATATAGTTATATGTATATTATTTCTAAATACATCTACAGACTCATAAGTGTAACTAATAGTTTGAAAGATTTTCGATTCCTGCTCTAAAAACATAAATTTGAATGCAGCCAATCTGATGGTAGGTGTGTTACCAATTAGTGGTACGCGTACCCCCAGGGGTACGTGAAGTTGCATCAAGGGGTACGTGGAGCTATCAGTAAAACAAACATACACAAAACTTTCACATTTGTAATATTAGTGTCATTGCTACAATGAGGGGTACGCAAGGTTTGGGGTCTTTTTTGAAGTGGTAAGCAGCAAAAACTAATTGGGAACCACTGGTCTATATATATATATACATATACTAGCTTTTGCCCGCGGCTTCGCTCGCGTTAATTTATCCCCTTAGGGGTGGAATTTATCAAAATCCTTTCTTAGGGGATGCCTACGTCATAGAAGATTTATGCATGCAAAGTCTCAGCCCGATCGGTTTAAAATTGACAAAGTTTCATACAAACTTTCATCCCCTATTTTATGCCCTTGGGGGTAGAATTAATCAAAATCCTTTCTTAGCGGATGCCTGCGTCATAACATCTACCTGCATGCCAAGTTTCAGTCCGATCCGATCCAGTGGTTTGGGCTGTGCGTTAATAGATCACTACGTCAGTCACCTTTGAGTTATATATATTTAGATATATATATACATGAATAGCACTACGGACATCACGAGGAAGATGCAAGAAGCAGTCTGTTTCTGTGTCGTAAATTTTATTACACACAACTTTCTTCGCGTATGTTATAGAAGTTGGGGCACTTTCGGACGACTGCTACTTACTGCTTTCTAAGATTTTAATGCAAGTCAAGGTAGAAATATTATGTCTCTATTCTAATTTAATTGAATTTAGAAGATACCAACCTGTTCATTATTAAGAAGAAAAGTTTAGTAGGTCCTATTTCACTACACAGAGATATAGAAAAGCCCACCATGCCCAAAACCATGTTCTTAGTCTCTCTGGTTCTCACGAATAGAAACCAAAGGGAAGAGATCAAATATGCATAATAGAAAGAGCAGGCTGTTAGGAACGTTATTATGTAGAAAATAATTGGAATTCCTGCAAAATAAATTGAAATTTAGTTAGACTATTTTTACCAGTTAGTATATGTATATTGTATACTTACAATAATAACCCTGGACAATATATACAGCGCCATCTAGTCCCGAGTTAAGCAGAGCTTGTGTTATGGGTACTAGACAACAGATCAATATATAGATTCTAATATTATATTCAAATATTTTGAGTAACACATATGTAATTGTAATATACATATAAATACTAACTGTCCCGGCAAACGTTGTTTTGCCATATAAATTAATAACGCTATAAAAAAAGAGGGGTTGATGATAGAAGGGTGAAAATTTAGAATTGTATGTATTTTTTATGTTGTATCATAAAAAAATAGACATTAAATTTTATTTTTATTCATTATGTCTGAAATTAAAAAAAATTTACTGTTTTTTACTACATGCAACATATATATACGGATGAAAAATAGATGTTGGCCGATTCTCAGACCTACTCAATACGCTCACAAAATTTCATGAGAATCGGTCAAGCCGGAGGAGGAGGAGTATGGGAACGAAAACTGTGACACGAGAATTTTATATATAAGATTTAAGTGATTTATTATGTAGCTAATGTAATGGAAATTTCTATTCTTATCTTAGTATCCAATTTACATTACTTAATTGTGCAACTAAGAACCTAAAATACGTAGATTCTTGTTTTTTTGTAAATACCTAATAGACATAGAAAACAACCAGACCGATACAAACAATCATACTCGTGAATATAAATGTTTGTGAGAATTGTACTTTGCGAGGAATCTAACCTGCGACCATCGGAAGTAAGGCGTTGTGCTAAACTACCGGACCGCCGAGGCTGTCAAATTATAATTGAGCCAATCTGTAGTAAATACATAATTTACTGACATATTTTATCATTTATTTATATTAGTAATAGTTTATTACTTGTCTGTTTGTAATATTGAAATGACTGTTTTTTACTACATGCATATGAATATATATACGGTACGATACTAGGAATGTTAGAGAGCTCCGTAACCGTAACCGAAACTATCGGATATGCGATAAAAAAACTTATTCGTAACCGAATCCGAAATAAAAGCTACGGATAATATCGGATAGAAGCGGATCCTAATAAAAACACGATATGTAACTATTTTATTAGCTATTTCTATTTTACTTATGAAATTCCTTAAAAAAATTACATCCGTAACCGAAAATATTTCATATCCGTATCCGTATCCGTATCCGGTATAATAATCATTCCTATATCCGAAAATAAATATTACTGTATTGTTATATATATTTAGTGACAAACAGACACTTCAATATTATTTGTATAGATGAGAAAGTGTGAGTTTAGCGAGATACCTGCAGATATAACAATAACAATATATTATTTGATTGATTGGTTCATATTTATCGGTTACTCATTTCTTACATTGTATATGTTGTTAATAATGTCACTGATTATAATTACTATGTACGGATACATTAGGTATTCAAAATATCTTTATTCATGTAGGTCTATTACAGACTCTTATTATTTGTCAAATCTACCATCAGTTCGGAGAGCTTTCGAGCTAAGGACAAGAAACTCAGCTCTTGAATTCTCAATCATACTGATTGAGAATTCATTGAGTAGTGATACAACTGTGTTTATACCGTACGAGGAACCAAACCCGCGACTAACGAAAGTAAAACGGTGTGCTATACCGCTAGATCAATGTCGTACTATAGCGAAGTCTTGCTATGATTATTAATAATTATTATATTAGATACTAGCTGACCCTGCAAACATTGTTTAAAATATAAATTAAAATCGCTATTAAAAAATAGGGGTTAGTGATAGAAGAGTGAAAATTTAGGGTTGTATGTATTTTTAATGTCAAATTTGAAAAAAAAATCTTTATCTCTTAGGGGTATGAAAAATAGATAGTAGACGATTCTCAGTTCCACTGAATATGCATATAAAATTTCATAAAAATCAGTCAAGCCGTTTCGGAGGAGTAGGGTAACTAACATTGTGATGCGAGAATTTTATATATGTAGGTATAAGATTAGAAATGACCCGAAGTATGATCAGAATAACACTAAGTATCATGACAAAGCATGGCCCGCTATAATTTAATTTAATTTGTTTATTGTCTTTGTAACGTAAGATTAGACTTAAGATTTGTTCCTAGATGTATTAGCTAGTATGTGTTAGCTAGCGTAAGGGTATCCCTAATGTAATGTAATATGGACTTTAGTCTCCACATTTATCCTCTCATCTGGGCCGTTGTGCGTGTAGAGCCGAGACTACTAAAGTAGCCAGCCAAGCTTCTCCCAGAAAAGCAGAAGCCTCCTGGTAGGACCACATATATAGACTAGGGATGTTATGGATATGAAATTTCGGATACGGATAGGTTTCGGATATAGGAATGATTATTATACCGGATACGGATACGGATGCGGATATGAAATTATTTCGGATTATCCGTTAGTTGAGGATAATTTCGGTTACGGATATTAATTTTTTAAAGAATATTAAAACTAAAATACAAATAGATAATAAAATGGTTACATAACGTGTCTCAATTAGGCTCCGCCCCTATCCGATATTACCCGAACCTTTTATTTCGGATTCGGTTACGGTTACGAATATTTCTTTATATCGGATATCCGATAGTTTCGGTTATGGAGCTCCCTAACATCCCTCATATAGACATTAATTAGAGTTGTCATAAATGTCTGTAATGGATCTACATGAATAAAGATATTGTGAATTTGATTTTGTCTGACAGATACTACTTGAGTCTAAGGGCACTGCTTGGGGTTCAAATACTTAACTGCTCAGTTTAGGCTGTCGTAATTTTAGTTTACCTGCCTTTTTTATGTCGAGGGTCCACGTTGAGTGTGACTAATCGGAGCATCACACCTATATTCCACACCATGGTTGGCAGATCACAATAATCTAGCCCAAACTTGCGTATAGACTGTATAATACCCATTTTATATAGATGTACAATAGTTGATTAATCTTTTCTGTCTGTTGGTCATAAATAACAAAGAATAAAATCAAATGAAGCGAACTCCTTGATAATATTTTTTTTTAACACTTTTTTTATAGCTGCTCTCATACTAGTACCCGTTGCCGTATTTTTCCTAACAAAGCCCTCGTAACCTCTCTCTCACTCATCAGGTACATCAGATACCTCGGCTTCATCAACAATAAAAACTTGTTTTACTTCAAAATTTCATTGTTTGAAATAAGTTTTGTAGAGTTTGTTATCTATGATTATTATAGATATATAAGGCTATACTTCAATAAACTCTACAAAATTTAAACGGATTTTGATATTCGATAGGTGTTATGTTATTTTATTTCGTCACGATTTCTATATGTTTCAATATGCAGAGTAACGTTTTGAATTATATAATATATATTAATTTAATTTAATTTCATTTTACCACATTGTTTTCATCTGATTTCATCCGGAGAATTTCAATTCGATTGTTATTTTCCGTTTTGTGTTTACAGAATCCAAGATATCACATGTTTTATTATTTATTAATATTAATTTAAATAAACTTTTTGTACACTTCAATTAAATATTTAATTTCTATATGTTTTAAAAGTACGTAGACTATCATACCTTGTATTATACGTCTTCAAGTCGTGACATTCTACTAAACTCGTTTACACTATAATATATATGGAATATTAAAGCAGAGGTTCATGTCTTTGATGTAGAAAATTATATTTAAAGCCAATTATGAAGTTCTATACTAGTTAAGCATATGACTTTGTGCTTATATATGTATATCATGTGTTATTTTTTTATGGATGATAATGGAATGTTGCCATCCTGCGCTGACGTCTACGCTGGCGGGGCACGAGTAGAGGATGATAAGATGAACATGAGGTCAGGTTAGTTCACCAAGAATTTATCACGATGGTTTCCAGGGGGAACCGCGTGGAGGTCAACCTGACATGGTGCATTGCTAGCAATGGTGTCAATAATCATGTGTCATTTGAACTTTTAGAAGAAATATGGTTAATATGTATAATGTATATATATATGTAAATATGTATATAAACACGCCTGTTGTGTGTAGAAGTGGATTGTTAGTAATGGGGATTAATACCATATCAGGTTGATATCCATGCGGCTCGCCTTAGAAACCATCATGTTAAATTCCTGGTGATTTATTCCTGCATCGCAGATTTGATATCATTACGGGTTCGCACACACACATACAACGTTACTTGTATACATATATGTATATACTATAATTATGCATGAAGTTTATAGCCTATGTGTCATTCTGATGTATAAGCTATATTACTGTAAAGTTTCATCGAAATCCGTCCAGTAATTTTTGCGTGAAAGTAACAAACATCCATCGATATTCATAAACTTTCACGTTTATAATATTATTAAGATACATTTAAACTAAAACTTAAGAAATTTCTATTAGATAATCAAATTTCTTCTGTATAACTGTCCGTACAGTATTATTTTACCTATGTATTTTATCCATACATTATCATAGCTTAAACTTACACCTTATCAGGAGCATCCACAGCGCACGTTCACGCAGGCAGCAGTAGATTCACAATTTATATATTTTGAATTAAACACTACAAGGTTCCACTGAAAATCAGCCTTTGGGCATTACTGAGTGGAATCCAATTTGGTCGCAGCTGTATTTTTCAAATAATCAATTATAATTTTTGTAATACGTTCTATAATTGTTTTGTACGCACCAAATAAATATTTCTTTCTTTCTATATAAACATTAAGACAAAAATTCTTCAAAACTCATTCCTTCAGCTTCCATACTTTTTTCTCAAATTCTTTCATGTACAGACAGCGATAAGTTACATTTTTATTGTATGTATAGATTGGGGAACGTTTTTCCTCCATTAGTGTTCTATTGATTAATGAAACCGCCTCTCGGAATAGTTCCACAGCATCCCTCGCGTGTGAGATCACGAGGAGCATTTGTAAGAAACAAGAAATGAGAGGATTGCGCTACAATAGCTTCTGTCAATTAGCAAGATTAGACGACTGGCGTTCATAGGGATGGCAGTCATCACGACACTATTTTTTATATAATCAAGTAAAGTTACTACTTGATTGATGACTTATTTGATATTAGCTGTGCCCGCAGTTTCATCTGCGTGAAATTTCTAGTCTATATGTTATTCTGATGTATATATATCATTATAAAATTTCATCCAAATCCATTCAGTAGTTTTTGCGTGAAAGTACAAAGTAACAAACACCAATTTTCACAAATTTCGCGTTTATAATATTAATTATAATGAGATATGAATATCTATTTATGAAATACCGTCTATTTAAATGTTTAATACTAGCTGTGTGTGTGTGTGTGTGTAAAATGTATAGCCTATATACTAATCTGATATATAAGCTATGTCACTGTAAAGTTTCATCAAAATCCATTGAGTAGTTTTTATGTAAAAGAGTCACAAACATCCGTCTATTCATCTATCCATCCATACTTACAAACTTTAGCGTTTATAATATAAATAAGATAATATTTATATTATAAACGATAAAGTTTGTAAGTATGGATTTATAATATACATAAAATAACTTATAAATAAATAAGATAAATAGATTAACTAACTTAGAATACCGATTAATGTCGAGAACATAAAATGAACTAAAAATAATATAGTTTTATTTTATTTGTGTATACCTAGTCTTCTCGTTTTATCTATACACAGCGTCATATAGCCCCAAATTAAGCAGAGCTAGTTTTATGGGTACTAGACAACTGATATTTAACTTTTTTTTTATAGAAATTTATATATACATATTTTGCTTTATATTTATATATCTTTTGACATTTCTCATTTATATTAGTATTATTATTATTTATATTAGTGCACCGCCAACAATCTTTCTTTGCACCACTCATGGTTGACTGGTGGATACCGCCACAAGTCTGTCAGTCAGTCATATATACACATTGTTTTTGTATTATTTACAATGTAATGATGGTATTCTGTGGTATTTTTAAGTTTTCGTCACCTACTCTCCTAACGTGGGGTGATTTAGGTCGCTGGTTCAGGGCGTTTACAAATATACCTCTGCCGTTGCCTATTGTCTAATCAATTTGTGTAGTCGAAAATTAAATATAAAATTGTCCGTATATTCACCCCAAAATACACCAAAATATCCGCCATTTTGCACCGCCGTTTGTCCCCACGATCGAATCTGTCACTGGTGTTGCGCACTTCGTCCACCAGAGGGCAGGATTTGCTCACATCCCCAACATTAAGAATTTACAGGGACGTATAGTTACTTTTGTAGTTTTTTTTTTCGAACTACTCTAATGCTGTTGGCCGCAGCTGGCCTTTACAGCTTCACCGGACGATAGGGGGCGAGTGCAGATGGCACTCCAAACCCGCGGAAGGACTTATGGAGCGGCTGAAGGCCAACTCCTGTCTGACGGATACGACTTCAGTCTGAGGGCACCACTATGGGTTCGAACCTCGGCTCAGGCGGTCGTAATATCGATCCCCGTTTGAATCGGAGGGGGGATTATAGTGTGGGTGTGTTGTGGTATGTTGAAGGTGTAGTGCCGCAAAAGTGTCAATAATTGCAGGTAAATTACAAGGTTTTTGTGCATTAAAGTTAAATAAATAAATGCTGATACATTTTTTTTGCAAATACATATTTAATATATATAGAAAACACCGAGACAGATACAAACAATAATACTCATGTATACAATTATTAGTACCGTGTGCGGAAACGAATCTGCAACCATTGGAAGTAAAGCGGTGTGTTAAATCGCCATCGAATCCGTCTATTTCCAACCCTATGAGAATTCCTAATTATTTGCAATAAGGATTTATGTGAGTGTTGTTTTTTTGTACAGCAATAAATATAGTGCCATTTGGGAACCTAAAAACAAATCCGAACCTTCATTTTGTTCTTTATAGTATTTTGTTTATGATAATAAACTTTTTGAGTTGTATTGGCGATTGGTGCTAGTTTAATTTCGAAGGCTATTTTCCGTTAGCCAGAGAAAAAGGACACGGAATGTTTATTTTACAACTATCGACTAGCTTTTACACGCTTTAACACTAGCTTTTAACGACTGGGTTTCTTAAGGACTGTATAATAAATTTAAACGAGGAGAAGCTTTTGAAATATACGTGTTTAACCAATTAAAAACCGTATATTTCAAATGTGACAATAATAGAAAAATAATTTAAATATATACAATAATATAATAAAAGATTAAAAAGGTGCTCTAACTAACATCCCCTATTTAATATCCTTCCTGATTCTATTTTGAAATAAAAGATAGCAATGTCGCTTGAAACCACTTGCCTTCTTGTAAAATTTCATTAAACACACAGACAAAATTTCAAATCTATACATATAAATAAAATTGGAGTGCTTGTTTGTAATATTGAAATAACCGTTTTTTCCTACATGCATATGAATATAAACATACGGTACATACACCAAAATAACATTTTTAGCATTTTTGTCTGTCTGTCTGTTTGTTCCGGCTAATCTCTGAAATGGCTGAACCGATTTTGACGGGACTTCTTTTGGCAGATACCTGATGTAATAAGGAGTAACTTACGCTACTTTTATTTTAGAAAAATAAAGTTAAATTCCACACAGATGAAGTTGCGGGAACAGCTAGTTTATAACATATTTTTTTTATTTATTGCATTGCATTCCCTAATGTTACACAATTGGTAGTTGTTAGGTTTACAGCAGATCGATTATGGACCGTGTTGGGCAGCAAGCAGAAGAGAAGAGAGGAAGACGAGTGTATGGTATATTTAGTCATTATAAAATTGTATAAAAATTTATCGAATTACTATATTACTCATATTTACTTTATTTAATTAATACCCATATATATTTTGTAGGGTCCTAAACTAAGGACTTTTAAATTAAAAAGTTGTGATCTCGCCACCGACCTCTACACGCGCGCTCAATAATCTCTCATTCTCTGTAATGTAAACTGTATGTTTAAATTATTACACGAATTTACAGTCCATAAATCAACTTTTTAATTTAAAAGTCCTTAGTTTAATTTAAAAGTCATTAATGGTCCTTCGAGCCGGATTTAAACCAGCGACCTATGGATTACAATTGTTAAAGCCTCTACATATTTGATTAAAAAAATTGTTCAATATTGAATTTAGTATGTTATCTAACTTAATTATACCTAAATACATATAAAATTATAAACCTATAAATAAAATTGTCCAATATTATAATTAACACATAACTTTTTGTAATTAATAATCCTTTGAGATGTTGTATGTATAAGCTTTTTATAAAATGTTTTTTCGATTAATAAACTATAAGAAATCTCAGGACAATTCACACAGCACCATCTTGACTTATGTAAGTTAAGCTGGCTAAAGCTTGTGTTATGGGTACTAGACAACTGATACAAATACATCTATATATTTTTATTTTCACACATACATATATATTATACATAGAAAACACCCAGACCGATACAAACAATCATACTCATGAATACAAATGTTTGTACCGTGCGAGGAATCGAATCAGCGACCATCGGAAGTGAGGCCGTCAAAATATATTTTAATTAATATTAAACATAGCCAAAACATCGTAAACAAGTAAAATTAGAATTGTTCAATGAGCAACAACACTGCCCTAATCTTTTTCAATGAAGCTTTACAGTCCAGTATTTATTTTCCAAACTTTACAATATCGAACTGTCACGATTCAACAGTCTTTGATTGTACGCCAAAGTTATATTACAAAGGGATGAAATTTCAATATGGATTTGTCGAAAATATTACAGAACATCCACCGTCGATGTCAGTCTGTTTGACTTGGAAAGTACAGGTCGAAGAAATCTGAATTTATAATAAATTTGAATGTTGCACTTGTGGGAAGTTAAATATGAAGCTGAATGTACCGTTGTGAGGTTTTAAAGTTAAAACAGAGTTTTAAATTTTGGTAACAATGTATACCGTATAAGTAATTATTTTTACTTAAAAAAAGTTTTTTTTATTTACTGTACTATGTGTGTGTGTGTATATACATAAATATTTATATACACAAATATTTTTTATGTACATATATATAATATATATATATTTATTTATTATTTTATATATAGTAATCCCATATATACATATACATATAATCATCTAATCCCAAGTTGTCGTTGTATGTATTTTCCTTAAGTAGTTTACTGTTAATATTGTAGTATATTTAGTTTTAAGTATAATATATGTCTAAAATATAATCATATAGTATAAATAGTCTATGATGTATGTAACATACTCTGTGCAGTTGAGTAGTCTGTATTGTAAAATGGCGGGAACAGCCAAATTAAATGTGAAACACAAATTAACTTTTTATTGAAATTAATATTTAAATACAGTACAAATATATTGAGGTCTTATATAAGTACTAGCTTTTGCCCGCGGCTTCGCTCGCGTTAATTTATCCCCTTAGGGGTGGAATTTATCAAAATCCTTTCTTAGGGGATGCCTACGTCATAGTAGCTTTTTGCATGCAAAGTCTCAGCCCGATCGGTTTAAAATTGACAAAGTTTCATACAAACTTTCATTCCCTATTTTATCCCTTTGGGGGTAGAATTAATAATAATAATAATAATCTCAGGACAATTCACACAGCGCCATCTAGACCCAAGTTAAGCTAGCTAAAGCTTGTGTTATGGGTACTAGATAACTAATACAAATACATAGATATATTTTTTTTTGTAAATACATACATATTAAAAACACAGACCGATACAAACAATATATCATGAATACAAATGTTTGTGCTTATATAACCCGCGACCATCATAATGACCACTAGACCACCGAGGTCGTCATATAAAATCCTTTCTTAGCGGATGCCTACGTCAAACATCTATAAAAATTTCAGCCCGATCCGTCCAGTGGTTTGGGCTGTGCGTTGATAGATCACTACGTCAGTCACCTTTGAGTTATATATATTTAGATAATGGCATATTGTTGTTAACTTCAATACATAAAGAACACTTAGCCGACTAATTTGTTACTTTCATTTCAAATTTTTTTTCACGATTTTGTCGCCACCAATGGTAATAGATATAAAGAGTCTGGGAACAAGGAGGGAGCGGGCTGCTCTCACTCTGTTCGAGGCAACTGAGACGACCACACGTGAATGTACAGCGACGCAATTTATGTGGAGTGTAATTTGAAAAAGGAATAAAATAAAAGTACTGCTGCATCGACGTATCATTTCTGAAACTTCCCAATATTGTATATACTTAATATATAAATTATTGAAAGAAAAAATCTCAAGTTAAGCACAACTTGTGTTATGGGTACCAGAGGAAGATATTTTTCACGATATCATTAATACGTTTATTAAGTGTTGTTTGTTGTTTTTAGTGTAATTACGTTATTTGTTATTATGTTATTGCTCACTACACGCTTTCTATTAACTGTAAGTGGTAAAATGAATAAAACATAGAAAACACCCAGACCTATACAATCATATTTACGAATACAAAATCTATGCAGCGTACGAGAAATCGAACCCGCGACTATCGGAAATAAACCACTGAGTCAGTCAAATCTACGTAAATTATTTCTTTAGCATATTTTAATTATATTACAAAATCAAATTCAAAATCACTATTACAGACTCTTACGATATGTCAAAGCTACCATTAGTTTAGAATCATTTCGAGATAAAAAGAACTGACAAGAAACTCAGCTCGTATTCTTTTCAAATAAATGTTGTACATGTTTACAATAATACAGAATCATTTTTAAATTCAAATTTGAGAGTGAGTACATTTTAGTGGTTATATTTTATAATTAGCTTATCGTTACTAAGTAGACTATAATAAGCACAAGGTCCTATAAGTAAAGCAAGGTTCCAACACTGGGTCAGGGATTCATATTATAAGATATAAGATCAGGATATTATACCATTCTTACTAACCAGACAGTCAAAGTAGCGGTAGGCGGTCCACTCCACGAGTGTACCAGAATGTCAGCCAGCAGGGAGAAATGGCGAGCTCTCGTGACATGACATCTGCCTATCACTCCACTAAATTATGACCACGAAAGACCGTTCTGTCAAGAGTGTATCGAGTAATAAGAAACGAAGCAAGAATCACACACACAAATTAGGAAATTAATTGACACTGAGTGTGAGTGAGTGAGTTTAATACTCGCAGATTACATAACAATGTAATCTGCGAGTATTAAACTCATTGGATGAGCCCACAGACTCATTTGGGTTCTTCCACAGAGCGCGACTGGGAGAAGCATAAAGGGACACTGCTTTCTGATTCTTCCAGGAAATTAAAATTGAACAATCTGTTGTCATTTCTCTGTAGTAAAGCAGACATTAGATAATAATATGATGTCTTCGAGTCACTAAAAGGTACAGAGTAGATACATGGTTAATATAAATCAGGGATGTTATGGATATGAAGTTTCGAATACGAATAGGTTTCGGATATAGTAATGATTATTATACCGGATACGGATACGGATGCGGATATTAAATTATTTCGGATTATCCGTTAGTTTCGGATAATTTCGGTTACGGATATTAATTTTTTAAGGTATTTCAAAAGGAAAATACAAATAGATAGTAAAATGGTTACATACGTGTCACAATTAGGGTCCGCCCCTATCCGATATTACCCGAAACTCTTATTTCGGATTCGGTTACGGATACGGATATTTTTTTATATCGGATATCCGATAGTTTCGGTTACGGTTACGGAGCTCCGTAACATCCCTGATATAAATGAAATTAAGAATACAGAACATAAAAATAATGTTCAATCGATATATAACTTTGTGTCAACTGCATTTAAGGGCAAATCCTCTAATTCCACCCATAATAAATGCTTATCTTGTCCATTGTGTAATGGTAATCATCAACTTTAATCATGTTTCCAATTTTTAAATTTGTCCATACAGGACAGAATGTTAAGTGGCTTCTTATATGATATATATGTGTTGTGTTTTTTCTCTTGCACTGGTATACTGTTTAGTTTCCCCAGTCTCAAATCAGTAATGTGTATATCAGGGTGCCTGTTTATCTTTTCTGGTGGCCTCAGGTCAGGATTGGCCTACAGCGAGGTCATAAGGCCCGAATTTTACTTCTTAATAATTTTAATATCATAAGGTTAAACAAATAAGTACTTTACCTAAGTTTAGTATTTATTTTAAGCTTACTATAAGCTTAATAAATAATAAATTCAGAAATAGCTTTCAGCTTCAAAAATGATAATTTCAAAATTCTTTTATTCATGTAGATCTATTACAGTTTATTATTTGATATAAAAAAATATATTGCCATTTTTATTCTACTGTTATCTGCTTTATTTTTGATACGTACAATTATATAGTATAATCATTCTACTTCTCCTCTTCTTCTTAAAATGTCTTTAATAATAATAATAACATGTGGGTGAGTTATTTTATACCAAATTAAAGAAGAGAATAAAAAAGAGAAGTAATAATAATAACTTATTTATTTAAAAAAGAATTTACAAATAATTTGTAAAGTCCCTGACTTGTGAGAGCCTCTTCCATATTATAGTGTACATAGGTACATATTAATACTACTTGAAATATTCAACATCGTTGTTATTGTCTGTCACTATGTTTATTTGATATTAAAATGGTAGCTTCTGTATACAAAAATATATAATATAATTCTTTAGAAAAATACAATAGAAGAACTATAAAAGTATGTGGCCAGTACGTCAGCAACAATCGTAACAGTGAATTTTTTTAACAACATTAATTGTCACGGTTTAACAATTTATTCGTTACTTCTTGTGCATCTTTGCTAATTTTAATAGCAACAAAACCATTCTCTATGTCTTGTAATGTTCTATCTTTAGTCTCTGGTAATATAAAATACAAATGCACTAGTAATATTACAGCTACAGACATGTAAACACTAAATGTTCCGTGTACCTTTAAAGCATCCAACATAGGAGAAGTTAATTTTAAAGTTATCATACTTATTAATGCATTTAATACTCCTGATGCACATATACCTATACCTTTGTATTGTAAAGGAAACATTTCTCCTTTTAGCAGTATAGATAAAGGTATAACTCCTGCATTACATACAAAATCATATACAACTAGTAACGCAGGTGTGGACCATCCCAGATTTATTGAAAATTTCCAATCAAGATACTGAATTACGCAAACTACAGCTAGCAGAAAACAAGACAATGACCCGCTGAAGAAAAGCAACAGTCGTCTATTAAATAACTGTACAATGTAACTTGATAACAGAACTGCGAATATCTTCATTAGGTCTAGTGTTACGGTATAATAAAAAGCCTTCGTTTCGTCTCCAGTTAGTTGGGTCATAATTTGGATAACGTAAGCTATGAAATAATATCTACCACACATTTGTGATAACGTTAACAATTCAGTAACAATTAGAAATGGTTTTAAGAACTCCTTTGAGGTTATAGCTTTTTTGATTCTCGATAGCACACTTTCTCTACTGTTCCTGATTCTTCGAAGCTCATATTGAGCTGTTAATAATTCTTTGAGTTCCTTTTGAGCCAGCTTATCTTTGCCTCTTATCCACTCGAAGGCGGTAATACTTTCTTCGTAACGTCCTTTAAAAGCTAACCATAATGGACTCTCAGGTAACATCGTAGTTGCCAAAATAGCTAAAGTCGGTGGAATGGAACTCATCCATGCTATATTTCGCCATGAGGTTAAGAAACCACAGCTATGGCAAATAAGTACGCCAATACAGCTTGCAGTAATCTTAAAAATTACGAAGAATCCCCTACGTTTAGGATGACTATACTCTGAAGCCAAGATACTAGATATGTACAGACCACCAAAGGAAATCCCTTGAACGGCTCGACCTATTATTAATGTGATAACGTTTGGTGATACAGCGATGATTACGAAACCACATAGTACTGCTGTGTTCAGAAATATGCTGGTAATTTTTCGACCATATATCTGCATGAGAGGTGGCACGATGAGAAAACCAATACATCCCGTCATACCATAGGCAGCAGCTGAAATGTATCGAAAATTGATTATAACTTATCTGAATGGTAATGAAGGTAATGGTAACAATAAATTTAAACATAGGGAATGATAGATGCTGAAGATAGAAATAGAAATTTTAATTCAAATAAACATAGATAAAGCAAACTCATAGATTATGAATACAGAGCAATTAATGAAGCTTAAGATCATCAAATACAACTTAATTTTCTACAACAGCAGGTCGTAAATTCGTATCATCACATCATTCTCTACTCGTGCCTTGCCTTTAAATTTCCAGTGATTATCTACAGAGGGAAACACAGTTCGTTTGGAACGCAAAACAAGATTCAATTTTAAGATTCTAACATTCATTTGGAACGCGGACTCATCACAAAAAGATTGAGCAAAGAAACTTTCGTTTAGCTCTTTTAAATAGAGGTAGTTCTCAATAAATACACATTAACAAGAATTGTGTATCCGACAATCAACATAGAAATCGCTACGATATGCATCTTTATTCAATCACACACACACAATCACAATCACAATCACAACATTCTCAGCACTATGAACTTTAATTTAGATTTTTTCTACTGTCCAATTTTGTAATAAGATTTTTACAAAGAAAGTATTTTATAAGACATTTGAATCTGTTTTCTGGCAGATTGAGGATGAGAGATATACGAGAATGTATGAACAAACAATTTGAATGAAACATTTGATAGAATGAATTATGAGATAACAAGATATTCTGCTAGACTCAATGGAGTTACTCCTGTTAACTGATAACTGCTACCACTTACCATCAGGCAATCTGTTAGACAACCTGCTATTAGTGAATGATATAAAAAAAGTACTTGATATGCATAAATTGTCGTATATAATCACAAATGTTATAATTTAGCTATTATAATAATGTTTGCTGATCAAATTAACGATGTTTATACAGAAATCAAATAAATAGTAATTAAAGAAATTTATAGATTATTAATGAAGGAAAATATTGATATAAATAGTAACAATGACAGAATTAAAACATTCTGTGCCATTCCTAATATAGAAAATAGGATATTTCAATTAGAATTTATGAATATGAATATGCGTCGCCTTTTTATTAGAGTCTCAATAGGAAGAGAGAAAATTTAAGTGAACTGTAAAGAAAGTATTATACGATGTACTGGATTAAATACTACACGAATTAATTAAACAAACAGAGTTGTATCTGTAAATGTTAAAATTATTATGCAATTGTTATGTACAGATGAAAGAAATATTTAGTACTTACTAATGGTGGAAGCATCATTTTTGGTGGCATGTATATCGGTAACATGACTGGTGGTCGTGATGGCTGGAGTGAGGATTGCAGGGAAGCCGAGCACGAAGCCGATCGCCAGGTGATGGAGTATGAGGGGCGTCATCACCAGCCACTATATACAGGATTGAAGAATGTTTTAAGCTTGTACGCGAATTTAATGAACATATTAACAAAAGAAAAATTAACTTTATAAAATAAGGCTGAACTTGAAACTCCACAACAAGCCCTTTTAATACATCACCAGCCACTACAAACATGATTGAATTTAATAACCATGTTCAGGTATTTAATGAACATATTTACTAAGAAAAGACAATTTAACTTTATAAAAGAAGGATCAACTCGAAAATCGAAAAACAAGCCCTTCTCAAACGTATGAAAAGCATAATAAAATCCCAGATGATGTAGACAATCCAAACCATATTTGAAAAAAACTAAACGTATAATACAGGTAGAACTCACTGTACTATGGGAAGCAAAAATAGCTAAACACAATAAAATGCAATAAAACCATATAAATATTATGAATTAATAAACGAATTAACCAAAATGTGGTTAATTTATATGTGGTCAAAGTGAGGGCGAAATCTCTCTAATATCTTCTAAAAGATCTTGGCCTGTCTAGAGCTATAGTAAGTTTTATACTAAAACGTGTATCTGGAATATTAGTAGGCTCATAAAGAGATTTGGTAGAGAGAGAAACACGAGCGATGAAGGTAATAATAATAATCATGTCCCGTCCTTGGTACTAATCACCAGCTTAAGCTGTGAAAAACAGATAATAATAATAATCTCAGGACAATTCACACAGCGCCATCTAGACCCAAATTAAGCTAGCTAAAGCTTGTGTTATGGGTACTAGACAACTGATACAAATATATATACTTCCATATTTTTTTTAGTAAATACATACTTATAATACATCGAAAACACCCAGACCGACACAAACAATTATACTTATGAATAATGTTTGTGCCGTGCGAGGAATCGAACCTGCGACCATCGGACGTAAAGCGGTGTGCTAGACCGCTAGACCACCGAGGTCGTCGAAGGTGAGTGTTGACGTATGTGGGCAAGGGGACACTTAAACCTACACCCGGGTTACAAGTCTCGGGAACTGGTCGGAGTTTCCCTCTATAGCACACGATAATCATTGGACATTTAAAGGCAAGGCACGAGTAGAGAATGATGTAATGATACGAATTTACGACCTTTGCGGTCTGTAACCTGGAGTAGAAAACTACTAGACAACGAAGAGTGCGTATGCCTCTTTAAGAGTACTAATGATCTATACGTAGCTTCATTGATTGCTCTGTATTCATAATCTATGAGTTTGCTTTATCTATGTTTAACCTCTTTTGTTTCTTTCACTCCACAGTTCTTAGGCATGATTTATGAAACATCTGTGACCTTTTTAAAATGTTTTCTTTAAAGGTGCTTCGTTGTTTGTTTGAAAGTGTCTCTGACTAGGGAGGTGAGTATTGTTTGGAATGGAGACTAATCTGTTTTTTAATCCCAGAGATTAAATTGGTCTAAGTATCAAATTTTCAAATAATGTTACCTCGTATAGCGGGGTAGTGGTGTACCTGCGTTATCGATTTGTTTAATCCGAAATATTTATGTTACATTTTTGTGTTGTATAACAGTTACCTGTATATATAGTAATTTCTTACAGTATTAAGCTACAATCCATCATTATTTTCTTTAAAACAGCTTATTTAAAATAGGAGTATGTTTTATAATATACTAGCTACCCACCCCGGCTTCGCAAAGTACATGTATTATATATATAATCCTTCCTCTTGAATCACTCTATCTATTAAAAAAACCGCTTCAAAATCCGTTGCGTAGTTTTAAAGATTTAAGCATATATAGGGACGGACAGACAGTGACAGCAACTTTGTTTTATACTATGTAATGATGACACCATACAAATGTCATTTGTTTTATAAGAAATGCAGTTAGTATATATTTTAGTGAAAAGTAATAAATCTATTTAGGTACAAAAGCATTATATTTATTCACCTATTCTATAACCTATACAGTACTAATTTTGTGATAATACATTTTACACAAACACCCACTCATTATTTCTGAATAACCTATAAAAATGGGTAAATGATATTAAGTTCTGATAGTGTCACAGCCCTATTTAAAAAGTGCAACATAAATAAATAAATAACAGTCCGTCTCTAATATTGTGTTAGGTAGTTTATTAAAAAGTAATTTTAATTTACCTTGTATCTGGTTTCGATAATTGTTAGGGTAGTGTGACTGGAGTGAGACTACAACTACTATTTATTAAACAAACTATAATAATTATATAGATACGTACAATTCCCAAAAATGCTCACAAAACAAGAGAAAAGTGATATCAAAATAATACAATGTTAAAGTTGATATCGATGCGAAATAAAAATACAGCGCTTTGTAGGAAGGTGTGTAATGGAATGAAATGATGGATGCAATTACAGAGATCGCAATATGCACGTAACACAGAAACTAGACGACGCGCGCCCCGCTCCCCGCCTCACCGCATCAGGAACCAGTTATTATTTATATTGTATTACGGTGAGGCGTTAACATACTGGGCCCCCTTAAAAGCTGGTCTTTCAAGGACTCAAGTGTCGCATCTTGATTCTTCCAGGCAACATACTTTAGAAACGGCTCTTCTCAGGATGCCCTTTTTTGTGATTACATCAATCACTCTCGTGATGCCATCTGATCCAGGATAGAGCTTTACAACACGACCAAGCAGCCATTTCATAGGTGGAAGTTGTTCATCTTTAATTATAACCAAGTCATCTGGTTTTATTTCTTGACATTTTGTACGCCATTTCACTCGTTCTTGTAATTCAGACAGGAATTCCTTGGACCACCTTTGCCAGAAGTGTTGTCGCAATTTTTCAATAAGCTGGTATCGTGTGACATTGTTCCTTTCTATAACTGGTGAAGGTAATGAAGTCAACGGACGACCAATTAGAAAATGCCCAGGAGTTAAAGGAGATAAATCTGATGGGTCCGATGATAGTGCAGTCAACGGACGAGAATTTAATATTGCCTCAATTTGTGCGAAAACGGTAGTAATTTCCTCAAAGGTTAAATTTGCATTGCCTATTACACGCTTTAGGTGAAATTTTGCCATTTTTACGCTGGACTCCCATATACCCCCAAAGTTAGGCGAGTAAGGCGGTGAAAATTTGAAATTAATGCCTTCTTTACATGAGAATTCGCTTACATCATTATTTGCCCTTGCTAAAAGTCTAACTAACTCTCCATTCGCTCCTACAAAATTTTTACCATTGTCGCAGTATATTGTATGTGGTTTTCCGCGACGTAATATGAATCGCCGCAAACAAAGTAAAAATGCCTGAGTGCTTAAGTCGGTAACAACTTCTAAATGCAAAGCTTAGTGACGAAGCATACAAATATACACAAGTATCCCTTCGTAGTTTTTGCGCCTCTACCCTTGCGGTTCAATATATAAAATGGTCCTGCAAAATCTGTACCACAGGTTTCAAATGGGAGCGCTGGAGTAACTCGTGGGCTTGGTAAACTTCCCATGAGAGGCTGTAAGGATTGTGCCTTGAAGCGTTTACAAGTCATGCATTTATTTACTGTCTTTGTAGCTAATTTTCGTCCGCCTAACGGCCAAAATTGTTCGCGGATCGAGCTTAATAAAAGTTGAGGACCGCAATGAAGCAATCGAAGATGCCCCCTTTCAAAAAGTAACTTTGTAAATTGATGATGAGGGTCAATTAATATGGGGTGTCTTTTTCCGTAGGTACATTGTAACGCATTTTGTATCCGTCCACCGACACGTAAAATGCCGGAAGAATCCATAAAAGGATTTAACGAAATAATGTTGGACGTTTTTGAAAGTGTTTTATCTTTAGAAAGAATATTTATTTCATTAAAAAAGGAATCCTTTTGAGAGTGTTTGGCAATGGTAAGTAAAGATTCATATACTTCTTTATTAGTTAGTACCCCTGTCAACTTATTTTCAATATTTTTACAATTGTATAAAAATCTATGAATATATGCAACAACTCTCTGTAATTTGTATAACTTTGAAAATTTATTAAAAGGTATTATATTTTCGATAATTTCTTTATTTTGTACTAATAAAATTCTTTTTGTTTCAGGTACCGACGTGAGATTATTTGTACTATCTACTGGCCAATTTGTTTCAGGTTCATACAAGAATGAAGGACCCTCCCACCACAACGAAGATGTAATAAGCTGCTGTGGCGAGACTCCTCTAGATGCTAAATCGGCGGGATTTAAATGGGTAGGTACATGCCTCCATGCATTTTGATCAGTAAGTTTTCTTATCTCTTCGATACGATTACAGACGTATGTTTTTAGTGTTTTAGGTGGCGATTTTAGCCAAATCAAAACAATAGTGGAGTCACACCAAAAAAATGACTTAGATATTTTTGCTTATTATTTAACTTATAACTTTAGAATATAAACGTGCGCCTAGAAGAGCTCCTAGTAGTTCAAGCCGAGGGATAGTAAGTTCGGGTTTAATTGGAGCTACTTTAGCCTTAGCGCAAAGTAATTTGATATCAGTAATGCCAGTTGTATTATTGTGTGACTTTAAATATATGCAAGCACCGTATGATGTTTGTGACGCGTCAGTAAAACAATGAAGTGTAATGTTTGTAGGCTGTTCGCACATTACGTATCTTGGTATTTCAAAATCATAAAATGTTGACAAATTGTGAGAAAATTCTAACCATTTTTCTTTTATTTCGTCTGGAACAGGTTCATCCCACTCCAATTTCGAAAGCCATAACTTTTGTAAAAGTATTTTAGGTATTATTGTACATGCAGAAAGTAGACCTAAGGGATCAAAAACCTTACATGATGTAGATAAAATAGTTCGTTTAGTTACATTTGTATCAATATTTAACTGTGTATAAAATTTTAATTTGTCGGTGCTTGGTTGCCATTTTAATCCTAGTATGGAGCTTTCCTTACAAAAATCCTGTGTTTGATCAATTGGAGTAATTTCTTTTAATAAATCAGGGACATTGGACCGAAATTTGTGTAATGAGAAACAGCCCTCATTTAATTTTTGCACTACTGCCTGCACCGATTTAGCTAATATTGATTTTGATGAGCTTCCCGTAATCAAATCGTCGACATAAAAATCATGTTTTATAACGTCGGCAACAACTGGGTCAGTGCATTCTTCAGCTAGCTGAAGTAAGCATCTGGTACTGAGAAATGACGCAGCGGCTGTTCCATATGTTACAGTATTAAGTTGTAAAGTTTTTAAAGGAATTCGATCATTATCTCTCCACAAAATTAATTGTAAATGTCGCTGCGAGTGGTCAATTTCGATTTGACGATACATTTTTGTAATATCTGCCGTAACGACATATTTATTGTATCTAAATCGCAATAAAATAGACAATAAGTCGTCTTGCACAACTGGACCTATCATCATTAAATCGTTTAGCGATTTACCTGTATCTGTTTTAAACGATGCATTAAATACTACTCTAAGTCGAGTTGTCTCACTGTTTTCACGTATAACCGCGTGATGTGGAATAAAATATCCGAACTTAGGTCGTTCTATCTGTGACAAGTGTCCCAAACTCTCATATTCCTGTATGAAGTTGGAATAGTCTATTTTGTGACCATTTCTTGCCAATCTTTTTTCTAAATTGTAAAAGCGCTTTCTAGCTATACTGTGTGATTCACCTAAAACGTTTTCGGGTGGTTCGCGAAAAGGAATTGTAACCGAGAACCTACCTGAAGGCAAACGTTTAGTATATTGTATAAAGTGGTTTTCACAATATTCTTCTTCCTTCGATAATATTTTTGTATTAGATTGTAATTCTTCTACTTCCCAGAATTTAGCTAAAGATTCTTTTATTTCTTTTGTAAAATGGCAATGAACTTTTTGAGTTGAAGAGTATGGATTACCACCAGTGGGGCCAGCAACAAGCCAACCAAATTTCGACTCCTGTAAAGTAGGATTATTTTTACCCAACTTAATTTGATTTGGCATAATTAAGTCCCAATAAATGTCTGCTCCTAATAAGAGGTCGATTTCAGATGGACAGAAAAATTTTGTGTCAGCTAATTGTATATTGGATGGCATATTTAGTTTAGCAACATCTACTAATACACTTGGCAATTTATTTGTAATATGTGGGATTACTAAACAGTCTACTTTTACTTGAAATGAATTTACGCAAGATTTCAGAAGCAAGTTACAACATTCAACTGAGTTAGTCATGCAGTTGTTCACCCCTAAAATCGGTATATTAGTTTTTCTACAGAGAATATTAATTTTGTTTTTTATTTTTTCAGATACGAAGGAAGACTGACTACCTCTGTCGAGGAGAGCCTTCACTAGGTGAGTTTTGTTATTTATCGTGTCTACTACTTCTATTTCAGCTGTGCATAATAACACCTGACCTGAAACAGAGGCAGAAAGAGAGACTTGCGACTCACGTGGCAAGAAGGAAGAACTAGTCGTTGATTCCGCAGGTAAGTTAACTTTGTTAGTATTTTCATTGCGATGTAATAATGAATTGTGTTTTCTGTTACAGATTTTGCAAGCACTTAAGCGGCAACGAGAATGGTGATGGCCAGGACGCAGACAGTTTTTACAGAGTTTGTATTTACTAATTGTAGTTGTTTTGCTATCCATAGACATATTTTTGAACTGTTCACACTCGTATAATGAATGATTACTATTGCAAACAATACAATTTCTTTTATTTGTAGCTACTGAGGACGTAACAAATGACCTTGTAGGTTTGTTTTCTTTGTAAGTATTATGTTTTTCAAGTTTAATTGAATCAGTACGACCGTGTTGTATGGTTTCTAAAATATTAGCTCGACTACGTAAAAATTCAAAGAAATCAGCTAACGTAGGTGACAGATCCAATGAATTACGATGCTCCTCCCATTTGCGACCCGTGGCAGGATCCAGCTTCGAAGTCATAATATAAATAACCAAAGTATCCCAAAATTGAACAGGTTCTTTTAATTCCTCCAAGGATCTCAAGTTTTTTGTGTAATAATCTACCATATAACGTAGGGATTTGTGTGATTCTTTTCCTAATGCATCAAAACTAAATAAACATTTAATATGATTGTTTATTAATATAACTTTATTATTGAATCTATCACAAAGAATATTCCATGCTAAATCATAATTGCTAGAGGTGAAATTGATGGACTTAATAACAATACTTGCACTACCCTCTAGTGACGAACGCAAGTAATGAAATTTATTGATTTTCGGGATGGAGTCGTTGTTGTGAATGAGAGACTCGAAGGTATCTCTGTATTCTAGCCATTTCAGGTTATTTCCGTCAAAGGAGGGTAGCTTGATGGTCGGAAGTCTAATATTACACAGGCTGTACTCATTGTTAGTTTTTATAGAATTATCTGAGCCTTGAGAGGGAGGTCTATCGGATTTACAAGCTGACTCCAAGATGTCCTGTGCTATAGCGATTGATTTACAGAATGAGCTTTCGATAGTGTCGCGTTCCTCTAATTGAGGGGATATATTGTCAGACGTGAGAAGCTCAATTTTATTTTGTATGTCGTCAAAAGAAGAGAATAATTCCTGTAACCGAGATAATTTTAACTGAAGCTCGTTTATTTGTAGCTTTGCTAATGTTTTTGGTTCGACGAGTTTTACAATGTCTATATATTTTTGAAAAATAGTAATTCTAGCTTTATATTACTTCGTAGTTGTGTATATTCTTTTAACTCCTTGCCGTCTGCCATTATAAATTGTAAATTTAGCAGATTTGCAAAAAATAAAAAAATGGGCGATTGGAGAGTTAACAAAACACAAACAAAAAAAAAAAACAAATAATAATAAATGAAATTAAAAAGAAAATAGATGTAAATTTCAAACCGTAAGTCACTAAGTATGAGTGGACTGGCAAATACTCAGATATGATGCAAGCGAAGTCAAACGGCCGCGTCAGCACTCAACCAACAGCGCGGCAGATGGCGCAGGGAATTTGTCAACAATATCAGGTAGTTCGTCTTACTGCGCCCATACAATGATTGTCGTCGATTACAAAAATCTTTTGATGGCGTCGATAACCACAAATTTCGTTCAATGCACACAATAGGCCGGTAATTGCGTAGTTGATTATTGCAATTTCTTATTTTTCAAATCTCCGTCAGCTCGTCGCGTCGTAATTGTTTATTTAGATGCTTGATTGAATATTAAAACCTTCGTCAGCCTGCACCGAGTCCAGAATATCACGTCGGGATCACCAAATGTTAAAGTTGATATCGATGCGAAATAAAAATACAGCGCTTTGTAGGAAGGTGTGTAATGGAATGAAATGATGGATGCAATTACAGAGATCGCAATATGCACGTAACACAGAAACTAGACGACGCGCGCCCCGCTCCCCGCCTCACCGCATCAGGAACCAGTTATTATTTATATTGTATTACGGTGAGGCGTTAACATACAATATTTATAAAAATAATGGTGGACAAGATGCCAGCAAGAGGTAGGTTAAATTTCATTTATTTACATAAATTGTACTTACTTCTCTCAATATAAAATAAACCATTATCGCACAAATGCACTACTATCCACAATCAATACTTCTCAATTATAAGTTATAATACACAGATCACATTTATTATTACAATACACACATACATTGTTGAAATTATAAATATAATTTATTGAATGATATTCGAACGAAATATGTTTCGTTGCGTATTTACATAAGCCTACTTCGTTTAAATGTAAGAATTGGTCTGCTTTACATAATCACTACGACTCATTTATTCTTATTTAGTTACTCAACCAGTTGGTTGTGTATTAATATTTTGACTACTAAATTAGTAGTAGTTTGTATTCACACATTTCAACTCAATAATGTAAAGTTACAATGAAATTATTTAAATAATATAAATAAATGATTTGAATTATAATGAATGAAGTTATTTAAATTATATAAATAAATGATTTTATATTCTTTAAATAATTTAGTGTTTGTTTAATAATCAATAATCTGCTAAAGATCATATTATCTTGGTATTTAAAAAAAATAACAAGATAAAGTGACATTTTAAAGACAAAACCTATTTCAAATACGCTTTTGATTTTACATATTAATTCTTTAATTTCTCTAATTTGTTATATATATTGCTCGTTTCAAATTAAATGTTTTTAATACAAATGGTAACAAGATGATAAAATAAATAACTGTATACCTAACAGTAAATTATGTTTCGGTTGTTGGTTTGTTGATTACAAAGAAACTGCGTGATGGGTCGGCGTGCCTTATATTTTACTGCTTGTGATAAAATTTTATTATATTTGCATGAGTTATTAAAAATGTAGGACATTTATGATTAGTAATATTTGTAAGTCTATTTACGAGTTACTATACATATAAATAAAATTGTAGTGTCTGTTTGTAATATTGAAATAACCGTTTTTTACTACATGAATATAAATACGGTACATACACCAAAATAACATTTTTAATATTTTTAGTATGTCTGTCCGTTTGTTCCGGTTAATCTCTGAAATGGCTGGACCGATTTTGACGGGACTTGTTTTGGCAGGTAGCTGATGTTATAAGGAGTAACTTAAGCTACTTTTATAGTATTTTTTTTATACCACGTGTTACATGCATAATATATTTTATACTATGACTTTGTTTTATGATGAATGATATTTAATGTAATTTTTAGTGAATGTTTTCTACCTATCATGTTAAGGGTAGGGGGTGGGAATGTAATACATAATATAACAATAGGTGGGACGGGGGAAGGTGAGATATGAATTAACAAATTTATTTAAAGGTAATTCCAGTATATCTTTTGGTATCTTATGGGAATATTTTATAGTAATTCCCTTAAAAGACCCATTGATTTTATCTAAAATTATAAACAATACTTAGTAATGGCAAGTTTGTCTTCAAATCTAGTATGAATGTTACGAATATGTCTGTTTGACAATTCTTCTATTCGGTTTAAACTATGTACAAACTAAAGAAAGATAGAAAACTTTATGTTTATACTTTTTGTTGTACGATAGTTTTGAGTGCTCGGGACTTATTACACGGGGCTCGTAGTAATTGTTACTCTTACAACTAGGCTATTCCGGCACTGCTTACTGTAATAAGGATATTTTTTGCTGAAACAGTAATATCCACTGGTCATTTCCACCTGGATTGCCCGCATTTCACCTCTGGGACAATATAGGCGAATTGGGTCCTGAAAATGCAAGCTGTTCTTATGATAGAGGCGATGTGAATTTGGTAAAACGATCCGGAGAAGTGCGTTGCAGCGAAATTGGGTAGTGTTTTGTCTCTCGCAGCATTTTTTTAGAGCGTACAGAAATGTTATCGAGCTATTTGTATTCAAGGTAGGTAGGTACATATCATTACATATGTACCAAGTAGCTGATGTTGTCTGTCCTTTTGCATGCTTAAATTTTTAAAACTACGCAACGATTTAGGTGCTGTTTTTTTAATAGATAGAGTTATACAAGAGGAAGGTTTATATGTATAATACATGTATACCCGTGCGAAGCCGGGGCGAGTAGCTAGTGTCAAATAAAGAAGATTTAGAGGTACATTACAGAAAACGTACCTACGTCAAAATTATTATAGTTAAATATTGTTATTAAAAATTGGTGGTGTGAAGGGTGAAAATTGAATGCTGTATGTATTTTTTAATGTCACACAATTAAAAAAAAATTAAAAAATATTTTTTGGGTAAGCCACCCGTAACACTTAGGAGTATAAAATTAGTTATAAACCTATTCTCAGACCTACTGAATATACATATAAATTTTCATCAAAATCGTTTAAGCCGTTTCGGAGGAGTATAAACACAACCTGTGAAACGAGAATTTTATATATTAGATATATAATTGTTTGGTTTATAATATGTATAAAATAAAAAATGTATAAAAACCGAAGAGCTGGCAGCTACCTCGGAACCTTGTCTAAAGGGACTCCTTTTAATAATATATTTTAATATAGTTATATATATTAATAATTTCGTCAAGGGGTACGGTAGACTCGAACGAAACCTTATGTGAATAACAAAACATAAAAAAATATAGATTTCGAGTCGACAACATATATCCGCAAAATTCGGATTATGGAGTATTTCGTTAAATTCTAATGACACTGACAAACAAACCGCAGTCGCCATCTTTTCATTTCACTAGCATTTTCTTAGGTCGTTGATGTTTCGCGAAAATATTGTTTTTGACACTTTTTTATGATAAAAGAGTATGTGTTATTTCTTTAAACCTGTTATTGGCCGATTGCGAGAAAAATTTGCCAATTTTTTTTTATTAATTTGTTTTACGGCTCTGGATACAAGTTCTTTTTAGCCCAACTTAAAGTTTTACAAAAAAATAAAACTTTTGCACTTTTTATTTACTATATTTATTAAACACAATGAACGAAGCTTTACAAATCTATGCCTTGCTAACTTTTAATATTCCATGAGAACCGATGACTACAGAAATATCTACCCACATTTCATAGTTGTATTACATTTTTTAAGGTTGTCAATTGTTTGGTTATAATTGTTGTATGGTTGAAATATGAATGCAATAAATTACTATCTTTAATTGAATTGAAGTACACAAAGGCTGTGATATACATTGGTCTAAATTAAGCAGACGAGGTTTCTAGTCAACTTGCTTTGTAACTGAATACCTGATGTGCACTGAATCAAATAGACCAGGAGCCAAACACGATATTAATTGAACTTTATTTTATTATACTTACTGTTAATTTTACTATATTGTATATGTATTCTATATGTGGACTGTAGAGGTATCTTAAATTGGAATCCATAGGTCGCTGGTTCAAATCCGGCTCGAAGGACCATTAATGCAGGGTCCTAATCTGAGGACTTTTAAATTAAAGGTTTTTGTTATGGACTGTAGATTAGATGTAATTATTTAAATATGAAATACGAAGAATGGTAGAATATTGAGTGCGCGTGTCGTAATCGGTGGCGAGATCAGAAGTGAGGGCCGGTCGGTGCTATTCGCACCCCCTTCGAGCCGCGCCCCGCAGCACCGCCCACGGACTCCAGGCCGGCGAGCCGACGATGTCCGAACAGTATAAAAAGAGACGATTGCGCTACAATTTGTTTAAATCTCGCGTAATAGACAAGAACAGATATACTTCACGATCTTTACCTTGCTCATTTTGGATGGCTAGGGGAGTCTAGATGATGATTACGTCATCGCTAGTTTTTTACAGGGCTGGCAACTCTCACATTGTTGTTGCTAAAAAAGACGTTCATTTTAAAATGTTTACGTAAGCATGGGGGGAGGGACTTTTGCTGACAAGGGGTACGCGGGGGGGGGGGGGGGGGTAAATAATTGCACTATATCTGCTTACGTAATACTGACGGCCCTATACTGGGTATTTTCAGCTTTTAAGTTATATAGTAAACATGATTGTAACTACTAATACGGAAGTAACGCTGAATAAATGTTTTTATTATTATTATTTAGGATATATTACTTCTCGATAATGTACCTATAAATTGGTGATTTGCAATAATAATAATTATAAATTTTAGAGTTTATTAATTTATTTTTTTTTGTCGATACCTAAAGGCTGATTTCGTGATCATCAGTAATGCTTCTTCAAACCAATATTCTTCAGTCATCTCTTTGTAGTTTATATATTAGAATGATTTATAAATATTAAAAATAAGGTGTCTATTTTGAGTCCTTGCGTCTACTCTCACTGCGAATCGTTTTCAATTCGATTCTTCAATTTTCATTCTATTTACTGTAAATAGAATGAAAATTGAAGTATACCTGACAGCCTCGGTGGTCTAGTGGTATAGCATACCGCTTTACTATCCGGTGGTCGCGGGTTCGAGTCCTCGTACGCTACAAACATTTGTATTCATGAGTATAATTGTTTGTATCGGTCTGGTTGTTTTCTATGTATAATATGTATGTATTTAAGAAAAAAAGGATATCTATGTATTGTAACAGTTATCGAGTACCCATAACACAAGCTTTAGCTAGTTTAACTTGGGTCTAGATGGCGCTGTATGAATTGTCCAGAGATTATTATTACTATTATTACATGCTAATTTTATTGTGCAGACACACTCATTAAAGAAATCAGTCACCTACCCTCTGACTATGAAGTGGGTGGTACTAAAATAGTCGGGATCACTTTGTGCAATTTACTTGCGAGTCATTGTGGGCACAGGTCGCTCTCTGTGGGATTGGTTTCTGAAACCTGCGCCTGTACAATACGAGTGTAGGCTAAAACTGGAACAGACAATCGTTTGTGCCTTCTGACAATAATAGTGTATAGTTTTGAAGCGAATCTTATTGAATATTATAAACGTGAAAGTTCGTGAGTATGGATGGAAGTTTATTACTCTTTTACGCAAAAACAACTGAACGAATTTTGATAAATCTTTACAGTAATATAGCTTATACATTAGAATAACACATAGGCTATAAATTTTATGCGGGCGAACCTGTAGGCACGCTTAGTATTATATATATTGAAAATTATGAAAACAAACCTATTGTGTACAAGTGTACACAATAGGTGCTACAGACAGTTATCTTTGTCGGGGCTGATTTGAAGCCGAAGAAACGGCCGCTCATGTGATCCTGGAGTGCTTGCAGTGGCCACACAACGTTCATAAATCCTCGGAACGGTGAGGTCGCTCCGTGAAACCTGTGCAAATACTAGGAGGCTTCTTCAGACGCTTTAGAAGCGCTGAAGGAGCTTGGCTGGTTTCTTTAGTAGTCTGGGCTCTACACGCACAACGGCCCAGATGAGAGGCAAAATGTGGAGAATAGAGTCCATATTACATTACATTAACAATAGTCGTATGTAGACTGAGAAGACACCAGGAGGATTCTGCGCTTCTGGGAGGAGCTTGGCTGGCTACTTTAGTAGTCTGGGCTCTACACGCACAACGGCCCAGATGAGAGGATAAATGTGGAGAATAGAGTCCATATTATATTACATTAACAATAGTCGTATGTAGACTGAGAAGACAGCAGGAGGATTCTGTGGAGAATAGAGTCCATATTACATTACATTAACAATAGTCGTATGTAGACTGAGAAGACACCAGGAGGATTCTGCGCTTCTGGGAGGAGCTTGGCTGGCTACTTTAGTAGTCTGGGCTCTACACGCACAACGGCCCAGATGAGAGGATAAATGTGGAGAATAGAGTCCATATTACATTACATTAACAATAGTCGTATGTAGACTGAGAAGACACTGGGAGGCTACTGCGCTTCTGGGAGGAGCTTGGCTGGTTATTTTAGTAGTCTGGGCTCTACACGCACAACGCCCCAGATGAGAGGATAAATGTGGAGAATAGAGTCAATATTATATTACATTAACAATAGTCGTATGTAGACTGAGAAGACACCAGGAGGCTACTGCGCTTCTGGGAGGAGCTTGGCTGGTTATTTTAGTAGTCTGGGCTCTACACGCACAACGCCCCAGATGAGAGGATAAATGTGGAGAATAGAGTCCATATTACATTACATTAACAATAGTCGTATGTAGACTAAGAAGACACTGGGAGGCTACTGCGCTTCTGGGAGGAGCTTGGCTGGCTACTTTAGTAGTCTGGGTTCTACACGCACAACGGCCCAGATGAGAGGATAAATGTGGAGAATAGAATCAATATTACATTACATTAACAATAGTCGTATGTAGACTGAGAAGACACCAGGAGGCTACTGCGCTTCTGGGAGGAGCTTGGCTGGCTACTTTAGTAGTCTGGGCTCTACACGCACAACGGCCCAGATGAGAGGATAAATGTGGAGAATAGAATCAATATTACATTACATTAACAATAGTCGTATGTAGACTGAGAAGACACCAGGAGGCTACTGCGCTTCTGGGAGGAGCTTGGCTGGCTACTTTAGTAGTCTGGGCTCTACACGCACAACGGCCCAGATGAGAGGATAAATGTGGAGAATAGAATCAATATTACATTACATTAACAATAGTCGTATGTAGACTGAGAAGACACCAGGAGGCTACTGCGCTTCTGGGAGGAGCTTGGCTGGTTATTTTAGTAGTCTGGGCTCTACACGCACAACGCCCCAGATGAGAGGATAAATGTGGAGAATAGAGTCAATATTACATTACATTAAGAATAGTCGTATGTAGACTGAAAAGACACTGGGAGGATTCTGCACTTCTAGGAGGAACTTAGACGGCTCTTTTAGTAGTCTCGGCTCTATACGCACAACGGTCCAGATGAGAGGATAAAGTGCTCCGCAATTAACCTCTCATAATAATCTATATCTATACATATAAATAAAATTGGAGTGTCTGTTTGTAATATTGAAATAACCGTTTTTTACTACATGCATATGAATATAAATACAGTACATACACCAAAATAACATTATTTACAATTTTTGTCTGTCTCTCTGTCTACCTGTTTGTTTCGGCTAATCTCTGAAATGGCTGGACCGATTTTGACGTGACTATTATTGGTAGGTACCTGATGTAATAAGGAGTAACTTAGGCTACTTTTATTTTAGAATAATAAAGTTAATTTCCACGCGGACGAAGTCGCGAGTACAGCTAGTTTTAATAGAAATTAAAATTACATTTACATTTTATACCCTATTATCAACTGAATAAAGAGTATTATAATGTGCCTGCGCTGCAGTGGTAACGTCATTACCCATTACGATACGATAAATTGAATATTTCTTGCCGAATTTCTTTCGATAAAATTTACTTATGTTTAAGTAAATTTTATCGAAGTTCCGATGTACAATTTTTTTACAATTGCATTTCGTTATTAATCGAGTTTAAAGTTTGTTGTAGCCGAATTCCAAAGCGCTTTTATTATTCGAGGAAAGAATAAAAATAAAGGATATTCGCTCAAAGCGAGACGTCTTTAGGAATTAGATTGGTTTTAGGGATCCGTGGGCAGTTAATTATTTATTTACATATAGTATTTTCATTCACACTCGAGATGGTTTTACCATTCTTGTTTACTGTGATCAAGTGATTCAGATGATAAGCTGAAAGATAGTTACAATAATAATAATAATAAGATCTACATTCCACTACAAAAGGCTGTTATCTTAGATACATGTGCAATAGTCCGTTGCTTCCTAAATGCCCCAGAATAAATCATCAAGCAAAATAAAGTAACGAGAGACTTGGCATGTCCCGTCCTCGGTACTAATCACCAGCGTAATCTGTGAAAAAGAGAATAATAATAATAATCTTTATTTGTCTCAAACAAAAACTAATACAATTGTTGCCTATACAATAATATAATTTAAAACTTATGAAGGAGACAAAACGGTCTATAACTGAGTGGGGGCCGTGAGTCCACCCTCTCTGCTATTCTGTTATAGCCTTTACCAGTAAATTAATACAATAAGAGATCGACGACAACGATAGCACATTAAGTTTTAAACTACAACTAACAAAGTAAACATAAAAATCGACAATAACAAACTTAATATATATATATATATATATAATAATAATCTCAGGACAATTCACACAGCGCCATCTAGACCCAAGTTAAGCTAGTTAAAGCTTGTGTTATGGGTACTAGATAACTGATACAAATACATATATATTTTTTCGTAAATACATACATAATATACATAGTAAACATCCAGAACGATACAAACAATCATACTCATGAATACAAATGTTTGTGCCGTGCGAGGAATCGAACCCGCGACCATCGGACGTAAAGCGGTGTGCTAGACCGCTAGACCACCGAGGTCACAAGGACACACCGAGTGGCATGTTTGTATATATTTAAAAAAAAAACTATATATATGTATCTGTTATCTAATACCCATAACACAAGCTTTAGTTAGTTTACTTGGGTCTAGATGGCGCTGTGTAAATTGTCCTGAGATTATTATTATTATATACTCTTTCAAAACTACGGAACAGATTTTGATGAAACTTAAACAGTATTATAGCTTACACATCAGAATAGGCTATAAATCTAGATAAATAAAATTACGGAACCTCATTTTTTATCTCACGGCTAAACTTGGCCGGCTTTATTTGTGCCCATAACTCTATTATTGTTTCCGTAATATGAAACTCGTAAGAACAGAAACAATGATTTAATATTGAATGGAACCGAACTCTGTACCTTTATTGTACTTAAAGTTACTTATATATACACATTAATATTAACTTACGCTGGGTCTTGGTGTTTGTAGACTGCCTTATTTACGTCACGGGTTCTTTTTTGGGGATGATAATGGAAATGAAATGGCGGGTAGCTGATATAATAAGAAGCAACTTAGGCTACTTTTATTTAAAAAAAAATAAAGTTAAATTCCACGCGGACGAAGTCGCGATAACAACTAGTTTATAATACATTTTATTTCTATTTCTATTTATATCTATCAGTTTAATATATTTATTGCCGTAATTTCACTTGTATGAGGTGTCCGGACATTGGCTTCAGAGCCAGGTCTATCTTCAGCTCCAGCTTGTCTGCCTCGGAGACCAGCTCCAATTCTCTCACGCAGTGCGCTATTATTGTCTTCATAATCGCCATTGCATATTTCTTGCCTGTACATGAAAATAATAATAATAATAATAATAATACAGTTATTAATAATAATAATAACATCATATACCTAAATTAATTTATTTTAAGGATGATAATGGAATGGTACATCAGTGGAGGCCGATAGGATGAACATGAAGTCAGATCAGTTAGCCCAACGTGACAAATTCGCCGGAAATGTATCACGATGGTTTCCAGGGGGAACCGCGTGGTGGTCGATTTGACATTAGATATTAGGTATATTTACGTGAGATTTTATTTTCTAATATTATGTAACTAATAAAGTAATTGTTGTAAGTATTTTTTATATGTATATATATAGCCATATATATTAGATAACTGTTGTCAAAACATTGAAGTATTAACAAGTATATAATAAAAGCCACTGGACGTTTGTAATATTGAAATAACGGGCTGAATATATATTGTCTGACTCTGAAATGGCTGGATGCAGGTAGATGTTATGACGTTGGCATCCGCTAAGAAAGGATTTTGATTAATTCTACCCCTAAGAGGATAAAATAGGGGATGAAAATTTGTATGAAACTTTGTCAATTTTTAACCGATCGGGCTGAGATTTAGCATGCATAAAGCTACTATGACGTAGGCATCCCCTAAGAAAGGATTGTGATAAATTCCACCTCTAAGGGGATAAATTAACGCGAGCGAAGCCGCGGGGAAAAGCTAGTTTAATATAAAATCCTCATAAAAATACAAGTACCTATGATGCGATCCGCTATGCAGAAAAATATGTTTTTGGCCCTTGATTTGTAAAACGTTGAAGACTACTGCGCTATGGCCATGAAATGGTCCGTAAACATACTTTGCATTCCAGTTACATAAAAAATGTATGAAATGAAATACAAAGTGACGCCTCGGTGCTCTAGTGGTTTACCACACCGTCTCTTTTCCGAAGACCGCAGGTTTTTTTTTTTATGAATGATATTGGTATGGTGCACCGCCTGCGCTAACGGTTTATTGGCGGGGCACCAGTGGAGGATGATAAGATGAGCATGAGATCAGGTCAGTTAGCCCATTGTGACAAATTCACCAAGAATTTATCACGATGGTTTCTAGGGGGAACCGCGTGGAGGTCGACCTGACATGGTATTGCTACAATGAGTACATTGACAATTCTTCCCCTCGGTACTGTGTTAAGTTCTATAAAAAACTTACCCCGACCTCCGCCTATAAACCAGTGAGCATTGCCAACGAATGGCAAGTGCGAATAGTAATCGTGACAAATTCACCAAGAATTTATCACGATGGTTTCCAGGGGGAACCGCGTGGGGGTCAACCTGACATGGTACATTGCTAGCAATAAGATCATGAATCCACATTACTAACAATCCCTTTCCCCCCCAAAACAAAAAAGACCACAGGTTTGATTCCTCGTACGGTAAAAACATTTGTATTTATGAGTCTAACTGTTTGTAAGGTAAGAAACGAAGAAGTACTATATAGGGTAAAAGAAAAAAGGCAAATATTGAACACAATAGAAAATAGACGAGGAAAAATGTTGGCACACTTGATACGGCACGATGAGTTCATGAAAATTATTATTGAGGGGAAAATAGAAGGAAAGAGGGGGAGGGGAAGACCAAGGCACAGCTACATCAAACAAATTGAGGACAAAATGGGAGTCGTGACGTATCAAGAATTAAATAGCATGATGAAAGATCGCGGAAAGTGGCAAGAGCTCCACCGACAAGATTTAAATTATCAATGAATGAACTGTTTGTATTGGTTTGGGTATGTAATATTATGTTATCTGTGGTTTGGGTGTTTTTTATGTATGTTATGTATGTATAAAAAAAATATATGTATTTGTACCAGTTGTCTAGTATCCATAACACAAGCTTTGGTTAGATGGCGCTGTGTAAATTATTCAGGGCTAAGGACAAAATAAATGAGTTAAAATACATGCTCTGCTTATCTTAGAATTAGATGGCGCTCTGATAAATGCGGAGTTGTTACTATTATTATTATTACCTATACATGCTCGTCTCCCGTAGCTGAAGGCCAGGAAACCGGCTGGATGTCCAGGGCTGTGGTGTTGGAGCCATCTCTCTGGGCGGTACTCCGCAGCGTCTGCTCCCCACACACGCCGAGATCGCCCTGCACCCCATATATTGATACAACAACATGTTCCTGTTGGAACCATGCAACTTTCTGAAACGAAATATTGTGAAATAGAAAAAATACAGAAAAATCTATATCTATATTATTATGTATACTAGCTACTAGCTGTACCCGCGACTTTGTACGCGTGGAATTTAAGTTTATTTTTCTAAAATAATGAATTTTTCTAAAATAAAAGTAGCCTAAGTTTATTACATCAGCTACCTGCCAATAAAAGTCCGTCAAAATAGGTCCAGCCATTTCAAAGATTACCCGAAACAAACAGACGGACAGAAAGACAAAAATAGAAAAATATTTTAGTATATGTACCGTATTTATATTCATATTCATGTAGTAAAAAACGGGTATTTCAATATTACAGACACTCTAATTTTATTCATATGTATAGATTATTATTAATTAAATAATATAATATATAATAATAATTAATAATAATATTATAAAGCTGAAGAGTTTGTTTGTTGGTTTGAACGCGCCAATCTCCAGGACTACTGGTTTGAATTGAAAAAATATTTTTGTGTTGGATAGTCCATTTGTCGAGGAATGCTTTAAGCTATATAGCATTACGCTACGACCAATAGGAGCGGAGCTGCAATGAAAAATATTGCAAAAGGTGGAAAAATAAAACACAAACTAAGTTGTGCGGGTTAGCTAGTATAAAATAAAGTGAAATAGAACGAAATAAAATAAATAGTTGTAGTAAAGTCAAATAAATGAAGTTAAAAAATTAAAGTATAGTAATTTTACCTGAGAGGTTGGATTTCACCAATCGTAGTATAAACACGTTCAAGGAAACAGAATTCAGCATGAACTCGAAAAAAAGAACGACGTTGATCTCGTTTTACTTTAGATCTACTTTAGATCGCGTTTATCAAAATGAAGTTTAGATTTTCATTCGTTCAGTGTTACACGCTCATAAAATAATATTTGATGCAATGGGTAATTTAAATAAAATAATATTTGTAATTCAATCATGTGATAATTAGGATAAGTTATTTAATTTTTAATTTAATAAGTACCTACCGTCGACTACAGAATATAAAACAACAACCTTTGCCTATAAACTAGTAAAACATTATTTTATTGAGGATTTTTTTACACTACTGGCAATTTACTTTTTATTCCCGATATTATATTGTCGAAAATTTTTTTCTTGACTGTTTGACAACAGACAGTTGCTTAAAATACGTTTAAAGAGTTAATCATAGGAAATCGGGCGTTCAGAATTTATAAACGTGTATAGCGAAATTTGTATTGGTGAAATGCAAAATAAAGCTTTGAACACGTTTTAATGTAGTTCAGTTCGAACTAAACGCGATCAGTTTCTTTGATGAAATCCGACCTAAGAAATCGTCTGTGTATCACTAGCCTTACCTATGTTAGCCGGTTCGGTTATGAAGTAATAAACATTAACAGTACAGTCGGATCCTAAACAGAACCACCTCGTCCTTTTTTGGAGTCTTAATCTTTTTTTTGGAGTTTTTCAGTCAAAAAGAGAAGATCCATCATAACATATAGAGACAACACGACTTACTAAGTTGGAGATCTCTATCAGCATAGCGCATGACACCAGGCACTGGTGGATACATCCTCAGGGTCTCCTGGATGACGGCTTCGCAGTATACCATTTGATCCAGATCTTGCCTGTCAACTGGTCTTTTGCTCTCACCAAATATTGCATGCATTCTTTAAAATAAAAATGTTTAACTCATTAATCATTACATTACAAAACAATTCTTTTTAAGTAACCGAAATGGCGAAAATTCTGACGGTCCACCTGAGGGTAAGTGGCAATCGTCATTTATGTAAGAATAATCTATACCGATAAATAAAATTGGAGTGTCTGTTTGTAATATTGAAATAACCGTTTGTTACTACATATAAATACGGTACATACACCAAAATAACATTTTTTACAATTTTTGTCTGTTTGTCTGTGTGTTTGTTTGTTCCGGGTAAACTCTGAAATGGCTGGATCGATTTTGACGGGACTTTTTTTGGCAGGTAGCTGATGTAATAAGGAGTAACCTGGGCTACTTTTATTTTAGAAAAAAAAGTTAAATTCCACGCGGACGAAGTCGCTGAAACAGCTAGTATATTAATATAATATCCATGAACAATTCACACAACGCCACCTAGTCCCAAGCTAAGAAGACCTAGGCTATTAGACAACTAATATAATTACATAAGTACATTTTTTAGTAAATACATACTTAATATACCGTGTATATTAAGTATGTATTTACTAAAAAATGTAATGCAACACTCAGACAGACAAACAATGATACTCATGAATACAAATGTCTATACTATGCGATGAATCGAACCCGCGACCATCAGAATACTGGACCACCCAGGCTATGTAAAGGCACACCACTGTTCTCTTACTTTCAGCCTGTATATATATAAACAGAAAAATAAATAAATTCTAATTCGACTTCTCGTTAGATCATTAGATTCCCCCCGATCGATCCCCCGTCCAATTCAAACGGGGATCGATATTACGACGGTCTGAGCCGAGATTCGAACCCCTAGTGGTGCCCTCAGACTAAAGTCGTTTCTGTCAGGTAGGAGTTGGCCTTCAGCCGCTCCATAAGTCCTTCCTTGGTTTGGAGTGACATCTGCACTCGCCCCCTAACGTCCGGTGAAGGTGTAAAGGCCAGCTGCGGCCAACAGCATTAGAGTGTTCCGAAAAAAAAATCATTAGATACGAGTACGCTTCTTTGCTTTTCCAAGTTAATAAAAAAGAATAAACGTACTCAGCATATAATTTCTCCTGTATTCGTGGCTTGCATCCAATCATTAGGAAGACATAAGATAAAGTGGTTGCTACAGTCTCCTGGCCGGCCACTATGATGGTGTCAACTTCAGATTTGATTTGCTCATCGGTGAGCATCGGATCTGTTCCTCTAAGATCCAGTAGTATATCAAGGAACGGCTTGAATTTTGGATTTCCTTAAAAGAATATTTATCAATTACTAGCTGTGCCCGCGGTTTCATCTGCATGACATTTATTAGATAGATAAATTCTTTATTCACAATTACAGACACGTAACATACATGAGATACAGAATCAACACGAATTAATAAAAGAAATGTAGGTGTCTTTATGTGCCGCAAAAGTGAAAAGCTAACCAACTCAGCATAAAGTTACAGACAACTCCGCAGCGCTGATATTCTGTTGGCTCCTTACTTATACTATACTTATTACTAAGAAAATGACATAAATATTAAACTTCGAGCTCTTTATCAACATATAAAGTATGAATGAACTGTAAATAATGTGATGAATTATATTATTAAACTACTTATACTACATAAATACTATAACAAGGATTACACATATATTGATATGGTGAAAGGCTCCGCGAGACTGATGATGACGATGTAAAGTTTTAATCAAAATCCGTTCATTAGTTTTTGCGTGTAAAAGTAACTGGCGTCCATCCATCTATCTATACTCACAAACATTCGCGTTTATATATTAGCAAGACGATATTGTAAAAGAAAGTCCCTGTATCGTACGGCTTTACGTTAACGATAATCTCAAAAACTAATAAAAAATACTTCATGACGATTTTTTCTTGATAGTTCTACAGTTCTACTTTCCTCTACTTATTTGAGTCGTGGCGGGTGTTACTGTGTAAATAAATAATAAGGATGGGAATTTCAAACACTAGCCCCAAATTAAGCATAGTTTATACTAGGCATACTAAACAACTGATATATATTTTTGTAAATATATATTACATTTATATTTACAGCTAACCGAAGAAAAAACTTAAAACTTGGTTAGCATGCCAATCAAACTTAGGCATTGTTACTATACAACAAGGTTTTTTTCCTAAATTTGATTGTCCTATGACAACAACTGTCTTATTACAAAAAGATAAATCTGGTTTAGTACTAGTAATAAACCATTGACCAAAGTATTCCTTATTACAAAACGAAGTTTATCTCTAAACCGTGATTCGTCTAAGGTCTAAAGTTAGACCTGCGATTCCCCTAGTTTAACAGTGGTCTAAATGCAAAAAGTCAAACTCCATTTTAAAAATTGAGTTTTTTCTGGTAAAACGGAACGCAATTGCACGCTGATAGAAATGAGTGACTGATTTCTGTTTATTATCTGTGGGGAATATATAATGAACGATTAAACTGTAGTACTAGGTTGTCCTCTGTTAGATCTGGATTCGTAATAATGTTAGGTTTATTCCAAGTATTAACTTTAGGAATGGTTTAAACCACGATCATTTAAACAAGTTTCGTCCGAGTTTTAACAGATTTTTTGTAATAAGACCGCAAGAGTTTATTTAAACTCCGGTACTATAACAACTAGTACTAACGGGTACCTTTACGGTGGGTGTTAAACAACCAACAATAGCGATCCCAATGTGGGTTGGTGTCAGGTAGGCGGCCGGACGTAAAAACTTATGGCAAAAATCTATGCAGTATGGAAAATATTATACATGATATACATAGAAATTCACACAGAATATATGCTCAGCTATGTTTTAAATACAATGCTTACCAGTTTTATTTTCCTCTAAATGATAATCGTTATTAATTTTTTCGCGCTGTATTCTTTTTGTCATTACCTGAAACAAGTTTGTGATTTGTATACTAATGGTGAGAATAATATAGCCAACCACACCACTCCACTCTTCTCAGTCACTCAAAGGTTGACTGGAAGAAATACCTCTTTCGATATAAGTTCACTATTGTGCGCATTTTTTCTATAAGTCAATTGCTTCCTTTAATCATAAGGCCTTATCGTTTTAAGCAGTCTCTTAGAGAGGGGGAAATGGGATTATTAGTAATGTGGACTAATAACTGATAACAATGTACCATGTCAAGTTGACCTCCAAGTGAATCACCCTGGAAACCATCGTGATAAATTCCTGACCTCATGCTCATCTTATCATCCTCCATTGGTGCTCCGCCAACGTAAACCGTTTGCGCAGGCGGGTGCATCATTCCATTATCATCCATAAGGAAAAATCTCTTGTAGACAACCTAGCCAACCAATGGTCTCCCGCAGCACCGAATATACCTACCGTATATTCGGTGCTGCGGGAGAAGGCTAAGGTGATTTCACGACCCTAGAACCAACAGCGGGTTGTGGACACCCTGAGGTTTTCAGGCAGTTTAAGTCTGGCAATATTCCGATTACCTCCCTCGGGTCGGGAGGTTTTCCATAAGGATTTTTCCTATGTAAAAAAAAATGTATATAATATACCTTGCGCGTACACTTGTAATATTTCTGTGGACACTTGAGACCTTTCCACTAGTTTAAGTCTCCACTAACATAGATTTAAGTTAAGTGTAAAATCAGTATACGTTCCGACTCCGCGTCGACTGACATTATTAATAAGCCATGTGGCACACTACCAATAAACTTAATAATGTATGTAATCATGCAATCATTTTACCTGTATACTCACTACCTACATACTACAATAAATAATATATTATGTAGTGCCACCTCATCACAACATATATAACGCTACAGTGATGAGGATAACCACCGCGCTACAACCTATTGAATAAAGAGCAACCCAACATACAACCCTAAAATTCACCCTTCTGGCAGCACCCGTCAGCCCCTATTTTTTAATAACGATTTTAATTTATATGTATTAGTATAGATTTTTAATGTAATACTAACTGTACCCGCGACTTCGTCCGCGTTGAATTTAACTTTATTTTTCTAACATAAAAGTAGCCTAAGTTACTCCTTATTACATCAGATATCTGCTAATAAAAGTCCCGTTAAAATCGGTCCAGCCATTTCAGAGATTAGCTGGAACAAACAGACAGACAGACAAAATTTGACAAAACATTATTTTGGTGTATGTATCGTATTTATATTCATATGCATGTATAATAGTAAAAAACGGTTATTTCAGTATTACAAACAGACACTCCAATTATATTTGTATATATAGATTTAAATTCAATTACCATCTCGGATATATTGTGAAGAATCGCAACGGATTTCGTCATCTGCTTGAAAGCGGGCGTCAAGCGGTACAGGATATCCGGATGCTGGAGTACATTTAGACCTCTTCTGAGTAACAGTTCCATACAGTCGTTGAATGCATCGTAATACTCAGTGGTGATGATACGCTCCGATATGTGTGACACACCTAGTGCTGTTTCTGGAATCATTTATGTATCCATCTAATCATTACATAGTATAAAACAAAGTCGCTGTCATGAATACAAATGTTTGTGCCGTGCGAGGAATCGAACCCGCAACTATCGGACGTAAAGCGGTGTGCTGGACCGCTAGACCACCGCGGTTGTCAAGAACTACGTATAAGAATAATATAGCCACCACACCACTCCACTCTTCTCAGTCACTCAAAGGTTGACTGAAAGAAATCCCTCTTTCGATATAAGTTCACTATTGTGTGGTGATGATACGCTCCGATATGTGTGACACGCCTAGTGCTGTTTCTGGAACCATTTATGTATCCATTTAATCATTATATAGTATAAAACAAAGTCGCTGTCGCTGTCTGTCCCTATGTATGCTTAAATCTTTAAAAGTAAATGGGAATAGGTTAATAACAAATTTTTATACCCCAAATTGTTAAGGGTAGCTCACCTCAAAATTTTTTTTTATTTTTTCGACAAAACTTTTTATTTTTATTGTTTAAATTGAGGCATTAAAATACATACAACCCTAAATTTTCACCCTGCTATCATGAAACCCTATTTTTTTAATAGCGATTTTAATTTATATGGCAAAACAACGTCTGCCAGAATAGCTAGTATCTACATATATATGTATAATATATAATTATCATGCACTCATACGTCAGCCGTTATTAAAACATCGTTCTTTTTTATTACTATTCAATAATTTTATTTAACATTTAAATTTAATTATATTTGTAGCGTTTAAGTATTTTGTATAGAAATAATCTTTATTCAAATAAACACATTACAAGCACTTTTGACTAGTCATATTTTCCCACTCCTTCGGAAGGCAGATTCATTACACGAAGAATGAGCAAGAAGTGAGTGAGCTTGTGTATAGTTCTTTTGAATAGATGTTTTTTTTATATAAATAATTACACAATAATAAGCATTTACAATGTGACTGTAGTCCTACTAACTGGCTTTTCTGATATCCCTGATGATTCATATATGGAATGGAAACACAATAGTCTTTTCTGTGGTAGGGAACAATTACCAGTTTCCATCATGTAGACTACTGGTTGCTACAAGCTGTTATGATAATTTGCTTGCGTAAATTAAGTTAAAAGGCTTAAATATCTTCATAATCAAATTAAAATAAAAAGAAAAACTTACGACATATAGCTTCTAAAGTTATAAAGGCGATATATTTCTCCATTATATCAAACGGTTTACAACCCACTTCCCCTTTTAATTGGTGCACCAATTTCTGCGCCTGCGCATCGAAAACCGGCTGATAACTGTCCACCACTGTGGTATTGAAGGCTCCACCAATATTCTTGATGTTATGCTTCCATATTGCAGCTGGAATTTTAAAATTCTAAGGAAACGAAGTATGTTTTATCTTTTTAATATGTCTGGGTATCTGAGTCTGACAGCCGCTATGCAGCTTATTTTGTATGTTTTGTTTCGGTTGTAACTGATAGAAATAATGAAATATTATTTAATAAACGATTACTTAAATGGCAAACGTGCGTGAAAATAGTTGTTCATATATGGAATTATCATTAAATGTTAAACATAGATACCTATGTAAGTAGACGATATAAATAAAGTGGCTTTAAAAAACCAGTTATGTTTCTTTTCAGTTCTTATCTGAAGTGAACTGGAGGGTATGAAAAATTCTAAGAAAGAAAGTAATACCTCTTTATGTCTGGGTATCACAGTCTGACCAGTTACAGCCGCTATGCAGGTTAGTTTGTAAGCATTGTTTCGGTTGTTGGTACTAGACAACTGATAGAAATAATTAAATATTTATTTTAGTCTGTTAAATCATATTTATTGGGCAAAGTATATTAATCAATAAACGATTACTTAAATAGCAAACGTACCTTGAAAATAGTTGTACATACATGGGATTATCATTTAATGCTAAACATAGATACCTATATAGGTACACGATATAAATAAAGTGGTTTTAAAAAAACAGTTATGTTTCTTGTCAGTTCTGAAGTGAACTGGAGGGTAGGAAAAAAATATTAATACAAAAAACTTGACGTGCATGAACAGCAAAAATGAATAAATGATATTTGAATTTGATTTTGTAAGCAACTGTAGTGCATTTTATTCACATACCAGGTGCAGTGACCAGGCCATTCCCGAGCCATATCCGGCCGAAGTGGTAGTAATAAGGTTTCTCAATGAAGGTATTTGTTACAGTCCTCACGTCCTCAGGGTTGTCGATTACTGAAATGTTTTCAGTGGATATACAGATAGATAAGTAAACAACTGATACGATATTAAAACCTTAATGAAATGAGCTTATTCCTTTTAAAAGGCTACAGCGCAACACCAGGTGTATTGCAAGAATTCCCCTGGTGTTGCGGGTGTTCATGGGCGGCGGTAATCACTTATCATCAGGTGAGCTACAAGTTTGTCCCCTATGCTATAAAAAAACTGCTGGGCGGCAGTAATATGTACATTTTAATAGACTGCTCAGAATGTTGATATAATATAGTTTAATCATGTTTGACTTCGTACAAGTCGCCTGCATGGGACCTTAGTCTAACGTACTTATTTCAGCCTCCATTTTGAAAGCTGTTGCTGTTTTATGAGTTGAATGGTGAGATGTATATTATTTATTTATTTCGTTCAGTTCATTTTAGTTTATAAAAACAAAAGTATATTATTCACCTCGGGGACATAGCTGAAAATCAGTGTTTTGCTCCTTGAGTGATTCTCCACGCTGAGCTATGTACCAGTTTTGTATTTCTGTAGCACACACATGCAGGTTTACCCTTATTGGATTGTTATATTATACTTGTTATGTGACGTTATAATTAAGACTATATGTGCGTACTAAGATACAAATGCCAATGTAAACCATTAGCGCAGGCTGGTCCATCATTTCTTTTTCATCTAAAAAAAAATGCTCACCTAATATAGGTAAGGTTCCAATCCAAGCTGCAAATGGTAGATTCTTTTGATCGGTGATTTCTGATATTTCTTTTAAACGTTTAAATAATACTGAAAATAAATCAATTTATTACATAACTAGGTGTTTACCACGGTACTTGTTTAGAAACTGTATTAGATAATCACTTATAATGTAGGTTTCTATAGATGAAAGAAATTAAATCGGTCAAGCATTTTTTTAAATTTATCTAACATAGATAAAATTATATATATAACTAGTAGACACGGCCACATGTTGATGGGCCTAAAGTACTTGGACAAAACTATATAAATTGAGATGTAAGCTATCCTATCTTTCAAACAACACAACCTGCATTGTTATCATTGGTACACTACACTGTATTTTTTTTATGGATGATAATGCTATGATGTGTGATGTGATGATATGTTTATTTTAGCTATTTCCATAGCATTATGTCGTATGGTATTTTGTTATGGGGCAAAGCAGCTGATATAACTGCAATATGTACTTTATAAAAGAGGGCCATTCGCTCCATTTATGGTATGGGTTCCAGGGAGTCATTGCGAGAGTGTTTTAAGGAATCAAATATCCTCACCGTTGCTTTTCAATACATTTATGAAAATATCATGTATGCCAGGAAGAATATAGACTGTTTCAAAAGAGTTAGTGATTGCACCAATAAAAGCTTACGTAACAATAACAAACTGATTTTACCTAAATGACGTTTGGCTAAAGTTAGTAATACGTTTTATGGCAATTGCGTAAGGTTTTACAATAAAATACCAGAGTCTGTTATAAATCTGCCAGAAAAAATATTTAAATGTCAAATAAAACAGTTTCTTTACAAAAAAGCTTACTATAAAATTGAAGAATTCGTTAACGATAACAATGTTTTTATAGAAAAACTTTAAATACATAGCACTGACAATATTATCTGATTACACTAATAATGAGTGCGTAGCGATTTCTATGTTGATTATCGCATGCCTCTTACTTGTTATACTGTAATTATTTATATAAAAAAACACCTATTAAAAAGAGCAACACACAAGTTTCTTGCTCATTCTTCTTGTGATGAATCTGCATTCCGAATGAGTGGTAGAATCAAAATATGACTATTCAAAAGTGCTTGTAATGAGTTTATTTGAATAAAGATTATTTCTATTTCTATTTCTATTTCTATGGTGCACCCGCCTGCGCTAACGGTTTACGCTGGCGAGGCACAAGTGGAGGATGATAAGATGAACATGAGGTCAGGTCAGTTAGCCCATTGTGACAAATTCACCAGGAATTTAACACGATGATTTCTAGGGGGAACCGCGTGGAGGTCAGCCTGACTTGGTATTGCTAGTAATGGGGTAATGAGTCCACATTACTGACAATTCTCTTCCCCCCGGTACTGTGTTAAGTTCTATAAAAAACTTACCCCGACCTCCGCCTATGAACCAGTGAGCATTGCCAACGAATGGCAAGTGCGAATAGGTTGGTAGTCCAGCGAAGAGTTTCCGACTACGATATCCCTTTATATACATCAGTATGTATGCACCAAGCACCAACAGTACCACAATGAATACTGTCAACATCTACAAGCAAATAGATATGGTTAGGTTATTTGCAAGTGCGTAGACAACACTTATTTGATGATTTAACTTATTTATACCCCTCCGATCGATCCCCCGTCCAATTCAAACGGGGATCGATATTACGACGGCCTGAGCCGAGGTTCGAACCTCTAGCGGTGCCCTCAGACTAAAGTCATATCCGTCAGACGGGAGTTGGCTTTCAGCCACTCCATAAGTCCTTCCGCGGGTTTGGAGTGCCATCTGCACTCGCCCCCTATCGTCCGGTAAAGCTGTAAATGCCAGTTGCGGCCAATGGCTATACACCTACTATTAGAAACTCAAACAAAAAAAAAATATTACAACCTCATTAATAAATAATTTTATAATTTTCCAATAGAGAACGCTGTGTTCTCAAGAATACGATTGTCTTTTGTTTGTTCAATATTTGTTACACAGCTGATTATATCGACATTATAATCTTTATATTTAAAAATTACGTGTCACGTTGTTTGTCTGCGATGGACTCCTAAACTACTGAACCGATTGTAAATTTGATTTGCACATTGTGTGCAATTTGAACCAACTTGAAAGATAGGATAGCTTACATCTCAATTTATAGTCGCAATATTATTTTTTTCAAGCTCAACTACACAACGCGTGGCCGAGTCTGCTAGTAAAAATATATAATTTACAATTTTGGTGTTTTATAATTGTTTTCAATGAACTTCATTGAGATTCTCACATCTACTGTAATAGACTATATTTTTAAGGTTTTTAATTTTAGGTTCTTACTTGTACAATTAAGTTATATAAATACTACATTTCAAAATATATAACACTCGGCAGACCTCGTCTCGTAGAAATAGTGCCACCGAACCACACCTACCATTTTCAATTTGGTTTTCAAACCATCCACGATTCCATAGAAATACACAACACAGTTCTATCCGTTCAGGAGGTATGTGAGAAACACGTACAGAAGATTGTATATATAAGACATGTGTCAATTTGTTAACTACAACGGGTGTATGGCAATTGCCGTCATGACAAAATAATTGTGGTCATAAAATGGTAATTGTACGTTTACTAAAACGGTGGTCATTGTTGTGAATTATAACAATAAATTGTATGTGATTTAGTTGATTGTGCTGGTGATATACTGAATGATCAATAATTACATAGTGACTTTACTTTTATACGTATAAGTTAAAATCACGTAAATCAATATATAGTGAAAATCACGAGATCTTAACACTTTATTTTTATTGAGTACCCGTAACACAAGTTGAACTAGATGGCGCTGTGTGGATTGTCCAAAATTTTTATCGAGAAATTTTCTTAAGTAGAAATATTTTATATGGCAAGACAACGTTTGCCGGCTCTGTTAGTTGTAATCTTATTATTATAATATTATAAACGCGAAAGTTTCTGAGTGTGGATGGATGTTTGTTACTCTTTCACGCAAAAACTACAAAACCGATTTTGATGAAACTTTACAGTAATACAGTTTATACTTTGGAATAACATATAGGTTATAAAAACCGCGGGTAAAATCACGGGCACAGCTAGTAATAAATAAATTAGAAAGGAGGTGAAGATATTTTTGTTAATGTGGATAGATGTTTGACCTCCACGCAGTTTCTCTGGAAACCATCATGATAAATTTCTGGGGAATTTTTCAGAATTGGCTTCCTGACATGACCTCATGCTCATCCTATTACCCTCCACAGGTGCCCTGACAGCGTAAACCATCATAATGTCAGCCCAGAAGATGTCCACTGCTGAACAAAGGCGTCCCCCAAAAATCTCCACGACAATCGCATCCAACGCTGTCTAGCGATCTTAACCGTCTGTTTCGAATCGGGATTGTTAGTAATGTGGATTGATAACCCCACTGCTCGCAATATACCATGTCAGGTCGACCTCCACGCGGTTCCCCCTGGAAACCATCGTGTTAAATTCCTGGTGAATTTGTCGCGGTGGGCTAACTGACCTGACCTCATGCTCATCTTATCATCCTCCACTGGTGCCCCGCCAGCGTAAACCGTTAGCGCAGGCGGGTGCACCATTCCATTATCATCCACAAAAAAAAACACCATCTGGTCACCTTGTCGGAGGCCTACCCATGCTGCGTCTTCCGGTTCCATTCCATTATTATCCATTAAAAAAAATTAGAAATACCTCAAATAAGTCGTCATCTAATCCAACCTACAGCACTGCTATATTCACAGACTATAACGTGCATGACCATCTCAACACGTATAAATAACTTTACCTATACATCTATACATATAAATAAAATTGGAGTGTCTGTTTGTAGTATTAAAATAACCGTTTTTTACTACATGCATATGAATATAAATACGGCACATACACTAAAATACCATTTTTTACAATTTTTGTCCGTCTGTCTGTTTGTTCCGGCTAATCTCTGAAATACCTGGACCGATTTTGAAGGGGCTTTTTTTGGCTAGTAGCTGATGTAATAAGGAGTAACTTAGACTACTTTTATTAAAAAAAAATTATTTTATTTTAGAAAATAAAGTTAAAATCCACGCGGATGAAGTCGCGGGAACAGCTAGTAGTACATAAAAATAAAGCGTCGTTAGATGACCTATGGCTCCGAGAGCTCTTATACTGTTTACAGTATATACATGTACATGATTGGACGATTAGAGATCGTTTGTGGAAGCTACAAGCAGATCGTAGGGCTACGTAGCGCGTAGAGTTATTTATATCTTATATCTTTAATAGAGTAGAAAGAAAGAATGTGGAGGAATAAAGATTGTACAGTTGTTTTTATTAGAATATAATGTACCGTATTTATATTCATATGCATGTAGTAAAAAACGGTTATTTCAATATTACAAACAGACACTCCAATTTTATTTATATGTATAGATTATTTATTAATATTATAAGTAATAAGCTATTACATATAACATAAATAAATGATAAAATATGTCAGTAAATTATGTATTTACTACAGATTGGTTCAATTATAATTTGACAGACCCGGCGGTCCGCTAGTTTAGCACAACGCCTTACTTCCGATGGTCGCAGGTTCGATCGTCGCAAAGTACAATTCGCACAAACATTTATATTCACGAGTATGATTGTTTGTATCGGTCTGGTTCTTTTCTATGTCTATTATACATATATTTACAAAGAAAAGAATATACTCGTATGTATTAATATCTGTTGTCTAGTACCCATAAACCAAGCTCTCCTTAACTTGGTACTAGATGACGCTTTATGAATTATCCAGGGTTATTATTGTAAGTATACAATATACATATATTTATAATATTATAAATAATAATAGAAATAGAAATAGAAATAATCTTTATTCAAATAAACTCATTACAAGCACTTTTGAATAGTCATATTTTGATTCTACCACTCATTCGGAATGCAGATTCATCACAAGAAGAACGAGCAAGAAACTTGTGTGTTGCTCTTTTTAATAGATGTTTTTTTTATATAAATAATTACAGTATAACAAGTAAGAGGCATGCGATAATCAACATAGAAATCGCTACGCACTCATTATTAGTGTAATTAGCTAATATTGTCAGTGCTATGGATTTAAAGTTTTTCTATAAAAACATTACTGTCGTTAAGGAATTCTTCAATTTTATAGTAAGCTTTTTTGCAAAGGAACTGTTTTATTTGACATTTAAATCTTTTTTCTGGCAGATTTATAACAGACTCTGGTATTTTATTGTAAAACCTTACGCAATTTCCATAAAACGAATTACTAACTTTAGCTAAATAAACTATTACTAATATAAACTAAAATAAATGACAAAATATGTCAGTAAATTATGTATTTACTACAGATTGGTTCAATTATAATTTGACAGCCCCAGCGGTCCGGTAGTTTAGCACAACGCCTTACTTCCGATGGTCATGTGTTCGATGCACAGACACGGCTCGTTTACCATTTCATAACATGTAGGTATGGTATTATGAGTTGATGTATATCTTAGGTCAGGTCCTTGTAAGATGTAGTGTATTAATAAATACATGCTTAATTAAATATAATTATGTATTTAAACAATAATTGCGGAGATGACAGTAGCGTGTTGGGATACTCGAGGATAAGAAGTACGTCAGTATTCTTCAATTACGGACCAGACAAACACCAGGATACGTGTAATATATCTGTACGTAATTGTAAGATCATATGTAGGGTAATAATCCATAAAAAAAAGTTGTCTTTTTTTTATGGATAGAATAGAATAGAATAGAAAATCATTTATTCAAATAAATTTACATTGAAGCACTTTTGAATAGTTATAACATTTTTTTTATTCATCTACCGCTCATTCGGTGCTGTCTCATCACAAGAAGAACAAACAAGAAACTTATGTGTTGCTCTTTTAAATAATTTATTCTCACTTACAATTTAAGTAAGTGTGTGAATACAAACCGACGACCTCGGTGGTCTAGCGGTCTAGCATACCGCTTTACGACCGATGGTCAAGAAGAACAAACATTTGTATTCATGAGTATGATGTTGTGTCGGTCTGTATTTTCTATGTATAATATGTATGTATTTATTATCTATGTATTTGTATCAGTTGTTTAGGACCCATAACACAAGCTTTAGCTAGCTTAACTTGGGTCTAGATGGCGCTGTGTGAATTGTAAGAAAAAAAAAAAACACCGATTAGCACTAATTCAATGAAATAATAAAATAGAAAAAACATTCAATATACAACAACTGGTTAAACAATTAATAAGAGAAAATAAGTCATAGTGATTAGAGCCAGACCAGTCCACACAAGCAGCACCCGTTCACGAGTATGACGGATGACGGATGATTATGGAATGATGTACCCTCCTGCGCAAATGGTTTATGCTGGCGGGGCGCCATTGGAACATGAAGTCAGGGTAGTTAGCCCCTCTTGGCAAATATTAATTTACGACGATGGTTTTCAGTGGGAACCGCGTGGAGGTCAACCTGATATAGTATATTGCTAACAAGGTCATCAGTCCACATAACTAACAATTCCCTTTCCCCCCGAGATCGAGATCTATTACGCTCGCCATCTTTCAAAGTACACAACATAGACCCGTCAGGGTCTATATTTAATATGGTTTAGGGCTATTTGGTTATCGGACAAGAAAAGGGCTAATACGTGTATGCATTTTCTTTACAACATAAATTATATATGTACCTACTACTAGTTTAATTATTATATATTATAATGTACTAGTTGACCCGCGCAACTTTGTCTGCTTCATTTTCATTTGACATTTATTATTATACTAGCTGTTCCCGTGACTTCGTCCGCGTGGAATTTAAATTTATTTTTCTAAAATAAAAGTAGCCTAAGTTACTTCTTATTACATCAGCTACCTGCCAAAAAAGGTCGCTTCAAAATCAGTCCAACCATTTCAGAGATTAGCCGGAACAAACAGACAGGCAGACAAAAATCGTAAAAAATGTTATTTTGGTGTATGTACCGTATTTATATTCATATGCATGTAGTAAAAAATGCTTATTTCAATATTACAAACAGACACTCCAATTTGATTTATATGTATAGATTTCGCCTAATTTACATACTATCTTTTTAAACAATAGCCAGTAATAATAAATGAAAATAAGAGAGATGTTTTTAGACGTCTATTATAGCAGAGCGCAGTGACAGAAGTGTATAAAACAAAATGTATATAAAGAACATAATATTTTAAATATGGATAAAAGAATATATAAAAACTGCCAGTGATTCTCATTGTAGGTCTAACATGATTGTGTTATTCTGATGAATAAGCTATATTACTGTAAAGTTTCATCAAAATCCGTTCTGTTGTTTTTCTTTACAACAAAATTATATATATACACACAACTTTTTTATATTATATGTAATGATAATGTCGGTACAATTCACACAACGCCATCTAGAACCAAAATAAGCTTGCTAAAGCTTGGGTACTAGACAACTGATACAAATACATAGATATTTTTGTTTCATAAATATATACCTATTATATCTATACAAACAATCATACTCATTAATATACATGTTTGTGCCATGCGAGGAATCGAACCTGTGACTATGGCAAGGTGATGTTCTAAACCGCTACACCACCGAGGCCGTCAAATATTAATAAGATGTATTCATGTATACACCACCTTAACACAATATACCGTCAGATGATGGTGGATGTGAAAATTGCAAGTTGTTAACAAATTATACTAATTAACAATGCCGGTAAGTAGTCGTGTGTAACTCGCCATGTTTGAAACAATGTTATGATGAATAAGCAGGTTGTGAAAATAAGAGAGATTGTTTTGTAGACGTCTCATTGCTAGCAATGTAGCCATGTCAGAAGTGTATAAAACAAAATGTATATAAAGAACATAATATTTTAAATATGGATAAAAGAATATATAAAATCTGCCAGTGCTTCTCATTGTAGGTCTAACATGATTGTGTTATTCTGATGAATAAGCTATATTACGTAAACCATTAAAATCGCAGGCGTTTTTGGTGCAGATTCCATTATCATCCATAAAAAAAAAAAGCAGGTTGTGAACACTGATGAAATTTTTTGTTCTTTGCGATAGCATATGCTGGTGGTCACTCTATTCTCCCAAATTTGAATTTTAATAACTGTATATATCATAAACATGTTCCACTATTATTTCAAAAATATATACCTATTATTGTCATTCTTCTCATCTCGATATCATTCCGAACTGACGGTAGATTTGACATATCATAAGAGTCTGTAATAGACCTATATGAATAAAGATATTTTGAATTATGATTACGTTCATAGATAGATAGATATATCGTTTATTTGTCTCTATCTTATACACACTCACATTCATTTCATCACACACAGAAAGTTTTGTTCAGTGCAATGATGGCTGGCTCATCCGTCATAGTCGTGAACGGGTTTGCTGTTATGATGAGTAAGTTCAGGTTGCGATCACTGATTAGATTTTTTGTTTTTTTTTTTCAATAGTATATACTATGGAAAAAAGAACAAACATGCTTGTGGTCACTATTCTCCCAAATTTGAATTTAAATGAAATTGTATTATTGTAAATATGTACAACATTAAAAAAAATATACGAGCTGAGTTTCTTGTCAGTTCTTCTCATCTCGATATCATTCCGAACTGACGGTAGATTTGACATATCAGAAGAGTCTGTAATAGACCTACATGAATGAAGATATTTTGAATTTTGAATTTTGAATTTGCAGTAGATCTGTGAAACGGCTACTATCTATTTTTCATATCTCTATGGTTGTCCAAACATAATTTTTTGGACAAAGCTTTTTATTTTATTTTTGTAATGTAAACCTTAAAAAATACACACAATCCTAAATTTCCTTCTATCACCACCTATTATTTTTAATAATGATTTTAATTGATACGGCAAAACAAAGTTGCGGTATCAGCTAGTATATTAATGTATTCATAAATACATATTTTCAACAATTTCAATAAATCATTACTGGATCACTGCTACATATCCTATTTGGTTGTATCCCTCTCATGCATAAACGAAATATCTCCTTTGGAATGTTTACACTCTATCCTGAGGAGATTGCCATCGCTCCTGAGAATATCCTTCGATTCCTGTCCCTTGTTTAGTTAGTAAACTCTGAAAAAGAGCGAGCAGAAGAGATCTATGCAGGTTGCAGTCTAAGCACAGGACAATAGCCCAAAGGTTTCAATAAAAAAAATATACTATAATATAATAAAACCATAAAAATATATTTGTGATTTTTTATTTTCTTTTTTATTAATATTATTTACAAATCTAATCACATCCGTTTTTTTTTACTAATATTATGTATTATGATAAGAATACCTAATATTCATCACATTCTTATATATTATCTGAATATTATCTGATATATCTTGATATTATCTGAGATATCTTGAATATTATCTGAGCAATTACAATGTAATACTCACACTATGTATGTTTGTATATGCTAATAGCAAAGGCCAAATAAACAATACAAATTAGGCCGTTCGTATACAGTCAACCTGTTGTCAGGCTCCCGTATATGACTAACGTTTCAATGAGCTTTGATTGGCGCATCTCGAGGAGGGCGGGGCATACCAACCGATTGCGTTTCGTTAAACCTGACAACTGATCGACTGTATACTAGCGGCCTTAAAGAAAGTAAATATAGTATAATTTTGATAAATAATGTCGATAGGTTAATCGCCTTTTGATTAGGGAAAAAAGGGTGGACCACAATCTCTAAAATAAACTTAATTTTATTTCATAACTTTTTTATTTACCTTGCTAAGCATCTGAAAGGATAATTTAAAAGGCAGATCTAAAATAGAACTAATATTTCCACTCTGCCCTCTCTATCACTGAATGTCTCTATGAACTTGCAATAGTTTAAAACGAGATCATTTTATGACTTAATATCTCTTTTATTAACGGTTAAAATTGAATATATTTTGAAATGCATAGTTATAGATTGATATGCAATAATTATAAAATGTACATACCATAGAATAATATATTATTAACCGACATCAGAAAAGGAGGAGCTCAATCGTTCTGTATGTTTTATGTATATTCACACACTCAGTATATTTTGTACATAATATAAGTTAATGAGAGAAAAATTAATTTAATTCAATTTTCGCTATCAAACAATACATCTAAGTATATGTACTGTTATATTGTTTTTCAAATATATATGGAAAAATATATACTATAATATACAATTGACAAATATATTAGTTGGAAATATAGAAAAAAATGAAATTATTGTATTAATAAAACAATTGTAAGTAGATAGAGTAATTTGCTTTAGATATTTCACAAATCATACATAGTGCAACTCAAATCATTCATCTTAGTGATGGGGAAAATACATATCGCACTCCTTCTAATGGTTCACTAAAACGGAAATCAATATAGTTATATTTCAAAATCTTCAATATGACTAAAATTTTAGTAAACAATACTAGAAATTACGTTTACAAAAATTTTAGTCATTGATTATGACATTTAGCAATAACTTAGATTTTAGTATTATTATTGAATAATAATACTAAGTTGAGAATTATAATTATTAGTAATTCTTTGGGTACCATTTACTGTTGCTTTTTATAATTAAACTCAATATTTATAGACATTAATTTTGATTATAAAAAATATATTTATGAATTTAAGTAATTAGAAATTACGTAGTCCCAATTATCCTATGAGAAATTTTATACTTAGCAATATAAAATTATCTATGGTAGTTATATATAGTAATATAATTTAACTAGTGAACCATCAGGGATTAGTACCGTTGGCGAATATTGAGACATTCAAGTGTTTATATGTACATAAAAAAGATCTATAGCAATATTTAGAAATTATATCTTTTATATCATACACAATGTATTATGTTGCCGGATATACATATATATTGTGTTTATTTTGTAATTATAATGTTTTTTATTAAACATATTCGATCCATAAGTAGTTAGAATATATATAAACTTTATATATAATTATAAGTTTATCTCTATTATTACTACATGTGTATCGGATATATTGAATTAAAAACTATAATTACATAATAAACATAACATATATGTGTATCGTACAATACAATATATAAAAAAATATATATTATATTTATAAAATATATATTTCATAAAGTGTCATATAATTCCCGCCAACGTACCAAACAGTGCAAGCACTTCGAACAACTGAACTGTGAGTGATATGCTTCGAGTCCAAATACAACTACTGAAGTATTATCCAAACAATTGGATGTAAATGAGAAAACTATTTAATATAAAATGTAATGATATTTAACCCCGCTAGACACTATTAACAAATTATTATTATTATAGAGTAATTATAAATTTAATAATATAAATAATTATATACTTAATAATACTATTAGTTGGAGAAATGGTGTTTAGTTGGTATCACAATAACGCAATATATAATACACGCAGCAATATATAACAGAAATTCAGAGTTGCTATGTTATTGACAAAGGTAGAATTATTAGATATATCATATGATATTAGACATTTATGATATATAAAATAGAAATTATTATTACAATGGTCTAATAGAATTAACGGGACTAAATGTTTATATATTGATTTATTGTATTTATTCTCTATATAAATACATGAAATTATTTAATATACACCGATTTTGTATGTATGTATATAACATAGAGAATCAATGTATATTATTTAACTTTTCTCATACAGTCAATACATTTTTTTTACAGAATAAAGTGGTAACTATTCCTAAATACTATCTACTTCATAAATTGTTCGAAGGCACATTTTTGTTTAAAGAATGACCTAAATCTTTATAATCACTTCGACGCCGAAGCGGCGCGGCCTAAAATTGTCCTAACGATACTCTGTGTTCATATGTACATGAAATGACAAGAAATAAATGAGGTCCATTCTTTTTGGTTAAAATCACATCGAGTACAGTAATGAAAATATATTTTATATCAACGATTCATTTACAATCTACGAACCGCTATGGCCGTCATGTCTAACTGCTGTATTAATTATATACACTACTGTACAATATAGGTACATAATTTACGATCTAAGCGGTAGATATATACAAATTCTCAGATTACTATCGCTCGCTTTACAAATGCACAACCGACTAATATTAATATTTGGTGGACACGACGAAGGAGACGGTAAGTATCGAGGCGTGCGAGCGAGAGGAGAATACTGTGACGTGACGCCGCGTGGGGGGCGTATAAAAGGTCGTGCGCGAGCCCGCGACGCTCAGTAGCGCGGCGCCACTCGCGGCGACGACAGCCGCGGCGACCGCAGCGGCGAGCGGCGCGCCGCCTCGGGCTATGGCTTCAGTCTCTTGAAGCCCGCGCCATCCTGACCGAGCTTCAGCTCCTCGTACAGGGTCGGGTCTACTTCGCGGGCGGTCGGGATTGTAGTACTAGGGTTTTGCAGCGTTTCTTGTCTCCACGCTGAACTATTTGATACTCCATTAGCGACGCCGTTACCTCCGTTCGCGTTACCATTAGGTACCGTTCCCTGTCAAGAAATAAAAAAAAGTTTTAGTTTAAAATATCTATACAAAAATTAATTAAGCGGCACAAGACGAAGTCTATAGTAAATCTTCTTAATAATAAAAATACTAATGGCCAAGATTACAAAGTCAAGATACTACATACAATCAACCATGGAATAATAAATACTTACATTGACTATAGTATCGGGATTAGGTTCCCTCAGGTAACTTGGATTTTCAAAGGCTACTCCACCCTGCGCTTTTAACCTGAGATTCTGAAAAGAACACATATATTAAATAAACACTCTTTTTCCATTAAGACTATTTACCAAACAGAACAAAAGTTATATTTAATATGTTCTTAGTGAATTTGAGGTTATGTTCTATCCTTTACCTTTCTATGTCTATAGTAAAGGCCGGCAGCTAACAGTATAGCTGCACAAAGCACACAAGCAACAGCTAGGCCCACGGCTGTAGCGTTGCCGGAACTTGCGACTGGTGCGGCCGCTGCACCAGTCTCTTGTCCCGCAGTTGTGAACATGATCGGTAAGCTCAAAGAAGACGTCCCTGTTAAGAAAAAACGCAATAAATAAAAATATATTACCAATTTTTGACATCATGTTGAACGCAACATATGACATGCTCTTATTTCGCGGCGTTTATTTAAATTCAACTTAGTTGGGGGCGAGTCTACCAAAATCTATCGGATTTATTTCCAGAGTCTAAGAGAAATATGACTTAACAAAAAGTTCTTTTATAAAAGCCCGATTCCTAATGAATGACCTTCTAATCTAAGCCGGCAGTCGACCTCTAGACTATTATCACATGTCAAATTCGCCTAATGTTTTTAAATAAATGCATTATATGTAGATAAAACACACCATTCTCAAATCGGTACAAGTCTAAAAAATCTCATGATCAGATGCATCCGTACAGAGTATAGAATATGTTGATAAAAGAATAAAAAGAAAGGAGGTAAAGTTAGAAACAAAAATTTATTCCCAATTTAAGGGCAAGAGGCCCTAAATTGGGGACAAATTTTTGTATTTTGATTTTTCAAAAATAAACTTATATTATACTCTAAATCAAATCAAAGTACATATCTTTATTGATGTACTTCTATTACAGACTCATGTGATGAATGAAATCTTTCCGTATAATACATCAAACCGTACGGAGTACTTTCGAGCTATTCAAATTCAAATTCATAAATCATTTATTCATATAGGACATTTTAGCCGTTAATGAACGTCACACTATTACATCAAACATCAAACTCTCAGCTCTTACTACAGTAGAAGTATTCGATAAATTGAGTGTTAAAATATTCTACTCACCAACATCGTTAGCCGCCTTCACGACGCATTCATATCTCACGTCGTCCTGCAGGCCCGTCAGTACGACGCTGGTTTCGCTGGTATCCAACTTTTCTGGTACTTTAGCGCCGTACGCTCTCCAGAACACACGGTACAGATATACCGTCTGTGGATTCTTTATTGGTTGATCCCAGCTGTAGAAATGAAGTTCAAGTATGCTTTGTAATGGAAGTCTTTAGTATGTCTTGGGGTCTTTAATATTTTTTCTAAATGTTGATAACGTTTAAGAAGGAAAATGCAATGGGCAATCGGATGAAATTTCTTTAAGTTAAAGTTCATTTATTCACCTTCCTGTTTAGCATGTGACACATTATTATGATATGCTACAGCTATCCATAAGGCCATTATTATTATTATGTGACTCTTCTTACATATATATGAAATTTTACTCCCTTTCTTAAGAGTTCTTTTAACGGTTTCTCTTTAACTTAAAACCGGTCTCATTATTTCGTTTTGCAGTTAGAACTACTTTAGATACCATAAAATTTTCAAAGACTTACCTCAGTAGCACAGAGTTTGGTGTCGGAGCCACATGTGCTTTCAAATTCCTTGGTGGACCCGGCAGTTTTCCTCCTGTATCCCTGAAGCATGCAAGTGCTCTTCGCGCATGTTGGATTGCACACGACCGTGAAACGGTTCCACCTCGGCAAAGTTCTAGGCAGTTCCGTGGAACGCCCCAGGATGCGCAGCAGCTTCGGTGATCTGATGATACAGTCGAATTATTTTTATGGTCTTGTAACCTTTTTAGACTAAGATGTGTATTATAAGAATAATAATTTCCAGAGTATTGAGATACAAAATTACGATAAAGAAACACTTTCAGATCTATTAAAAAATAAAAGAAAACAGAATGTATTAAGAGACGCATAAATAATATAGAAGAACAATGACAGAATAGTAAAAAAAAATGTATATATGAGTAAGTAACGAAATTCTTATCAATCCACCTTCCACCGGAGGACCGGACCTTTTTTTTAATTATACGGCACGACCTAAATTGTAAATATATCAGGGTATCGATATTAATTAATAGTTAAAGTGCTATTGGGTAGTGGATCACTTTATTTGTCATTATATAAACTAACATTTAATAAAGAAAAGACATTTTTTTATAGTTTGCAATTGGTAACGAAATATTATGTAAAAAGTGTCTCAAAACCTGGCTACAGAAGTTAAGTTATGACGAAACAGAAAACTTTATTCTGTAAATACAAATTATACTTTAAATACTATAAAATGGTTTGATTACGTGGTTATCGGCATATAATAAGTTATTTATTTATTTATTATTTATCTGGCTTTACGTTATTATTATTTCCTCCTTTTTTTTTATCGAATATGTAATATTATGTTAAGTAGTATGTATGATTTTGTGCTGTGTAAAAGTAAATGTTAATAAATGAAATAATATGCACCCTGGGAAGGTATGTGACATCTGAGATACAGTATAATTTTATACTAGTTCAGATGGCACAATTACACTTGTATGTTAAAATTATTGACTCTTATGTACAACTTAATTATGTAACACAATCTTTAACTGCAATAAATATTATTATTATTATTATTATATTAACAAAATAATATAATATGTACGTGACTTTAAAACTGTTTTTAATTATCTATAGAAAGCCGTAAAATTGGTATTTTAGTTAATGTTAATAATTAAAAGAATAGAAACTTAAATAATAATAGCAAATATGAATAAATGTTCTTCTAGTAGAGTTTTTGTGTAGTGAATATAAACAGGAATGAGTATAACTAAGTGATCTCACTAAATACTAGAAACTCACCTGAGCCGTCAGCAGCGCACTTCATGAGTTTATCGAAGTCATCCAGACATTCAGGTCTGTCCATGATGTTGTCCATATCGATATGGAAGCTGCACGCATCGATGCACGCTGATGACACGTTCATCTACATCAAATTGACAAATTTAATTTAATCTAAACAAGTATAATCAAATCTGATCAAATCCTATTCTGTATGACCATACAGAATAGGACATTACACATATATTGTATAATGACACCCGTGGATAATTACCCGTGACACAGGTTCTTCGGATATCTAGTTCTCCAAAAATCTGTATTTTAGCATGACATTTTACATGCCTCAAAAGCTCTGCATCAATTAATATTATGTATATTATTTCACAATCATAATCGATGTAGACAATCTATGTTATTCGTAAATTAAATTAAATTTTATTTGATCAGATTCGATTATACTTGTTTAGATTAGATTAAATTATATTTCATTAGATTTGATTAGATTTGATTAGATTTTATTAGATTTGATACAAAGGCAATCTGGGTAATGAGAATCAACATACCTGAGAACAACACTCGGTCACGTTATGGTGTGGCGAAGTTGGCCTCAGTCTCACGGAGACCGGCCTCAATGTCTTCCCGAAAGCGTTTTCTGCGTGGCAGAAGTAGTCACCTTCGTCTGCTTCCGATATCTTCTTTATTATTAACCGCATCGTGTATTTCGTTTGTTCCTGGAGAAGTATTTATTTCTATAGGTATGTGGTCATATAATGAAATAGACTACCGCTAAATAAATCTTATATATAAAATTCTCGTGTCACAGTTTTCGTTCCTATACTCCTCCGAAACGGCTTGACCGATTCTCATGAAATTTTGTGAGCGTATTGAGTAGGTCTGAGAATCGGCTAACATCTATTTTTCATCCCCCTAAATGTTAGGGGTAGTCCACCCCTAAATTTTTTATTTTATTTTAAGGCAAAACAACGTTTGCCGGGACAGTTAGTAAATTAATAAAAAATACAGTATCAATTGCAATATATGTGTCTATCTGTTATGGCACAATTATTAACTTTTTATTTGTAAACTAAGTCATAAAGAGTTACTCTTTTTTAAATTAGGTTTATCTTTTTGGCGCCCAATAATATATAATACATAATTCATATCAAATATATACATATTTATATTTTTTATATGAATTATGTAAGTAAAGGAAGTAATACCTATTTTAGATGCTATTTCCATATAATAACTAAAAAAAATACTTATAAAATAGATTATTATACATATTAATATAATTATAAAAAAAAACTAAATTACAACATTGACGGAAAGTACAGTTAAGGTATAATTTATATATATTTATAAACTCAAATTTAATAATAAAAAATAATCTCAAATATTTTTGATGCTACGAAATACTATTGCGGAAATATTTACAAATAACGCATCAGAAAATATAGATTAACAAATATCCGGTCGTGTAAAACAGAACCACAAAATGCACGTAAAGATAATCAATTCAAAGAGAAAACTGATATTATTATGAAAGGAAAATCGTTTAGAGAGACGGTCTATTGACAGTTCCATGAATAACAATGAGATTTAAGATAATCGAATCTCCATAATATTAATTGGAGATCGCTGCGGCGACGACGAGTTAACAAGATAAGACGATATCGGGGAACCCAACTCGGATATGGGACAATTTAATTGTATAACATTTTAAATTCCGATATATATCTATCTCATAAGTTATTTCACTTTTGTACTGGTATCACCATATAGTATCTGTAAAGGACTATAGTAGTCCTTTGGGCGGCGGTATGTTTAATTAATATATGTATACAACCTCTTTTGTCATTGTTATGTGCCAGTACTCGTATTAAGTTAAAAGAAAAAAAAAGTAATTTATTTAATCTGTCAATAAATAATTAATGTGTGATTTTGAACAATACACCTAGATAAAACAAGATCAAGATTTTTCATTTAAAACAATTTATTTTTAAACAGTTTATGGTAAATAATAGAATGGTATATAGAATATTGTAAATAAATTTACAATATTTTTCTGTCATATTATTTGCTATTGTTTAAAAGATAGACTCTAGTCCATCTTCTAAACAAAAGAGAACAATATATCAGAAAAAAAACAATATAAAACAAAACACTCTAGTCACTACAGTGTTTTTAATGAGTGATATATATGGGTGGTAAGTATTATTTATTTAATATTCACAAGATAATACGCTATCGGGGAACCCAACTCGGATATGGAACAATTTAATTGTATAACATTTTAAATTCCTATATATACCTATATCTTATGAAATAGTTTTTCTATTTTTGTGTCATATTATTTGTTATTGAGAGAAGAATATATCAGAAAAAAAAACAATATAAAACAAAACACTCTAGTCACTACAGTGTTTTTAATGAGTGATTTATGTGAGTGGTAAGTATTATTTATTTAATATGAGTTCACAAGATAACACGATATTGGGGAACCCAACTAGGATATGGGACAATTTAATTGTATAACATTTTAAATTACTATTGTTTAAAAGATGAACTAGACTCTAGTCTATCTTCTAAACAAAAGAAAACAATATATCAGAAAAAAACAAAAACACTCTAGTCACTACAGAGTTTTTGCTGTTTTTAACGAGTGATTTATATGTACAGTATTGCAAGTATTATTTATTATGCGTTAACAAGATATTATCTGGGAACCGAAGTCACATATGGGAGAATTGAATTGTATAACATTTTAAATTTTATAATATATCTTTTATGAAATAGTTGTTCTATTTTTATGATATATTTTTTATTGTTGAGAGGATCGACTAATGTTTTTGTTGTTTTCCAAAAGAGTGATTTATGCAGGCAGTAAGTTTTATTTGATAACCGTTTCAACAATGATGGGTTAATAAGATAATGCAATATCGGGGAACCGAAGTCGCATATGGGAGAATTGAATTGTATAATACTTCAAGTTCTGATGTTTCTCTTACAATATAATTGTTATAATTTTCAGCCTTTATAATAAATATCATACTCTGTTGTTGATACGGTCATGAAGTAGAGCACATAGTTTTTCAACGAATCATCTATGTAGGCAGTAAGTATTATTAATAATAGTTCCGCAACTAGCTAACAAGACAATGCAATATTGGGGAACCGAAGTCGCATTTTGGGGAATTCAAGAATTGTTAAATAATTTCTCAACCAGTAAAATAGAACATTTTACGGCTTTTGTATGTATATATTATTAAGAGGGTCATTAGACTAGTTTAGAGTATTTTAACGAGTCATCTATATGGGCAGCAAGTAATAAGTAATGACCGCTGTAGCAAAGTTGGGAATACAGGGGAACCGAATTCGAATATGGGAGAATTCAAAATATAAGTAATTTTAAGTAGGTGTATTTCAACAATGACAGTTTTTTTTTATATTTCTTTTATTATAATTTGAATTAGAATTATTGACGAGAAATTGATAGATATACTCCGTTCTTGAGAAAGTGACCTATTGATCTATATAAGCTGTGAAATCAATACAACAATAGAAAAATAAAGTAATTTGGACGAAAATGTAATGATTAATATGTAAAAAAGGGAATATTCAATAAGTACGTCGCCCAAAAGGAAGTAATATATGCTTCGGTTTTTAGATCGCAAAGGTCGCGAGATCAAATGAGGCCGACATCAAAAAGTTTGTCTCGCTCTCCACAGTATTGGATCAAATATCCTCAGGTAATATGGGTATGTCAAGTATTGCGGTTACTATTTCGACAGCTAAGAATTTTATTTTTTACACTTTAATACACCATGTATATATAATATGCAATTGTTGACTACATCCGGACTAAAAGCAACCTGACATTGAGGGTGACGCAGTTGGAATCGAGCTACAACGCGAGCTTCAAAGCGTTCGCTCGTTCGTTCGTTCAAGAAGGAGAACTACTGGCCGAAGAGGGTGGTCTATCGGCGCTACCGTGGCAGATTGCCGTCGTCAGTGCCGTGACCATAGAGACAATTTTATTATTATTTCTTATGTATGTTAGTCTATAAGGTATTTGTAATATGGGCCTAGTTGCCTGAATTAAATAAATAAAATAAAAATAAATATTAATAATTTAAATGGACGGCCTCAGTCTAGAGGTTTAGCACATTGTTTTACTTCCGAAAATCGCAGGTTCGATTCGTCGTACGGTACAAACATTCGTATTCATAAGTATGATTGTTTGTGTCGGTTTAATTGTTTTCTATGTATATTATGTAGGTATTTACAAAAAATCTAATAATGTATCTATGTACTTATATCAGTTGTCTAGTACTCATGAGCCGAGCTTGCCTTAGCTTGAGACTAGATGCTGTTGAATTGGGAGATATTCCGAGTGAAATGACCTAGATTTTAATGGATATTTTTAATAAAATACGAAGATGATGTTAAACGTAACTTTTAATCTATCAATATATTTTTTTAACAATGACAGAATTTATTACTCAAATACAATTATGTATATGAACCTCTATGTTTTTTTTTTTTTTTTTTAAGACTGAGTATCTCATTGGTTTACTCAATGCGTCAGCGTTTGCGCCTGTGGTTTACGCTCGCTTCAGCAGAGTTTGTATTGTTTTAAGAAGTTATGGTTTTAGTAGAGGTATAATTTGAATAGAGTTATTGTGATATATACATTTTTTATAATATATACAATTATTTATATATAAGACAACATATCAACCTCTATGTTCATTCAACAGATGCCACTTTCGACGATCTTCCACCATGCTCTTTAAATGTTGGTAATACTCGACCTCAATTTTGTTTTCAGGTCAGGTTGACCTCCACGCGGTTTTCAATTGTGATAAATTCCTAATGAATTTGTCACGATGGGCTAACTGACTTGACCTGATGTTCATCCTATCATTCTCCGCCAGTACCCCGCCAGAATAAACCGTTAGCGTAGGCGGGAGTACCGTACCACTATCATGTTTTATGATTAAAAATGTACAGGATCTTACCTCAGGATCAGCCAATAATTGAATCGTGTAGTTGGGTCCATCAATAACAGGGTTCCTCCCGTTGGGTTCTCTCCAGAATGCGATGGTTGGTTTGGGCAGTGCTTCAACTCTGCACTCCAATATTACGGAATCGCCAGCGGCAGCCATTGTTATACCTGATGCTTGGATTGTTGGGACATCTGCAGGAACATGGTATATTTGTACTTACTAGGGGTCATCCACTGGTTGAAATTCGACCACAATTAATATTTATTTATTTGTACACTTTACATCAATGGTTATAGACAAAATATTTAACAGCAACTTAATATAAGTTATAAGGTTGAATATTAAGGTTCTTTTATCAAAAACACTTCTATACAATACATAGTAAAAAAAAATTACACAATTTTTTTTTTATTGACTCAATGTATTTTCATACAAAATTTTATTAAAAAAATCGATCGCATTCTGTACTCCTTTTCTATATAACTATAAATCAGCGGTATTTCCAGATTCCAATGTGTCTATAGAAAATAACTTACTAATGACACTTTTAAATAACTTACGTGATATGTTGATCTTTCTGGAGGCCTGCATTGGAGTCCCGTACCCGTTGTCCGCGTAACAGGATATCTGGTCCATATCCCGAGTTACGTTATGGATGACTGTGACCATATGACGGGTCACTTCTTGTCTGACTAGACGACCTGTATGTTACAACTTATTAACAATAATCCAGAACATTAATTAGTGCCTTCTGAGTTAAAATCTCAAAATGTTTTTTTGAATAAACTAATTTATTTGACATGAGAATAGAAGTTCTTCATTCAAAATGAATATAAACTATTTCAAAGAAACTATTTTTAAGAAACTAGTTTTCTCAGGTGAATAAAAATTCTTAACCCAAAATAAATATAGACTATAATGTTAAATATCCAGTTGTTTTTTGTGAAAAATGTCACGAAACATATGAAATGCTTGAATCGAAAAAAACTACTTTTTTTATGAAGAAAACTTTATATTTACAATATTTGAATGTTTTCCTCAATTTGTAATTTTACTGTCTGATCTCCAAGCTTACAACTGTAAAACAGCTTATAATGCAAGCTACTTAGCAGCAGAAATACGTGACTGAGGTACCACAGACGACTTTTTACAAAACGAAACAAATATGAAAGTTTATCTCGGTATATTTAATTTAATTATGTAATTGCTAACACAATATTACAGACCCATAGAGTCTGCTTGGCTTGGAACTAGATGGCGCTGTGTAAATTGTCCAGGGTTATTGTTATTATTATATAGTTGCAAATGTATATTATTTCAAACAGATGGAAATTTATATAACTGACCTGATATATATAGTGATATAGTAGGTGTCGGCGTGCCCATAGCGATACACAGGATAGTCATGCTGGAACCTTCTACCACGAGGTTCACTGGGTTCACGGTCGGTGGCTGTTGAATAGAATAGAATAGAATAGAAAATTATTATAGAATTTTAGAAGATTAATTATTAAAGAATAGAAAAAAGCACTTTTGAATAGTCAACATTTTTTTAAATCTACCGCTTATTCGGAAATCTGTCTCATCACAAGAAGAATAACGAAACTTGACACAAAAAAACACAAAGAAACTTGTGTGTTGCTCTTTTAAACAATCCTTGTAAGTTCACATTTTACAAGTCGAAACGTGTGAATACAAATTACCAACCAGCACTAATTTATTTAGGCTCAAATATAAAAACACAATAAGATTAAATCAGTCGTAGTGATAAGAGCAGACCAGTCCCTACAAGCAACACTCGTTCACGAGTATGACGGATGAGCCAGCCATCACTGCGCTCGACCATATTTTAGGGAGCCCAATGACCCGGCCCACCACGCCGCCACATGTCTGGACATTTTAGTGAGCATGACTACTCATTCCACTCGACCACGTCACAGCTACAAAAATTACTATATGGTAGTTACAGTATTCGCACTTTACATGAGGATGCATGCGGCAATCAATACAAAAGCCGCTACGCTATTATATATCAAGAAAGCAAGTTGAGGAAATTAAAGCAGTGGTTCTCAAGTAGTTTTTGCTGCGTACCACTTCAAAAAAGACCTCAAACCTTGCGTACCCCTTATTGCATGCATTTATGCATGGATGAATGTATGTTTGATACTCTTTTACGCACTACTCAGACAGACTCAAATACTTTAAATTGAACCCTCTAACTGATAGAAGACAAGTACCAGATATTATATTTCTTTGGAAATTAGGGAATGGCATATTGAACTGTTCAGAGTTGTTGTATAAAGTTAATATTCGAATACCACCTAAACTCCCTAGACCTGGTAAATATAATATATTTATAGAAAATCTCGCACGAAGTAATTTAGGCTTCTACTCACCTTTAAACAGGCTAATGAGAACTTATAACACTTATTCAAAGAAGCATTCATCAGTTGACATATTTAGTAATAGTTATTGCAAATTTCGCAGATGTCTCAATAGTACTATAAGTTCTAGTTGAATCAGTACAGGTTTTATATAGGTAGAATTTTAAGTTGTTTTTTATGTTTTGTTAATTGTTAATTGTAAGCACAAATTTGTCACATAAATGTCGTAGTTGCCTATAATTAAGGTTGCGCTTAGTATAAATAGATTGTAATGTAATATATATAATATAACAGTGTTGGTGTAAACATTGTTGGTGACCTAAATAAAAAAAAAAAACTATTGAATGGATTTTAATGAAATCTTACGATAATATAGCGTATACATCAGAATAGGCTATAATATAGACGTAGGCAAACTGCGGGCAAAGCTAGTATACGATATAATGTTGGAAAACGAAAGTGTATCTGTCATTTTGTAACTTTTACACGACTAAATGGCTGAACGAATCTTAATGAAATTTGGCGTGGTCTAAATCTAAAAATAAAATACAAAATCGCGGGTAACATACATTTTTTGGTTTATTATCGGTGTTTCCTTCATAAGTCAGAAATATAAAAATACTTTTTTTTATTCAGGAATGATTCGAACTCATGACTAAGGCGTAATTGAGGATAAAAAACTACTGGGGCAGTACGTTCTTTGCCCCACTAGACACGCCATAAGTCTTTTAATAAACCACTGAGCTAGTACGCTCATAACGCTAGTGTTTTAATATTAAAATTGTAATTAAGTATTAACCTATATAGTAACACAGTAATATCTTCATTCCACTCCGGGTCCGCTTATTTCACTTTAGACTCGGCTTTAAAAGAGCCTGTATTAAAACAAAAGTATTCACCCTCATTACGTTTTATATTGCTCTCGGTTTCCCTTCATTTCTTGTAATACTTCTAAGGAATAATTTGCATTTTATTGTTGCCAAGTAAATTGGTGGTTACGTTGAGAGGCAAAGTCCACGATTACATTCAAACAACCTGATTTCTTTCATTACGGACATTATTATAATAATATAACGAGGTGACTTTGTCATGGCGGCAAAATTTTCCCTCCATTTTGTTAAGCATGTCGGCCATTTACGAAGTGGAGCGTATAATTTTTGTTATGTTTATTTTTATTCATAATGCTATTGATATTTTAATTAAATGTATTTTATCGTTAAATCTAATTTCACATTAATTTATTATGTACTTGAATATTTGTCATTATACCAAACAAGTACAATACTATTACATTGACTCGATCAATCGTTAAGGCCATTATTCATTTTCTATTTCACAAATTGTATTTGCCAAAGACACCATTAAGATTTAATATCGATAAATTATTAATAACTCCATAGTCTTTGCCACATACTCCCATGACCGCCATTTTAACATTAAAAAAACGCGCTAGCCGCTAGATAGAGGAACGCGGGAATGCGCGAGTGCGCGGTCCTCTTCGTTCTCTGTCACACATTTACATGCACATTCTTTGTGGATGTGTGGTGTGACAAGAATGGATAAGATGAAGAATGAATACATTAGAGGAAGTATGAAAGTGGCGCCGGTGTCAGAGAGGTTGAAGAGTAATCGTCTATCGTGGTATGGACATGTAATGCGTAGGAATGAAGATAATATTTTAAGGAAGGTGTTACATATGAATATGGATGGTTATAAGAGCAGAGGAAGGCCGATAAAGAGATGGATGGACTGTGTGAAAGATAATATGGTAAGAAAGGAAGTAAATAACGAGATGACTGCGAACAGGGATGAATGGAAGAGACAAACATATTACGACGATCACAAATAAAAGGGATAAGGAAGAAGCAGATGATGATTCTTTTCTGCGTGAAAACATATTCGCTTGAGAGCGTACGTGTAAAAGCAGCTCATTAGCTCCCTTTACAGAGGCATTCCTCTGTCTACCCCATTGAGTATTGTCGCGAAGATATTATAACTCCTCTTATTAATTGTTTAACCAGTTGGTTGTATACTTAATATGTTCTATTTGAGTATTTAATTGAATTAGTGCTAATTGGTAGTTTGTATTCACACACTTAAATTTAAAAATGTAAAGTAAGAATAAAATTATTTAAAAGAGCAACATGCCAGTTTCTTGCTCGTTCTTCTTGTGATGAGACAGCTTTCCGAATGAGCGGTAGATTAAAAAAAATGTGATGACTATTCAAAAGTGCTTCAATGTAAGTTTATTTGAAGAAATGATTTCTATTCTATTATTCTACTTACCTCAACATAGGCAGGGTATGCAGGGTCCGTCCAAGCCAGTAAAGTTTCAGACGGCAGCGAGTCTCCTGCCGCTGTATGCGCCTTCACCCACACCACGTACTGGGTGTTTGGAGTCAACTTCTCCAACGTGTGACCAGGAACAGAGGTGTCTATAGTGGTGACGTTGTTCTGTCCCAGTTGCGTGGGGGACTTGAAATATAACCTGTTCAATTAGATAGATAAATTCTGTATCAGCCGTTACAAACATATAGCATAAAAGCATAATCAAATTCAAAATATCTTTATTCATTTAGATCTATTACAAAATCTTATGATATGTCAAATCTACCGTCAGTTCGAAATGATTTCGAGCTAAGAAATTCGGCTGTTATTATATTCAATTGACACACATACAAAAATACAGATTAATTTTTAAATTCAAATAGACGTACCATTCCATTATCATCCATAAGAATATATACTATATTACATATAAAATTAGTATCACAAATATATAGCTATAGCTGTACACGCGACTTTGTCCGCGTGGAATATACATAACTTTATATTTCTAAAATAAAAGAATTTCTCTAAATTAAAATTACCATAAGTTACTTCTCATTACATCAGCTACCTGCCAAAAAAAGTAACATCATAATCGGTCCAGCCATTTCAGAGATTAGCCGGAACAAACAGACAGACAGACAAAAATTGTAAAAAATGATATTTTGGTGTATGTACCATACTTATATTCGTATGTATGTATTAAAAATGGTTATTTCAATATTACAAACAGACACTCCAATTTTATTTATATGTATAGATATCAATGAGGTAATATCTTAAAAAAAGAAAGCACCCAAACCAATACAAACAAACAAATTCATTAATACAAATGTTAGTACAGTTTAGATAATAACTTACGTGTAGGATATTTTCTCGTCAGGCAGCGAGAACTGTGGCGGTTGCCAACTGAGAGTCAGCCAGGTGGCAGAGTGAGACGACACAGACAGAGAGTGTGGTGGTGATGGTACTCCAGAGACTTGTTTCTCTTCTGCAAAACAATGCACATTAGAATGCGTATGACCAGATGCCCTAACCTTAATATCAATAACAGCACAACCTCTCCCACACTTGGCTAAGGCCAGTGTAGGTGAGTATTATCTTCTTTTAAACTTGTAAAGGAAGTGAAAGAAAGAGTCTACTATACTAATAGCCTATGCGCATATGATAGACGATTTATGGCGTGAAGGTGCGTGAACTTTTCGAAGCTATATAGATCGATACGAGAGCCACATAGCCTACCACAGCCTCGACAAGAGTACTGTACTGAAACTCAATTGAATTTCTTTTTTTAAAGCCAGTTTATTAACAATGTATATTTATATAGGTATCTATGTCTAACATTAAATGAAAATCCAGTGCATGAACAACTATTGCCATGCAAGCTCGTCGTTTAAGTAATCGTTTAGTGAGTAGGCTTTGTTTGGTAAACTTACCTCCTTCTGTATAGTTGAAGATGATCATGCTAGAAGGCAGCGAGGATCCGTGATTGTTCAGAGCAACCACGAACATCTGGTAAGTGCTGTTAGGTACCAGCGAGTGGATTTCTATGGAAGTGATGTTCGTTTCGTTCATCATACCCTGTGAAAGGAGTCATCGATAAGTTTTCTACTCTCTTCTATTCTATTCTATTCTATTCTATTAAGTAACTATCTGTTTGTCTGTCTCGCTTTCACGCCAAAACTACTGAACTGATTTAATTGAAATTTGGTACCCAGATAATCTAGATTATCTGGGTACCAAATTTCACTTTCTCAGGGTCTAGACCCTGAGAAAGACATAGGCTACTTTTTAATGCGAAAAAGAGTTGTAAAGGGAAATGAAAGGTTGTATGGATGTATTATCAATTTTGAAACGATGAAACTTTTTCTTTAGTATTTTGGGTTAGATTATTTTTTTATTTATTTGGTCAAGGTATTTGTTTGGTCACAATTCCAGGTGGACGAAGTCGTGGGCACAGCTAGTTTATCATAAATAAATGTAAAGTAAGATGTATGTGATATATACCGAGCATGTCATGACGAGAACCCAACAAACATACTAAATGTTTATATATGGTTACAGACTCGCACACGGAATTTTTTAAACCAAAATTTTTCTCCTCACGCTCCTTTCCAGAGGATCTAATGCTTCTGTAACCATTAATTTTTTTGTATATTATATTTTTTCGTACCTGAAATAGTGAGACATGGGTAGGTATATCTGTCTCAAATATTTCAATTTTGATTGAGGAATAGAATTTTGATAAATTTTCAAAATTCTTCTCTTCATGCGCCATTCCAGAGGATGTAATGCCTCTGTAATCTTTAATTTTACTTGTCTATGCTGTTTCGTGCCTGAAATTGTGCGTCAGAAGTGGGTATATCTGTCTCAATTATCTCAATTTTGATTGAGGATAAGGATTTTTGATAATTTTGAAAAAATATCGAAATTGTTCTTTTGATGCGCCATTCCAGAGGATCTAATTCCTCTGTAACCTTTAATTTTACTGGTATTTGCTGTTTCGTGCCTGAAATAAATGAGACAGAGGTACTCACGCAGACGACTTAGTAAGTAAAGTCTACCTCTGGTCTGAATTCTTACCTGAGAGAACGCTGGCAGCGTATTGTAGGTGTAGGGTTGTGTGTTATTGTTGATCTTCTGCCAGTGAACTACATAACTGGTGTCATTCTCAGCTTCTTCAGGTGCTACCCACTCAAGGATGACACTACCTTTGCTTGATACTGCAGCGTGGAGCTCGCGAGGCGGCCCGGGCAGTAAGCCAGTGCCTGGTCGATTGAAATAAATGATGATAAATAGAAATAGTTATAAATATTTATTTAAATACCAAAACATATAGTACAAAAGGCGAATATAATAGCGATACTATGGGGATAATACTTAATAAAAATAATGTAAATAATATTTATTCTCAAAATAACAGTTTCCATGAGATACGAATTATCCAACAGTTCTTAAACAAAATGTGTTGATATTGTATTCAAAGTAGCTTGTGTTGCAGGGATAATTGTGACTTACTATTAAGTTACTGTTACTATATAGTTAGATGGTTAAAGCTTCATGGATTCAAATATATCCAACGAGAGGGTAAAAGTGACAGTTGAGCATTATCATGACCGCATCATATGGGATGGGAGCAATCATGAAGGTATATTCTTATAATTTTTCCTTCATATATAGTACAGCTGTAATCTGTATTTCGGTTAAAGGATGAGTTATGGTAGTGTGTGCTTATAGGTACTGATCTGCTCTGATAACCATTACCGATTTATTTTGTCACTCTTTTATTGGCAGTTCGTAATCACTTAAAATTCACTTAAAAATTAATATGTAATTTTTGATTTTTACTATTATATACATTATGACTTTTATTTAAAAGAGCAACACGCAACGTTCTAAAGTTATTCGTCTTCGTTCTGAGTGAGTGGTAGAGTGTAAAAAATATGAGTTATAAAGACTTCAGAAATGATATTAAGTTTATTTGAAGAGACATTATTTCAAGTGGTATTTGTGTGATGAGAGTGCGAGGGTAGTGTGGTGGTTTACCTTCCTCGAAGCACTGCACGATGTTCCCGATGTAGGGCACGCAGGCGTTGAGCGCGCCGGCGGCGGCGCCCGCGCACGCGCCGCGGCACGCCGCCGGCACGCCGCGCCGCGCGCAGCACCCCGCGTGGTTGCGACCTGACGACACGCTCCACGTCTCACATCCCTCTCTTGCATTTAGATACCCTTGTGATAATGTGGGGAGTATACTACTTACCATATTACCACAAACTACATTAGCACAAACACCCCAAATTACTCCTCACATTACCACAAACACATCAAATTACTCCCCACATTAGCACAAACACCCCAAATTACTCCCCACATTAGCACAAACACCCCAAATTACTCCCCACATTAGCACAAACACCCCAAATTACTCCCCACATTAGCACAAACACCCCAAATTACTCCCCACATTAGCACAAATACCCAAAATTACTCCCCACATTAGCACAAACACCCCAAATTACTCCCCACATTAGCACAAACACCCCAAATTACTCCCCACATTACCATAAACACTCCAATTTACTCCCAACACTACTACAAACACCTCAAATCGCTAGCTCACCATCCAATATACAAAAGATACCTTTACCACAATCACCCTAAAATGTAGGTCCCGAAGAATAGTCCACGCAGTAAAGTAGACGATAGGGAAAATTCAAGCGACAAAGCCGTACTTTGTTTAGTGGATTTATATAATGTTTTCTTTTTGTAAATATTTTTAGAAAGAATGATATTATTATATCATTATTATTAAAGATTGCATATACTGACGACCTTGTTTCGGCATTTTTTTCAGAATTATATTCTTTTTTAACATAAAACTTAAAGTGAAACTGCTGCAGCCTTACGGCAGCAGAAGGAATGGAACAGAAATTGGTACAATATTATTCCTGATTAATTTTATATAAAGCTACTTGCTATTTTTTTAATTATTTGTGGCCTGTGCAGCGTTGTTTTAAATACATTTTATATAATTTACATATGGTTACAAATGGGCAATGGTTACTTTTCATTCAATATACGGTTATCCTTCCAATTACGTAAAATAAATTTGTCTTACCTCCAGCACCGCAACGTAATAGTTTGTGGAACTCCATTGCGCACAACGGCGCGAGCGTGCGTAGATCCGACATTTTGGCGTCGTACGAACACAGTGGCATGCATACTCCTGCTAATTGAACCTTCTCGCAGCATTCTGTCACGTTGTAGGCGGTGGCTGCCTCTTCTTCATCCACGTAAATCTAAGAAACAACCAACCAAACAAATCCAGGTGATTTCAATACACATATTTGTGGGAATGTGGGAAAGTTCAGTGTTAAATACAAAATGATAATTTGCAATTTCTTTTATATGACAATGGTGGTAATTGAGCATACCCAGCTGATGATTAACCGTAATATATGGACGCCTAAAACACCTGACATAATGTGTGTTGCCAAATTTTAAGCCTTAATATACAGTTCTTGAATAACCCCATGCTGTAATCTCTAGCGGAAACCTCCGCAGGTGATTCATTTCAGGATTACAGTCTATCTGAAGGCAAATTTTTCTTTTTTGTGCCTCTATGCTGTACCAAACTATTTCAGCCGTTAAGCAGCTTGCAGTAATCTGTTTCAGTTCTAGAGTGCAAAGGCAATAAAATTACAGAATAAGAGGTATGACATCTTTGTCCTCCGGAATAGCAAGTCATGAGTAGAATCACGGCTGTCACGAGATAACGGGATATCCGTAGTGCTACGACGGTTACCGTTCATAATGTCCACCGTATCAGGTGGATCTTCAGCTTTGGAATTACATAAAAAACGGCTTTTGATGGCGAAGTGAAATGGTATATAATTTCAGTTTGGTAAATACTTGATAAGATTAAAGAAATACCTGGCTTTGTGTTCTAAATATGACTCTGGATGAAGGTGGACCAACACCATGTTCATTGATTGCTTCAACGTAGATTTCATATTCCGTGTTTGATTCCAAGTCTTCGAGGATGAACGGTGAATGTATCTGTATTTGAACAAATATTGCATTAAAATAAGTATTTATGTCAGTTCTCTGGTCCTGTGTCTTGTGGTTTAGCACATGCCTCTACTTCAGATTGTTGCGGGTTCGTCTCCTCGCCTGGTGCTATATATATTCGTGAGTATCATTGTTTATATCAGTCTGGGTGTTTATATATATATTACGTAAATATTTATAAAAAAATGTGTCCAAGTATTTATATCATTGGTCTAATACTCATAACACAAGCTTTGCGTAGCTTGAGTTTAGATTGCACTGTGAGAATTGTTCTATGTTATTTTTTTTTTATTCGTTTCATATTCTCGAATTTCTAAGGCATTATAGGAGTTACACTGTCCAAGTAATTCTAGTATGTTTAATTATTTGTTATTATTATTATTATTATAAGACTACTAATGTCATCACTTACCTTCTCCAAAGCCCTATAATCTTCATCCGAACTTAAAGTTTTGTAATGCAAATTGTACGACTGGACAGTATCTCCTAGAGCGGCAGGCTGAGACCAATGTACCACAGCGAAGTCAGTATCGATGTTAGTCAAGTGGAGCCACGCTGGAGCACCCGGGAGCACCCCGTAGCCCTCCAGCAGGCAGTTGGTGTATGAGTTCATGTAGCGGAGGCACCTGGTAAATCGTATTTAATAGTGATAGATTCAGTTAGATAAAATTGGTTATGATCATCTAATTGGTCTTGGTTTGAAGGATTAAGTGGTACCTACATTTTTTGGTAAGTGTCGTAATTTTCTTCCTATATTATTACTATTATTATTTCTATTTCTACCTCTAAGATTTCTTAGGAGTAGAAATAGAAATAGCGTTAATTATTTAATTGAATTAACTAAATTATTTTTAGTAGAATTATGATATATGTTATAGTTTAATTCTTAGGAGTAATAATATGCAAATAAAATTTCATAAAGAATTTGATGATAGAGAAATAGCTTTTTTTTAACTATTACAGTTTGCCGCACCTGCCTTTATCACGGACGATAAAGGGGTCTAACGCAGAGATCGATTGATAATTGGCTATCTCCCGCCTTAAGAATATATTGTTTAGGTTCGAATTTAGTGCAAGATCAAAGTAGGCTGTCAAGATTTACTTCTTTGTTGGAATGTAACAGAGGATAGATTGGAGGTGATAGAAAATAGCAGAGAAGATAGTTTATATCGTTATCATCTCTAGTTTTTTGGTTAATTTAAAATGGGTGTATTATTTCTAGTTTTCAGAATTCAGAAGCATAATATGTTTTAGACTACATTAGGCTATCACTACAAGATACAAACTTACTTGAAATGATTGAAGTCAAGTGTCGTGATATTTCCACTGCACAGCGGGAGACAGGGTTCTGGTAATCCTCTAGATCGGCAACAAGGTGTATGGTCCATTCCATTAGCGAGACACCCGAAGGTGACTCCCGCCCAGGGAGCGCATATCATCAGATCTGTGACCTGCAGCTGGGGTTAAAAAGGTACCTTTTTGATGATAGTGCGTTAGTCACAAATGATATGAATCCATCGAGCAGTGGAATGAGTGCAAAAATTATAATGTTATTCAGACAACACAACATAAAAACACAATGATTCCAATTCCAAAACAATGAAACTGTTTTTTTAGTGTAAAACAATGCCTTTCAAATAATAAACATTAGGTTCTATATTTAAATCTTTCAGAAATAATATTTTATTTCCCTAAGGTAATAATCATAATATATGAGTGGTTTTGATTGGTGGTGAATTTTTTTAGATTCGAGATTAACTTGCAGTAACACAGTTATTTAATTATCACGGAAAGTAATGATTTTTTAACACCCAAACAAAATGTTATTTTTATCTTATATTAAATATTTATGTAACGTATATAACTGTTGAGATGGATGTGTGGTGTGACAAGAATGGATAAGATAAAGAATAAATACATTAGAGGAAGTATGAAAGTGGTGCCAGTGTCGGAGAAGTTGAAGAATAAACTCTGTCATTGTATAGGCATGTAATGCGTAGGAATTGATATTTAGTATAACAACACCAATATATGCAGTCATAGTAATGGATACAAATGTTTGTATTAAGCAAGGAACGAACTCGCGACCGTTGGAACTTGAGGACTTGCTAAACTGTTAGATCATCGAGGATAGTAGAGGATATTTTAAAGAAAATATTATATATATTAATATCGATGGTTAGAAGGGCACTGTAACATCGGAAAAGAGATGGATGGACTGTGTGAATGATGATATTGCAAGAAAGGGAGTAAATAACGAGATGATAGCGAACAAAGGTGAATGGAAGAGAAAAACATAACGTGACCCCCAATGAATGGGATAAGGAAGAAGCAGATGATGCTTTTGTTTGAACCGTTGTTGTTAATTTTATATGTAGCTTTACAGCTTCACAGAAATCTTATTAATATTATAAATGCGAAAGTTTGTGAGTATGGATGGATGGATGGACGTCTGTTACTCTATCACGCAAAAACTATTGAACGGATTTTTGATAAAACTTTACAGTAATATAGCTTAAACATCAGAATAACACAAGTTATAATTAATAATAATAATAATATTTCAGGACAGTGAATTGTCCTGAAATATTATTACAGCGCCATCTAGTCCCAAGCTAAGAGCAGAGCTTGTGTTATGGGTACTAAACAACTGATATAAATACATGGATATTTTTTTTTTATAAATACATACATATTATACATAGAAAACACCCAAACTTATATGAGTATGATTGTTTGTATCTTATACATACAAACAATCATACTCACGAATATAAATGTTTGTACCGTGCGAGGAATCGAACCCGCGACCATCGGATAATAAAGCGGTGTGTGAAACCACTAGACCACCGAGTCTGTCAATTAAAAGACATTATGTAAATTGGGCGAAATATAATGATAAATGCCAAGTGAGTGATGCAGACAAAGTTGAGCGTGCCATCTCGTATTATAACACATAGCCACTACTAAAGATGAATATGGGATGTGATGATGAGTCATGCATGATACCATACATATACTTACATCAATCTCGTGCGTTTTAGTTGGGTCGCACAGCTTCTCAACACAACCGTTATGATTCACCCCCGACGAGATGCAGCATCCCTTCACATCTGGGAGTTTAGGTGCAGCTGCCACCTGGGTGGACTTCATTTTACCAGGTGTCAGGGTTAAAGATCTGTGATTAAAAACATTAGCCGTAATACACGTGAACTAGTACTGTAAGAACTGGGTGGCCTAATCACTACGACTGGTTCTTATTTAGTTATTCAACTAGTTGGTTGTGATCGGGAATTTAATATTTTGATTCTAATGAATTATTATTAGTCCTATTTAGTGGTTCGTATTCACACAATTCAAATTAAAAATGTAAAATTACAGGAATTATCTAAAAGATCAACACGCAAGTTTCTTGTCCATGCTTCTTGTGAAGACAGCTCTCCGAATGAGCGGTAGATTAAAAATATAAGTGTGATTATTCGAAAGTGCTAAAATTTAAATTTATTTAACTAAAGATTTTTTTTCTATTCTATAATTTTTTTAACAGCACCTTTTATTTGTTTGTAACTTTGATTTGTAATCTACCGTCATCTATCAGATCCAATGGATATTCTCACCACCCATTAATCTACAAACCACTTGATCCAAAAAGAAAGAACGAACATCTAGATATTAATATTATTCTAAATAATTTCATGCTTGAAATGTATTTGAATATAGAGCTGTTTTTATTCCTAAGATCAATGTAAAGAAAGTTAATAAATAAATAACTAGAAGATTGTAATTGACTACTTTCTCCGTACGTCGTGGAAATTCCATAAATTCATACTGAGCGGTTAGCGTCGTACTATCTAATATGCACTGCCAAAGAGTGGAACACTTCCAGCTTTCGTGTTCTCGGAGAAATATAACCTCGGATTCTTCAAGTCTATGGTGAATAGATTTCTTCTGGGTAATCGCGCTGCATCCTAGGTCTTGCCATCAATTACCATCAGATGAGGTAAGACCACGAGCAAACACATTTATAACAAAAAATCGTGAATATAATAGGCAAAATCGCAGGCAAATACTAGTTATCTGTCTATGTTCTCTCACATACCTGATGGCATAACTTGGAAGGCTTGATCCATGTATATTATATGATGTCACTGTGACCTCGTACATAGTAAACGGCAGCAAATCATCTAACACTAAAAATGTTTTATTCGCTTGTACTTTATACGCGACGGTTTGTATCGTTTTAGCTGTATCATTCTTTATGGAACTCTCCGAAGGATCTATGAGGTGGGCGTCAAATGAACGTAATGTGGTTACGTTGACGATGTATTCTGTGATAGTATCACTGTTTTCTATTGGTGGAGTCCATGATACGTTTAGTTGCTTCTCGTTTAGCGGCTCAACTTCTACTTCTTCTGGCGGACTGGGGAGGAGTTCTGAAAAATTGTTTAGATTAATCGCTTTTCTAATAAATCCTATCCTATTTCCCCTGGACATGGCATCACAGCATGAAAAGCTGGATTTCACTATTTATTTCTAATATTTTTTTTTAAATTTCGCTACAATTAGCATGTGTAAGACTACAAATATTTAGTGCGGAAACTACCGTTATGACCTTCACAAATTGTTACTAAAAATGTAAAGTTACAATATTTGCTTCAAAGACTAAAATTTCCCGCAAGTTTCCTGCTTGTCCTTCTTGTGATGAAACACTGCCTTCCTTAGAGTGGTACGTTTTAAAAAAAAAGTACGACTATTCAAAAGTGCCTAAATTTAAATATATTTGAATAAAGAATTATTTTAATAATAAATTCTATTGTGGTATGTAATAAAAGCATACTTACGTACAGCTTTTGTTATGTCGAATGTTATGTTGTATTTAAAGATAATATTTTAAGGAAGGTGTTATATGTATATGAATGTGGATGGTTATAAGGGCCGAGGAAGGCCGATAAAGAGATGGATGGACTGTGTGAAAGATGATATGGTAAGAAACAGAGTAATTAATGAGATGACTGCGATCAGGGATGAATCAAAGAGAAACACTTATTACGCCGACCCCAAATAAATGGGATAAGGAAGCAGATATACACAGCATGGGTTTAGAAAATCATATAGTACAGCTACAGCTATTGGCAAATTTAGTGATCAAATAAATAGTCACCTAGATAATAGGAAATATGTAGGAGTCCTCTTTGTAGATTTCAAAAAGGCATTTGATACCCTGGACCACGGACAGCTACTGGAGGCAATGAGAGAATGTGGAATCCGTGGTCCAGTAAACGAATGGTTCCGAAATTATTTAGATAACAGAAAACTGTTCACTGTAATTAATGCTACAGCCGGTCAGGAATTTTATATGAAAAGTGGTGTGCCTACTGGTTCGGTATACGGGCCTGTTGGTTATACCATGCACGTAAATAGTATGATTAACGTAATAAATTATTGTACGACATATATGTACGCAGACGATACGTGTTTGATATATGCAGATAGAGATATCGAAAGTATTGAAAAATGTATACAGTCCGACCTGGAAAACATTTTGATGTGGTCCCATGACAATGGTATATTATTGAATGTATCTAAAACTAAATGTATGCTTGTACATTCTCCATATATGAAAGATATTAACAAGTCAATTAGAATAGTCGGCCACTCGTATCAATGTCTTCACAATAGTAAAATACAATGTAATTGTGAACATATCGAGATGGTGAATGAATATAAATATTTAGGGATCACAATAGACTGTAGTTTTAGCTGGAAAATACATATAAACAATATATGTAATAAATTAAGATATGTTTTGTGTAAGTTCATCCAGCTTAAATATGTAGTTAGTAGGTCGATATTGTTTTCCTTTTATTGGGCATTGGCAGACGCGGTATTAAGTTATGGTCTGGCGGCGTATGGTTGTACCTTTCGTACCTATCTTGATAAATTGTATAAAATACAAATACGTTTTTTGAAACACTTAGTAGATACGGAATTTAAAAAGAAATGTAAAGGAAACTACAATTTGTTATTCACAAAATGTAATATTCTCCCTATACATGAAAAAGTTACTTTACTATTGGCATTAGAACAATATCAATGCAATAAGTATAAGGTTAAAAAAACAACTGAGTATAGTATGAGACATACAACTATAAATAAGTATATTGAACCGGTGGTATGCAACTATTATGGTGAGAGAACAAGAAGGTACATTACTCCACGAATATTTAATAAAATTTATAATGAAAACGATTGTTCAAGTAAAGAAATATTTAAATTTAAATTGAAAAGATGGTTACTCGAAAAAGTGCATTAGTATAAGTTCTATATTATAGTTAAATTGTAAATTAGATATAAGTAAAAATGAGTGTCCTTATTCGCCAACAAACTGCAAAGCAGTTTGGCGATAATTGTAAAAACAAATTGTGTATATGTAATACTTATAAATAAATAAAAAAAAAAAAAAAAAGATGATGTTATGTTCAATTTGTACGAATAATGTTTGAAAAATATGTTATACCTATGCCTTCCACGATACAAGCCAGTGTTTTCTCCATGTACGATGCGCAGGAGTAGTGTGTTTTGATATTGTCAGTGATAGGCGTGAATTCTCCTCGGCACACGTCTTGACAAATGTCCGGAACACGTTCTTGGACGCAGCACGGTACGTGGTTACGACCATCTGCCATACACCTGGGAGAATGCGGAAAAATATGTTAGGAATACAGAGAATTAGCGGACCCATGTTAGACCCAATATTAATCTGCCATACCTGGGCTATTGGGAAAAAATATATTAAAACTATAGTATCAGTTGCTGACCCGCTGAACATCGTCTGCATCACATTTACTTAACATCTATGTATATTTAGCGGGTAGATTGTTACCGCTATTACTTATATATCCAGTGTTCGTCTATTATAGGATGTGTACGCCGTCCGTAGATTCGCCACATATCCTTATATTTCGCCTAGTTTGAAGAATACCTTCTTAAATTATAGTTTTGTATTTCTGTGTACAGCTTGCATTGTAAAGTTTCATCAAAATCCGTCAAATGGTTTTTGTGTGAAAGAGTACCATCAAACCATCCATCCAAACTCACAATCTTCCGCGTATATAATACTAGCTGACCTGCCCAACTATGCCTGCATCACACTTATTTGACAATTATCATTATATTTTGGCCAATTTAAATATTATCTTTTTAAATTATAGCCTAAGTGTTACTCTAATGTACATATAAGCTATGATGATATACCTGTATATTGCGGATGGATGTTTGTAACTCTTTCACGCAAAAACTACTGACTGGATTTCAATGAAACTTTACAATAATATAGAATAACACGTAGGCTAAAATTTAAAAAGATTTTATTTAAATTGTGGGAAATATTATAAGTACTAATGAGTCAAGTAAGTGCAGATGAAGTAAAGCAGTGTGCTAAATCGCCAGACTTGTGAAATTTCCTAAAATTTTACAACTGTCAAAAACTATAAAAATGGTTATCCTTACTTGACAATAGCCGGGAAGTCGGGCTGGCAGGTCTCCGGATCTTGACCAGTACCTTCAAGGATCGTTTGTATGCTGCAAAAGCCTAAACACGATTTGCTAATGTTCGCAGCCAAACAACAGTCTGTATAGTTGTGCGATAGAGCCAATGATGATGGTGTCGGTGCATTCGCTGAGTAGCTGTCGGTTACATTTTGCTGCTCCGGCGGCGTGAGTCCTCGGGAGATCACTAGAAAAAATATCTTATATGTAAAATTCTCGTCTCACAATGTTAGTTGTGAATTTTTTTGTAAACACACTTAAAGATATATATATAAAATACCCAGATGGATACAAACAATATACTTATGAATATAAATGTTTGCATCATGCGAGGAATCGAACCCGCGACCATCGGAAGTAAAGCAGTGTGCTAAACCGCTAAAGCACTGAGGCCGTCAATGGCTAATTAATGAGTGTTTTTCTTTTTTTTCGGACTACTCTAATGCTGTTGGCCGCAGCTGGCCTTTACAGCTTCACCGGACGATAGGAGGCGAGTGCAGATGGCACTCCAAACCCGCGGAAGGATTTCTGGAGCGGCTGAAGGCCAACTTCTGCCTGACGGATACGACTTTAGTCTGAGGGCACCGTTAGGGGTTCGAACCTCGGCTCAGGCCGTCGTAATTTCGATATTCGTTCCCGTCGTCGAATAAGACGGGGGATCCATCGAACGGACTGTTTTTACTCGTTGAAACATTATTTTATATACAAAATGAATGACATTGTATGTATACTGTGAATATTTTAATGAAGATCAACATGCCATAATTTTTTTTATTTAGTACATCTGTGTTATCATATATAGTGGAGCCAAATTCTAGTTACATGAAGTGATATTTACCAGTTAATCTGTGGAAGCTTTTTACAGGAGGTTCTGTGTTTAGTTCGCATGTGTAAAGACCGGCGTCTGAAGACTTCACTGATTTGATGACCAGCGCCCACACGTCACCGCCCTTCATGATGCCAGGACCCTGGAGCGGCTCGTCAGCTATAACAATTTTTAGTATTACAGAATTTTATATATTCTCGTCATTGCACTTATATGTATAATAAAATATAACATAATCACACAATCTTTGATTTTTTTTATATTATATATAATATAAAAAAAAACAAAGATTGGCTTATCTCTGAAAGAACTCTGTCTAACTGTTTATTTATTCTTGATAATATCTAAAACAGGCCGAGTTTGATGGAATTTTCACTTTTAAATATTATTATTAAAATTAAAACTTTGAGAAATGTCACGCGAAACAGTTCTAATTTTCACATGTTGGACATAAATAGCCATACCATCTATTATATACTACTTTTATAACAAATAAATTTAATTTAATTTCAATGATTTCAATTTATGTAATTTGTATTGTAAAACTTCGAGTTAGTGTACTTTAAAAGTTGGGCTAAATAGGACTTGTTTCCAGAGCCGTAAGTTATAATAATAAAAAAAGGTGAGTTCATTCTTATTCGCAAAAATATTTAAAAGTTATATAACTTTTTTAACACTTTTTTTTTATTATTTTACGGTTCTGGAAACAAGTCCTATTTAATAAATTTTTGATGTAATAAACATAATTTAATACATTTTTGATGTTTCAATATTTTTAGATGTTGTAGTATTAGGTATATATGCGGTCTATATTTTGATCAAATTGAAGCTTCCCAGCGCGAATATTGCAAATGCCCGCGGCTACAATACAAAGGCAATTCCTATCGCCGTTACCACTATTCCTCAATTTTGTAACACTTTTACGAGTACAAAACGATTTTTTTGTGTTTTATAACGCAATATACATTGTCTAATCCAAACAGATTTAAAAAAATACTGGATTTTGGATTTATTTTTGACAAATCTCTTAATAAAAATTTATACGTATGATAATGTAACAGACCTCTATCCGTATAGGGAACATGAAAAATTAAACCACTGAAAATTATGCGCAACCTTTGGTGAGATTCTGTCGACTTTTTATATCTTATTACTATTATAAATTGAAAGTTTGTGAGTATGGATGGATGTTTGTTACTCTTTCTATGGATTTGGATAGATATTTCATAGGCGACAGTCACCACTTACCACCAGATGCACCGTCAGCTGGCTAGTCATTCCATGATCCAATAAAAGAGTTTTTATTGAAATAATTAGAAGTATTAATATATGTAATACTCATATTTAGTATTAACATCTCATACAGCTATAGCGCGACTGTCAACCTACCACGGCTGCGCGCCGTGTAATATTGTGTATCTGTGGCGGATACGTCTTAGCGCGGGAAAATAAAAAGACTATAAAATACTTCTGAAGATATATTGATTTACATTTAACCCATTAATGGCCAAACAAAGGTTTTTTTCAGGTTTCGCTTTATTATAATCATAACTAGAAAGTATACAAAGACACAAAATATGATTGATGATGGTGAATGACGATGATTCCTCATTGCCTGAATAGCGATTAGCGATTAGAATAGTTCTAAACTGACCGCGGCTCATTGTGAACTATCCCAAAAAAAAAAAATTACATTGACTTGAGTTCTACTTTTCTAACATGCATTTAAACAATTGAGTACAGCGACGTAAATATTGAAAAATACTTTCATATTCAAAGGAATAAGTCATATTTATTTACTTAGAATTATAACCTAAAAAACTGAAAAATATATCAAAATATCTTTTAAAACTCAAAACTTTGATAACTTGTAATGTTAACTTTTTCGAATGAACCTCAGTTTACTTTTTTTACACTTATAGGGTGATTTAATGTCTTTAAAAAAATAATAACCTACAAAACATACCAAGTACCTGTGCAGAATAAAAATTATTTTTATCTGTACTCAATTGGGTACAGCGACCGTTAATGGGTTAATAATATATGTAATATTCGATTATATAATCATATTTATGCATATAGTTTCACTCGAAAATATCACAGCATGAAGGTTTTATGTCAATTCAAAGTATCTATTACGGCACTACTATCTAGAACGGCAAATTCATACTTTTAACCCTATTATTAACATCGTATACAGCTATAGCGCGCTCATAATCCTACTGCGTAATTTTGTGTATCTGTGGCGCATTACGTTTTTGCGCGGGAAAATAAAAAAAGACTTACTACCTTAAATATATTGATTCACATTGAATAATATATGTAAAATTTTATTATATCCATGCAAATTTTTACTGTAATATTTCTTTTCCTATAATGATTGTATATTATTATCAGTTCAATTTAACTCCGTTCCTACCCATACTCCGCCTTTCTGTTTCCCAAACTTATTTTTGGCGAAAGCACATTTTGCCAAACCATAAAAATAAAAAATAAATGATTTGTTGTGTTCTTAATTGTTATTTTCTTACTCTATTCTTAATATCTTTTTAGATCTGTAATTAATTTTTAAGGCAATCAAATTAAATCAAACAAAATATCTTTATCCATGTAGTTCTATTACAGACTAATGATATGACTAAATATACTATCTATATACAACAAACCAATTATTATTTTCTAACATTTATATGATCTTTTGTTCAACCTCCCGAAATACCCCAGCCAATTATATGTTTATTGAATATGTTATACAACAACAATAAATCACTATAGGCCCAGTTATACATGTTATATTGTGTTCACCAGAGCGGTACTACAAGCGAATCTCTTTAATTTGTGTAGCTTTGAACTCTTCACAAAGGCCGGGGCCATTTAATGGTTGACTTGGAAATAGGAGCACTATGAAAAATTGTTTAAAATTATTACACTGGTATACTAGCTGTGGTTTGTGGTTTCTTTCGACGTTTAATTACAGTAAATAATAATGCAGGCCACCGCTTCCCCGCTTCGCTCGTATCGTAATATCTAGAAAAACAGCGTTGAAGCGATTTAGCCGCTGCAGTATGCTGATTCTGCTGAGATTGATTATTTATTTTTATTATGATTTATTATTATTTATATTAGAATTATTTACCTGGTGGGCGCTTTGAGACATACACATACGCACGCGCATATACATACACACACAAACAATCACATTCCTGTTGATTTATGAATATTATTTTTTACTAATATTATGAACGTATCCCACGTTCATAATATTAATGAATATGGAGGGATGGATAGATGTTTAGAGGGATGAATGGAAGCGAAAAACATATTACGCCGACCCCAAATAAATGGGATAAGGAAGAAGCAGATGATGATGATGATGATGGATAGATGTTTGTTAGTCTTTCACGAGAAAGCTACTGAATGGATTTTATTGAAACTTTACAATAATACATTAGAATAACACATAGGCTATAAATTTCACGCAGATAAAACCGCGGGCACAACTAGTCTAGATCTAGTGCCGTATTTGGAGATTTTTTTTGTTCTGTATTATTTCCTCTAAATAAATTTAAAAACTTGATGTGTTTTTGACCGTTACAACTTAAGAACAGAAGAACCGTCAGTTTGTTTTCTATTCCATTTATATAAAATTAAAACTCACTATCATCATGAAGAACATGAACTCTTTCATCCCTCGTGACCTTGACCCCACCAGCAGTGAGGAGTTGGCGGTCACTCGCCCGCTTCCACAGCACCGGCTTCCCTCGTGCCCCAAGCACCACACACGTGAGAAGAGCATCCTCCCCACTCCTGACGGTGACTCCACTACCGGGTGCTCTCATCCACGTCTCTTTAGGCTCTTCATCTTCTTGAGAACTCCCCGTTGAGGCGCTGGCGCTTTCAACTGATTCACTCTTTTTATCTATAACAAAAATATTGAACGAATTAAGAAAATACATTACTGTCTATACCCAACAAATTTTTTAGTCGTGAATGCTGATTGTAGTTCGGTCTGTTCTGACTACTTTTTTTTCATACTACGATGGTGGCAATCAAGCATACGGTCCATCTGATGGTAAATGGTTACCATATGCCTATACACATATACCTATGAACGCCTGAAACACCAGGGGTATCACGTGCGCGTTGCCGAACCTTAAGAAACCTCAATATACCCTTCTTGAAAAACTTCACGCTGTAGTTTCGTGGGAAAACCTCGGCAGAAAGTTCATTCCACAATCTAAGTGTACGCGGGAGGAAGCTCCTCTGAAACCACACTGTTAGGAATAGAATAGAATAGAATAGAATGAACATGAGGTCAGGTCAGTTAGCCCATCGTGACAAATTCACCAGGAATTTAACACGATGGTTTCCATGGGGAACCGCGTGTAGGTCGACCTGACATGGTACATTGCTAGCAATGGGGTTATCAATCCACATTACTTACAATCCCCTTCCCCTCACCACCTGGTGGTTAACCTAAGTGGTATGGAACTACTGGAACCTAAGTGGTACCTTACCACTGGTAAGGTACCACTTAGGTTCCAGCGTGTGGGGATGACTACTACACTATATATGAGACTAGCTACCTGCCCGGGTTTCGCACGGGTGTACATGTATTATACATACAAACTTTCTACTTAAATCACTCTATCTACTGCTAAAAACTGCATTAAAATCTATTGCGTAGTTTGAAAGATCTGTTCGTTTAGATCTTAACGGTAGCGACTTCATTTTATACTAAGTAAAGATGGTAATATTTTATACGCAAAAGTATGTCTGTATGTTTGCTAGTTTGTTACCTCATTACGATATTTAAAAGTTACTGTTTTTGTATCAAGACAGATAGATAAGAATATCATATTTTAAAAAACGCATACCAAATCGTAGTCGCTAGTTATTATATAGCTGTAATTTTTATTACAAATTCCTGTATAATTAAATTCGAGATATTAATTAAAATCAGATCACTCTGTGATAATCAATTATCTTTGACGGATTAGCATACCGCCTTACAGCCGACGGTCGCCGGTACTATTCCTCGGTAGAAACATTTTTTTTATTAATTTATTTAATGTCTTTATTAAATAAATTAATAAAAAATGTACAGTACAGTTATTTTTATATATTGACTCGCCAAACTGCAGAACAGTTTGTTGGCAAGATATCGCTCAGTTTTTTTTAATACTTACCCACCTATATACATCTATACACATAAATACACGTTTTTATATAAATTTTTCAATAATTACATTTACAATTAAAATACCACTTTTTTTTTAATTTTATCAAATTTTTTTTTTAATTTGTATTCATGAGTATGACTGTTTACATTTAGTCTGGCTGTTTGTATCGATATGTATATTATGTATGTATTTATATAAAAATGTATTTCTCTATATCAGTTGTTGGTGACTAGATGACGTGTGATTTCTCCAGGGCAAATGAATTTATAGGTATCATCACAATCTTCATACACCTTAATTATAGGTACATATACACACACATTTTTTCTTACACATACACACACACATTCTTTTTTACACACATTCACACACAAGTGACTTCAAATTCAGATACTATTATTGTATACTGTTTTAAATTTGATGAGGTCATTATTTAAACGTATAATTAGTAAAAATCACGGGATCTTACCATGTTTTATATTTATTGAGTTCCCGATATTTCGGCAGTGTTTCAATCGCCATGATCTGGTAAACTGAAGAGCAGCGGGTAGATGGAAAACAAAATCTTTTTATGGGCAGACATGCGTCTACCTTCACACGTCTTCATTTGTTGCTGCTACTGGAACTCGCTCGACATTCATCTCGGCAAATTGTACTCACAGTATCTTCAAATACATTTAATACACTTTCCGATAGCGTTTTTTGTTTTTGTTTAATTATTAATAATTATTAAGATTTTTTTGATTAATAATTATTAAGCCACTCACTTCACATCACCCGATTCTTACTAATGATACGTTTACTATTATTGTATTTGTAATTCTTAAATTGATTGTTCTATTAGTTTTATGTATTGTGAAATTTATAATGATTGATCTGTATGTACTTCTAAATTAACCTTTATTCTGTTTGCCACGTTCTGTTTTATCTTCTTTTGCTAAATCACTGAAAACCTGTTATTGGTTTTCTCTAGAAACTGATTGAACGATGAACTCTAGAAACTCTAGAACAATTGATTTAATGTATTAGGTTGTAAACTGTTGGTTTTCTAATAACCAACGCTGTCGCTGTCTGTCCGTCCCCATATATGCTTAAAACTTTAAAACTACGCAACGGATTTTGAAACGGTTTTTTTAATAGATAGAGTGATTCAAGAGGAAGGTTTATATATAATACATGTACACCCGGATGAAGCCGGGGCGAGTGGCTAGTAAATAAATAAATCATAGTATGAAATTCTAGGCATATATATGTATATACCCCAATAAAAATAAGCAAATCATTCAGTAATCAATTCAACAAAGAGCGACTAGTAAAATTAATAACTTAACTTAAGAAGTAATGCCATACTTGGAGACAATTGTTTTTGTTTTTTTTTTTATTGTAAACATCATTGATGCAAAGCTTTACTGTCCAACTACTGTAATACTTAAAAAGCTTTTGTGGGATTTAAAAGCCTGACCCGACCGCGACGCCGGTAAAGACTACGCAGATCCGCTCCACGAATATAAATGTCAAAAAGCGAATTTTGGGGCGGGGCTTTAGTTTCTCTTGAGCGAAGCTAGATAATAATAATAATAATCTTAGGACAATTCACACAGCGCCATCTAGTCCCAAGTTAAGCTATTCAAAGCTTGTGTTACGGTACTAGATCCAAGTACATAGATAATTTTGTTTTTCGTAAATACATACATAGAAAACACCCAGACCGATGCAAAAACTCATACTCATGAATACAATTGTTTGTGCCGTGCGAGGAATCGAACCCGCGACCATCGGACGTAAAGCGGTGTGCTAAATCGCTAGACCACCGAGATCGTCAAAACACGTAAAATTACAAAAAAAAAAAACATTCAGCGAAAGGCTGTTAATTCGAGATTACAAATAGACACTTAAATTTTAGTTATAATAAATCATATAACAACCAATTAAATTTATAATCACGAATAAACGTAGAAACTTATACTAATTTGAAATACACAAAGAGCCAATTAATTTTGTATTTAATTGTTATATAACCTACAGCTCAATTTCTTTAGGCAGGCTTTGATAGGGCAATCAAATAGTCTAATACTAAGTAATAATTAAGTTTTAAATTATAAATGCACCACTATGTCTGAGAATCAGCTACTATCTATTTTTCATACCCCTATGTGATAAGGGTTGGCCACCACTAACATTTTGAAAAACATTTTGGACCAAATATCATTTTAAATTATTATATGTGGCATTAAAAATTACACACAACCCTAAATTTTCACTCTTCTAACAGCAATCCCTATTTTAAATTAATTTATATAGCAACACAACATTTGCGGGGTCAGCTAGTAATTAAATACAATTATTGTATTGATCAGGACAAAAAATGAAAAATGCGTCAGATTGAACAAAGTGGAAAATTATGCAAGAGGCATACGTCTAGCAGTACTAATAGATGCAGAAAGAAGAAGATTGTATTAAACAGTAAGGGCAATACTAACCCTTCTATCAACTACAGTGACGATGTTTGACATCACCGCTGTATCGAAATTAATCTTGAAAAAATAACAGATGTTTTTTTTCCCTAAACGACATTAGATTGCAATCTGTCAAAGTGGTTACTTGTTGGGAAGGTTTTGTATATCTCAAGGTAACCTTTGATAGATAATACGTTTACGGTTCTTTGATTTAAAAAAAATCTGGCGTCAATTTTCCACATATTTTCAGTCAAAGACGTCAATTGGTGTAAAAATAGCATGAAACCAACACGATGAGTAAAAAATAACCTAAAAAAATTTGGGAAGAGAGAGACACGCTTTTGGATATGATGTTTACAATATTAAGAATAATACATGTATAAAATTTACGCTTTTTGGTGTAGTTTATAATCTTCATTCAATACAAGCACTTTTGAATAGTTAGTTAGTTTTATTTTACCACTAATTCCGAACGCATCACAGGAAGAATCAGCAAGAAACTTGTGTGTTGCTCGAATTGCTAATAGAAACCGCTATCAGTCTAATAATATATAAAATTATAAATGCAAAACTGTATCCGACTTTGTCTGTTTGTTATATTTGACTGAACGGGTTTTAATGAAATTTAACGTGAAGATATGAATGTAATATAAGCTATTTTTAATGTAACACACGAAATAAAGTTTCTACACAGATAACACATTACTTGAACAATATTTATTTTATTTACAGCCGCATAATAAAGCGATGAAATTCAACAAGTCCCGTCGAGAATTCTTACCACGCGCCAATCGTCTCATCTATAAGCTAGTCCGCTATTACTAAGACCCGACCCTTACCATCTCATTTAGATTCACCGGCGCTCCCCGTCCACGGCAGAGGGATAAAGAAATCAACGCAAATTGAGCGAGCCCCCTCAATTTTCCACATATTTTCAGGAATGAATCAATCTATATGATAACAACTGGAGTAGGTTAGACCTCTTTGTTAAGGGTTTGATAAGGGGGCGAATATTTTGGCTATTTACGAAGCAATGGGCGGAGGGGTTGGCATCTTAACTAGAATAGGATTAGTGGGGGTAGGTCGTAAATCAATTTATGCATGCGCATGTTATGCGGTCTACATACGACACTAGAATTAGGGGAGGTATTGAAGCAGTTTTGGTGAGGGTAAAATCGACAGGCGCAACTTCGTCTCGCATCGCATCATACTTATTTAACATTTATATTTCGACCAATTTACATAGCATCTTTTTAAGTCATAGCCTATGTGT